AATAAAGCATTAGTCATAAATATTTTCTCCGAATAATTCTGCCTACAATAAGATCTATTTTTATTCTTTTCTGCCTGAGCTGTCGCAGTTACTAAAAATATTAAATTATTATTTCTGGGGTAAGCGACGCGTCAATATTAATTCACAGTGAATATGTCAGCTATAGCAATACCAATTATTTATATGCTACTATTATTATTATCCTATAAGATATTATTACATAACAATATTTATCTTTATAGCTATCTATATATAATATGTATGACTTTTATAAATAATTATGTAATTGAATATAACAGTCATAAACCTATTGAATTCTTACTATTATTAAATAATACAATGTATATAATTCTTTGTTTAATGCTCGAATACTCAAACAATGACTAGTATCAAAACTGAGAGTAGAATGAATATTATGCTGTGAAGCGCGATATATTAGTTTTATTTGAATAACCTCTTTATTGTATAATAAATGATGGTTTATTTCTATTAACTTAATTATAAAGGCTACTACAATCACAACAATAAGGACGACTACAATCATAACACCATTGAAAAATAACCCTAAAAAGAAAAACGCTGAGTTTATAAAAATCATATTTAGAGCTCCGCCCCAAATTTGAATGCTATCGCAAATAATCCGTCGGAGTTTCAAATCTTCAATTTCCTTTTTGGAATTGACTACACACACCACATTTGTTTGTTGTATGGTGGTAGATTAAAAAATATGTCCAGTCTATTAGCAACGAAGTGGATAAGCAACCAATAGAAGTGGAGTATAATCTACCGTTCAGAATGAATAGACAAAACAAAAGAAGATTCAAGCCAACAATAAAAGATTCCGACGAGAGAAAGAAGAAGTCAAGCTTATGCATTATTTGTGAAAATATAAAACGTCGGCATAATTAGTTGACAACATGAGAAAATCAGAAAAACAACACTTATGCATCTTTACTATAATCAATAATCACGATTTTCCCTGTTGTCACATAAACTTTATTGTTGTAGCAAATTTAATATAAATATCGAAAATTACTAATTTTAATTAAAGATAACCATTAAATATTATAAAAACTTAATTATATTCTTTGTTATTTTGCTCAATACTATTTGAAGTTTTACTCTTTTATACTTCAAGAAGTCAAGAAACGACTAATATGTCTGATCCTTGTTATTCTAGTGAGGCTTCTAGTTCAACTCTCAGTGGTTAACTAAGCACGCACAGCACTATATAGTTTTAAAATAGAAGAGAAGATGATCCTTTATTAAATTAATCTTAATCTTTTTACAAGATATATACTATTGCAATTCAATTTGTATATAAAAATAGAAGAATAAAAATAACACAAGAATATAGTTAGTGATGGTTAATTATGTCATAATAGTAAGTAATTTCTATGAAATAAATCTTCCACTTCTTTTTGCATTACGCTCAACATTTGTGTTTGGTTTAAATTTTCTTTTTGCTTTTATTGTTTTTTATATCTTAAATCGATTTCTATGGGAATATCATTTAAAGGAGGGATGGTTGATTCCTCACTTTTGTCAGACTTGATATTTTCAGATATTTTTGAGAGTGGATAAGAAGCATACCGGCCATTGGGAAATTTCCAAAAAAGAAAATTCAAAAATTCAAACTCTGACGGGTTATTTACAATATTAACCCCTTTTTTTGCTATAAATATAAGTAAACGATTGTCGCTAATGAAGTAATATTTAATTTAGTGATCATATATTGCAAGAAGAAAATGTTTCTTCTCAACAATCTTCCCAAAAATCTTCCCAACAGTCTTCCCAAGAATCTTTTTTACAACACTCATTGTACACGATTAGTGAATCAGAAGGTTCACATATAGATTATGAAAGGATGAAACCATATGTAAGCAAATCGATGTTCAATTCAACTTATCATATTTTCGTTCATAAAACTATTAATTATAGTTTTTTTTCTAATAACGAAAATATCAGTAAAATATGTTATGATTTCAGAGAACAATGTCTGAAACAGGAGTTGGATTGTGATCAGCTGTCAAAAATCGAAAAAATGGCTGTAAACCATGTTTACTTGGTTGACCGGGACACCGATAACAGTGTTTTTGCTGCAACAAATGAGTTCTTTGAGCAGTTTCAACTTGACCAGCAATTCCCTACGATGACTGCAAGCGATGTAAAATTCATTGATCTCATAGCTCAAGTAAGTATAAATAGGTGAACTTTTTTTTGTATTTTTTTTTTTTTTTTTGTTCATCAAGTAATTAAAACGAAAGCTCAGAATAATCTGTTATATATCCCATTTTGGTCTTTTTGAACTTTTATCTGAGTTTTGGTATTTTTGACCTTGTTTGACATAAAAGTTCAAGAAAAAGTTCCCATAAATGCAAACAAAGAGGAACAGTTCTAATAATTTAATAGATTTAAGAATTTGAAATCACATAAAAAAGAAAGCGCAGTAGTAGCTGCTCTAAACCATTTAGTGAGCTCGAATAAAGATATGGCAGCAAAAATTGTGTATAATATGTAAGTGAATGTTTCTTTTGAATTGAGTTCGGTACCAACAATATTTCTATTAGACTAAACAGTTACAGTGATTTTGAATAAATTGATTCTAAGGATGAATCAATTTTTATCGAAAGAGCTTTAAGCTCTTTTTTAAATGCAATTTTTCCTGTCGGTAGTGATTTGAAGAAGGACAGATAAAATCATAACATTATTGTAGGTGTATGGAAAATCATCTATTTATATTATGTAGGAATTTCACAGCTCTGATCGGCTACACTGATATGAAGCCTGATATCAAGTACAGGGCAAGAATTGGAACAGCTGATTTCGATTTCTTGATTTTCGAAGTAAAACAACCCAGATCGATTGCCGAAGATGGTTTGTTCAAGGTATCTATTGAGCTACAACTCATGCTCAATCGTATGGTCAAAAAAAAATATACCACAGCCTGTTGTCTACGGAGTTGTTATAAAAGGTATGGCTATAAATGGTATATTGCTGAAGGGAGAAGGATTTACTAACAGTTTAAAATAGGTTTCACGTGTGATGTATACAGAATGGAATTGGTTGCTCCTTTAGTTTATCTGTTTACTAAGATACAGACACTCTATATTCCAAGAAGTGTGTACGACTTTCATGTGTTACTAGGGGCCATCCCTGCACTGCTGCAATTAGAGCAGCTTGTAGTTAACGAAGTATCAAAGGCCAGAAGAGACATTAATTCTGATGAAAATGATAAGCTGGGCTGTGTAAGATCACCTTTGACTCTCCTTAGAAAATTTTAAACTTGAAATATGTATATTTTATAATATTTTCTTACAAAATTTGGTGACCATACACCACCACCATTTTTAAATAAAGAGTGCACAAAAACATTCGAGGGTAAAGTAAAGCTAGGAAATATTGGTTTATTTGGAAATTGAAAGACGAATGAAAACATTTTTCACAATCACAGAGGTGAGAAATTGTTGGAATTTAGTAATGTTAAAAAAAAAACGCATGTATAAAACTATGATATACACAAATAAAAACAAAAGAAAAGAAAAGAAAAGAAAGAAAGACATGCTTCGATCTTTTAGAATTGAGTTCCTAGGAATACGATTTTGTCCAAGGAAAAATATACGTAATGTTAAGGACTTTTCTTAGCATTGAGAAGAAAAAATAAAAATTCGAAGCAATGCTAAGAACGTTCTTAGAAATAAAAACAATTTCAGTGCAATTCTTAGCATTTTGAATTCTATTGTTGAATATTATTTACAAGATAAACAACGAGGTAGACGACGAGGTAAACTGCATTTGAATGGAAAATCGTAACCCAAAATTAAAATATGTGGTTGTAAAAGAATGTATGCGATGGCTGGTGGCTCAAGCGTCAGCTGTCATACACCCAGAAAAATAATAAAAATAATATAAAAATATTCAAATACAAAAGTAAATCCTTACTCTCTATTTTTTTTTTTGCCGAATAATAACTACATCAAATCTACCATCCCACTGTCAACCGATAAACATCACGAAAACTTAGAGGTCCAATGCCAATAAAGTTTAATTGCTACTCAGTCCTCAATCGAGCTCCGTCAACGTCAATGCTTACAAGTTGGATAATCAACCCACTCCAGCTCCAATCACTAAGGCATCTCAAACTAATCAGCCTATCTCAACATTACAGTGGGTGAAGCCAGTTTAAGTATGGTCTACGGATCTAAGTTGCTTATTGATTGGGCATAATGAATTGCGACAAATTTTCATAAAAGATGCAACAATTTTCTTTTTCCATAAAACGATCACCTTTTTCTAGATAGACTGTAGACTGTAGCCTGAAGCGAAATTTTGGTAATTGGTAAAAACGAACTTTGGAAATCACAACTATGAAGATTGAACTGGTGCAGAAGCGAAACAAAAATTGAGCTTGCGTGAAAACGAAAATCCGGCATTGTAATTTGTTTATATGTTAAAATGAGTCACAGCTGTTGTAACTGACGATGATATTATACATTTCTTTTGACTATCTTTTTATTTTATTTTATTTTATAATAATCTATCAATAGCTTCAAGAACTGATCTTATATCTGGTCTAGATTCTGGATCTACAGTCAACATCCATGATATTAAATTCTGAAACTCTCTGGAATAATAATTTGTATCAGGAAAATGAAACTGTCTATTAAGAATAGCCAACACTAATGCCCCTCCTCCTTGTTGACTAACTGTCATCTCAAATGGTGATTCTCCATAAGCCACGGCAAATAACGTACAACCTAGAGACCAAATATCAATTTTAGCAGTGAGTGTTGAATTATATTTCACATTAAATAGTTCAGGTGCTCTATAAGGCATTGAACAATGTTCTGCTGCATCATCTTGCTCCTTCAAGGCTGTTTTTTTATCCATTATAACAATATTGGCTGGCTTTGCTGACCCAAAATCCATTAAAATGGGTGTTTTCCCATCATCTGAAAGTAATATATTACTATGAAAAAAAAAATTCATTATTGAAACTAATGTTATATTGTATACATAGTCTTACGCCGGTTTAATGTCTCGATGTGCCCATGGGATATGAAGATTAGCTCTATTCCTATAATTAGCTAGTATTTGAATACCAGCACATATCTCTTTAAATAGTCTTAATATCTGTTTCTCTGGTAAATGTCTTCCAAGCTGCTTATTTTCGTCAATCAAGTCTTGCAAATTGCCTTTCTATTATACATGATAACATAAACACTAATCTCTTTTAATGAATGACAACAATCTTACTTTGTAGAAAGGCATAATAATATAGACTGTTTTACTTCCATCATCTTCCTTTATCATACACATGTCCTAAATTTTTATTCTTTTAATAATTTTATAGAAAACTAGAAAATAAAAAGTCAAACATATACCACAATTTTAATAATGTTCTTATGTTGAAATCTATCAGTGATGATGGCTTCTTTAATCGCTTTATCAGCTATTTCCTTTCCCATTTTGCAATGGATAGTTTTAATTGCAAATAATTCTTTATTATCATCTTCAGCTAAATATACAAAAGAAAACCCTCTTTTGTATAAATGCTTAGTTTCTATTAGAGTTATGGACCTTATTAATTATATACCCTTCTCCTAGTAATTTTGTAATTTTGAAGTTTCTTCCATTAACATTTAGTAAGGTCTGTGAATCTACAACAGAATTAATAGTGGAATTAACGAAATTACTGAAAAATGACATGGTCAACAAAGAAAAAAAAAATAAAACAGAAAAAAAAATAAACTATTTATATTTATTAATAGGACTCTTTGATTACATAATAATAATTTAAGGAGTTTTATCTCCACCACCTTCTTCAAGCCATTTAGCATATCTTTCTAAACGAAGCTTTTCTGCTTCTTCATCTTCTTCTGATGATTTTCCTCCACTCTTTTCATATCGTGTTTTACCATCGTATATTTCTGCTGAAATTTGCCTTCCACTAAAGTAGCGACCATTCATTAACTAAGTATAAAGCTTAGAGCATTGTTATATTTTTTTTAAAAAAACTTTTATAATTTCAGCTTACAGCCACACATGCATCTGCGCTTTCTTTTTCTTTATATCGAACTGAAATAACACCACCTGGGGATTTCTAAAAAAAAAAAAAAAAAAAAAAAAAATAAAAAAAAACAGTGTTAACATAGTAGTATTTATGATTTATATCACGTACATCATACAAGATCACATTTGTCACTTCACCCAATTTTTCACATTCCTCACGCACATCTTCCTTCAATTCCAATAATAAAGTCGGATCTGAATCCAATTCCTCTTGTGTATACATATTTTTCAAAATCACAATCTTTGCAAATTTTTCCTGTTTTTTTCCAACTTCATCATCAATCCAGTCAAACTTTCTATTGAGTTGTTGAATCTTTTTTTTCGCCTTTAATTTACCCACTGTCGATTTTTTCTGGGTTGGCTGTTCCTTTTCTTTAAATACTGCCTTTTGGACATTAATTTTTGTTGATTTTTGACCAGGTCGTAATTCGGAATCGTCTAATAAATTGATAGCTAATGATACCGACTCTTCTTTAAAATAGGTAATGAGAGCGTCACCTTTTAGATTACCGTTTCCATCACGATAAAGCTTAATTTTAGGTTCACCTGTATCAAGATCTTCCATGATGACGCCGCATTTGGTAAAGGTTGTTTTAATTTCTTCAACTGAGGTATCAGGTGGGATACCAGTAACATAGACCGAAGTATTAGGTTTTGATTCGCGTTTGATTTTTTTAGTAGATTCATCGTCCAGTGTCGAACGTTTCCTTTTCTCTTTAGGCTTAACGACTTCTTCTTCAACACCTTCTATAGCATAAACTGAAGCTTGTTCTTGCATTAGTTTCTCATCAAACTATTATAAAATTAGAATTTGAGTTAAACGTATGTTATTTGTTTTACCATTGGGAACCAAGCACCAAGTTTTTCATCATATTCGTAGGATACATTATCTTCACCAACGTAAGACCATTTGCCCGTTTGTTCATTAAAATGCATCTTTGGATCAGATGCGAAATCTTTTGTTGATAAGGATGAGTTATTATTCATCATGCTGTAGAAAAAAAAAAAAATAAAAATAAAATAAAATGAAGAAAATAAAATAAAATGAAGAAAATAAAATAAAGTGAAGAAAGCCTAACTAGGCAGATACAAATTTATCTTATTTATTTTTTAAATTTTGAATACACATTCACCTTTATGATAGCATTTGGGTTAACAGTTTTTATCAGAGTTTATTTTTAATGCCTTGCAATCCCACTATAATCAATAAGCTTCGGATGCGTCATTTATTGGCAATGCTAGTTTTATTATATAATTATTGATTTAACCAATATCACATCTTTATTTGAGGCTAATAGTCTTTTGTATGTAATTTATCCTTTTTATTTACTTTTTTCTTTCTTTTATATGTGTTAAAACTTTATTCCTTTGTTCTTTTATCAAGTATGTATTTATATTTTAAAGAAAAACCAAGAAGAAAAAGAAACAAGTAATTCTTTGCTAATGAAAGAAATAGCAACAGCAATATTGTTAAAAGAGATAACACACGAAAGAAAAAACTACGTTTTCTACTTCAAAATAGTGAAGTGCTATTGCTATTAATATTTCATTGAAAAGTACTTACTAATTCTAGTATTCGTTCTTCCTCTGTTGTTTCCAAGACTACCAATAAATGTTTCTTTGAAAGAATAATAATACTTGAAGCTGCACTAAACAATAGTCATATAATAATATACAAAATAAAATGTGAAAACACCACTCATTTCAGATCTTCACTCATAAGTAAAAGCGCTTTATGAACAACAATTACATGATAGCACTGAATAACATAAAACAAAAAGAAAAACGATTAAAATAGTATTCATATCACCTTCTCATAAGCAATGAAAGTTATTATAGATGAAACTGCACTTGTTTCAAACACCCAATTGATATATGATACTTTTGTTCTTTCACAAAAGTTACTTTACTATTATGGGCGGTGTTCTACTTTATTCTTTTCTACCTGAAACTGAAGAAAAATAAAAAAGCTTTCAAATTCGGGAATAATAATAACAGTATTGAAAAAAAAAAAAAAAAAAAAAAAAAAAAAAAAAAAAGTAATTTTTTTCTCGAGTTTGTAAAATGGAACAAAGAATTCAACAATTTCATGATGATACAAAAGCAATTCCAAATCCACCAACTGCAAAAACAGTAAAACAAATGAATACATTAAAGAAATTCATTTATAAAAACCAAGTAATGTCTTTTTTAATCAAAATAGAAAAAAAAATTTACAAGCTGATCTCTCTCTTTTTTTTTTAGGATTACAGATTTTCTGATAAGGAAAAAAACAAGTTATTTGCATGCATTGAGACTTATTTCACTGTGTTTGATAGAAGGTAATTATTAACAATTCGCTTTGACAAACTTCAATCTAAATGATGTACATAGTGGGTTGACAGATAAAATTTCGGCTTTTCCTTTAATTGAAGATGCACTAAAAGTGCCCTGTTTTACTACAAAACAAAAAAATCAACTATTGAAATGGTATAATTTTAAAACTCTATTATTTAAACCGATTTTAACTTTTGGTTTAGGTATGATGAGATTCTTGCAAAGCAGACTGGTGGTGATGATGAAAAGAAAAAGCAAGAAACTAACGACGATGAAGAGGAGGAAGAAAATTATGATGATTTCGATTGGGATGCTTTTGAAAAAGGAGAAGATCAAGAATAAAAAAAATGTCACAAGTTATATACCAAAAAAAAGCGTTAATGTAGATTATTGTTTTTTTCTCTGAAATGTGTGATTTTTTTTTTGTTATTCTCTTTCTATATTCATAACATGCCTATTTAGGAGATTGTTAATATTATTATTACATCAGTTAAATCTTATCCTGCATAAAAGATAGTTATTTTCTTATATTGATTGAGTTTATTTCTCATAAAACGATTACAGGAGAATTAGAATTAGAAAAAGTACGTATGTTTAGTATTCTTATATTTTATTCATTATTATTAATTCCCCCCCAAATAAAGCTGTTGTTTTTATTATATTATAAACTCTAAAATTATAGAAAGAATATATAATTTAGTAGTCACTTTCAATTGCTAAGTGTTTCACTATAGACAGAATTATCATACAAGTACACTATATGTTCTATTATGACTATTTATCTTATTGAATTAAGCTACAAATATTACAACCATGACAACAGCTAATATTATTTTATTCAATAAAACAGAACTTTGAATTACATTTAATCTTGAAGTTAAATAACCTAATAAACCATGTATCATTATATCTCTGAATGTACTTTTAGAAAGATTAAATGAATGACCTGAACTGCCTTTGTAATTTCTTTGCAAGATTTTTAAATAATCAGAACGGCAGTAAATTTAAGTTTGAAAAGATACACAAGAATTATTTGTGTTTCATTATAATATGAAAAGATATTTTAAGATTATACTTATTGAATTGTTTTCAAATGTATAATTCTTTAGTTACTAGATAGTCCTAGAAACTGGTTTAATGGAGAGTTCTAGCAGTCGAAGTACTACCAATTAGTGAGGACTTATTTTAGATTCAGCAAGTGATGACATCAATGGCTTCCCCAAATTGAGACTGCGTCATTATATTCTCTTACCCAATCAAAATATCCAGAGCAGGGGTGCGTAAGATGCGAAGAAATTGTTTTTCTGAAGATCAACTCTCTTTCATCCAATATTTATAGATGCAAATCGTTAAAGATGTAAGGCCTTTCGTCACGTTAATTGATAGCTGCGACCAGATCGTATCTCCCTCATTGCGTTGATATCTTGCTTACGCTGTTCTGCTCGTGGGGGCATATTTTTGTCTGGGGGCAGCTAGGGTTTAGGCAAGTGAAGGGTGACCCATTCGCCACGTTAATTGATAGCTGCGACCAGATCGTAGCTCCCTCATTGCGTCGGTATCTTGCTTACGCTGTTCTGCTCGTGGGGGCATATTTTTGTCTGGGGGCAGCTAGGGTTTAGGCAAGTGAATGCTGAAACTTTATAGATTTGCATCTTTTAATAATTCAGGTTAGTAAGAATAATAATTAATGATGATGAAGTCTCTTTTATTAACCAATATTATAAAAACGTTGGAGTGTTATGTAATAATGCTTAAACAATTTATGTACAAGTCCGATGAAAAAGAAGAACTGATATTGTTCTCTGGTTCACGTCTCTTCAGTAGAACTTTATTTTCTAAATTCTCAGTGTAAGCAAAAGGTATTATTTTCAAAAACATTACTTACATCTTAACACAATTAATTATTTCGTAGCTGAAAGAAAAATCCTGTTGTGTGCAGACATAGTTTAGTTTATAGTTAAAAGTATCTTTTTCATGTACAAACTATCATCCAACTAGAAAACTTACAAAACGAAAGCAGTGTCATTAGTTTTAATAAGCATAGTCAGGATTCCACTCTTGGCTTTGGAGTTATTGTCCTGGAAGATTTTCCTGTGCAATTTGGTTGTCCTTCTGGTCAGTCTGCTAAACGCTTTGAAATCGGTGTGAACCATTCAAGATCGTTTCCATTCAAGAATTTTTGACCCTAAAAAATCGATAAAACTAACACATGCTACAAGAATGAAGAAATATAATGAACGTTTTTTAACCTCAAGCTGTTAATATTGCCATCATACTGTTTCTTCGCTTGAATTTAGTAAAAAAATAATTCTTGCCTAAGCAAATGTCGTGTTTGAATTAAAATACATTACTATTATTTATTATATGTGATGCTTATATCTCTTTAATGCTGAAAATGATAATAATATGTTTGAATGAAACCTGTTTTGTGAGAGCTGCACTTGGGAAGACCAAGTCTTATGCGCTTAATATATAAGTTTAAATCTATGGATTCAATATGAACATAATAAATATGTCACAGACTTCTCGACTAAACATTTATGATATACTGTATCGCATTAACATCGTAGAATAGTAATGAAATGTCTTTCATTAAAGAAAATATTGTATGCTTGAGTAAAGCGTGGTACAAAAAGAAACAGATGATACTCATATGACAGCTTTGAAGAAAAAAGTTGGATAAGTACAGCATTTGTATTACCATGTTTTTTGTTGTTTTAAATGCTCACCTTTCCAAAAGTTTATTATTAAATCTCTTTAGTCAGTTTTATACTGTTTCTTGTTCTAATCGCGTTTTGAGAAATTCAAGCAGAGATGCCAGATAAGATTATTTTGGAAGAAGGTATGTCTTTCTTTAAAAAAAAAAAAAAAAAAAAAAAAAAAAAAAAAAAAAAAAAAAAAAAAAAAAAACCAGTAAATTTAAACATAATAACACTCACTTTATTCTTTCAGCATCGTACCATCATATCAAAGACTGTTTGAAGGATGTACTTTTTGAAACATGGAGCAACATGAACATGATACAAAAATTAAGCCAAAATTTCTACTTTAATAAAGAAGAAACAACAAAATCAACACTTAAGCAACAATTATCAGATTTCTGGGATCAGAATAGAACAGCCAGTATGAGTTCTAAACGCGTCAAACAACGAGCTGAAAAACTGCTTTTATCTTTAACTCATGTAGTAGATTCACGACCGGTTAGCATATTAATCAAGAAAAACTTATCAGAGGTATAACAGTTAAAGAAGTTATATATTTGTAAATAATACAGTTTTTTAATAATGCATTTTTCATTAGCAAGAAAAATTGCACTTTAAAGCCAGTTTCAAGTTACAAGCTGAAAAAGAAGCAAATCAAGAGCAAGAAGAAGTTGCAACGCAGGGAGAAGTTGTAGCGCAAGAAGAAGAAGTTGCAGTTCAAACAGATAGTGAATCAGTTTCTCACCCTTCCAAAAGAAGAAAAAGATTGGACCTAAAGAAAGTAAAGAAGCTTGATCTTGGAGGAAAAGTGGAAACGATTGTTAAGTATTAGTAAATATTAAGCTTGAAATAAGTACCTCTTCTATAACAATATGTAACTAACATAACCAACAGCTTTAATGATAAACAGATACTGGATTTGTCAAAAGCAAGAACAATACCCTCAAGATGTAAAGATATAATTGACTCGATTTTGATTGATTCGGGATTGCAGTTACATCATAAATTGACTATATCTGAGTATAATATCTTAATAAAAATATCCAAATGTACCAATAAATCCAGCCTTAATACCGCTGTCAATGAAATTGATCTTTTCAGTTCTCAAGTTGAATTATCGTTTATAAAGTTGGCGGTTATGAAATTGTATGTATCAAATTGAAAATATTTAATGTTCAATTGACTGATTTATTTATTTAGATGTTTATTGTATCATGGAGAACTACTTGAAGGAGAACACAATGAAAATTGGTACCGTGTAAACGTTTATGGTGATACTTTTGACCTGCTTTTTAACTCAAAACATGGATATAAAACAAAAAGGTAAGAACGCATTACCTGTTTTTTTTTTCAATGACACTTTTATTAAACTCAAGTTTTACAGATCCGAATGCCATTCTCAAACTATTAAGGCATTGAAAGCGAATGGTTTAGTAGATGTAAATGAAAAGGATATTCGTTTGGACTTCATATTTACGAACTCAACTGGGATTCAAGATGTGTTTTTCTGTGAGGACAAGCCTACTATCAAAATATCGAACAAAGACAAAGATAAAGCTGACTATTTAAGAGAAAGCGCACTCCGCCATTGGTCTAGTCTTCTTCCTTACAAAGAATGCACCCAGCATTTATGCGCTTTGTCATGCCATTTCAACAAGCTAAATCTGCGAATAATGGGTACTAAGCTTGTAAACGGAATTATAATCCATGCTTGTCTTAAAGAAATAAATATCCCTCTATCAGATAACAATGGTGCTGGGATCGCTGAGTATTTGGCTGCTGTCATTTCTTTGGTTGTAAGTAGAAAATATTTTTTTAATTTATTTATAATATATCAACAATCGGTTATTTTTCTACAGAGAATGGTTACTTGGAACTTTGAAGCTATTCAACTAATGATACAGACTGCACAGCAAGACAATATGATATTTTTAGCGAAGCCAGCTACATCAGAGATCTGCTACAGAGAGGATTCCCCTGCATCGGAAGGTAGCAACATCACCAACACAGACTCAACTTCTTCCTCTGTAGAACTGGATTGGGAAGGAGAAGAAAGAAAGTTGAGAATAATGGAAAAGATTGAGAGCAACCTTGCAGAGCTTTCCAAAAAGGCTAATGAACAGTATGTGCTGTTTTCTTGGGAAAATATTGTTTTTGGTGATAAGCAGCCCGAATAGGGTTATGGTTTTCTTTTTTCATTTATCAGGTTATTTAACTTCAAGAAGATTAAATGAATTTCAAAGTTCTGTTTTTATTGAATAAAATAATATTATGTGTTTATAAAAAAAAATGAGGTCCTAGGAGCAGCTCTTGTAATGTATATTACTCTTTGAATCAGTAATGTGATATTATACGTTAATAATCAAGTACTGTAGTATTCTGGGTGAATAATTAATATAATAGTAGTAATGATATAGCCTTAATTGTTCAGGATTGTTATTATGAGAATATGAGAGTCAAAAGCTGAGACTAGGTCTTTTCAATTTTAGTCTTTGAAAATGTTATAATATTTCATAGATTTTCCCATGAGATGAAGTGATTTTCCCTTACATCAAAAGGCATATCAATAAAGGAAAATATTTAATTTACCTCTTAGACTTTAAAATCGTTTTATTTTGGATACACCCCTGTTTCTTATTTAGTCTTTTTAATATTACTACAAGATGCCTATTTATAGCGTACCAGATGAGTATATGCATTGTTTCAACGTAATAGACGAGATTTCAGAGTCTGATCCCATGGAAATTGAAACAGTCCTAAATGACTTATGCAATACTGTCGGTTTAGAATGACACTATTGGGGACAGCCAGAAATAAGCAAAAAGGTAGCAGAACCCGACGTTAAGAAACTTATGGATTTAAGTAGCTATCAAGGTTTTCGCCAAAATATTTCTACGAATAGTGAAACATCAGAGGGAAATTCTAAAGAAAAGAAAGATAGCAGCTCAAAACTAGCATCTAGTGTCTAATTCCAAGGCTCAGGGATCCTATAGATCCTATAATTCAGAGCAAATACAAGAGCTTCTTGACCTTGTTATTGAGGGAGGACTTTCAGCAAGATAGGCTAAAATAATGGTTGGTAGTGTTGAGAGAACAGCCCAGCATTATGTGAAGCTTTATAGAGATGATGAAGAGAAGTGTTTGACTGGTTTAAGAAAGCCTCGAATCAAGTGCCACATGAAGCTCGAACCACAATATACCGACTTCCTCTGCACTTTTTATGGAGAAAATCCAGAAGCTGTCCTCTGGCAGGCAAGGGAGTGATTACTTCAAGCTTTTCCCGAGAGTAGTCTAATTTCTCTCTCTGGTCTTCAGAAACATCTAGTCCAGCACACATCATTAACACTCAAAAAGCTGGAACGAGTTGTAACTGCAAGATCAGCTCACAACAATCTCGATCTGCGCAAAGAAAGAGTTCTAGAATAGAAAGCATATAAAAATATGGATTCGGAAAATAGGTACGTTTTTATCAACAAGGCAGATTTTAACATGCATATTCGTAGAAACTTTGGCCGATCAAAGCGAGGAACACCTGCAAAGACATTGCTTCCTTCGAACAGAGGTATTTCTGTGACTATAATTGGGGCTATCTGTGAAAAAGGGGTAATTGATTTAACCTTGCGTAAACCGAAGGCTGTTCAGATTTACTCTTGATCCTTGTTCTTGCAAATATGAATAATACTACTCCATGCTTTAAAAAAAATATTCCTAAAGTTCAGTTGCTTCTAAATCTTTAAATAAGTTGCTTTTAATCATAATTGACTTAAAAGAAACTCTACAAATTTGATGGAATGTATTCACTGATGATGTTAAAAACATTACATGCATCTCCGAGTTTCATCTTGTTACGATTGCAGTTATCTTTATAACTAGGTTGATAGAAACAAACCATCATACATTGCATGTTAAAGAGATTATTCAAACAAAACTAGTATAGCATAATATCCATTTTATAGTCATTACCAGTAATAATTAATTATATGTGTATATATATTGTATTATGTAATAATGATTATTATTTAATATATCCCATACTATGTAACTCACATAGAGTCAAGTTTAATAATAAAAAATTAATCAAAGAATGCATATTTCTTTAAGCCTATATTACAAATAGATATTTTGAACCTATTTTACCTGATTAAGTTTTTATATGGCTCCTTACGCTTATCTTTCTATATGATAGGAAATCTGAAGCAATCCTTTGATTGATAAAAAGGACTTCAATTTTAATCAATAAAATGATGAATAATATGAAATATATACATGTTGTATGTATACACACAATTTCACCTTTTTTTATTCTATTATATATATAAGAAAAAGGGTTTGATTTATATTATATAAATGTAAGGCATATATATACATATAAATAAAAATATATACATATACATATAAATAAATATATATACATATACATATAAACAAGTAGAAAAGATGGTATTGTTATGCATTACTATTAGTATCCCATTGAACGTCTTTCGCATGCTGGGCCGCAATATTTTTGAAATAAGCTTGTGCCTGCGCACCATTTTCAAGACTGGCCGTCATCCCTTCAATTGCTAAACCATTTGGAATACTTCTCACTATACCATCAATCGCTAAACTATTAGGCGTACTTCGTACTAATGGACGATCTAATGAGTTATGTGCTGAGCTACCACCAACTGATCTCATTATAGGCGGCATATCGTTTCCGATAATCGATCGTTCTTGTGGTGATGTTGTGTCAATCCATTGATTATCACTCACAATACCATCTTCGACGCCATCTTGTCCTTCAGTTGGAGGTAACTGAGCTTCTTCTGAATAATAACTTTCAAGGTAATTTGTAATCCAGGGATGATTTAATAATTCCTCGGCAGAAGGTCGCTTATTAGGGTCACGAATAAAGCATTTCTTTAAGAAATCAATACCTTGACTAGACAGTTGTGAAGCATCAGGAAGCGGTGGATGACCAGTAACGACATGATACATCACTGACCATTCATTTTCTAATGTACTCCAGGGACGACGTCCAGTAGCCATTTGAACTATACAACATCCAAGAGACCAAATATCCATAGACCCTTTACGTCCTGTATCACTACCCGTAATAACTTCAGGCGCCTATATATAATGATATATTAAAAGAAAGAAAAAAAAGGTTATATTATCTTTTTGTTTTTTTTTACCATATACATAGGAGTGCCCGCTAAACTGCCAACATGCAGATTCATAGTCGTACGTCCCATAGTTTTTTGACCTTGTACCAAAATCTTTGATGCACCAAAATCGGTTAATTTCAATTGGCCCTGATAATCAATCAAAATATCTTAACGGAAGAAAGGATTAAAAAAAAATCAATATTTATATGGATATAGATATAGATGTATACTTTACTATCTGGCTTAATATCACGATGAACCACGTTATTTTCATGGAGATAAGCAAGTCCGCTTAGTAACTGGTATGCATAATCCACAATATAAAGTTCATCTTCTATACGACCACCATGATCTAGAAGAGCACCTAAACTACCATTTTCACAGTATTCCATAAATATGTATACACGATCGCGATGCACTTCCTATTAAAAAAAATGGCATAATTAATATTGAATTTTCTCATACACAAATATCGACAAAAAAAAGGGGGTACCATGCCATAATATTGAACAATATTTCGATGATGAAGCATCTCCATCACCTTCATTTCTTCTTTAATTGACTTGTGTAAAGCTGATAAAGAATTTGAATCTGGGAATCGTATCTCTTTGACCGCCATAACCGTTGATGTATCCAAATTAATAGCTAAATAGACAGAACCAAAAGTACCAGCTCCAATGAATCGACCTTGCTGCCAGCTGAATGAAATATTTGATGAAGAAGGCGCCAAAAAGACCAAAGACTGATCTTCAGGTTTTTGGTCATCCAAGATTTTACCAATTATCTTACGTTCTTGTTCAATCTCTGTACGTTTAGCTTCAATTTCAGATATTTTACGCATCCAGTTATCACGGGTATAAGTAACACCACCACCGCCAGAACTAGCTGCATCGTTGGCTGCTCCAAATGTAGAACTTGTTGTAATATTATCCTTTTCAGTACTTGTTTTGGTAGACAAGTATGAATTGCGTTTAGCAGTCAGTCCACGACGACGTTGTTGATCTTCTTTGAGTTGAAGTTCGTACGTATAACGTGTACCAAGAACATCAAAGTGAGATATCAGGAGCGCCACACATCGTGCAACTTTGCTTTGAAGAGTAGCAAATTCATTTTCTGTTAATGCAAGAATATTGACGCCACGTGTCATGAGATGAACAAATTCAAGGGCTGCTACTGCCCAACGGAATGTCTTTCGATCTGATGGGATACAGTCATCTGTAATGAAACAAATCCAATCAATTGCTAATCGAACAAGCTTAAGATCTAACTGAAGTCGGACAGCTAATTCTAGGAACTTGGATGCTCGCATACCAAAATCACTTGCAAAACTAAAACACTCTTCAACCAGTTCTTGACAACCTAATCCCATTGTTTGATCACGAATAGTACTCACACTTGAGATGGTAGAGTCAGCCAATTTAAAGACAGTCATTTTGATTTTATAGAGTTCTTTGTTAATTCTTGGAATATGAGCACGATGCTCTTGGATAATTTCAATACCCGAGTGTTGTACAGCATTCCAGAAGGAAGCCTTAGCAGAAGCTAATCGTTGCGCATCCCCCGTTGTCAACCTTACACGTCTAGTTTTGATTCCTAAATGAATAAAGGGAGTAGGCACTTCAACAACATCTCCTGTCCACATAATATTTTGCCATGGAGAGAAGATTAAAATATAATCATCATATTCTGAGTCGTGTATGTTGAGATCATTTGGTGAAAGGGGTGTAGAAGGTGGTTGTTGTTTACGTGCAAAACAGGATCGAACCAAAGTTCGAATTACATCCTCTCGACCGTATAAAGATGGCGATGCAATTACATAAATCCTATCTTCTTCAAATGCCCCAGTATATACTAAAAAATGGCCCGTTTCCACTAGACATGTAATAAATTTATCCATATTCTCTGTATCTACTACATATTCTGCTGAATTTTCGAATTGACTTATAAAAAATCTAGTCATATACATATATGTATATATATTTTTTATTAATTAATCAACAAAAGTATGTAGACAAATATAAAGAGCATACCTTGCAAATTGAAGTAGCTTTCTTGCTCTCATACGCATAGTGTGTAATAACTTTGTATATTTTATTTCAATACCTCCATCCACCGATTCTGGCGGGACTTTTAATTTTGATATATAATCATGCATCACATCTGCTAATAAACGATTTGTCAAAGAACTATATGTTTATATCAAAATAAAATATACTAAGTAAACAAGTAAATAAAAAAAAATGACTAGGGAATTTTACCAAAATTGTTCTGCACATTCCCAATCTGCTTTATCAACTGTCTGACAGACTGTATCTTGCAAGAAAGCCCATTCCTTTTCCATCACTTCCTTTTCTCTTAAATTGTTCTCCTTTTCCAGATTTAATTTCCAGGTAATCAGCTTGAAATAAAATCGAACTGATTCCATCAAGACATTATCATAATTATGATCAACAGGTTCGTCTTCGTCTAATTTCCATCCAGGAGCTGAATGTGTCAATTCCTCATATTCACGTTTCACTCGACAAGCTAAAGAAAGTAGCCCTCGATAATCTTCCATCATAGCATCTACCATCTGTTTTGGTGGCTCTTGCATTCGACTTTTGTACTCCAAGCGAAGCTTTAAGGCTTCTTCTACAAGCGAAATAGGAAAATAAGCTAACTGACGTAATTGTGAAATAAAAGAAGGTAGATTCATCTCCTTAAATTGTGCTGAATTATGAATCATAGTTTCCTTAGACTTGACAAGAAGTGAATTAAGAGCTGACAGCGTTCGTTTATCAAAGGTATCTTGAAGTGCTGACTCTTTTAAAAGCCGTTCGACAAAGGAGATGTCGTTATTTTCCTTGTGATTCTTTGTCTCGTCTGTAAGATCATCTGCAGAGGGCTTTTTGCGTGCAATTTCCAAATCCTCTGAACCTGTCCAGTCTCTCAAGATCTTGTATTGCATGCTAAGACTACGTGTGATGGTACACCATGAATTAAGAGCATCTAAACGAGTTTGAAATTCAAGAGAACCATACTGCGGATGAGCTAAAATCATTTCAGCACGTGTTGTATAGAGTGATTCGATTCGATCAACATTCTTTAGCACTTCAGCTACCTTTTGTAAAGCTGAACCACTTTCGTCTTTATTAATTTTAAAGTCCATAACCATCTTTAGGACACCATCGATTTCTTTACGACTGTCATCTAAAGATTTTTGTTCCTGTATTTCGTTGCGACCTCGCAAAATGGCTCTAATGGATAACCAAATCTCTTGTGTAGGCTTTTCTTTTGTAAATTTGTCTGTGCTCGATAAACGTTTTTTTTCGGACTTGATGACTTCGCCTAACAGAACTGACTGAAGCATCTGTTGCCATTCAAGTCGTTCATGACTAATTTCTGGTGCCACCGAAGAAGATGCAAAGGATTGGTTGCGAGAATAGAGTTGATTAAAAGCTGTTTCGTCGTCGTCATCACTATTACTTTGGTCTTCATCGTCACTATAGTCATCTTCCTCTTGATAAGGGTTGTGGGGTATTATAGGAGTAGCAAAATTGGTATTCATGTATGGCCATGGAGTTGTAGTTATAGCTGAATTTAGGTTATTGGTATTATTATTGCTATTATAACCTTGTGCAGTAGAATTAGTAGGAGAAGAAGGTTGTTGTGTGGCTACTTCCTCTTGCTTTAGTGGTTGGTCATCAATTTCTGTATCATGTTGAGTCCAATGTACTCTTCTTACATTAGCCATTCTAATTTTTATTTTATATATTTTTTTTTTAATAATTGATCAATTTAAATTATAAAAAAGAATTAAAAAAAAATGAGAGAGAGAGAGAAAGAGAGAGCAATTTTTATTTGATATAAGTAAAATATAAAATTCCCAGCGAATACAAATAATACGAACAAAAAAAAAAAAGAAAAATTGATGTGAAGGTATGTAAATATAATATGTTAACTTAAAGAATCAAGATTTTTTGTTTTGTTTGTTATAGTTACCCTATAGTTTGGTAAAGAGCAACAAAAAAAGAAATAAAACCCTTTTCTCCTCCTTAATTGGTAATAACTTCCTTTTTTTGTGTATGTGGGGGAGCTTTCCGATAATATGGACTTTAAATTCAGACAACAGCAGCAATAATTAATTGGGGACGATCATTCTTTATTTTTAAAATGGGAGTTAGCATGTACGCTACATACGTTCACTGTCAATTGGATACTTTTTTTTTTCTTTTTGTGAATAGTAGTCACCACCTTTCTTTTTGAACTTCAATTGGTCGAAGCTTATTTGGTTATTACTCTTTATCGAAATTTACTTTACCCACTACTTTATTGTATTTGATTGTAATAATATTAATATAAACGGCTATAAATGTAAGGAACTTGTTTCAACAATTTTCAGATTAATTTACCAAGTACAGGATAAAGTTTCAAAGGTGTTTAAACGAGTACAGATTCACTACTTGGCCTCAACCTTTCATGAAATAAGTTATTTCACATCACTATGTTTATATTGTTTGACACTCTCTTTCACATACATGATAGTTCCCAAAACTGCTCAATAGGGTTGAGTTGAGGTGTATAAGAAGAAATATAAACAGGCAGTTAGTCTCTTTTCCTAACTATGGAATTAACTCTGTTTGGGGAATATAAATGAGTGTATTATTTATAATAATGAAAGCTATTCTTTCATTTCAAGAAAGTCATCAATAATATCCATGATTTTATTAATAGATTGAAGACATAGTGCCCGCCTGTAGTACTCCTAGTAACAGACACCATATCATGAGATACCCTTTTTTTTTGTGTTCTCCCTTTTCTACAAACTTCTTCTTTTTATATGTTCCCAGATTTTCTTTAGCTCAACTTAATCATACCAATTGTAGAAATTACCCCTCCTAATAGAGATGGACATATTTCACTAAATTGAATGTTATATCTAATAGTATAGAGGTATATATTCTATATTATTATTGTTTATATATACTGTTATTATTATTCGTTTTTTATTTCATAGTGTCAATAAGACAGTCAGACAATGTCAGCTGCACTAACAATCAATGCTGCCCCAATTAGCTCTTCATTGAATATGCATGCAAAATAGCCAACACGAAGAGAAAAAGGGCATGAAGGTGGGTTTTTTTTTCAAGTAATGTTAAACAAGTATTAATCTTATAAATTGAACGCAAGACGATGTTTATATACTAGTTGCAGTTAACCAAACTAGACACATACCATAGATGAGCTCGATTCTGTGGCGATTGGTAACACTGATTAACAATAACCTAGAAGGAAAATATTGTTTGGCCAGTATAAATTGGGGAAAATGGCACCCTATTAAAGTCTAATTAATTTATAGTGTATTGGTTATTTCGTGTTATTGAAAACATAAGAGCAATATTCTATTTTTTTTTTAAGAAATAAATACGTATATTTTTTTTTCAAACACTTACCCTATTATTAACATACTTACCTTGATTGAAGACGAAAGCACCATCTATAAACATTTTAAAAATTATCTAGCGAAAACAAAAGTTCCTGATCGGAAATATGAAAATGCAGTAATTCAGTTACTTAGTCTTCGATTTCTTTTGAATTGCAAAAAAAAAAAAAAAAAAAAAAAAAAAAACTATCTTCGACGGAGAATTATTGAAAAAAAGAATATGCTGTATCTTTGCTCAAAGCAAGTTAAAATTCATGTCCTCATAGAGCAGCTAGAAGTCGTGGCTTGTCATTAATAAGGTACCAAGCTGCCTATTTATGTATCTTATCTGCTCTCTTCTGATAAAATCCTCATTTATAATAAAAACATATTAAGTATACCAGTCTCTGTAGAACATCTTCCTGAATTCTCTAAACTGCTGATAGCGATACTGTTGTTAAAGCGAGTAGCCAAGCTCAACTATGTCAAGCTTACTTTAATTTTGGAAGAAAATTACAAACAAGAGATCGAGAACTTGAACTTTGGTAGCGACTGTTACGATTTAACATCAAATAATTTTTTTTATACTTATTGGACGATCTCTAATATAATGTAATCAGAGTTAATTACCCTTTATTTAACCTAGATTAAAAGTACTTGGATAAATATTATGGAAGAAAGGATTTAAGCTTATTTATATATACTTCTTCATAACCTATACATCTAATTATGTTATATGCTTTATTAACAATACTAATGTCTGTGAATGTACACAATATATAATATCTACTACTTTCGCTTAAATTTTTTTTGATCTACTATTAAAGCTAATAAAAACTAATAATTTCCTTTAACATAAAGATGTTGGGAAATCAAAAAGAAACATATTTAATTTAAAATTCTATCATTTTATTCTTACATAATTATTAATGCAATTTTTATTTTTGCTTTTAAGTCTGTTGTTTTAATAGATTTTTATGCTAAAAAAATTAGTTACAAATTAACAAAGAGTTATACTATTAGATCATTATAGCTTATACCAACGTATTACTATACTCTACTTTATTTAAAAGATTTTTTTTGTAGTTTACTAATATCAAAAAGTACTCTAACAATATACTTCATTCTCAAAAGTTTTTTTTTAATAACACTATATAAATTTACTTCAAACGTTTTATTTAAATAAATGGTTATATTCAGATCATTAGTATAAAATGACCAGATGATAATCTCTATATTTGATGTTAGAAATTAAAACTATTTCCAAATAAATAGCTTTATTGTAAGAGTTTAGCCTTAGTTTTTTTTTTAAAATTATAAAAACATACAATAGTTTTATTAGAGTTGACTTTTTTGATACTTGTTAGCCATTAATTGCTTATTTTTTCATAGTGAGACGAAGATTAAATGTAGTCTGTGTTAAATTATTGATTTCTTGTACATTTTTGGTTTTAAGGGAGGGAAAAAATGATAATTTGACAAAAACCTTTAATTAAAAAGCTTAACAGATACGATTAGATCTATCTCTTACATAATATTTTTTTTTAAGTTAGTTAAGATCTTCTCACCTTTGCAAGTCTACTAATTCTCACAGTTACTGAAAAATAACTACGTGAATTTCATTATATTTATTGCGAAAAGATACAAGTATAAATATTTAATTGTGAAGAATACATAAAGAATAGAATTTATTATAGAATATACATTACAAAATATACGATATGACTTGATATGCAGTATACATATGCACATGTATACATGTATAATATATTCTATATAAGCCTTTTTTTTTCTTTTTTTTTTTTAAATGAATAAGCTAATTATGTAGAATTTAATGGTAATGTTGCTGATTATTAGTGTTTGATTGCTTATAATAATTGTCTGTTGTATTAGTAGAATATGGGTCGACATGGTGGTCTTGTTTATTGTTGGAGTTTGGCTGACTATAGTAATCATTGGCTGTATTAGTATAATTTGAGTCTAATTGCTGTTTTTGTTCAAAACCTTGTTGATAAGCATATTGACTCGTATCTGCAGGTTGATAATACAGATCTTGTTGATGATATATGACTTCTGGTTGTCCATCATAATATTGTGGGTCATAATAATTATCTTGTTGATGACGCTGTGATGAATATGTAACATCTTGGTAATGTGGAGATGGAGATTGTTGTTGATCATAGTATTGTACGTTATATGTTTGTTGTTGCAATTTACCATTGTAAGCCATAACGGGTGAAGTAGTATGAGAAGCATCTGTTGTATATTTAGTTGTATCAGCTTGAAATTTTCTATCATCAGAAGGAAGATTCCAATCATTATCATGATCTTGTATTGCTGTAGTCTTAGTTTGATATACATCTGTGTTTCTATTCATTGCCATTCCATCAGGTGAAAACAGCTCATCCATCGTACGACTGGCGCGAGTACTATTACGTCTTCTTGCTCGACGACGTCTACGACGAATCATTAATACAGCAAATGCTCCTAGCAAAATAATGGCAACTACTCCTCCTACAATCCCACCAATAAGGCTCCAGTTGCTCGAGCTACTATTTTTAGCGCTTTTAGTAGATGTTGCAGTAGGAACACTAGTTGAAGAAGATACGCTTGTAAAACTTCCTGTCGTGGAAGGCAATACCTGATTTTTAGACGTACTATAGCTTACTGTATGAGTTGGCTGAACACTTGATTCGGTATTTATGATTACTGATGCTTCAATCTTTGTAGAAGTAGCAGAATCAGTAGTAGCCTTTATAGGAGCTATTGATGTAGCCGTAGTTGCAGCAACGATAGGCGCTTTGCTAGTAACCGCTTGTTCGGCAGTAGTTGTAGCAACAACGGGCGCTTTGGTTGCAATTGCTTGTTTGGTAGTAGTTGTAGCAACAACAGGCACTTTGGTGGTAATTGCTTGTTCGGTAGTAGTAGTTGTTTTTACAGTTAATACTGCATCTTCAGATAATGTAGTTTTTATATCTGTTGCAGCATTTTCGAATGAAGTAGCTTGTGCTTCTATATTGTGAGCTTCTTTAGTTGAAGTAACAGCAGATTCTTCTGGCATTTTATACTGCTTCTTCAGGAAAAAAAAGAAAAGAAATGCAATAATATAATAATAATTTTTCTTTAAATAAAATATCCTTTTTTACTCCTTTGGTATTACATTAAGGAGAAGTGGATCAAACTTAAGGTTACGCAAACAATCTTTATTAATTCTTTTTTCTTTCCTAAAATAGAATGCGGGCACATTTTTTTTAACAGGTCAGGACCTGAATACACTTTTCTCACTTTTAAAGAAACTAGAAACAAATGAATATTTGAAATCAAAAGAACCTAGCAAAAGGTCCAAAAAAGCTGCTCATCTTTATTTATAATTTTAAACAGTAAATACTTATAGATGAAAGTTTAGTATGTCTAAAGTAAAAAAAAAAAAAAGGAACTAGAAGAATATATTTAGTTAAGACTAAGTAGTCTTCGTTATTGTTAATAAGGCACTTCACATTTTTGGCTGATTCACAAATCATAAAAAGCTGCATAAATAAATTAGATTTACATGATTAGATACTATATACCCAAATTCTATTAACTAACTCTGATTACATAACTTTGATAATCGTCATATTATCACAAAGGCTTTATATAATATAAGAATTGTGATAGTTATCCCAAGCAATTAGATCGTCCTTAATACAGATAGTTATCCCTTTGTATATATATTATATCATTCAATCATGACATTTGCTAGTTGATAATTGACCCTCGTAAGAGATCGAAGTATATTTAATCTTGCAAACATTGATAATCATTACATCAAAGTTAAAGCATGCACAGTTATCTCTAACGTAACTAACACTTTGAATAATAGAATTCAATTTACTACTGTAGAGGTGATTGAGAGTAGTATTGTGATAAATACTTATTCTAGGTGATATCCTGTCATTATCGAAATATAAGTATCATTTTACTTTCCTATTAGCGTTTGAGTACTATTTGCAGTCTAAGTCTTACTAACATAGATCGGTAGAATGCTTTTCATCAAAGATAAGTGTTGTAGTGCAGGTCTTTTAAACTTAATATTATTCTTAGCAATAAATATAATTGGTTTTATATCAATTTACTGTCAGGTTAGTTTTAATTAAAACCTTGTTATACCCAAAATATTGAGCAGTTGGACATATGAGAGTATTGGGCTTCTCTATAAAACAGCACTTGTTAAAAAAGAGAAGAAAAAAAAATAGGGGAAAAAACGTAAATAACCATGTTCAATAAATGATTTCAAGTACACGATATATGCATCATTAGTTAATATATAAAGAAAGTATTATAAGAAAAGAAAAATAAGCTTTCAACTGATATAGACAATCATTTATAGTATTAGATAGCACACTATAGTTTATTTTCAGACCTAATAAGATCCTATCATTCTTTAGGCTGTTTTATTAACATCAATGTGTTCTATTTTAATAAATAAATAAAAATATGAAGTTTAAAGTCAATTACAATAATATACGTTATGCTGTATCTGCCAAGCTGATCAACTTGATTCAAAAACATATATATAGTATACCTCAGTTAAATTAGGAGGGAAATTTAAAGGATCAGGACTGCCTTTTGAAAGTATACTGTCATGTATAGTTTGGCTATCTTCAAATAGGATATTAAAATAGATTCACATATTGTACTTTTATCCAATTCTTAATATTATGCATCTTTTTATGGATAAGATAAGAAGCATGATTTCATTACATGACTTTTATCGTTTACAAACTACAAAAAATATCGCAAACCTATTATCTTTTCCTCTCTCTCTCTCTCTCTGCAGATATTTGATTACAGTCTTTAATATAAGTATATATAGGCTATTGTTACAGATATGGGATATTTTACTCTGTCAAATTTAAATGTTATTGCTAATGAACTAATAAAACATATAGTTTATATGCAGTATTAGAACATGCCAGTCCCTTATATTTCCTCTGTTCCTCTTTGTTAGTTCACTACAACATTCTTAAATTCAGCAGTTGCAAAGGTTGTCACCAGTTGACTTTCTCTTGCCTACTATCGTTTTGGGTTCTATTAAGCTTTTACCTTCACATGGTAAATCCTATTAATTAATTTCTTTTCAAAGAGCAGTTGAGAACTAAAAATATCTATTATACTTATATATTATGTAATCAATAAAAAAAAGGGGGGAGGTACTATCTATTTATAATACTAACTTTTAATGACTGATGTTTGTATTTCCACTGCAGTATTTATTAATATGTTATTTGAGAGGGACTATTTTTCTACATGAATATGTTGGCTAAGTAATGGCTTGTTGCTCATTTTATTTTGTAACTCATAAATGTTATGTATAATCTTTAGTAGAACTGTGTACTTTACTACAACTTTCATCAGAAGGCAAAAATTACCTACTATCAAATTTAGGGAATAATTTCAAGTATCATTTCCAACTGTCACATTATTTTTTTTTTTTTTTTTTATTTATTTATTTTATTTTTTATTTATTTTCTTTATTTTATTTGTTGAACGTTCTTTGATAACATAAATAATGGCAGTGTGTAGATATTTCTTACAGGGTAATTGCCTAAAGGGTAATTCATGTAATTATCAACACATAAATCCACAAAGTAATCGACTTGGCAGTTCGACAGGAATGATTGCAACTGCAAAATACAAGTAAAATTTTACTTGACTCAAAAATTTAAACATATAAATTAACGACTTGCATCATTAGTGAAACTTCTTTAAAAACAAATTTAACAGACGATCGTCCACAATGGAAACTAAGTGTATTTGGTCCAGCAAAAGAAGAGCCTAACCTAATTGTAGGTACTGATAGAAGCCCTGAAGAAGATCGACTTTTATATTATACAAGCATGCGTACAACTGGAAATGCCAATCAATTTGCAAGTATTTTTTTTTTAAAAAAAAAAAAAAAGATAAAGAACCATTTTATAATTTTTTTTTTTGCTATTCTTAGATTACAAATCATGATCAAATTGCAGCTCAAGTAGAAACTCAAGTGAATGCCATTATAAATAATCCTTCGGGTGCCATTCAGCATTATGAAAAAGAAAAATCAAAACAAGCAAGTCCATTTGGTGGTTCAGCAGCTAATGCTCCATTTGTACCGTTTACAAATACAGGAGGAGCATTTGGAGCAGCTTCAAACACATTTGGACAGGCTTCTGCATTTGGGGCTGCTAAACCATCTGCTTTTGGTAATACATCTGCTTTTGGATCAACAACAAATGCTTTCGGTAGTGGAAGTGTATTTGGACAAACCTCAGCCTTTGGTGTGAATAAACCTTCAGCCTTTGGTAGTGCTCCTGCATTTGGGTCAACAAGTGCTTTAGGTAGTAGTTCAACACCTGCATTTGGCTCTACAAGTGCTTTAGGTAATAACACTACATCAGCATTTGGATCAACAAGCGCTTTAGGAAGCGGTACACCAGCATTTGGATCTACTAGTGCTTTAGGTCAAGGCGGAGGCTTTGGAACAAAGCCTACAGCATTTGGGCAAACACCTACTGCCTTTGGTGCTGCTGCATCAGCAACTCCTCCAGCCTTTGGCTCTACTACTGCCTTTGGACAAACTTCTTCTTTAGCTAATAATAATACAGGATTTGGACAAGCTGCCACTATTACTAACACTATGAATTCAACAACAACAACATCAACAACATCAACAGCTAAACAATCTGATATAGAAGCATTTTCAGCTCCACAATTCAAATATCGTTATATACCAGAAGTAGAACCTCCAATTGAGCTTCGATAATAAAATTAATTACGTTTATTTATATATATATATATAATATTACATAGTAATTCAAGATTACTCTCCTTGCTGTCTCTAATGTCTATTATAACGTTTTTTCTGTTTCAAGTTCGTTTTGAATAAGAGGCAATAACTTTTCTACTTCTATTTAAATAGTAGAATAGAGGAAATATTATTATCTACTACATTACATTCTTATGTATTTGAATAATAAGACTTACTTTGAATAAGATGTTTGCCATAGGTATACTTCTTTAAGGATTGAAGATGAGGCTTGATTTCATTTACGAGTAATTCACGTTGGTCATTGTCTACGATATCTAACATTTTTTGAATAACGTAATTGGCATACTGATCCTTAATCATTAACACCAACGGTAATGAACTATATATTATTTTCAGAATATGTAACTTGTGAATATACGATTTATTTCTCTCTCTCTCTCTCTTTTTTTTTTTTTTTTTTTTTTTTTTTTCTAATTTACCCATCAGGTCGAAGTTGAAGAACTTCTTCAATCAATAATTGACGGTCACTTTTTGTTCCAAAATCAACACATTTCTCGACTACATTACTAGCAAATTTATGTTTACTCAACTGAAGCACTTTACCACGCACTTTTTCAATCACCATCGATTTATCAGTAGGTCTTCCACGCTCTAATATATGCTGAATGACATAATTACCATATTGATCCTGGATAAGTTGCTCTGCACATGAATATAATTCATTTAATATAAATGTCTACATGTATATGTGTATATATTAGCCATCATTCTTCTTTCCTTTTGTATCTTGTACTTACAGTCTGTTCCTCAGTACAATGTTCAAAAATTCGCTGAATTACACGACATCCATATGGATGTGTTGCTAAATGATACACTTGTCCACTAAATGCATCGATAATAAACTGAATATGTTGAGCAGGTACTCTTTCAATCGCTTTTTGAATCACGTGGTTACCGTTCTGATCCTTGATACACTTGAGGACACATCCATCTAATTCTTTAACCAGCGTCGCTTGCTGTTCTGTTAAGACATGCTCAAGCGCCTTTTGAACTACACGACAGCCGTACATTTGTAACGAAAGTGATATCACATGTCCCTCCATTTGCTTAGCCAATATTGTCTTTTGCATTTGATTACCATGTTCAAAAAATTTCTGAAGGACATAGTTACCAAAGACATCTGTCATAAGTTGTAGAGCATTAGGCAAGATTTCTTCAAATACCATGCGTTTCTCATCACTAGAAGCTGTTTCCAGTTTTTGTTGAATGAAGCGGGAACCGTATTGATCGCCACTAAATTCGACAATATGACTCTTAAGATCTTTCAGTTCATATTTTTTAGTTGATTTAGAGGCACGGAATTCTTCAAGAAGCGGGCTGTGCATATTAAGGGTGAGGTCTTGATGATGATGGTGATGATGATGATTGGTAATATGATGATTAGATCTAGATACTCCTCTAGAGTAAGCCTTTTGTTGTTGTTGTTGCTGTAGTAGTACTTGTTGTTGCTGTTGCTGTTGTAATAGTAACTGATGTTGTTGTTGTTGTTGTTGTTGTAATGCATGTAATTTTTTATCTGCTGCTATGTTTTCTGAACCAGGATGACCTAATGCAGCAGCAGCAGCAGCAGCAGCAGCTATATTATATGTAAACTTTACTAATTAAATTTTATTCATTATTCATTATATGAATAACTTCTTATACCTTGTTGATATGCTGCTATATCCCCTTGACTCCAATTATTACCATAAATGGTATCAAGTTCAGATGGATTATTATTATATCCCATAAGCAAGGATGAGCTACTTTGAGGATTTGACATGATCATATCATTGCCTAAATTTAATCTACTGAATTGCTGGTTTAGTAACATATTTTGTTGATTATATATCATGTTTCTTCCAGGAGGAGTTGAATTGGAACGAGCCAATAGAGGTGGTATTGCTGTAGTATTATTATTTAACACTGGATGACGCGAAACAGAGGAAGCGGTTCGATCATTATTAGAAGGTAAGTGATGTGATTTAGCCATATTTTCATAATAATCGAGCGCGTTAAGTTGATCTTTATATTGCTTTTGAATTATGTCAAGATCTCCAGTAGATAACATGGAATCATCAAACGAAAAACTAGGAGGAACATTACGTTGTCTAGCTTGTTGAGGGAGCACAACCAAAGGTGAAGTTGTACGACGAGGAAAGTAATCCTTTTTTTTTTGTAAGCATTTAATATATCGTACAATAAATAGAATTATCATTTACCTGACGTATGAAGTCTTCTACAAAATTCTTTTGATTTTTATTAGGATCTGCAAAAGAAATATAAGCCAATAAGCATCATCAAATTTATTTGTAGCCGTTACCTTCTATAGGTTGCCACATTTGCCAATTTACATCATAATTATAATTTAGTTGCTCAAGATCCACATTAGTGTCTACATTATAAGTACGTCTAGACATTTGTTGTCGTTGCTGTAATTGCTGTTGTTGAGTGGGTGGTGCACTATTTGAACGATGATTTTCAGGAAATAATGATAAACTTGATTCTCCTTGATTAGGAATAAACAAGTTATCATAATCTATTTTACCATGTAAAAGAGCAGCAAGCTATAATATTGTAAGTTATACGACTATTTATTAAATAATAATGTCTACCTGTCCTTGAGGTAAATTGGTTGCTCTAGGCTGATGTAAATCAGGCCTTTGAGGCAACATTACGATAAATATTTACAAATAAGATTAACAAAAAAAAAAAAGTAAAAAAATAAAAAATAAAAAAATAAGAGATTGAGGAAAAGAAGAAAAAAAAAGTATATTTTTAATTTAATTTTTCTGATAATACAAATTATTTAACATAAAAAGTAATAGTCATTTTAAACTGATATACATAACACATTTATTATCTATAATTGTATGTAGTCAAAATAGATGCTCAACTCTGACTGACAACATATTACTCTTTTTTATTGTTCCAAAAAAAAAATAAAAAAAAATATAAAATAAAATAAAAAAAAAAAGGAATTTTATAAAGTGGAACTGCTACTACTGCTGTTTGTTCTCTTTTGTAAAGCTTGTAACATTTGATCTCTTCTTTGTTCTGCACTGAGTGAATTTAACTCATCGACAGACATATCATCAAATGATTTATTTTTTTTCTCATCATTATCATCTTCTTCTTCTTGTTGTTGTTGTTGTTGTTGCTTCTTTTTTTGTTCCTGTTCTAATAATTTTCTGTAATACAAGTTAACAATGAATTTCACGTCATTTATTTATCAAATTCGTTTTACTTACTTTCTTGCTTGAAGAATCATGAACTCTTTACGTTTTCTTAATATTTCCTGTCTTTTATCTGGACTACTCTCCCATACTTTAGGTGGCTCCTTACTCATATCATTATTAATATCAATTTTATATCTTTGTACTAAATTAGGATGACTAGGTGACTTTCTTCGTACATTGTTTCCAGTAGCTGTATTAGTAGTAGTAGTAGTAGTAGGTGAATTGGTATTAGTACTAGCTGAACCTTGTTGATTGTTTGTCATGGAAGCTGGCTATTTATTCATGTTAGCAATATTTAATAACGATACTGTATATACATCTTACCAAAGGAAGTCCTCCATCACGAAGTGCATTATCAACGGTAGTTTCGACAGATCCTGTTCTTTGTAGATCCGCCTGAATGGCAGCTGTAGGAATATCCGGGAACATGGCACGAACCATCTCAATCTAATTAAAAAATAAAAAAGTTGTTAATAAAAACTCCAAGTATTCGAACATGTGTATTACCATTTGAGGAGTGACACGATGTTGCACTCTTCTAGGCATATTAGTTGTTGTGCGTCTTCGTCCATGTTGAGATTGGTTACTATTACCTTGGTTGCCGCCTTTATTATTATTATTATTATTATTATTATTATTAATCTTTATCTTATTACTTCTATTCTAAAGAAAAGAAAAAAAAAGAAATCCTTCCCCTTACCAAGTAGCCAGCGTAAAGCTATTAGGATAAAGAATACCGCAACCAAGATAGATATACTATCGTTCATTATATTATAATAATAATAAAAAAGGAAAAAAAAAGGTATGCTACTTGTCTCTTTTAGACTTCGAAATTTAAAGAAGTCACATGATTTGTCGATTGTACATAAAATTAGTTTCACTTTTATTAAGTTTGCTAGGTTATTTACAAAAATAAATTTAAAACCTAATAGGTACGAAGCAATAGTTATATAGAAAACAGTTTAAGACAGATCAGTCAAGATACGAGTATTTATAATAATAAAAAAACAAAAGTAGTTATAAGAATACGAAAAAAGGTATTTAGGTAACTATAGGTTGGCCAAGGCGATAGAGGGAAAGGGAGAGAGAGAGAGAGAGAGAGAGAGAGAGGAAGGGAAGAACAGTTTACCCTGCTGAAGGTCAACAAATAGTTAATAATATAATACATAGATAAACATGAAGGAAATCGGGTATTCGTGTTAGAAGCTTGACAATGAAACAAGGAAGTTTTTTTTTTAATAATATTTTAGCACTATTTAAACTGGAAATACCATCGACAAATTTAGTCTATACTATACTATTCATTAAAGACCTTCATTACAAGGTACCTCTTATTGCTCTTACTTTATATAAGATAGAGGAGCTCAGTTTCATTTTTTATGACAGTAAAAAATAACAAATTTTTCTATCCCTTTTGCTATTAAATAATAACCTGTCTTAAAAAGGATAAAAGCTCCCAAACTCCTATTTGATCCAAATCTGCTACTAAATAAATCTTACGAAATACATTAAGTTCTCTTTATAATTGTCCCTAGAGTGAAAGAAAAAGCAACTGGTGATATTGAGCCTAGAAAGATCCTTGGTATATCCTTAACAATAAAAGAAGGAAAAAAGAAAAAGAAAAGAAAGTTATAAGTGATTTAACAATTGCTGATTGTTTAACTAGACAATTTTTTTAAAGAAAAAAAAAACCGAATAGAACCTATTTCTTTACTCTAATATTAAATTAAAGCGTGTATATATATTTCCAAATTTCATTATTTTAGATACACTATGTAGAGTTACTATTTAAAAGTAATTTTAAGGGTTCAAATCAAAACTTGATTCCTAATACATAATATTACAGTAAATATAATATATATCAGTCATCTATCACGATTAATTAAATACATACATACGAACATGTCTTGATGAAGTTATATACATGAACTGGTTTGATAGTTATGTTTCTTGTACATCTTAATCCAGAAGCACATGCACAACTTAGTGATAATGACTCTTCATATCATGTAAAGAAAGCTACACATATTTATTAGCATCTATGTCTTGTTTTAAGGACAAGATCACACGAATATACAATGAAATTGTCTATAGATAGATCGAATAAAAAAAAATTTTTTTTTGAGAATAATAGTGTAGGTATATAACCTCGAAACTCTGTTTCCGTATTATAGCAACATTTAAATAATAAAATTGAACGTGTCTTTGATAGTTTTGCAAACTAACTTGTAATCAAGTTTTTTACGATCCGAGGAATTAAAGTATCTCCATCATCAAACGCCGTCTTCTAACACTGTATTTTACTCTAATTGGATTTAGAAAAGGTGAATATGAGAGAAGATGGATACATTTACTGCCTATATTTATTCACAAACTCCCTCATTACTATACATTTTTAAATAAGAGGATCTGCTCATAACAATATAGTTGCCTTTTAATTCATTCACGTCAAGAAGAACTTTTACCATGGGCAAAGTAATGAAAGAAAAAAAAATCGATACTTGTGCCTATTTCTGCTATTGGTATTACACACTTATTCGCTTTTTTTTCTTTTCCGGTTATAAGAGTAGATTTCCTCAAAGAAATAGTTATAATACCTTCATTAAGAATAACTTCAAGGTTATTAGAACTTTTTTGTTTTTATTGGGTCCCTACTTTTGACTAACTTCTTACACAATCAATAAAAATATTAAAATTAGCTTTGTCAATAAAAGCACAGGTCCTCTTGAATGTCCTTTTTTCTTTCAAGATTTTTGCTTAATTCTTAATAACCTTCAAGTTTTGAGCACAATGCAGTTTCACATAGTGGTAGAACTTCATTTCGCTAATAAAAACGTCTGAATGATTATTATTTTTTTTTCTTTTAATAGCTCTTCTATTATATCATACAAAGTGACTAGGGTAACATTATTAATAACGAGTGCAATAAATATCGTTTGTTTTTGACTATTGAAAAAGTTCTCTATCAATACAATTCTTTTTCATTATGCTTACTATTTCTTTTCCTTTATAGTCTGTCATAACAATTATGGACTCAAATAAATGTTGCAAATCAGGTCAAAAAAACGTAAATTTAGTTTCAATGGCCATGATATTTCAGCATTAATAAGTCAGCCACCAATGATTTATGGACATTATAAATGCTTCATTCCAAAAATAGTGGCAGTATGTGACCGTTTTTCTATATTTTTTTTTTCCTACAGATTGTGGAAAAAAAAAAAAGCATTGGCTTTACCTAATACTTCAGCACAAGGATATTATTTGTAGTGCTAACTTCCTTTTTTTTTTTTTTTTTTTTTTTTTTCCATCATCTAATTCTACTACTATTGTATACTATCTAAGTTCTATTTGTAATAAAAATAAAAGTAGTTAGTTTTTTAATCTTCATTTCAACTTCGTTCTTAAATTTCATTTGAATTACAGTCACAAGATGAATCAAGAAGAAGAACAACAACAGCAGCAGCAGCAGCAGCAAACCAATTCAAATGTTATTATGGACAATAGTATAGAAATTCAAGAACCTGCAAAGAAAAAATGAAGGTAGCCAACTCAACAGAGGTTGATACAAGTCATAGTCCTGAGGCAACTGTAAATGCTAAGAATATACTTGAAACTACAACATCTCCTTCTTCTTCCATTGGAACACCTGATGTAGCTAAAACCTTTAGTGTAGAACACATTTCTTCCCCTATTATTCAAGAGGCAATTACCATCAACTCTGAGGCAACTAACTCCAATGCTACTACTGTTACCAGAACTTCTATAGCAACCCCAACTGCTATTGACGCTAACTCCATTTCGTCTACGATTGCGTCTCTTTCTCCCACTCCTCCAACATCTAACACTGGTACTGAACAAAAGGAAACTTCAAAGAAAGATGAACAAACTGAGCAACATAATTTAGATGCCATCCATCAATTACAACAATTAAGTGCTGCACATACACAATTAGCTCAGGCTACTGTTGCTGCCTTGACAAGTGGTGGCAATTTTCCATTTTTAGCCAACTTTGAAAATTCAATCGCTGCTATGGCTGCTGCCGCCTCATCTTCAAATGATACTAGCAAGAACAATGCACTTCATCAACTTAATTCAACCCCTAATAGTCAGTCACCTCAACTTACACAGCATTCTCAAGCTGTACCACCTCCACCTCTTCAACCTCAAATTCAACAAGCTCCATCACAGCAACCTCAACAAGTGACTGATTTAAACCAGTTACAACAGTCAGAGCTTCTAAAACGTGAATTAATGAATCAAAAGGTATATACATATATAAAAAAGTAGAAGATTCAAAAAAAAAAATGAAGGGTATGCATAAACATGTAAATATTATTAGGTTAGAGCTGATAACAGAGAACGTAAAAAGCGTTGGAGGCAACAAAATGAGGAAAGAAGTAAGTATATTTTTTATTTAGAGAGAGCAATGAGTTTTGTCTATAACTTTTATATATATATATATATAGACAAAGATAATGACCTTCGTTGTCGTGTAAACAAAAGAGCACATAAATTATTTGGGAAAGAGGATAGTGAACATAAACAAAAATGGATTAAAGAAGAATTTTTGAAGCGTCAGCAAAAACGAAAAGATAAGGAGCGTAGAAAGGGTTTAGTAGATGATTCTTTAGGTGGTGGACATAACAATGGAAACCAGAGTAATAATAATCAACAGGCACAGGCGGCAGCAGCAGCAGCAGCAGCAGCAGCGGCTGCTGCAGTAGCAGCATTAAATAGTTCAAATCAAGGATTATTAGATCTTGCAGCATTAATGCAACATTTACAACCCCATATTCCAATTCCAAATTTAGCAGATGCTAATTATTTAACATTATTATGTAATAATCTTGGTATTCCTGCTGCTGCTCGTTCTTTAGTAAGCAATGTTGCCGCGGCAGCTACCCATAGTACAACCCCGGTAGAATCAACACCCAATACACCTTCAAATACAATGAATACTTCAACCTCACAACCAGAACAAAAAACAGTAGAGAATAGTCATGTTGATAGTGAAAACATACCAACAAGTACTGCTACTATGACTACTACATCATCTAATATTGAAGAAGAAAATAAAGAAGAACTTAAAGATAAAGGAGGTTTACATCCATTTCCATTCCAATTACTTGAAATATTACAACAATTACATCAATACCAGCCTCAGCAAGCCTCTTCAGATGCCACACCACAAGCAGAAACTTCATCTACACCTACACCTACGACAACAACAACAACAACAACAGCAACAGCAATAGCAACAACAGAAACAGAAACAACAACAACAACAACGACAACCAATACTAATACTAATACTAATACTACTAATGAATTTCAATTAGCTGAGCAACAACAGCAACAACAAACATTCCAAAATAATTTAGTTTTAGGAGATAGACCTGAAGAAAAATTAGCTGCTTTGTTAGCTACGACATTACAAGCAGCTACTGCAGCTGCAGCTGCAGCTGCTAATAACACAGTAAAAGAAGATCATGTTGTTTTACCCGAGATTAAACATGAAACTACTACAGAGAATAATACCACCGTAACAGAACACGATATTCAGCAACAGACACATGAATTTCTGCAAGCCAATAACAATAATACTGAATTTCCTATGGATGCTGTATTAACATTAATGCAATTGAATGCTGGTTGGAGACAGTGATATATATATATATCTTTATGTAATACTCACGCATGTTTTTTCCTGACACCAAAATAGAAACAGGGTTTTTTATTATTATTATTATTAAATAAATAAATGCATGTATATTTGTTATGTTAATGATAAAAAAAAAAAAAAGATAGTAAGTTTATTGTGATAAATCAACTGGAATACATATATAGGATAGAATGAATGACATATAATTTTGCTTCTTGTTTATTTTCTTATTACAAGAAGGACGTCTATTAAATATGATAAAGTATATATCTATACATTTATATGTAGCTTATTTTGAAACATTTTTTATTATATATAAAAATATATATATATTTTTTTTTATTTAGTTTCTTTTTTTTTTTTTTTTTTAAATATACATTTTATAGATGAGTATTCTACAACTTAATTACGATATACTTTTATGTATTGTAGAATATCTAAGTTCAAAAGAGTTTTCTCTACTGTCACAGTGCAATAAATACCTTTATCAATTGCAATTAATTGCAGATTCATCGGTTTGGAAAAAATATTGCCATCAAGACTTCTTTATTGATTATAATCATCCAGAACAAACGTACCGTCAACTCTATTTTCGATGTAAAAATGTCGTGAGGGGCCATCACCAACGTTTACCTTGTCATCATCTTTCTGACTTACCAAGGCCAAATACATTCGATTGTGCTACAAGAAGAACGTTTGTGGAACTTGTTCAATGTCAACATTGTTTTGTAGTAGGTATTGAGAACTTGTTTATCTGTTTATCGCCTCACTGCTATCAATTAGGTGAGTTGGACCAAAATATGTAAAGTCTTTTTTTTTTTCTTTAATTTTTTCTTTGTTATATTGTGAAAAAAAAAAAAAGTATGTGATCGTCATGCAAGACATCATACACGTTTAGCTCATAAAAACAAGCATCATCATGCATTATTTTATAAGCCAAATATGTCAGAATTATTTTGTCAACTATGTGTTGATTGGGTAAGTTTATTCATATCATTTGTATTTATATGAATATAGATATACATACATACATACAGACAGACATACCCTTTTTCTTTTTCAGTGTTACGTAAATAAATATCAATTCATTCGTTTTATAGATTGGAGGTCGTGAAGCAGATTTAGCTGAACAGTATCAAGCTCAATTGATAACGACTCTATATGCAAATCAACTCCATCATAATACAGGATCTACTACTTTATCATCACTTTTTGATGATTTACTAGCACTTAAAACAATTCGACAATACGAAAGACAGTTACGTTGGAAGGATACTCCACAACGTATCATGAATAACCCAGCGGGTTTTTGTTTCATTTCCTCGAGCTGGATGGCTGAATGGGAAATGTTTGTTGAAGGTTGGAAAACGAAACCTCCCATTCACGTACAAATCGATCAAACGTCCCTCTTAACTTCAATTGCTAGTCAGTTAAACACAAAGGGGGTTAATCTTTTTCATTTTAATTCTTTTGCAAATGTTATGATCATTTCCAATGATACTTGGGATTACTTATCAAAACATTATACTGTGAAAGGAAAGCAAATCACTGAAGGTGAAGTAAACAATTGAAAGAAAAGAGACATTATTATTTATTTTATTTTATTTTTTCGGTCTAACTGACTTTATATATATATATATATATGTATGTATTTATATGTTATTAATAGCTGATTTAAAACCTAAAAGATTATATCAAGGACTTATAAAACGTATTCACTTTTGGAAAAAAAGAGCTTTAAATATAAATGAACATAATAGCACCAAGAGTTTAATTAGCAGTTATGAAGAGCCCGATGAAGATGGGATTCATTCAAACCATCATTAATGCATTGACCTAGTTCTCTTTTTGTTTTCGACATATCTGTTACGAACAACAACAGGTTCACTCTCAATATTCATTGCCTTTAACCTCAAGACAGCTATAAATATGTATATCATGATTATCATTAGTATGAGGTGTTTATAAGAATCCAAAAAAAAAAAAAAAAAAAATGAAAAAATAAAAAAAAGATAGTACCTCGATCAAGAGCCAATTCAATCATACATCTTGTCCGAATAAAAGCCATTAACGGCCAAACTGATCTTTCACCATGTAGAATCCTGTTTACATAAATATGAATCCTTTTTTTTTTGTTTCTATTTTAAATGCTATATGCTTACCAATAAGCCAACGATTGATAAGAAGGATTCGAAAATAAGATATTAAAATCCTATAACAAATATCATTTGTGTTATTTAATGAAAAGTGAATAGAATAGGTACATATATAACTTACAGATAATGCAAGGTCAGGTAAAATATTTACGTTGCCAGATGTTTTTTCTTCTATTAAACAACGAAAGACTCGAGGCAAAAGATGAAGTTGATCAAACTATATACACGTATTGTAAATGAATGATAAGTTTGTTTATATATTTCTTATTTTTTTTTTAACCTGAGAAAGTCGATGCTTGAATTCCGAGGCAACAATATAGGCCAATTTATGAAAATAAGTTTCATGTTGTAAACTTTGTGGTTTTGAAATAAAAGGAATTGCATAAATACTAGCTTGAGATACAATAAAATGGCTCACATTAAAGAGTTCAGAAAGACGATAGAGAGGTGCTTCACTTTCTGCAGGTGAAGTCTCTGACCAATGATTCCATTTAACATCTATCAAACAATATACATATGGATACAAAATGATACATACATACAAACATACATATATTACCTGAAGGAATCCATTTAACAACTTTGCCGTTTTTATCTTTTGCCATTAGGTCACAGTTTCCAAATAATCCAACTGAGGCTGTAGAACAACAAGCTGCACTCCAAATCAATACATTAGGAGCTGTTAAATAATTTAACAATTGAGGTACTTCCTGCGTACGACTCGATGATACACTAATATTAAGAACTCGCTTAGATCTAGCAAAAGCTTCCTAATCAAGAGAAGAAGAAAAAAAAAACTAAGTTTATACATACTATATTCATTTATTTATTTACCTCGAATGTCAATTCACCGACATTGGACCTTACACATTCTTGCAACACTTTCATATCCATCAAATATCCTTTTTTTTTTTTTGCAAGTTAATATATGCATTTTTAATCGTTAATTATGCAATATTGTATCTTTTACCGTATTTCATAAATCGTGTTATTCGTCTCTTGAAATGTCTATTTTATTTTTTTTATTTTTTTAAAAAAAGGGTAAGAAATCAAATCATTTCTATTAAAGGCAATTCCAATTTTTACCCAGTTTGTCCCTTTTTTGAAAATGCAGTAAGATTTATGCCATCAGGTTGTAATATATGCTTTTTTTTTAAAAATAAATAAATAAATAAATATCATTAAGCGTATTATATAGTTTCACTTTAATATACATACTGGCAGTTCCTCATCTGTATGTATACATATTAAAGCAGCAATCATGGCACCAATAGCAGTGCCACTGATAATACGAGGTAAAAGATTCTGCTCATTTAAAGCTTTTACCACACCAATATGATACAATGCCAAAGCTGTACCGCCCTGAAGGACTAAAGCAGAACATCCAAAACTTTGACGAGCATCACTAAAGAACTTCATTTTGGCTTGTGCATCAAAATTAGGGGTTGCTTCAATAGTTTCAATATGTTGAACGACTTCATCCATATATTCTTCAATTAATCGCTTTGTTCTACAATATAAAAAGAGAGAGAGAGAGGAGAGTATAAAGAAGAAATTAAAAAAAGCTTATTCATTTGTTTTCCCCTTACCCTAAATATGAATGAGAAAATAACTTTCTATCAGAAATACCACCAAAATTTCTTAATAAGCCAGTCCTTAATAAAAAGGTCATATTATCAATGTCATTTGCTTTACGTGCATCTCTTAATAGCTTTAATCTTGCAGCAATCAATTTATAGTCATACACCTTTGAAGCTGGATCATCTACCCATTTATCATTTTCTAAATTAAATTTATAGATATAACAAAATCGTATTAGTTACGTTTATAATAATGATAAATTTATCTACACTTGCTTAAATATCTAATAGACAATGAAAAAGAAAAAAAGGTCAGTTTTTGTTTTGTTTTGTCTGTGACTCTATATTTATTTCTCTACTCTTACTTGTCCAAATTTCTTGCTCTTGTTTGCCATTCTTCAAATGTTTCAGCATTTTTTAAAAGATGCAACAATCGATTTTCTGGTTTATTATCTTTATATTTATTCCATTTTATCTGTAACAAAAAAAAAAAAAGGTATATTAATTTTTCTTTTTTTTTATGCGAACATAGAGCTTTTATCTAGAATCGTTACCATCCATGGTCTAATTAAATAATGATAAAAAACAAGCGTTGAACTATACATAAAATACAAGATAGGTGCAACAATATATTTTAAAGGATCTCGTAATGACTTGCTGATATTATTTACTAAACTATTCATTTGTATTGAAAAAAAGAAGAAGAAAATTGAAAGAAGAAGAAGAAGAAGAAGAAAAGAGAGAAAAGAAAAGATAAGTAAAGATGAAATAACACTATTTTCACATGTTAAAAAAAATGTGATTATGGCAAGATAAACTCTAGTGCGGGGTAAAAAAAAAAATCAAATCAATTTCGGTAGGTAAATAAAAATCTCAGCTCACTTTTGATCATCATTATCTTTGTAGTTTTGATTACCTCTTTTAATATGACCGAAAAAAAAAACAAAAACTACTATTTCCTTTTTCTTTTCTTCAGTTTATAGGCAAAGCAGAAAAATCAAAGACATCAAAAATCAAAAGTGACTATAATTATGTTTGAATGTTCCCTTTTTATCATAAAATTAGCACTAACAAAATTCTGAATTGGATACAAAAGTAGATAAAAATATCATTCATAAAAAAATATATATATATATACATATATATCACTACCGGCTGGTGTTATGACTGAAGGAATACATCTACATTCATCTTGAGGTAACAAAAATTACCTTAGAAAAAAAAAAAGAGTCCAAAGGAATATCTGTTCTAGAAATAAAGAAGAACTATCTGGAAGTAAGGAGCAAGAGGGAAAAGCAATTATAAAATACATAGTGTGAAAAATCAATTTGAGCAACACATGAATGTTTTCATCTTGGATTGTTAACATTAAAATTCTAGTGCTGTTATTGTCAGTTTGGTCAAACATAACCGTGATACTTCCTGTGTTACGCTATTATTCATGATTTTCATTCTGATATGGTTCTATCAGACAAAAAATTATAAATTACTAAACTGTTACATACTGGATATCGAAACAGGGCACCCATGTTCCTGAATTTACTTGGTTTATTTATTTTTTTTTAAAAAAAAAAATAGTACCGAAGAAATCTACTTTGGACAACTCTGTATCTTTGTATATAGGAGGAGAATATAGATAAACAGTTAGACATATTCATATTGATGCAGAAGAGCAAGAAGTCTATATTGAATTAATGAGAAAATAAGAATGCACATAATTTTTAAGCAAAGAAAAAGCCCTTGATGCTGTCTTCAACGTATAATAATGAATGCGTTTATATTTACTTTACTAGGTTTGTCCTTTATCATACTTGGGGAGAAGATGCTTGTTTTATCAACTTTATGCATTAATTCCCTTTATAACAAGTTGTAACCAGTTGATCATCACTCGATACTATTAAACAATAGTCTTGAATGCAATCAAAATCTACCTCTTTTATAAGCAATATCAGCAAAGCCTTTTATATTAAACACTGCTTTTCGAGGTTTTCTGTTTAAAATACAAAATTAGCTTATGAATTTATAAGTAAATTTTGTTATTAGTTGTATAAATAAATAGAAATAGTTTATAGTTTTCTTTAGACTCTAATATACAGAAAGTCATGAAAATAAAAAGATTTTTGCTAGCAAGTTATAACAACAATAAAAAAAGATATATTCTATTTTTTATTGAGATAATTTGGAAAATGCTTTTTGAATGACGGATCCAATCTTGACAGTCCTTTACCTGAAACTTTTCTGACTATTTTTCTTTTTTCAATTCTACTATTAATCATTATTTTATTCTTTACAAGAAAGATATTACATACTTTTAATTTAAGTTTTAACTAGTATTCTTCAATAGGACTCGAAAAAAAAAGTGGAGAGGGGAGGGGAGGAGTATGGTTGTAAAATAAAGCGGTGTAATAAAAATTATCATCATTTACCTGTAATGTGCAGGTATTTACTTTGTTTGGACTGCAACAGCATTTAATTGAAAAAAAAAAGTTTTCAATGAAAAGGGATTCCAGATATATAGTCAGTATTTGTTACAACTGTATCCTCAAATGGTGAATATTAGAAGAAGATTGTCCATTATTCATTTATATTAGATGCTTATAAATGAGGTCAGATTCAACTTATATATCAAAGAAATTATACTTGCTCTATTCATTGAATAACCGGCAAAGGTAGTCATACAAATTCAATAAGGCCATTACAGATATTATTATTTATGAGAAGAGTAACACAGTGAAAAAACCACGTTCAGATACCAAAAAGAAGTGGTTTCTAAAAAAGAGGAAGGTTTGAAAATGAATATAAATGATAGTATCAAGAGGACTCGGACAAAATGCTACTTGGAGTTTATCAGCAATACAATGAGATATCATTATTGATGAGTAGGGTATGCATGGCTATTATTTTATTAAGACGATATTCCTAATTCCTAGATGAGACTTTGACATGAGGTTGGTTAAACATTAGGAATAGGAATGCTTCTATTTACTTCCCTAATTTTTTTAATTCTTTAATTTTCAATAGGATATTTCTAGTTGAAGGTGAAGTATAATATGCACTATGAAAAGCTTACTTGAAAGATTTGAAATTTTACCAAGAAGACTACCATTTCCAATTATAAACAACGGGTCCATTATCCCATATCCTATTATTATTTAATTGCTGCCTTTGTAGATACAAGTACGTTTGCATTTTTATTTATTTATTTATTTATTACGCCTACTGTATAATCAAAAGTAATATTTTCATGAGAAATAGCTTTGTTTCTTATATATTATTTGTACGTTGATAAACTAACAATTAAAAGTAGAAAAAAGTAATAATGATAAAAAGAAAAAAAAAGCAAAGCTGGTAAAATAATAACATAGTATAAGGATGAATCCAATAATAAACTGTCATGAATCTATCTTTGTATACGTTTGTATATTTAATTAAAATAATACAATAATGATTATACTTGAAATACAAATAGGCTTTTTGTGAAAGTTTTTCAAATGATTAAAATAGAGATAGGAGAATTCTCCACTAATTACCTCTATCACTTCTTCTTTCTTCTCAAGAGGCGTTTTCATTTCTAAGCATTTATATTTAGTTCTATTAAAAGGACAAGCAATGAAATCTTATTGTAGTAGATAAACATACACAAAGAAGTATAATTGATATAAGACAGGTAATTTCATTTTCCTAAATGTGTGACAAATATAATCATTTTGCATCATTAAACTATGAAGCATAGATTCTTTTAGGAAGTCATTTTATTTGTTTTCATCATTTTATTATAATGAATAACTTTATTTCACAGATTTAAACCTAAAAAAAAAAAAAAAAAAAAAAAAAAAAAAAAAAAAGACAATTATTATTCGATCTTACATCACAAATTAACCCCAAAAGTTAAAATAGTATATTAAATTGAAGGAGAAAAAATAAATAAATATGTATATTACGTATTTATATATATTTTTTTTATTATAATTATTAATATTATTAGGACTATAAGGTAGAAACATGTATTATAATCATGTCTTCATCATATCTTTATTCACTTGTCTAATGTATAATACAATCTATACATACACGTGTCTTCTTTTTATATACGACTTACTCGACTAATTGAAATAAAATTCAATCATTATATTGAACATTTGGACCCTTAAAAATCTAAAAAAAAAAAAGATGTTTCCTTTACGTATTTTAAGGTACCCATATTTCGGAATTCTTTTATGAAATGTTTTTACTTCTATCATGTTCTATTGTACCTTGTAATCTATTTTATATAAAAGAGCGGGGAGGGAGCCAAATCCTCTCTCTCTCTCTCTTTTTATTTTTATTTTTATTTTTTTTAATTTTCAATCTTTGATTGTTTTATTAAACTACACGATATATAAAATGACGCGTCAATGCTTTGTATTATGTAAGTTAAGTTTAAAGGTTATATAGTGTTGAAGATGTTGACTTGTACAAAAATAAAAAGTAGGAAGTTATGATCGTAAAATATATCTGGAAAACGCTACACATCCATGTCCACGTTGTAAAAAGTTAGATACAGTTCAATTAACACGTTTTGAAAATGAATTAATTATATGTAACAAGAGAATTGGATTACCAAATAACATGAGTGTTCGATATGCTTGTAAATCGTGTAATTGGAAAAATGACAGTTTACCAGATAATAATGAAACTTCTTTACCCATTTATGATAAACTTCCTACTTTCATGGACTCTAATTTCAATCGAATAAATCCATTTTCTATTCCAACAAAAGTACCTCAGTAAATCAATTATCACAATACTCTTCTATTATTTATTTATTTATACATATGCCTCAAATCATTATTATTATTATATTCATTCTTATAGGACTTATTACACTTTATTTGTACATATTCTCTCCTTTATCCTTATAATTCATTTATTATCTATAAAGACTTTTCTATCTAGTACTTGTTAAAATAAACAATTTTATAACTTCATTTAGTAAACAATAATAATAATAATAAAAGACTCCATCTTATTAGTCTGGACCAGTCTCTTATCTTTATTATTTTCTCATTCTACGTTTAAATCTTGCGACTGCTTGTTCATCAGTTGCTTTCAAATTTTGATCTAGTCGTGGCCTAAACTTATTTACAGACTGCTTTTCGAAATTAGCAGGTATATTATCTAATGTCAAGAAATTAGAATAAGAGTACAACAAATCGTCTTTCTCTCTGTCTGTCTCTCTGTCTCTCTCTCTGCCTCTCTCTGTCTGTCTCTCTCTCTGCCTCTCTCTCTGCCTCTCTCTCTCTCTCTTCCCCTCTCTCTTTCTCTTTTCAATTGCTTACCTTGATACAATTTATTTTCTGTCTCGTTTTCTCGTTGACTCTCCTCAATCAATCTTCGCTTTGCTTTTTCAGTTTCTTCAATATTCTTTAAACGTGTACTAGAAATTAGTAGTGTGTTAATATCTCACAAATCAAAAATATCTTTTTCTTTCTTTACTCAATGCCAAGATCAACTTCAGGAATAGCTGTAAGCATTTGTGTTGATAGTTGAACGTTGCCTTCTTCTTCTTTCTTTTCAGTTTTTAATCTGTCAGGGATATGGTATAACTCTTCATAAATATCAACAAATCCTTTATCTCCATCTTCATCACCGTCTTCATCTTCATCATTAACTCCCTTTCCACCTCTTCTTTTCCTCATTTCATTTTCAATGTATTCCATCCTAAATCATGTATTGTAAGTTTATTGAAATGCATTTTTTTTTAATTCTTTTTCTTTCTTTTTTACATGTGCTTATCAACATCTAAAGTATTTGTGGCTGAAGCAAAGGCATCTAGTTTTAATTTTTTGGTTGCACTCGATCCTTCTTCATCTAACTTGGCTCTATATGCATCTGAATCTACTAAACCTCCAGTTTTTAAATTCCAACCATTTGCAGTCTCTGTCTTTCTTTTCTTCTTTTTCTGTTCTGCTCCTTTTAATAGTTTTTCTGCATCGATACCAGTATGTTTACGACGCATTTTTCGCAATTCTGCCAGTTCTTCAAGTGTTTCGCTATTAAATTTTTCTTTTATTAGATTATTTTATTTCTAAATACTAATGTATGTATATTTTACCTAATTTCTTGTATAGGCTCAGTCAGATTTTCTGCTTCATCATCAGAATCAATATTTTTCTTTCTATAATTCTTTGTTTTCTTTATAATAGCCATTTTATTTCAAATAATAGATATGTATATATGTATGTATAGAATGAGATCTGTTAAAGAAAAGCATAGTATAATGATTTGCATGTCAGTTTTTTTTTTTTTTTTTTTTTTTTTTTTTTTTTTTTTCCAGCAACTTTGTTTGAATAGTAAATACACCAATTAAAATTATCTATCCTTCAATGTGTTTTTAAAGTCAAGTTTTTGAATAATAAAAACATCTAATTAATTTAATTATAAATGATTGTTGCTAATAGATAGTAATCACCTCATATTGTCTTTTAATAATAAGGTTGTAAGTATATATATATATATATGCCATCAAGATGCGAACTACTTTACTCTATCAAAACCACTGTGTTTTTTTATTGCTTTAGAAAAAGAATTATTTACACCATTCGCTAAACAGAGCATATATTGAAGCTTATAGTTATTAGTTTGGGTAACAATCCAACTAAAATTTGTATGCTTGTAAAATCTTTTTTTTTTTTTGACTCTGGGCACGATAAGCTTATCATATACTATATTCATAAAATAAGTACTATTTAAAAAAAAAGTATTCTAAACATCAAAGAAATATTTAGTAATTTGTATCCGAGAAACGCGCGTAAACAAACTTGATATTGTTATGGTAGTAATGCAAAATAAAATGACGTCGTTAAGTTAAGCCTTCATATTCTTCATATTATTTTCTCTATAACAAAGCTTTTTATTTACTTTTTTCGAAAAAAAAAAAAAAAAAAAGTTCAGGAATAAAGAAAAGTCTTAATAGGGCAGGAACAACGGTAGCTTTGTTTTCTTTTGAGTTAAATTCAGTGGACCGTATTTATATTAAATCTAAAGTTATTTAGATTAAACAAAGAACTGGAGGAACGGATAAAACATTTGATGATGAGTTTGAAGAAAAGCTCGAAAGACTTAGATTGTAAACTAATATCTAAGCATGCAAAAGAATACAGTGATGCTACAAGAGATAACATTCATTGTTACACAGTATGATATTATTAATGTAAATCACTTAAATGGTGATAATCCCGGCTATCAATGAATATAAAAGAGCCATTGAAGCGTTAGAGAGAGAATCTAAAGAAAATTTAGTAAATATGTACATGTATGCATTTTTGGTAGTATATGTATTTGAATAAGAATTCAATGAACCATATACATAGAGAATAGATTACAAGTATAAACAATGACTTGGAGAAATTAAACTAGACTAGTATTGACTTGAAAGCTAAAGATAATATAAGCTAATAAATCAAATTTAATTTGATAGTTAGTAAAGAGTTATTTTAAACTTTAAGCTGATAGCTGCTGCTTTAATTTTAATCCTTTTTCAAACTATTGTTACTTTTCAACATGTACTAAAACTCTGTCTATTAAAGAAATACAACCCCACACACATTCCTCAATTTGTCTGATATGCAAAGGGTAATTTTAAAAGTAGTTTTTATATTATACCCATTGGATTTTAATAGTTATTATAAATGAAGAAAAAAAACTGTATAGATATATCCTTAAATTTGTATATATTTATATATACTTTTTCGTTTAAAAGTACATAAAAATATGCCAATTAAGAAAATCAGTTCATTATTATTCGACAAGTCTATTCATCAATAAGATTTTATACTTTATTAATGCTGGTTTTCACGATTTGACGCAGTAACAACTGTAATTGTAAAAAACAAAGGGAGAGAGAGAGAGAGAGTATAAACATTTATACTACACGTTTATTCTTGCGTGTATTTATAAGCTAAGTTAACCTCTATGATATTTTTATAACTGTTAGGGACAAAATATTATATCTATTTTAAATATACATTTATCAACAATTATAACCACATCGTCACAAGGTCTACTTGTCATCATAAGAAAGGCAAATTTTATTTTATTTTATTTCGTTTAATATGTATTTTTTTTTCTTTTCTTTCTTTTTCTTTTTTTTTTTTTTAGATAGCATGCATTTCTTCCTTTTCTTTTTTATTTAATAAATAATGTATGAAACTGAAGGTTCATCTATTGCAAGCAGTGGTTCTTCATATGGAGAGCAAAATTATATGGAACCTTTTATCAATCGGTGCTCAATATGTTTTGATTCACAGCTTGATTTATGTTTAGAATATTGCAGAGATCAATACTGTATAGAATGCTTTCAAAAGTAAAGACAAAAAAATAAAATAAATAAATGGATTGCTAACTTGTGTTAAAAAGATATGTAATTGAAGTTGTAAAGTCATCATGGGGCTTAAGTGTAACTCCTATCAGATGTCCTGTTTGTAATGCACTAATACCTAAACATGAATGGAGTCGATATGTACCTCGAAAAATTATAGAAATGTATGATAAATTCAATAAACCCTATCGCAGTTATACTAGAGCATGTCCACATTGTGAAACTGACATAACACCATGCATGTATAATCATAATACAACATTGATACAGCAACCTAGGTAAATATATAGATATACATATAAATATATACATATAAATATAAATATACATATACATATATACACATATACACATATACACACACACATATATATATATATATGTATTTATATACTTCAAATTTTTGTGATATATCATTACTTATCAAACGATCTTTTTAGTCGTTTATTCTGCGATTTAATGGAAACAATGCTAAATAATTGCCCTAAAGCTGAAAAACATAAAAATCAGCCAGAGCATATATCAATTAAAAGGTGGATACCTATTTATAAAAGACAGGATTGTTCAGATAATAAACTACTTGTACTTTATAAACACATCATGAAAGATGTATTGGAATTTGAAAAGAATCATAATAGTCATAGTAATCAAAACTATGCTTACAACATATCCCTTCAGTTTGTTAATTTCTGCGTAAAACCTGAAATTTGGAAACAGATACAATTTGCTCATATTAAGTTCTTTCCAGATATGATTTGGTAAAGGATACAACTTTCTTTTTATAATTACTTGTTTGTTTGGTTTTTTTTTAAAAAGAAAAGAAAAAAAAATTCGATTTATTATATAGCTCTCATTGTAAAGTACGTATTTGTCTACATTGTGGATATGATTCACATATTGGATTCAGCTGTGAAGAAAATATGAAAAAGATGTTATCAAATAAACATATGCCAAAAGATATCAAAGAAACAGTTCAATGGGAATTAAACAATAGGTATAAAAAATTTATATATGTTTGAATCTATCAATTCTTATTTAAATATACATGTATATTTTTTAGTCGACGATGTCCAAATTGTTCAATTATGATAAATAGGGACGAAGGGTGTAATAAAGTTGATTGTTCATATTGTGGATTTTGCTTTTGTTGGACATGTCGTTTATCTTGGGCAGAGGTTTGTAGATATATATATTTATTTATAGTGCCGTGTCTACATATGCTTATTTCACATTGTCATATTTATTTATTTAGGGATGTGGATTTTATAGATGCTTAAATGGAAAAGAAGAAGAAGAAGATAATGATGATATACTATCTTTTAAATATGAAGCATTTAAAGAAGAAAAAGTAAAAAAAAAAAAAAAAAAAAAAAAAAAAAAGAAAAAAAAAATAGTTATATTATATATGAATTTATTATACTCATACTTTCTATAATAACAGACTGAAATAGGTGTCCCAAATATAAAAAATATCGAGGCAAGACTTATCAATAATAATAGCCAATATGATCGTATGGATATGGATTAATTTGTTACTGCTTATAAATATTTGCTCATATATAAAAAAAAAAAATAAACAATTTATTTATTGCTCTTTTATGCAGTCTGTCTTGAAAAGAAAAAGAAAAAAAGTAAATACGCTTCTTAATGAACTCCTTCGTTTAACTACAATTATTGCTTTATAGCACAATGTTTATTATGTCAATGTCAGTCATAAAATAAAATAAATCACAACTATAGTAGTCCTGATAATGGTAAAAGTCGCTTAAGATAGTCTTACAGAGAACAAAAAAAAACCCAATATTTATTTATTTTATTTTTCTGATTACATCGCTATTTTCTAGGTCCTGCAAATAATCAATTTGATAGCAAATATTTGTCCGAGCACTTCGTTTTAACGATTGAAACTTTACAATATTGTGCTGACCTTACTTGGAGAAGACCAATATACCTAATATTATTTATCTTTAACTAAAAGAGAAAAAAAGCAGGAGTGAGTGATATCTTGTGTTTTGTACTGAAATATCTCAATAAACGACAAAATTATCGGGAAAACAAATGCACTAATTTATTACTTTAAAATTCACTTTTTTTTTTTTTTTTTTTTTTTTTTTTTTTTTTTTTTTTTTTTTTTTTTTTTTAGACAAACTGGGTCTTCTACAATTTTGCCACTTCTTTTTTCTTCTCTTTCCCTCCCCCCCTTTTTTTTTGTCGCATATTATCCTTCTGTTGTCATTCCTTTGCAGGCTGTCTTTTTTTCTTTTTAATATATACAAATAATTCTTTTTCATATGGTATCCATAAATAAAGCAACTATAATCGCAAAAGAAATTGACACTGCTCGCTGTAAAGGAAATTGGCAAGCAATTCCTGAATTAGCAAGACGTTATAAAAAGCATAACCCAAATGACAATGGTACATCTATATAGTGCATAAAAGAAAAAGAAAGAAGTTTAACTCTAATCTTATGAATATAGTACTCGAGCAATCCATTTTAGCTGAAGCTAATTTAAACAACATCATTCAAACCAGTCGTGGTGAATCTAAAGGAGAATTTGCTCAGGACTCGCCTAATTCTATTAGTTTAGCAACACGTGTTGACTCTAAATTATTGAAACCAGTTCAGCAACAACTCGCTGCTGCCATAAGTGATAAAAACTCAAGCTCAGAAGTCCAATTATATAAGCAGGTATAGTTGTATTCGAACACTGTATATATATAAATGTATATACGTATGTATTATTTAACATTCTTCTTTATTAGATGGCCAAAGTCATTCTTGCTCGATCTTATTTTGAAAGCGGCGACTATCAAAGAGCAATCGAAATAATCTATGAAACAGCATTTAAAAAGTCAGAAATAGCTGCAGGATATAGTTTTGTAATATATTTGCAATTTTTATCGATTAAGGGTAAGCATAATGAAAATATATATAGAAAAAAAAAAAGGAACAAGTTGATATGTATTCATATATCTTTTAAAAGGCATGACTTTGGATTTACTCGAAAAAAAAAAGGATGCAATTGAAGCTTATGAGCAATTGGCTTCTGTGGTAAATGAATCTTCAAGTTTAACTGATCGTGTGGCCGTTGATTGGGTAGAAGAAGGCCTTTACAGGGGAATTCTTCTTGCATTAAGCGATAGGTAAAATTTTTATTAGAAAGTATGGCATATATGAGTTAACCAGTATCATTGCATTAGTTATGAAACAATGAATACAGCTCAGACAATGAATTTGATTAGAATCTATCAAAAGACTTGCTTATCACAACCAAATACATGGCGTACTTATAAACGTATCGTCATTGTCAAGTATTCTCTTAAATATATTTCCACTTTGTATCGTCAAGGTCAATATCAACCTCCTATTGAATTTACAGAAACAGAGGAAGGGAAACAAACAAAAGGGTAAAAATTAGTAAAAAAAAAAAAAAAAAATCGATAAGATTTATCGTCAGGTATATTAAATACCTTCTATAGAGACGAATTTGATGATGCAAAGAGAATATTTGATCATCAGTCATTTAGTATTGAAATTATGCAGCTTCATACTACATATGAAAAACTTGTTTATGCAATTGCTTATTTTCCACGATCAGGACAGCTCAATTCACTTGTATTAGATTTTGTAAATAGATTAGCTGAGGATTTAGAAATTGTAGGAAGTTCAGAAAGTGAAATAAGAGGATTTATAGAAGTATTGAATCGAGCAGCACTTAGAACATTCAATTCACCTTGTATCATGCGTCATTTATTTCATAGTTTATATCAATTAGGTGATTATGAAGAGGCACAACATGCCCTTCATACTTATCTTTATCTGGTTGGATTGGAATCGAAAGCTTTAATAGATATGAAATCTACAACAAATGCAGTAGCTTCAGATGCCTTTGGGTACTTGACACCTGTCCCTATTACGGATGAAAAAGAAGAATTGGCATTAGAAAAGGGTGCAAAAAAATTAGATGGACCTGAACGTAGTCAGGAAAAAGAATCAATCCAAGATCAAATTAACGTACTCTTAGCAGCTGTCAAAATGTATTCTCAAGAATTATTAAAAGGCCCTGATGCAGTCCATATGGCCGAATTGGCAGAGCATGTCTATTCTGCGGCAAATCATGAAGAAGATACGGAATTTATCCAATTAGGTGCTCAAATCTATTTAGCTTTAGGTGTAGCATTTGGATTTTTAGCAAATCAAAGTAATGTATCTACAAAAATTAGTTCCCTTCTTTTTTTTTTCTTAACAATTTGTTTTCGTTATTATAGCTGTGGAATCTGACTATCGTCCTAAATTCCATGAGAAGGCACTAAAATCATTAAAAAAATCATTAGCTATGGATGACCAAAATTGGAAAACTTATTATCAGACTGCCCTTCAGCTTGCAGAAATGCGAGATATATTCCAAGCTATACAAATGATCACTCGTTCACTTAATCTTAACGCAAAACATGTACCTTCATGGCACCTATTAGCATTACTATGTTCTTGTCCAGTGAAAGGTGATTTAAAACAATCACTTAAAATTATCGAAGTTGCTTTAGCAGAAGCCTCTCCTGCATCAGTTTATAAGGAGGGTTGGGTTGATTATACCGATGAGGTTGCATACTATCTTACGCTACATATGACACAAATCTTGCTTATTGATCATATTAATGGCCCTGAAGCAGCTATATCAGCACAGGAAGCTCTTTTTCAAATCTTTGGTAAGATTGTTGTACCCGAGTTAATTCCAGAATCAACAAGTTCCAGTATGTTACATGAAGCAATTTCAAATGGAAATAATCGATATGGTATGGTATTATCAGGATCTTTGGGTAATATGAGTATGAATGAAATAAACAGTAATGGTAATGGAACTGCTTCAAACCATCCTGATGTAAAGAATGGACGAGATCGTAGTGCAAGTAACGCAAGTAACACAAGCAACAATTCAGCCGTAAAAATAAGGCAGTATCAAATTGGCAGCCGTGCACGATCATTTTCTTCTTTCACGGGTCGTAAACTCCATTTGGCAGAGATGTTTAGTTCAAATCGTTTGGATAGATCAGATATTAATAGTATTAGTTCACTTCCAAATTTAAGTCATACAAAAAACCACGCAAGTAAATTAGGCTTATTAGATCCCAAGAATTTGATACGTAAACATAAAAAAGAACCAGTTGCTGAAGAAAGAAATACATTAGGTAAAATAAAAAAAAAATTATTTTATGACAAGCTTTTGCTAAACTTTAATTTGATGCAGGTATTACAGGCGGGATAGAAAAAAATGGTTCCTTAACTTCTATTCTTAGTACAGCTCCTTCTATAATGAGTAATCATACATTATTGCAGTCTACAATTGTCCTTACTCGACCTACACTTCATGCAAGACTACAGCACCAACGTTCCTGTAAGATGTTATGCGATCTATGGCTACTTTCGGCGGAAACTTATTTAAGATTAGGTAAATTAGACGAAGCCCTGAAAGCTGTTACAGAGGCAGAAAATATAGACTGGACAACACATTCAGGTGTTTGGTGTCTATTGGGACGTATTTACTTGGCTAAAAATATGTCTGATAAAGCTATCAAAGCCTTCCAAAAGGGTCTAGTTACTAAGCCTAACGATATTGATTGTCGTATTTGGTTAGCAAAGACTTATATAGAAATGGGACATCTTGAAGTAGCAGAAAGTCTTTTACAAGCTGTAACTCAAGGAAATGGCTGGGATTGTCCTACAGCATGGTAAAATTTAATAGGAAGAAGAAAAAAATAAAAGAGGGCATAGAAATATTTACTAATTTTATTTTATTTTATTTTTTTTATTTTATAGGTTTTATCTTAGTGAAATTTATAAGCAAACAGATAGATTAAGTAAGACAAAAGATTGTCTGTTTTACGCTCTAGAATTAGAAAATACGTCTCCTATTAGACCTTTTTCAATTTTACCTCGATTTATTTAGAACTTCTGCATCCTTCTTTCTTGTAACTTTACGTATATACATGTGTATATTAAAAAAAAAAATAACATAATAATAGTCATACATGTACAATCCAGTCATATTTTATAATACCATTTATTTTATTTTTCAAAGTAAAAAATGATTTTTTTTTCTTTGTAGTTTATAACTTAGACTCTTCCCCTTCCTGTTGTAGTTTAGTTTGTTTTTATACTCCAATACATAATTGAAATGTACTAATTTATGAAACATATGAACTTTTTTTTTTTAATAAATATAATGGGTTTGTTCGTGCAAATATATACAAATGTAAATAATAATTAGAATAGATAGAGAGAACAATATTATTGACACTTCTATGCTTCAAACCAGAGTGGGCACACACGATATGTTCCACTGCTGCCATCAATAAAATAGTATAAGTTTTGTAGTATGGGTTTTATGGCGTTGCAAGAGGAGTGCTTCGTTTTCAGTCTTTTTGCAGTTAGCCCAGAACACACGACAAACATATATAAGACACTGGAAGTTATTCAAACTTAAGAACGTAGACAAGTCAACTACGGAACGAGGAACCTTGACTCTCTCTACTTCCAACATAGTATATATATGATTTAAATTCTAATGACATCAAATAAAAGGTAACAGAAAATCCATTAACTTGTACACCAAAGGAACTATCAAGTTTGTAAAAGTCCAAGGTATCTTTTGCCAGAATTAAAATACGTAACAAATCCAGAGCTAAATCATGGACATTTCTGCCGCATCTCTTCACTTCACCATGGCCAAGATTATGGTCAAAGCTCATTTGCTTGGTACGAGTGATAGTTGCATCTAGTCGATAATCTGTTTCATCATCCGTCTTATTTGTCCATCTCAGGAGTGTTTCCCTTTCAGGATCAGAAATAATTGCTGAAAGAATCGGATCAACATAGGTATTGTAAAGTTCTGATTCTGATAAACTTGACAAGTCTTTAATGTCATGAGAAGGGATTTTCTGCAGCCTGTCAAAAAAAAAAAAAAATACGTGAGTAAATAAGGATGTCTAGGCATATTTCGGTTATATACAAATTGTTTACAGCCTTGATCACTCTTGCAATATGGTATTCCTGTTCTTTAGCTAATATCGTTAGTTGGATGGAAGCATTATCACGGCTCAGTTTCTTCTTATCCACCTTGTTAATAATTCTTGTGACCTTCATAAGAACTTCTTCTTCCTTCTCCTCTTGTGTTACGACGTTCTTGTCAAGCTTGCTCTTTAAAGCAACATAAAGTGAATCTAGCTCGGATATGGGAAATATGCTCAAAAGTTGGCGGCTGTGTTGCTGTAGCTTCAACAACAAGCTATTTGTGAGAGCTAGTATTTCATGGAGATGTGTTTCAATTTTTAGAAGACTTTTAGAGGATAATTTATGTGCTCCTTGTTTGTACTTGGTGAAAGAGCTGTAAACGTTTTGGCGTTGATTGGTTTCAAATTGGGCGAATGTTCAAGTTCTCATTAACAACAAGAGCATCAGTATCGGGAATCACCAGCCCAAGAACAGCGCAAGCCCCAAAATTACCTTCATCACTATCATTGTTGTCAGTTTTGGGAATATCAGAGACAAGAGAGCTAGTTTGATTTAGATTTTCATTCATAGGGATTGACTCCGCAGTTGCTACAATATTGAACTGATCTATAACAGCATTTCCTATTGTAAACCGATCCTTCTTGCATTTACGTTCGTTCCAGAACATGTTGCATTCTTCCAACTTTTTCCAAGTGTTATATTCTTGTAAAAGATGAGGACAGTCTTGAAGATGAGTTGTAATGATAGTTCTATACCTAGAAGTTGTGTAATGTCTGTCTATGAAACCAAAGTGCTCTGCAAAAGTTCGCGCTGACACAGTCTCTTCGTTATCAATACACCATTGAACATCATTGCTTATTCTTCTTTTTGTTCTCATGTCGGAATAAATGCTAAAAAAGATAAAAATAAAATAAAAAAATAAAAATAAAAACGGTTGAAAGAAAAAAAGTTTCCTCACAAATATATAAGGCTCATAAGGCACAGCAATTAACACTAATTGCATAATGAAGAGGGTGAGCAAAAAGGAGAGAGAGAGAAAAAAAGTGATATATACAGGCCAATCAAAGGGGCTAAGAACTATACATCTACAATTAAGCATCGTATCTCGCGGTGAATATGGCTATGTTTAATGGAGATAGTAGCTATCTTTTGGTATACTTTTGTGTCAATCGTTAGATTATCTGTCACTATATACATGTCTCTGTGCATTAGTGATAAGAGTATTTTTTTTTTGCATACATTGGTGGATGGAATAAGTTCTATAATAAGAAGGTGAGACATGCTATTAAAGCATTACTTATTCCAAAACCGTTTTTTTTTTTTGGAATAAGTTACAGTGCTAAATTGAGTGATGTCAAAGCGAACTTTGGTGGTAGCAAAAGTGAAAAATGGACTTTATAAAAAGCAAAATTAGTTCATTGGAAAACGAAATTTGGGGTGGGGGGCGCTATATTACCATTTATACTAAATTAACATATGTGGTACAACTAAATATTATTGACTGATCAAACCAATATATACATTAATCATAGTTGTTCCTTTGATTAATACAATAAACTCATCTTAATTTATTATATACGCTAATATGTCTTATTTCAAGTTAAGCTTGTTTGTATTAACAACCATTTATATTTGATTTGATAGCTGAGTTGTAATTATGGTTAGTGGGACCTGAGATTCAGTTTTATAACTGTATAAGCACTATATTTATATGTAAATATTTGATTTTTATTTTGTATATAATGTACTGATATTATTAGATTACTATGCTTATTTTATTATATCATGTGCAAATACAATAAAGCACGTTACATGAAACGTTTTATAATTATTTACTCATTATAATAAGGATAAGATTAATATATTCTAGATGCTCCTTAATAACCACTTTCCGCGATAAGGAGATAATATCCTTTGAAATGCTTATAACTGTCCAACATATTCAAAGCAATAACAACAAAATTATGACCCACCGTCTTCTTTGCCTTTGATTCTTCTGTAACTTTTCTTTCTTTTGTGGCTTTCTTCATAGATCATTCTAATCTTGATTTTCATTCTGCTTCACGAAGAGAATGTTCCAAAAATAGTTGACGTTTTCGTTCCTATTTTAGACTAAAATACAACAGATCTAGCTCTCCCTATGAATCAAGCCGTGGCGCAACTTAAATTTGTATAAAAAGCAGACTCATTGATGAAACCATAATTACTTTAGTAAACTGTATCTATTGTCGTAAGATTAATTACCCAGTCAAGGCGTTTTGTGATACTAGATGCAATTCTGTCATTGAGTTTCAAAGTGCAAATTCTTTATCGATACGATACACTCTTTGGTCTTAAAGTTATATATAGCGGTCTTGGCAATATTTTCAAGTCTATAAACTGCGTTGTACAAAGACTCTCTACTGCTTTACTTACTGTAACTCTGCAACCATCACCATACTACTTTTTTTTATGAGAACACTCTTTATATTTCTTGTCTAGAACCTTTTCGCAACCGACTTTCTTTTTCTCTTTTTTGTTGAACAAGATATTTATTAGCTTGGTTATTTATTATCGCCTCTTAATTCTTTTTTAAACTAATTATAGGCAATATATTTTGGAGTATTCATTTCTTTGCTGCCTAAAGAATTTTATATTGATTCTGGTAGACTAGTTGAAAGAAGTAGTTCTTCTTTGCATATTACTATGTCTCGGATAATCCCGTTTATTGGGACTTTTGACTATAGCAGTTTTTTTTGTCCTCTTTTAGTATTTTTTTTTTTCAAATCCAAGTCCAAATACACGTCAAAGTCAGTAATGTTACCAAGTGAGGATTGCTCGTTGTCGACATCCATATCAACTGGTTCATTGCCGTTTTCCTCAAAAGGCTTTATTAAGTACATCTTATTGAATAAACTTAGGGTTTATTTTTCGTTATAAGGATATGTATGATGCTCTGCAATCTTATTTTTTATGTGTGTTTGTGTAGTTTATTATTTCCGGAAATAGTGTATATATCCAGTAATATTTTATTTTATTTTTCTGGATTTGGTATAATTTCTTATTTTTGTCCGTAATGAGAATAATGAATATAATAAACTCAAATAATGCATACAAATATAAAAATGATCGGAAACATATGCTTATCATTGAAAATATAGTCTTCCTTTATATATGATCTTATAATCTGTATAGTGATGTCCATAAATTGAAAAAAAAGGTCTCTTTTGTATAGTGACGATAATACTCTATAAATCCTTGAAGAGAATTAACATTGTGTTACATTTAGGCATGTGTTGTAATTTGCCATATTTATTGGTATAAAAATATAAAGTTCCTATTATGTACAAAATAATTTTATGATTTAGACTATAATATCCAAATGTAGTTCTTCTTCTTCTAATAATAATAATAGATTTATTTTTAAATTCTTTCTATTTAAGAAATTATATATTGTTTATTTCTATTTTTTTTTTTTTTTTTTTTTTTTTTTTTTTTTTTTGCTTTTATACACAAGTTCATTAATTGCATGTTGTACAAATGTAACGTTGATAGTTAAAACAAATACTTTAATTTGAATCTCCATTTCAAGAAGGCAGTAAGTTCAAATGAATTAGGCATATCCAATTATATTGTTTCTGGTTAAATTCTTTTTGCTTTCTTCCTTTCTATTGTTTTCTTTCTTTTCTTTCTTTCTTTATTAATCTCTCCTTTCCTTTAAAGATTATGTCACCAACTTTGCCAACGACAGAAGAAGTTTTAACATCTATATCAACATTCCCTTTATCGACTGTTTCTTCTCCAGCTTCAAGTAATACAACAACATCATATTTTCATTTAGCACTGCGTCAAGCTAATGCTTCTTTTAGTAGTAATGAGCCTTCAACATGCACTACACCTCAAAGAAGTCCAGTAGCATTATCATCATATAATAGTAAAAAATGGCGCTGGTGGCATCTCATGGCTCTATTGGTTACAATTTTAGCCATAATAGAGGTTGTTGTACTTTCTACACATTACAAATTATTACATCAAGGGACTTCCTCAATTAGAATTGGTATGATGATGATATTTATACCGGGTAATTAGACTAATATTTTAATTCATATAATTATTATTAGTAAAAAGACAGTACCCGTTCAAGACATATACACATTTGGACACTAGCTTACAAAGCCAGTTAGAAAAGGGCACTAGAGTATATCATGTTACAAGAGAATTTGGCCATGCCACATTAACAAATGTAGGGAAAACAGTGACAGCACTAGCAGCAGCACAGCAAGCCTCAAATCTAACAGAGGTAGCTATCATTATGCCCTTTTATACTTTTATGAGAAAGTATATATCTGATAAAGAAATTGAAATGGTCATCGATATTCAGGGTAACAAGCCAGGTCAAATCATGACAGTTGAGTTTCGAGTTTGGAAAATGTTTCATGTCTTTAATCCACCCGTACAATCCCCTAGTAAATACGAATGGCAAATAATTAATAATGTGAATACATCTGTCCTTATCACACCGCAGAGACCACCTCAACCAACTGATGCTGTACCTGTCTATATGATTGGACATGCAAATCGAAGACTCTTTAATAAGGCATTCAAGTGCCGCACTGTAGAAGAAATTTATGATGAGAATGAATTACCTAATGAATGGCGTGATCAATACTTTGCTAAAGCTGCTGCTGCCTTTTTAGCTCATAAAGCCACAGCCTCTGATGAAGAATCTATATTTGCTCCCATCCGTATTGTCCCCCGTGTTGATATCGTCCACATTCATGGGGCCTCCAACGCCTACCTTGCTAAATTCTTACACGAGAAGAGGGATGCCGATGATTTAGGTCCTCGTCCACCAGCTATTATTTATACTATGCACGATCATGATGAAGTTCAATATACTAATTTATTCAGAAATGTTAAAAAATTCCTTGATCATCCTCAAGAACGTAAAAGACTTTATCAGTACGTATTAGGAGGAAAGATGTACATGTCTCAGTTTGCAATCGATAGAGCAGATGCTGTCACTGTCATCAATCAACAGTTGGCTTCAGATATCGTTGAAGGTCGTCATGACTTTCATCTCAAGGAACTCGTCATGAGTAAACTCTTAAAAAAAGTTGAAGATAATCGATTCTATGGTATCAATAATGGTGTTGATTATCATAGTACTGATCATCCTTTTCTATCTGATAAACTTGTGAATCGTAGTATGGTATTTCCCTCTTATGCTTGGGATCTGATAAAAGATCAAGAATTAATATATATTCAGAATTTAGCCCTTAAGGTGCCTGATATTCCTACCTATTGGACTCTCTCTGAACATTCTAAGGATTTTATTTATACCTATAAGGATCGGGCAAAAGAATATTTGATAAAACGTAATTTACTCACAGAGGAAGATATGCAACGCCCCATAGTATTATTTAGAGGAAATTTTGAAAGTCAAAGAAGGCTTGAGACACCACTAGAAGAAGCAGCTAAATTATTTGCAAAACACAACATACGATTTATTATTATGGGTAAAAGAGGGGATTATCCTTCTGAGAGACTTGAGGCCTTAGAGAAACAATATCCAAACCACATTTCTATAATCTCTTCGGCTAAACAACAACGTCAATTAGGTGTCTTTTGTAGAGCTGCTGCTGATTTTACTTTTACACCAAATAGTGATCAAGACAATTATACACAGGCTGAGGGCTTTATCTTTGGCTCTGCCTCTATCACACCACGTTCTGGTCCTCTTAAAGACGCTATTATTGATAGATCGCAAAATGCCTATAAAACCAGTGTTTCCTACCTTGATCCTGAATCCATCTCTGAACGAGGTGCAGTCGTAACAAGCTATGAATATTACAATAGTTATGTTTATGATAACATCAGCTCATTAGCTTCCGCAATTCAAGATGCCTCTACTGATTATCGCAAATTACAAAAGAATAAGGCGCTTCATGAAGAATTTTTGCTAAGAATTATTCGATCTGCTGTCAATTTAGGATGGGACCGTGGTCATTCTAAAGGACCTGTACATGAATATAACCGTGTCTATGAGCTAACATTAGAAGATCGCTTTATTCCTGAGATACGAAGACATGAAGTTGAACAAGAAAACGAATTAGTTTCAAGACTTCAAGATATTGATTAGAAAAAAAAAGGGGGGAATAAAAGCTTAAATTATAATACATACATTTATAACATTGTATATCTCTCACTTACACACCATCTTTACATACATACATATATATATACATTTATAAATATATTTTCATTTTGTAGCATATAAAACACATTTTGTATAAAGCAAAACATATTATTTAAACTATATTGTTAAATATATAATTTTTATTTTAAATGTTATATATTCTAATAGCCAACTTGATTATATATGAATTAAAGACTTAATTTGATCATCAAAATACCTGAAGAGTTGGTCTATTTGAAGTAATGGTTTGAAGCTAATGCTGTATTTTGTTTTTGCTTTTTTGTTTTTCTTTCCTTTTTCAAGGGAACTGATTTATTTGGTATTAATAATTACTGCAAAATAGAATAGGGGAGTTTACAAGCTTATTTATCATCCCCATTATAGATATACTAAACCTATTATTACTTTAAATTATAGGATATATAAAATCAAACATATTTGAAGTATATCACAGTAAAACTTGTGACGAAAAAAAGAGTAATTTCAAGGTTGTAATCATCAGATTAAAGTTAACAATTGTGCCTTAACATAAACGATAATACGAAAGTATATGTAATGTTCAATGCTACACTATATTGAACTTGAGCCAATTTAAAACATAACAATTTGGTTTTTTTTTTTTTTTTTTTTTTTTTTTTTTTTTTTTTTTAGAAAACTACACCAATAAGTGCAAGTCAATAAATTTTTTGGATCAGATAGCTGTACACTCTTGTTCTTATATTATGAATTGTTAAGCTTGTTTAAGCAAATTATCAGTATATATATATAAATATGTGTGTGTGTGTGTGTGTGTGTGTATAGATATACAATATATACATGCATATTTATTTATTTTGTTTTTATGTGCAATTTTTTTTACGTCGTAGAACAAGACATCGATCCCACCCTTGATAATCTTTATAGCTTGAATCTTTTTCCCAATCATTAGCCCAAATATCTATTACATATTCCATCATCCCCTTCCCACATTCCAATATAACGAAGCCATCAGGCTGAACAACATGAGAAGCGACATTACTAAGAACACGATACCATTCGTATCCATTATCTTTCGCAAATAAAGCTTCAGCAGGCTCTTGTTCGAATAAAGCACGTTGATCTCTTCTTCTATTTGCCTTGGTATAGTCTAAATAAGGAGGATTGCACACTAGTACATCAAAGAATTCATTATTCCTATCCAAAGTTGACATATCTTGTATACGCCATTCTACACGATGATTATCTGACAATAAGTTACGGCTATTTTCTTTTGCTACCTCCAGAGCAGCGCTGCTGATATCAATACCAACACCTATTGCCGAAGGAATTTCATTTAGAATAGAGATCAAGATATTACCACAACCTGTCCCGACATCAATAATCCTTTTTGCATTCTGTTGTGACGATAATACAGTAACAGCAGCTCGAACTAATGTTTCCGAACTTGCACGAGGGATTAAGCAATCCTTGGTTACTTTAAACATCTTTTTCCAAAACTCCTTTTGTCCCAAAACATAAGCTAATAATTGACCTTCCTTTCGTTCTAGCGAGTCTATATCTGAAAGACCTGATTTTCTAATTTCTTCTGCTTCTCTATCTAATTTATTTTGATAAAATCTTGCCTCTCGATCGCAAAGTGCTTTGAATTTAGCAGGTTCTTCTTCTTCAATTTGAATTAATGTTTGTTTGATAGGATGAATAAATGAGAGTTTAATTAAAGAAGCAGATAATCCTTTATCGCTTGCCTTTAATGGTAATGTAAATTTTGAATTTCCAATAATAGGATGTTTAGAATGATAGAAGAAAAGCTTTCTTAAGCGTACACTAGATAAAGGTGTATGAAGCTGAAGATTAAGTCTAGAGATATATTGTGCATTATTCGATGGTGTATGTGATATGATGTCGATCTTTTTTAAAACATCATTTGCTTCAATCTCTTCGGCTTCTTCGTCCTTTTTGTTCTTTAGTTCAGGTAAAAAAAGTTGCAAAGTATCTGTAGTAGAGATAAATCCATGACAAAGCACTCGCATTGTCACTTGTATTTCATCATTTTTATATTGTTCAATCAATACATCTTTTACAGATTGTGTCTTTGCTACTAAAATCTATAAATTATATACATATTTATAAGAGTTAATAGTGACGCACTAGTGCAGTAAGATATACATGCATCAACATATTTACCAAACCAGAGGCTGCTTTTTGAATATCATTGATACACCATACTTTTTGTCTATCGCCATTCGAATCTTTTAATGCTGTATTAAAATGGATGGCTTTTTCAAAAATATTAAAATTCTATCTTTTTTTAGGTTACTAATTATATGATAGAACGAATATAATAAAGTCCTACCTGTCCTGAAGGTTTCCAAACGACAGCTAAATAATCATCTTCATAACAGATACGAATTGGAATAGCCTTCATCTTAGTTTCTTCTTCAACAGATGTATCATATCTAACCTCTATTATATCGTTCGTTTTCAATAATCTCGTTTCTTCTGCTGGAACTCCATTAACACTGATTTCCTTTCTTTTGAATGCACGATGTAACATTACTTTAGATCTCACAGCTTCTCGGTAATTCCTCAAGACATATTTTCCAATTCTTTCGCCTTCTGCTGTTTCAGGTACTGTTATTTTTAAATAGTTTATTTTATCTGCTGTCATAACATAAGGTTTTTTTTTTCTTCTTAAAAAAAAGAAAAAAGACTAAAAAATGCCTTAAATAGCAAAAAAAAAAAAAAACAATTTTTTTTTTCATTTCATTTCCGCAAGCTCTTCTATCAGGACAGAAACATAGACTTATAAATTGTTCAACGTAATTTATAATAATATAGTCTCCTTCATCCTCTCTCTTCCCCCCTTTTTTTTATCTATTACTTCATTAACTTCTAACTAGTAGATATATGAAAATATAAAGTTAAAAGATTCGCTTTATGCTTCTTTCCTTTTATCAACTTATTCATAGAATACAATAGATATATGTGTATGTGTATTTTGATTATTCAATGGTTATTTATCATCATTTTTCCTAGTTTCTCTCAGTAAACAACATGTAATAAAATGCTTACAAATACATCATACATTACAAAGTCTGAAAACAATTTGTCAATTCCATGCTTGCTTCTTTTTTAAGTTAGCTTCCTTGTAGGATACCGTATAATATCATATCATATCATATTTTTGGCGCATATGATGGCGAAATGGTTTTTTTTTTAATAATATACTACTGCATAAACTTGACTAATAACATTATAAAAAGCTGAATTTACTTCCCTACCTTCATCTTTATTTAATTTTTTTTTAAAAGAAAAAAAAAAAAAAGAAAAGAAACAACTTTTAGATTAGATTCTCCTCTCTTCTACAACTTCTTGTAAAATCGTTTTCTCTACTTGCATTATTTTTTTTTTTCAACTGATTTGACCCGACCCGGGCAAATTTGAGATGTGAAATAATAATATCTCATGTTCATTGGGTTATAAATAAAACATTTGTATAAACTACTGCATACAATGGATAAAGCATAACTCACATAAACAAGCGATATTTCTTTTTTTTTTTTTTTTTTTTTTTTTTTTAAACTATTATCTTTATTTTGATACTGTTTTTATTTTAGTTCGACATTAAATTCCTGATTAACAAAAGAATAAAATTGTCATTTTTGAAAAGTAAATATTCATTTATTTCTTTCTCCCTTCTTTCTCTTTATCTCTCTCTCTCTCTTTGTCTCTTATTTTTTAATAATCATAGAAAACACAAACGACAATTTTAAGTTCAAATGGGCCTTTTTACATCATCAGTTGATTACTATAATTTACCAAAAGATAAAAAAAAAGAAAATATAGATCAAGTTGATACTTTAACAACACAACGTCGACCTTCTGATAATTTATTAGATTTGACAGATGTCTTTAATGCTGAGCCTAATGTTAACAATCAGCCATCATCACAACAACAGCAGGATCTATCTGGAACAATAGAGAACGATAATCTCTTGACATGTAACAAAAAAGGAAATACATATAATCACGATGGTAAAAAGCCATATATACTTGATATGTTTGATCCTTTAAGAGAGAAAACAGTAGAGGAAAGACAGTCATCAAAAGTAATACCACCATCCACTAGGATACCTACCTCTCGTCGTCGTCCCTTGAATCGTAATTATGTCTCTGCAGATAATATTCATAAAGCTATTCATGATAATGATAATGATAGCAACAGTTCACCTTCTTCTGTTATACAATTAAATCCAACTCCCCCTTCTTCACCAGGTAAACGTACAAGACATAGTTCAATTGCAAGGCTTGTTAAAATACAACCAAGAGACGTACAGATAGGCAAAGCAAATAAAGAATTAGCTGAATTTGATCCTCTTCTTACTTCCTCTATTCCTCCTCCTTCTTCTTGTAAAAAGAAGATTTCTAGTCCTGATGAATTTTTATTATTATCAGCAAAGCCGAAAAATGGACAGGTAAATATATATTATAGATGTGAGTGTGTATATGCATATGTACATATTTTCATTATTAAAACTTGTATATTTTTTTATTCTTGCTTCTAAATAAGATAAAACAGCAACAACAAGCAGAGAAGCCTAATACTTGCCAACAAAAGTATTATGTCAATACAAAAATTCCTTTACCAGTATCTTCAATACAGCAAAGTACAAATAGACTTTCTAATATTCATATCCATTCAAATGATGAACTTAAATCAACAGCTGATATACGAAATAAAGAAGATCAGGTGTTACCAACTAAACTTAAACGACCTGAAGTAACTATTCCAAATTCAATGAAACTAGCATCCTCCTCAGATTCAAATGTCAAATTTCAACGTCGTCTATCTTTCTCATCTATCGTCCAAGACCAACTTGATAAAGAACGCAAAAAGACTAAAAAATTAAGTGTTAATCTTATATCAGCACAGGGATTAATTATAAATCAACCAAATCAGATTTTATCACCTATTCATAGTGGACACTGTATAGTAGATAACATTCATGATCAATTACAAAGTTTAGTGGATCTTCACCCTAGTCCAGTAAAGGACAATGCCTTATTGACGATTGATAATGGTGATCATGCAGATATTATAAATGGGAAAAGTAAAGTAACCCCCTCCTCCTTCAATGTGTATCATATAGTATAGAATGTAGTTGCTTAATCTAAGAAAAAAAAAATTTTTTTTTAGCTGCATTAAATAGATATAAAGCCTATTTATCCCCATTTGAAAAAAGTGAAATTCTACAATATCCAGCTGTTTATTGTGTGGGGACAAATGCAAACAGAAAACATATGGCAACCTTAGATGAACCAGCTTTAAATTATGGATTTGATGATGAAAAAGGAGATTATAAAATTGTATTAAAGGATCATATCAATTATCGTTATGAAATTATAGAAAGCCTTGGCAAAGGTTCCTTTGGGCAAGTAGTTAAATGTCGAGATCACAAATTAGCCGAAAGAGAATCAATGAATAATAGTATTGTGGCAGTTAAAATTATACGTAACAAAAAGAGATTTTATGCTCAAGCACAAACAGAAGTTAAGATTCTTGATAAAATCATGAAATGGGTATATACATACATACACACACACGCATATTAAAAAGTCGAAAAAAAAAAAAAAAAAACTTGTAACACTTGACTATCATATAGGATTCAAAAAATAAGCATTTTATTGTGCGAATGCTGGATAGTTTTTATTTTAGAAACCATCTATGTATTGTGTTTGAGTGCTTGAGTTCCAATTTATATGATATACTACAACAAAATAACTATCAGGGATTTAGTATGGGACTTGTCAAAAGGTATACATCTATAGGGAACATTTATATGCATATATTTATACATACATACTTATTTGAAAAAAAATAGATTTGCGTTTCAAATTTTAACAGGTCTAAATTTACTCAGTCAGTATAATATTATTCATTGCGATTTGAAGCCAGAAAATATACTATTGAAACAACCAGATCGAAGTAGAATATGTATCATTGATTTTGGCAGCTCATGTTATTTAAATGAAAAGGTGTATACTTATATACAAAGTAGATTTTATCGAGCACCTGAGGTGATATTAGGATTAGATTATAATTTAGCAATTGATATGTGGAGTACAGGATGTATTTTGGCAGAATTATATACGGGTCGACCTTTATTTCCCGGCGAAAATGAACCAGATCAATTAGCCTGTATTATGCAATTATTAGGTGTACCTAGTCATGATTATTTAGAACAATGTACACGGAAAAAGCAATTTTTCGGTAATCTATAATGCATATATATATATATATATATATAGAATGGTGTTAATTTATATTCCATAGACTCATATGATAAACCTCGAAAATCCATTAATTCGAAAGGAAAGAAACGAAAACCAAATACATTCACTTTTACAGAGGCATTAAAGAGATCAACTTATGATAACGTTGACAAAAGTTTTGTAGATTTTATTTGTCGATGTTTAACTTGGGAACCAGAAAAAAGAATGAAGCCGATAGAAGCTTTAAATCATCCTTGGATCCAATCCATTAAAAAACAGTAAATAGAGAATCCATAGTATATACAACATATATATATATATATAATACCCTTTAATCATAATAAAATATATATGGAGTACAGGATTCAAAAAAAAAAAAAAAAAAAAAAAAAAAAAAGACTTGTTGTATAACAAGTCCTAATATATGTACAAAGATAGATAGGGTAGTGTAATATTACGATAACAAATAGAGTAAAAAAATGATGATAAACGATTGAGAATGGATAGATAAAAAACCATGTTTTAATAAAAGGGATGTACTTGATGAAATAAAGGTGTTGGAATCCTTGATATCATAATGATTAGAAGCCTCTGGATCGATGGTTAGGTCATTTTTAGATAACTGAGTCACATTCAAGATCCACTGAAGATGTATAGAAGGCTTTACAAACGTATTTATAAAAGGACTTGAATTGGATTCATGAAATGGACACGTACTGTCATCTGGTTCTGGATCATAGGCAAATAAGATCCTATTTAAAATTCCTTCTAAATAGTATTTGTTTTCATGATATCCTATTAATGGGCTTCCTAATGACAATAATTATCATCATCTATTAATAAGATTATAATAAATAAAAAAAAATAAAATAAAAATAAAAAAGAGGAGGTATGTATATATGGTATTTTAGGGTAACAATTGATATATATGTATATATATATATATATTTACCTGAATCTCCGTGACATAAGGATGCATTGGAGGTAGCCAAGATAACACTTTGATTAAAGTTATTGTTTTTTAGTAATTCAGCATTTATTATATTACATTCTGTTGTCTGCAAGACATCTGCATAAGGCTCTTTATATCCTGTATACCCCATTCCCATTGTTCTATGCCCTTCAGTACGAGTCTCATTTTCTAAAATGATAGGTATACGGTTCACATAGAGACTGGCTTCTAGTGGCTCATTTAATTCCAATAAACCGATATCATAGGGTATAAAATTAGTTCGATCAGTTGGAAAGACTTGGTGTTGAGCTTGTTGTTGAGTCGATAGATAGAGTGGGTGTGGAATGGCTCTTTTAACAGTTGTATAGGTTTGTAAGGAACTATGTCTGTTCCCATAAGCAACAACACACTCATTTGGATGCTCGATATTAAGTCTTTCCATGCAATGTGCAGCTGTCAAAATCCATGGTGGATCTAGCGATATAATACTTCCACCACATAAAGTTGGGCTCGTTAGTGTAACAAAGAATGGATATTGCCGGGATTTTTCGACTGTACTCCCACCAGAAATAGCAATGGCTGTGGAAATTAGATAATTATAAATTATAAATACTATACAAATATACATATTAAAACTTTGTATGAAAGAATGAAAAAAAAAAAAAAAAAAAAAAAAAAAAAAAAAAAGACAAAAAAAAAGGATGGAGCTTTATTTATAAACTAGAAATAAAGGAGTGGAAATGTATTTGCTTTCAAGTAACAAATATATCAATGTTTCTCCAAAACATCCCTTATTATTCTTTGTTCATGATAGAAACACAATGATAAAATAAGTAATAGATAAAGTATAGCAATCATAACATCAAATGTCTATTTTGCCTTTATTAAATAACAAAATTTAGACTGGTTAACTGACAATTTTAAAAAAGAAAAATAAAAAATAAAATAAAATAGTAGTAAACACTTTATAAGCAAATAGTGTTTTCCGAAAAACAAAAAGGTAAATGGTGAATGAAGAGTATAAAAATGTTCATTCAGTAATCAAACTACTAAATAGGTTCTCCTTTAAGACATTTATTAAATTGATCAACAGAATGCCGTATAAATGCTTTGAGTTAGTTGACCGTTGTAGGCACATACTTACAAGCTTCTGTTATTCGCATTCTCAGATCTTCACTACGCTTTGCTTTGTTTTTGACTACAGACCAAAACTGTTGAGTAGGATTGAGTTTAGGAGAGTAAGGAGGAAGGTAAACACCTTTTTTTTTTTTTAGTTTTTATTATAAATCATTTCATCAATTTTCTTTTGAAATATGTTTAGGGACGTTGTCCATAATTATATACAAGTCTTTTATTAATGGATTTTCGTTCATTTCATCTAAAGTTTTCAAAGTAAATTTCAAATGATAACCTGTAGTTGTTCCTTTTACTGCTTTCTTTTACTATTTTGGAATGTACAAACTTCCTCTTACTCCCCCTCTTTCAGTTTTTCTTTTTTTTTTGGACTTGTAAAGCACTCTTTACTCAGTCTGTCCATTGCTAAAATTGTTCGAAAGTACAGAATGTGAAACGTCTTTCGTTGTAGGAGTGATCACAATGGCTATTATGTATGCCTCGAACAGACCATGCAGATAGAGGTTTTGAGGTCTTGTATATATGTTAAACCCTAATTTCACCCCACGAACTCACAGTTAGTAAATTAAATCATTTCCATTAAACTCCATATTTCACTCAATGCTCAAGTCGCTTGGCCAATTTATCATCATCATTTTGAGCTACTGATCTAAATGTAGCTCTTTTAAACGACAAACTGCATTCAACTTTCCCCCTCCCCCTCCCCCTCCCTATAATTTTTGAACACTGATTTCTTTTAAATTGAAATTTTCAGAAGCTGTCAACTAAATCAATTATTTGTTCTCATCATAATAGTTCATCCCTAAACTCCCTTTGCTCCTCGTTTAGAACTTTCTCCTTACCCTTTTTGATATTTCAAAGATATTTCCATTCAGTTTCTTCTTCGATTTTTTTTTTTAGTCCATCTTTAACCAGTTCGTTCAACTATCACATCAAATTGAGCTGATTTTATGGGCATTATATAGTTTTACCATTTTTGTTATATAAAAATAAGACCTTTTGATCAGCTGTTTATACATTATATATTTTTTTTTCTTTTGTTATTTATCCAGTTGCAATTCTTTGCATTGCCTGAAAATGAGTGAGTGTTAAAAGATAAAAAGGTTCAACATCTATTGTGTCTTGTCCTCTTTGCATCTACTATTCTGTCTTATTCATTCTCATAAAAAAAAAGGTACAGAGTTATTTATTCATTTTAGTGAGTATTATGCTTAAAAAAAAAAAAGTGTTTACTAGACTTCAGTCTGTGTTGGTTATTTCTTCTAATTAAACCATCTCCTTAACATCTCTAAAGTGAATTGTAATTCCCTCTCCTTCTCTTCCTCCTTCTGAAACTTTTTTTTTTTTAACTTTATTATCCAAAATTAGAACATCCCTAAATTGGTTCCCACTTTTTATAACAGACCTCGGTTTTGGTATATTCATATTTTAAAATAAATAGAGTTAATAATGATGGCCTGCTTTGTAGGATATATTTAATTAGAAGATCCATATCCCATGTGCTATACAACTAAAAAGAAAAAAGAAAAAAGAAAGAAAGAAAGAAAGAGAGAGAGAGAGAGTGTGTGTGTGTGTGTGTGTCATAACAACATAAATTTTATTACCAAGTATTAGAACCTGTAGCATTCTTTAATTGATTATTAGAAGTAAAGGGTTGAGTACTTTCAATAAACTTAATGTCTTTTAATTCAAGTTGTTCTAAAATAGGAAGATACACGTGAGGTTGAGTAGGTCTTTGTATACCCCTTTCTGGGATCTTATTGTCTAAAATGAGTTCAACTGCCATAGCTGTAGGTAAACCAACAGTTTCGGCCATAGCTGTAAACTTTTCATTACCATACTTGATTAAGGTTGAAGTTAATATTTCCTATTGAAGAGATAAAGGATAAATACATATGACAAAAGATGTATATATACATATTCATATTTACTTTCTTGCCAGAATGATGTACAATACCGAATTCATGATGCATTGCAACCATATTCTTTTCTCCCTTCTCATATTTTAATCTATCTGCTAAAAGACTTGAAAAGAGATCAAGAGAACTTGTTCCTTGTCGAGTGTTTATCTTAGTCTCAGTAGATAAGAAATAATGAATAGCAGACCATGTCTTTTGAACCATGAAATGATCTTTAGGTAAACCTAGCTTGTTTGCTACACATTGATACTTCTCTTCTAATGTCATAGGATCACTCTTGCCGGACAAGATAAGGTCAAAGTAATTTGACTATATAGATATATGTATTTATATAATGATTAGCCTATTTAACACATGCATGCATGTGTGTATTTCATATGTTTCTTTACCCAATTACTACATTGATCAGCTATAGGTTTTGATTGTTCTAAAAATCCCAGCTTACGAAAAGCATATAAAAGATCAGAATATCCCTTAAAAAAAAATAAGAGAGAAAGAGAGAAAGAGACAAAATAAGGAGGACACGTTAGTATGCATGTATACATGTATGTAGATTATTTAGTTTTACGATTTACCTGGTATCTCAAAGTGCCTCGAAACATTGTATTCATTTCTTTTAAATCACCTAAACCATAAATGTCTGCATAGCTTAGTGAATTTCTATTTGCTAACCCTTCAAATACAAAACCGGCAAAAGGAGTTTGTACAAGTGGGAAATGGTCCTTTAATAAATGACTACCGGATATTGTATGTTTCTATTATGTGGTGATTAGTAAGTTAAATGAAATTATATACATTAGAATACCTTTCCATTTGCCCAATAGATAGCATCATTGCCACTTGCTGTCAATACGCCACGGGGAGACCAACTAAATTTATATCCAAGCGGTACATTGGACGCTTCAGGGGCAGGGAGTCCACCGCACCATGATACAAAAGATTGGATCTATATATGAATGAATATCATCATTTCTTTATTATTATTATTATTATTAATATTTACTTTTGCTCCTTTGTTCTTTGCTTCATCAATAATCTTCATTGCTGACATATGATCGATACCAGGATCTAAGCCAACTTCGTTCATAATCAAAATACCTGCCTTATTTGCTCTATATTAAATTACAATGTTAATAAAGTCTACTTTGTATTTCCATGTGTCTACCTTGATTCAAGTTCTTCCATTTCTTTGGAAACATAACTTGCTGTTACCATATCTTTTCTTTGTTCAACACAAATATTAGCAACTTGAGTATGTAAGAATGCAGGAACAAGACTTTTAAATACATATATGTATATATTTATATATATATTTAAGTACATAAAGACATTATTTTGCTTTTGTTAAAATAATAATAATAATAATAATACCTAATTACAACATCAGCTAAACTAACAAGTCTGGATAGTTCTCCATGATTATTAATATCTAGTAAAGCTGTTTCAGCATTATTGTAATTCGCTGTTAAAGCTTTAGCTTCTTCAAGAACATTACTAGCTATATAGATGGTAATAAGTATACGTTTGAATATATAAACATTCTCTCTCTCGCTCGCTCTCTTTTACCAACAACTATATTAACATCAGGTCGTCTAGCCAAATGTTCAACTAAAGGTCCAGCCACCATACCTGAACCTAGTAAAAGAACTGTCTTTTTACCATTTCCATTTGGTGTAGTTTTGGATGGTAAGAATTCCTTTAATCCTTCATGAGGTTTTGTTAATTTTCCCACATTAGCTATGGTAGCATTTTGTAATACAGATGGTAAATCTTGAAGACTAGTATTCGATGTAGTATTAACTATCTATGTTATTATTATTAAGGATTGAATAAGAATAAGAAGAATAAGAATAGAAGATACCATTTCTTTAATATATGGATAAAGCTTTTCACTAAATAATTGGCTGCTTTCTACAGGAAACTCGGCAGGTAGTATATCAATACCCATTATTTGAACACCATTGCCTTCAGCACTATACAATCATAATTAAGTAAAAAAGAATAAAATAAAGTCTAAATTCTTACTTTTTATGTTCCATATCGTTAATTGCATCATAATAAAAGAAACCATCTTCTATGTTCGTACAATGGGATAAGCATTCAAATGCACCCTATAAAATGATGTATATGAGAAAAATTGACAAAGAAAAAAAAAAAAAGGTTCACTCTTTGACCTTTATGTCGCACACAATATCACCTAAACTCATCATTTTTCCTTGCTTAATTATGCCCGATTTTTTTGACATTTCGAATTCCAATAACTGTTTATTTGTCATTAAACGAGGATATCTTTTATCCCAGTAGGCACCAGTAACCACACAGTTAACATAAGGAGCAATCTTTTTTTTTTTTTTTTTTTTTTTTTTTTGTAGAAAAAATAAACACTAAATGAGTATAATATTTCTTCCCTTTATTCTGTGTATTTACCTTGTCATGAAAATTAGATTGATATTTATGTGGATTTATCAAGTAATCTTCAAAGTCTTTTAAAGGCTTATTATCCTTTTTATATTCAATGTAATCTGTTGCATTTAACTGAGTTGCATATAATCGATCAAGTCTGGGATCTTTTTTTTTTTTTTTTTTTTTTTTAAAAAAAAAAATAAAAATAAAAAGTTAATTATATGTGTATACAAATTGACTTGTTTTTTTTTGGTGTTTTATTTACTTTTATCGTTTACTAAACAAGGAAGATCTTTAACAGAAACTATTTCATGTGGTAATTCCTTGAACATTTCCATTGCACCCTTTTTATTTTAGATAAATAAATAAATAAATAAATAAATAAAATAGTTTCTTTTATAAGACTAACCTGAGAAACATTACCAGATCCAGTAAATCCAAAAATTATAGGACCAAAGTCTTTAGGTGTTCCATCTTTTTTAATAAAATCACCCATTTGACGTAAAGAAGCTTTTGCATTTGCTATTGTTGGATAACCATGCGCCATAGAAGTATACTAATAAATTACATTTAGTTTCAGTCATACTCGATTTATCTTCTTTCCTTCCTTTACCATAAAAGGTGTGCTATAACCTAATCCTAAAAAGCGATGTCCCATACCGTGAAGGATATCAATCATACCTATAGAAATCAAATCAGATTAAAGTTCCCCTCTTTTTTTTTTTTTTTTTTTTTTTTTTTTTTTGTATATATACATGCAGACATGTAGAATGAAAACTATACCTGCTTTTCCTGCAAATTCACCAAATGCAACTAATCTTTTCCCACTTTCATCTTTCAACAATTCATAATCAATTAAACGAATTTTCTATTATGTATGTTAATGAAAAAAAAAAATTTCCCACGAATAATAAAGTTTGATTTTACTTTGTCAAGAATGCTTTGTAACATTGGCATATTTTTCAAATTTCCTTTATGAGTATGAGAAAAGAAAAGATAGGTTTTATCATTTAATAAAGATTTTTCAGGTACTTCTTTGATGCCCAAGATGATATCTGCCTTTGTAAGATCGTCTGTAACAACGGCTCCTACCTTTTATTTATTTATTTATTTATTCATGTAATATCGATTTATTATTATTTACCTTTTCATATGAAGCATCTGTAAAGATACGCTTCGTACTTGGTTGAACATAAACTTGAGTTCCTGTCTCTTCAATTAACTTCTTGACTGTTTCTGGTGTCAAAGCAGATCGACGCTCCCATCTACTTTTATCTTCTCTTCGAATACCAATTGTACTTACATAGTTTCTTGTTAGAATCCTTTGACTTTGCTTACTTTGGAATAATTTAGTTATCATTTATCTATATTAAAAGTAAAGGGAGGCGGTGGGGGAAAAAAAAAAGAAAGACGGATGAAGGGTAATTGTCTTTTTATATATACAAGAAAAAAAAGCCCCCCCCCTCCATAGTATAAAATAACTTTGTAGATAAAGAAGAATCTCACGATCAAGTGATTACTTGCTTTGGAGACACAACTACTAACTTATTTTGACATAAAGTAAAAGTACTAAAAGTTGCTTTGAATGTTCATCTAATAAATGATTATTAAACGTCTTTATCCCTGCCTTCTTTTATAATATCAAGTACTTTTTTTTTTGTTCCACTATTTGTTTTGCAGTAATCATTTTTGTTTAGAAGAAGAAGAAAAAGTATTTTGGTGTTGTTGTACGAAATATTTACATAATAAAGCAACCTTTCCCCCCTTCTTTGCAATAGTAGTAAATGATCTAATAAACTAGGAACAAATAAAATTTAATCTTAATATACATACACAATTCAATGTTTGATACATCATACATCTTTTTTGCTAGAGAATAATGTCATAAGAAAGAAAGAAAAAAAAAGAAGGATTGATGGTGTTAAATAAAGAAACGAAGTATAATAAAAGCCCATGTTACTACGATTATATTCTTCTTGTTTAAATATTTTTTTTTTTTTTGATTACTTTAATGTGTCAGGATTCTATAAACTAAAGTGCCCTGAAGAATTTCTTAAAGATAAAGGGCTCACTACCAAAACTAAAACACCCTTTCTCCAGCTCTTTTTGTAAGGTCTTCTTCTTCTTTAAATTTATTAGCGAGTTTTGTGAGGCACTACAGTGTCTGAATACGATCATTTTTAAATAATAAAATCCATCTTTGACCACACTGTTATTTTTTATGTTAAATAAAAGAAGGGCATTTATTTTTTCTAAATAGAACTAAATCCATACGTCAAACATTACAGGATAATGGATAAGCAGCCAAGAAGGGGAAAGTAAAAAGTATATCATAGAGTTTCAAATCTTCTCATGATCTATTCTACAATGTTGGACATTTCAAAAGAATCATGAATACGTTTACTTGCAGTTAATTTGGTGAATAAACTCGGCTTCTACGGAAAGTGCAAAGAAGTATTCATCAGCCTCGATTTGCAAAAGTAGACAAACCCATATCAGAAAGAGATTCGACCAAGAGCAGGTTGAATTTACTACTGCTACATTTTAAAAGGATTACATAGGCCCTATTTTAGGTACATCAATATTGTTATAATAACTAAAGATTCCCTACATCCATTTTAACAACAACAAAAAAAAACTTTCCGCCTTGTCTTTATTGATTAAGATGGGCCTTTTAACATCATTAAATAATATTAAGGGGGGAGGGGGGTTATTTTTCTCAATGCTCTTGATAGTTTTACCCACTTTGATCACTTTACTGTTTTCCTTACTAAAACAAGTGTCCTCGCTTTGCAGCAGTTTACAAACTTCTGCTCTTGTCTTCATATAAAGAGTATATGAGGACAACTAATTCTAGTTTAAAAAGGAGCTTTCATTAAATCATTACCATCCTCCATCAACAATACTCCCTTCTTGGTGGTTTTAAAAGAGGAATTGATATTTTGAAGAGGAAAAAAAGGATGTTAGAACTACTAATAACATTTTTTTTGAATACGCGAAAAGAAGCCTTAATTCGTTATAAAACTCGGAATACACACATCACAAAAAAACAACAATATTTCTTTAATAAATAAACTTTATTCAAATACAAATTAATACATAGCAATCCTTTTCCAATAGATGTAGGAATAATAAACATCAACTAAAAAATAAAATAAAATAAAAAAGTAATTAGTAAAACATGACTTTGACAGTAAGAATTCTTTTAAGGTATTATTGATTATACGTCAGGCTCATTAAATCAGTATTTTTTTTTAAAAATCAACACGTATGATTAAGACGTAAAAAGTTATGCATCCTTCGTATAATAAATAATACACGTATAAATTAAATGAGATACTTACTTATTAGAATATGTATAAACTAAAGAAGAAGAAGAAGAAAAAAAAATTTTTTGGTTGCTAGGTAAATAAATACAATTATGTGTGTGACTACTAATTATTGTTAATTGTGATTGTGAATACAGTATGAAATACAAAAAAGGAAAAAAAAATTTTTTTTATTTTTTTGCCTTATAAAACAATTCAACGTCAAGTTATAAGCCTCCCTTTGCCTGCTGCTAGTAGAATACAACTCGAGTATTTTTTTTTTTTTTTTTTTTTTTTTTTATAGATAATAATTTTAAGCTATTATCGGGATATTAGACTTAAAATGCATTAGCGAATAGAGGGGAAAAGAAAAAGATGGTAAAGAATAAAACCACTTTATAAAAGAGATAAAATAAATGACAACATATTTATTCTGTTAGTGGACAAAAAAAGGGGGGGATTGTATTGGACATGACAAAGATATTCTTAAAGGAACATGGATATTCCAGTTGTAACCTTTGGGAATAAAATGGTTAATCAAGATGACTTGTATTTATGTTCTATAATTATTGATATTTTTACTTCTTTCCCTCAATTTTTTTTTTTTTTTTTTTTTTTTTTTTCGTTCTTAAAGGTCTTTTTTTTTTTTTTTTTTTTTTAGTTTAGTTTCTTAATCTATTATATCGAACTGTTATCCTGGACAGTAATAAAGAAATACACATTCCATACCATGTGTTGTTTACATTTAGGTTCTTATTTTTTTTCTTCTTCTTCTTTAATCGTAAACAAATAAGGGAGGTTGTTTAATCCAAAGGCACGCTTATTTTATAATTTGTTCGGACCTTTTTCGCAAAATCTGTATATCCACCTATCAATTTTTGATTTTCTAAATCACAACCCTCATAAATAAATGGTGAAGAAGTTTGATTTGTATTAAATTCCTAATAATAAATCACATGATTATTATTATTAGTATTATTATTATTTTTTTTTTCTTTTTTACCTTTTGTAATTCTATTGAACGTTCATTCCATTGTTGCTTGATATAGGCACTGACATCAACTTTGACATTAGGATATTTCTCTGTTAATTTATCTCCAATGCGAATGGCATTTGCAAAATAAGAACAATTTAAAAATCCTTCCTATATGATATGTATTGCATTATTACTTGACTTTAGTCTATAAAGTATACATACTATATAATAACATTGTGTCTTTTCAGGGATTGTATTATCCAATCCTTCCACTTCTTTCTCGTTTGTTGAATCATTTAACCAGGAAAAGAGTCCCATAATGTATGTTTATAAAGTAAAAAAGAAAAAAGTAAAAAAGGGTGGGGGGGTAATGTCAATCTTTATTGTTATACTGGGATTCAAAAATTTTAGAGAGGAGAACTAGGATATGTTATCAGGCAGTTGTTGTTTTTATCTGTACAATTCTCTTTGATTCCATGTTTGACATTATTGATTCAGAAAAGTGTTTATCAAAAGGAATTTTACCTTATGAATTAAGGAAAGGAGAATTTGATGTCTTTCAACCTTATTTTCGAGCAAAAAGAAAATTATCCATTGACGAGAAAGAAGAGAGTCTAACAACGAATAAAAAACGTAGAAAGAAGAATAAGAATAAACATGAAGAGTATGTGTCAAGTAATGTAACTGATGTTGAAACAAAGAAAAGACATGAGACACTAAGATCCCAATTAATGGCTTGCCTTGAACAATTACCTCTCCATTGGCCAGCTCACTGGAAAAATAGGATAGACACTTCTACATCGCTTTATAATACATTAGAAACAGAAACTATTGATTTTCCAAGTATTCAGCAAATGGTAGAGGCTGCACAACAGAAATTTACTGACAAAGATGAAGATCAAACAAAAATGAAAGAATTTGAATTTACCTCCAACGTTACAAAAGAATTGGATATCTTTTCTATTTTTAATATTATTTGTATAAACAGATCAACTAATGTAAAGCTTCTAGAAATGACACCCACTTCTTCTTATTTGATACCGCCTAATTCTTCATTTCTAATGGGTTCAATGAACAATAGTTTGCATCAATTGACAGCCTACAGTAAGTAATAATAAACAGAAAGAGAGAGAGAGAGAGAGAGGAGACTCTTGATTTATTCTCTTTTCTTTATAGTTGATAAACTGGGTGGTGCAGATATAATTGTTATGGATCCTCCTTGGCCAAATAAAAGCGGTATGTTATTATCGAGTAATACGACTGTTTATTAACTCTTATATAGTTCAAAGATCTTCAACTTACGCAACCCAGGATATTTATGACTTATTTTCTATACCAATTCCCAAAATGATGTTATCAAAGGATTGCATTGTAGCCGTTTGGGTTACAAACAAACCTAAATTTAGGAATTTTATTATCCATAAATTATTTCCTGCATGGCAGTTGGAATGTATAAGTGAATGGATTTGGTTAAAGACAACAACACAAGGTGAATGTATTTTCCCAATAGATTCAACTCATAAAAAACCATACGAACAATTAATTATTGGAAGACCTATTCAATATAAAGATTCGCAACAACGCATTTCAATTCCAAAAACACATACTATCGTTAGTATTCCTAGTGTTAGACATTCAAGGAAGCCTCCATTACAAGGTATAAAGTTATATTAAAGAATGGAATTCATAATTGACTTACAATAAAATTGTACAATGAAAAGATATTTTACTTTCGTTTTTAGGTAAAAATGAAGATAAAGTGAATCCTGTATGTGTCGAGCTTTTTGCTCGTTGTCTTTATCCTGGTTGGATCAATTGGGGCAATGAATGTTTAAAATTTCAGCATTTGAATTATTTCGTAAATACAGAAAAGGGGACAAAATAGTATGAGGAAGAAGAAGAAGGAATAGACGATCTGCGTTATTATATGAATAACATATATTAAAGTGTAAATATAGATAAATAGTATTTAAAAGAAGAAGAACATATATAGACATTAGCTTCTTCTTCTTTTGTTTCGCTTAGGTCTATCGTCTCTATCCAGTTCATCTTCTGATACATAATCCTATTCATTCTTTAATCCTTGTCTTACAAGTAGCTCATTTCTCTCTGATAACAGTCGTTTTAGCTGGAGATATTAAAAGCTCTCCTTGTAAACTCAAGTTTTCTTTTTTTTTTCCAATAAGTGATTGATGTACTTGTTCAATTGATTTAAAATATTTTACTGTCTATATACTTGTAATTAGCTTCAATGATTTCTACCTGAAGAAGAAGAAAAAATACCTTCACATGTAATTCCATTGTAGCTTCTTCATCACATACAACTAAGCCTTTAGGATGCATTTGAATTGCTGATACTGCCCACATTTGGTTTACACCTTCTTCTATACAATTTGCCAACATTGCACTATTTAACGTCGATTATATATTTGTGTACATGTATATTTTTTTTTAAAAAAAAAGAAAGAAAGCAACACTTAAGAACTTGAATAAGAATTTACCTTTTATGCGCACCAGTAGTGATAATAGAAACTTTGTGAGCATCCATTACATATATTTTAACAGGTTTCGAAAATAACGACTTCCTTTCTCTCCTCTCTTTCTTTCTATTGTCATTTAATACTTACGCAGCCCCCACAGTGAATGCTGCCTTTTGGCACCTTTGTTATATCCTCTCAAAAAAAAAAAAAAAAAAAAAAAAAAAAAAAAAAAAAAAAAAAACGCCTGCCAAACCTAAGAAAAGCAGAAAGGATAATAAAGGTAGGAAGAGGACCGCTCCCAGCAATAACGAAGAGGAAGTAATAAAGCCATCTTATGAAGAAGCTCTTCCAATATTCAAAGGCACAACTACCCTTCATTTCATCAAATTTATGAATGAACTTCTGGATATTATGGATCTCGATCCAAATTTAAAGAGCAACTACCTAGTTTTGGATAATTGTCCTATTCATAAGAGTCATCCAATAAGACGGAAACTCGAAAGCTAGAGGATACAAAATCATCCTCTTGCCTCCATACTCGCCTGAGCTCAACCCTATTGAGCAGTTTTGGTCATTAGTGAAAGGAAAGTTGTAACGCAGTCGTTTTATGACCGAGGAAAATTTGTCTGGCAGAATTGCTAACGCTTGCAATCAGGTACACGCAAGTGACATTGAAGGCCTTGCTATGTTATCAAAGAGTAAAATTATGAAATGTTTATATAAAGAACCTCTCTAAAAAATTTTAATAAAATTACAAAAAAAAAAAAAAAAAAAAAAAAAAAAAAAAACCCTTTGCGACAATACGCTTTTCCCAATAAAAATAAAAACGACAAATTGAAATTTCGTTTGCGACAATTATTTCTCAACTGCCCACAAATATTTTTTAATTGGCGACAATATCCATCGTACTGGCTGTAAAGAATGTCGTATTATTGTTAGTAAATAAAGTTAGCAATAGAAAAGGGAGGGGGGGTATACTATATTCCTTTTGTCCAAAAAGAGAGAATTTGTACTAATTTGAATACATTAATTCTATGTACCCGTAACACATGTCATGCAACATTTTAATTTTAAGTAATTTCAGGCACCAAGATTCTTTTCCTTTATTTTACAAGAACATAGATATCTATTCTTTGATAGAACAGATAAAATGCTTTTGTATAGGCTAATGCAAATGATGAATTAGCAGATGAATGTTTTCGATAACAGCAAAACTACCAGTTTAGAAGAATAATGGCAAGTAGTCATAATGGAATCTTATAGATATAATTCAAGTAAAATAGTGACTACACGGCTCTAAAGTAACTTTATAGCTTAAAAGATAATACGCTACATAACATTTAATAAAAACAAAGAAAAAATATTTTTCATAGTTATCAGTAGTTAGTTCTTGAAGTTTTAAATTTTTAAAGAAATTAATACGTTCTAACTAATAAATTGATCTGATAAAATTTAATCGGCAAGCAATTCTATTGGATATCAATTACAACATCATCATCTAATGATTTGATACATTTTTTAAAAGTTATTTACAGAATAAAGAAAGAATAAAGAAAATAAAATAGTAGTTCAAAAGACGTTTTCTTTGAAATACTCATTTCAAATACTACTGCTATTTAATGCATTTATTTAGATCAATAGCATGTATTTGCTGGTTGCAATCTTCTATCTATTATTTCAGCAGGCAAAGCTATCAATAAATCAACTAAACAAAGAATTGCCTCTAACCTAAGCATTTATACTTTTATTATAAAAGCTCTTTTATTTTATTTTTTTTTCTCATATTATCCAACTTATCGTTTATATCCTAGTCTTTTTTTTTTGGGTTTGTTTCAAACAGTCACTTGTTTATGACTCAAGAAGTATCATTATTTTCATTTGAAGCTAGTTAAAGCCCGACATTTTCGAAAGAAATTTTCTTTTTAAATCGGTATAACATACACACATTATTTATTTCTGATCTTTCACTCTCTTTCTTCTATTTTTTTTTTATATTATATAGCTATTCTTACATTTTTTATATAACACTATGACAGCCTTTACTGCCCTTAATGAGCTTGATGATAAACGTATTGTCCATATTCGACCTTTGATTCCACCTCAAATCCTTATGGAAGATCTTCCCTTAAGTTTAAAAGCCGCCCAAACCATTTTAGATGGTAGACAAGGCTCTGAAGATATTATTTGTGGTAAAGACGATCGTTTATTAGTTGTCGTTGGCCCTTGTTCAATTCATGATGTGAATGCTGGTTTGGAATATGGTAATAGGATTTTAGAGGCATATATAGGTTCCCCTTTATTAAATTGACATGATATAGGTAAACGTTTAATCGATTATGCTGCCACTGCAAAGGACGATTTACATATTATTATGCGTGTTTATTTCGAAAAACCTAGAACGACGGTAGGATGGAAAGGTCTAATTAATGATCCTAACTTGAATAATACGTAAGTCATAAATCTGAAAATGCATAAAAAAAAATTCTTAAAAAAAAATCATGCTTTATATCTATAATAGTTATGAGATCAACAAGGGTCTTCGTATTGCCCGTAAATTATTATTAGATTTGGTAAATATTTAGTATAAAAAAAAATCAATTTTGTTTAATATTAAAACCCTATATATTAGAATGAAATGGGTATTCCTGCTGCATGTGAATTCTTAGATACTATCTCTCCTCAATATACAGGTGATCTTGTCTCTTGGGGAGCTATCGGTGCACGTACAACTGAATCTCAAGTTCATAGAGAATTAGCGTCTGGACTTTCATGTCCTGTGGGATTTAAGAATGGTACAGATGGTGGTATTACAGTTGCCATGGATGCTATTAAGGCTGCTAGTCATGGTCATCATTTCTTATCTGTTACTAAACAGGGTCTTTCAGCGATTGTTGAAACCGCTGGTAATAATGCATGCCATGTTATCCTTCGAGGCGGTAAATCAGGTCCTAATTATAGCGCAGAAGATGTAAAGGCAGCTACTGCTGAACTTGCTAAACATAAATTGCCTCCTATCGTCATGATCGATTGTAGTCATGGTAATTCTTCAAAGGATCATAACCGTCAACCGATTGTAGCAGATGATATCGCTCATCAATTAGCAAATGCCTATGAGACTGGTAATAACATTATTGGCGTCATGATTGAATCTAATCTTAAAGAAGGTCGTCAAGATATCCCTCCAGAGGGGCCTCATCGTTTAAATTATGGTCAATCCATTACTGATGCTTGTATCAATTGGGAGGACACAGTAAAATGTTTAGATCGTTTAAGAGAGGGCGTTCGTGCTAGACGTGCTGCTCGTCAACAATAATTACTTTATTAGAATATTAATTTGTATAGTTCTTCCCTCCCAAAAAAAAAAAAAGATTTTTTTAATGTATACACAGAATATGTACCATATATCATTCTTATCTTTTATCATTACTTATTTATATAAACGCTATATTTACTTTTTTATATATATTCACAATTTAGTAACTTTCTTATATTATTTATATACAGTAAAAAATAGTATAGAGTTGTTATTTACATGTGCAAATAATAATAATAATAATCAAAAATCAAGTATATATTTTATTTTATTTTTTATTTACTTCCAAACCATCCACCCGATTTTTTCTTATCATCACCGCCTCTTACAGGAATCTCAATCTTGCAAATACGATGCTTCTTATCTAAACCTTTATCAACTACAACATGAACACGTCCACCATCTAATACTTCATCGTTTTCATTGGCCTTTGCAATCAAATTTACTACCTTTCTTTCAACTTCATATTTAATACTACGAGCACCATAACGGATATTATAACCATCTGCTAATACATCAACTACATCAGGATCCCAAGTCATTGTGATACCATGTCGTGTCCTTGCTTTCTCAGCCCATCTTGAAAGCTCCCTTGAAGTGATTTCACGTAATTCTTCTTGACTAAACGGCAAGAAGAATAGAACCTCGTTGATACGTCCCAAGAATTCATCACGACGGAAATGGTTATAGAGAATAGGATAAATTGTATGTTCAATAAATTGTCGGGAAAGAGAGATCTGTCGATTCTCTTGTTGAAGATTTTGGGATGCTTTGCTGTTTGTAGGCTCAATAACTGTGGATGTACCTGTAGTTTGTGCATCAGAAGAAACAGAAGCTTCTAATCTTAAAAGTTCTGCTTCATCTGCAATTTCATGTTGTGCTAGATTGGATGTCATAACAAAAATAGCATCTTTACATTCAACTGTTGTTCCCTTGCCATCTGTAATACGTCCTTCATCAAATAATTGAAGCATGATAGTTAACACATCAGGATGTGCCTTTTCTACTTCATCCAATAATACAACTGCGTTAGGACCTATTTACCATCTGTGTGAATAAAGAAAAGAAAAGAAAAAAAAAAGGGGGAGTGGGCGGGCATTTCTCTTTATATTGATCTTACATTCTTTAAGTTTTTCTGTCAATTGTCCTCCCTCATCATAACCCTATTGCACGATATGAATTATAACAAAAAAATAAAAAATTGCATACTATTATTTAACTTCTTACAACATAGCCTGGAGGGGAACCAATAAATCGTGAAACATCATGTTTATGTTGGAATTCACTCATATCAATTCGAATAAATCCTTTATCTATTTGCTTTCCATGAAGATATTGTGCCAATGCTATACATAAACATACATATAAATAATATGAATACTATTTTTTTTTCTTTTATATACATATATATATTCTACCTTTTGCTAACTCTGTTTTGCCAACACCAGAGGATCCACAAAACATAAATACTAAAGGATGTTCCTCATCATGCCACCCATTTTGTTTTCGTCGAATAGCACTTGCAAGTGCATAAATAGGACCTAATTGACCTACAATTCTTGCTTTCAAAGCATCTTCTAATGGATGCTTTTTACGATATTCCTTTTCTTTCTGAAGTTGAGCTTTACGTTGGATTTCATCATGTTCAGCCTTATCTTTAGGATATGATAATTCCTTTTCTGTACAATAAAAGTTTAATTTTTTTTTTGTTATGTATTGCTTTCCTATAAATCATGTGTTTTAACCATCTTTATTACTTACTATGCAGTAGGTCTTCAATTTTTATATTTTGTTCTCCTGTAAATCTTTCAACGTAGTACAGGTATTCTCGGGGAGTTAAGCCGTTTGAGTTTCGTACAAGTGGATCTGCCAAATGATCCAATAAGAGTTTGACAATGTTAGGGTTACAAATGATAACTGCATAATGAAGAGCAGTATATTCACGATAATCGCGATAAGGTAATAGATCTTCTGAAAAATCAACTTGACGAATATTTGCAGCTTGGTGTGATCTTGGATAATATTGATCTTGAAGGTTAGGATCTATATATATAAATGAGTGAGTGTCTTGTTTCTTTCTATATACATTTTGGTGATATAACCTGCTCCTTTCTCTAATAAAAATTTAACCATTTGTTCATTGTCTTGTATTACAGCCACTTGCTATACAATTGTTCAATATAGTGTATTTATATTTCTATTTATTTGTATACTTTTTTTTTATAAGCTTACCAAAGGAGTCCACCCATAACGATGATAAACATTGGGACTAAAGTTAGGGTCCTCTGCCAATCTATAAAAAAAAAAAAAAAAAAAAAAAAAAAAAAAAAATGTATCAATAATTAGCAAATCTATCATGTTATTCACTACTATTTTTTCCGGCTTACTTTTTCAGTGTTTTAAAATCGTTTTGAACGATAGCTTGACAAATAACATCACCCATAGCTAATAAAAAAAAATTAAGAGATTTTTTGTTTTTTGTCTTACATTTATTTTAATATTTACGATCATTAGCTTCAAGTGCTAACACATGACTATTAGTTAATCCATATGTTAAAGCTGTTGCGCCAATCACAGCTGAAGTTTTCCATAAATTGGAAAAAAACTGCACCCTTTGTTGCTGAGCAGTAATGCATGCTGTTGCTGTTGAGATGCTTTTAATTGTATTTCTAAATGAAGGCCTACATGGTGGAATTACACGTGGTCGAAGCAAAGGGCGAATAGGTAATTTAATTTGTAAGTTTTTTATTCTAAACATTTGTATAATAGAAAGTAAGAGGAAGGTGTGGGGAAAAGAAAAGAAAAGAAAAGGAAAAAGAAAAAAACGAAAAGAAAAAAGAAAAGGCGCAGAAATTGCTTAAACTCCACTTGGCGAGGGTAGAGAAGGAAGTAATACGTTTAAAAATTGAATTATTATAATTATTATTATTATTTTATTTTATTTTATTTTATTTTATTTTTTTTGACCAAATGAGTACATAGCATTTTTCATCTGCTGTATTGCCCTAGTCAGATCTAATAGTATACAAGTAAGAAAAACCCTCTTAAGAGACAAAAAGGAAAAAGATAAAAGTATATGTGTAAAAGATAAAATAAATATAATGAATTAGAGAGGAACGAAGTAATTGGAAAAAAAAAGATCAGTAAGATAAAATTCAGAGACAGTACAAGGATATTAGCACTGTTAGTTGAGTAGCCATTTCACCAGTAGTGCACCAGGTTCTAAGGGAGGATCTGGAGGTAGCCTTTTCATGAAAGAGGTAATCTATTTCATGTAGAGTGATACAAATAGCTGGTTAACGGATTGTCCAGAAAGCCATATCCTGTGAGCGTTTTAACTTTTCAGTAGATGGCCATTCTTGGCATTTTGGAGTCGACGGTGCATATGTAGATAGACACTTAATAGAATGAGTACGACTAAACGTTTGAGAAGGATGGTAGGGACATGGACGAGGTATATCACCAGGTAGCCAAAGAATTGGATCGATGATCATATTAGGATAACATGCACGAAGAAGGTTGGAATTTAAACCCTAACAGAGGTTATCATGTTGAGTTTTTTGAAAAGCGCAAACGAGAGCCGTTTGAAAGTCCTTTTATCAAGTTCGTCCAAGATAGGGGCACATTCTATCCAGAGTGGGTTGACTGTTAGTTTATACCATTGAGAATGGTTGTTGGGCAGTTGAGGATGAGATAGAAGTTTGTTCAGTAATGTATCATCGGGTAGCTGCATTGATCGAATAAGGTATTTGGCTTGCAGAATAGTAGCTCTGGGTTGTCATTGAAAAGTTGTTGTATTAGGTGCAGCATCACTTTGGCTGAGGATCTAGCTGAACCACTAAAAGTACGTCGAATGCATTCATTTTGACAGGCTTCAAGTTTTGTAAAGTGACTATTATTCAAGGCGCAGATAACAAGACCATATTCCATTTGTGATCGTATTATTTGGCTGTAGAAACGTACTGAGAGTAAGCAATTAAACCCTTTGTGATTGACTCTAAGAGAGGAAATTTAGTTCATAGACGATCTAGCTTTTTTTAGTGTTGGGGTTGATGGGGGACAGCAGTCTCAATAAGTCCACCAGGTTTGATTGGAATTCCAAGATAACTGAAAGATGCTTCACTTGGTAGGGGTGTATCATAGAGGTAGTATGACTGTTCATCAGATGGCGGTTTAACAACAACACATTTTGGCGGGCTTCATCGGTAGACTAGACGGTAGCTATGGTCTTCACAAATTCGAAGTAATGTTGGTGTTGCAGTAGCTGAGGCTATTAATATTACATTGTCGGCGTAAAGCAAGGAGGTAATTACTGAAGCAAATTGAGTAGCATCTTGAAGATCATCTAGAGCGAGTGATTGAGATCTAAGCAGATCTGGTAACTCATTGATATAGATGGAGTATAAAAACGGTGACGAGACAGAACCTTGTAATACACCAGTAATTGGGATGAAGTGAGAGGAGGTCATGTTGTTCAGCAGGACTTCAATGTGGACATCATCAAATAGGCTTTAGAGTATACCAAGCATTGCAGGTTGTAAAAACCGTTGCAGCATTTGCCATACGTGAGATCAATCTAATGTATCGTATACCGATTTAATATCAATGTTGATATGGTAGATGTAACAAAAGAAGGCAGAATATATTTTGAAAGAAGAATATTTCCCATAAAATGATTTTGTTTGAGCTCTAGTCTTTGCCCTGATTGAGAATTAACCTCAGTTACTCACTCTAATAAATATTAAATTATTTGTGCTCAATCTAGCCGGTTATTTTTCTTGAAACCAAATAATGAAATCTCGTTTATTCATACTTGTGAATAATATAGGGAAGATGCTTTTGACATATAGATTTATATTCTAACCAGCTTCTTTATATTATATTCATTCCTCAATGTACTCTTGAATGAATTGCATTATATTGTATATTGTATAGTGTATAGATAGTATATGATTGTATTTATAAATTAGTATTTTATATAACATTATAACAATAATATGTATGTATAACTAATAGGTACAGTCTATAATTCATATATGTCTTTATCATTAACAACTCTTTACGCTATGTTTGGCTTATCATTATCTCGTAACGTTAGTATTTATTATAATATTATTTTTCTTATCACAAGAATGCTTTATAAACTGAAATCAAATAATTTTGTATGCATAAAGTGTACCACTAATAACTATAATATCATTCGGTCCTTCATGACTCTGATATGTATATTATAAGATACTATGTAATGCATCATTATATACACAACAAATATTCATTGAGAAATGTCAAATGTAAATTATGTAACGATTAAATGTAAAAACCCCAAATGAAGTCCTTATTGAATTAGCAATATGCTTACCCGTACCCGTACCCGTAACTATGACTGCATTTACCCGTAACTGTATTATATAGTATATAACCACTGTAACTCGTATGTTTATCAATCTTTTTATTCAGATTTTCTGTTCATAAATGAAAAAACAATGGATATGAGTGGCCCAATAAGACAAATATGGTTGATTATTGGTAACAAAAACTAATCCTTTCGTTGCTATAATGGATATGCGTATTGTCAAGTCCAATTGTAATCAAGATTGTGACAAAAGCTGTATTAGATAGGAGGAACGATAAATATACATGCATTGCCGTCGACAAAGGGAATGGAAAACCCTTTTCTTTTTTTTATTTGCCATAAAAATTAATTACAAGTGAGCTTCCTGCAATTTTTTAGAAGTCCAAAATAATATTGAAACAAATTCAATAAAGCATTCGATTGCATGCTGCTTATAAATAGCAAAAAAAAAAAAAAAAAAAAATACGACTGTGAAGTATACTTTATTCTTTTATGTACTGGTCAATTTTCGCTATCAGTTAAAATGAAGCTTTCAACAAATTGTGATAATCCCTATTGGCAGCAGCTACACAGTGCTTTTTGGGCCAAGAAATATATATTTGTTCTGAAGGTTGCGATTAATAGTAACAGTTATGCTGATCAGAGCCTTGATCCTCTTGCTGTACTTCAGTTATATATTTCTAGTAATGATGAAGTGAGATTGAAACTCAAGGATGTAACAAATTCAACTATTAAACTCTTGCGCACTGTGTCAGAGGAAGCAAGCTCTACAATATTTCGATTGTTAATATTGTTGAAAAAAAGAAATAAGTAAAACAGAACTACTAGTAATCATAGCGTACTTTATTTAAGCCTCTTCATGGAGATAGTTTGATATTAAACACACATAAGACATCGACTTCCTATAAAACAAATATTCTAATAGTTATATTACACTGAAGCTTTTTCTATTTAGAAATGGGATATTGTGACACAACGTTATACGCTATAAAATGCACTTCTTTACTAAATATACAAACATGCATGAATACTGCTGACATTACATATAGGAGTACACTAGCAGAGTTCTAAGGGAACATAAGATGCACGCAAACATATAAGCTGAAAAGACAGTGATAGAAATATTCTAGTGGCTACTTTACTTCTATTATTTTAGAGAAAGAAATGTTATATCATGTATAATAACTGAGTAAGCTACGCCTATTAAGCACAAACAAATATAAATGATTTTCTTTAGTGCTTTTTCATATGATCAATATGAATTATAATAGGAATAAGGTCAGAAAACACTACTGACAGTTTCTTCCTTTATTAAAACATATGCAACAAATAAGAAACAATAGTTATGAAATAAGATAAACGAGAGTGACTACATAGAAATATTTTATATTTTTTTATTTTTAGAAAATTGAACTCTAAGGCTTTCTCCATTTTTATGCTTCCAACCAAACCTCTTCTTTCCTTCTGCCAAGCAGAGCTTCCAGTCCATCTTCAAACCTTTTTCAGCCCTTTCTTTTTTGAAGATTTCTATGAAGTCCATAGATTCGTCATGTGTATCTGGTATTTCAATAGCTTTGTCCAGATCTACATCCTCAGAAAGGTAATTGTCGCTAGTAATTTTATCAAATTTCCTTTTTTGTTCAATGCTATATTGTAGTGATTGTGAAGCATATTCTTTAATTGCGCTCCTTGGAAGACTGTCATCTGCCAACAGAGTCAGAACCTTTTCATATTGTTTGCAATATGTATCATTCAAGTTCTTTAACTCCTCGAGCACACTTGCATTTTTCTCAAGGATTTTTGCGTATACATTTTGAGAAATACGATATAGCATTTCCATTGTTGCATTTTCTTTTCTTGGAGCTAGATCTATTGATGTTGCTTGAGTTGTAAGAAATAAGCAATAAGCAGCGAATGGATTCAAATTTGAATCCAAACCTGATTCATTGGAAATATAATTTTTGATGCTACTTTCATCAACAATATAGCAACGATCTGCACAATAGTCACATGGCGCTGCATAACAGGGTAAATCAACGCAGTATTCCAAACCCTTTTTTATTGTATCGCAAAGTGACTTGATACAAATAACTAAGAGAATTGGTTCAACTTCAAATCTTTTGTATGTCTGAAGACAATAACCAACCTCTCGTTTTATGAGTTCCTTGTTGACATTTTGCTGAAACTCTATAACGATAGGTGAGAGACCAGAATCTATCGATTTTGGCAACAAAACAACATCAGAATACGTGCCGTTTTGCCAATCAGTTGATTCAGGAAGGTATTCATCTTCTGTTTAAAAGAGCTCCTGTAATAATATTTACTACAGCAGAGTCTCTGGTTACTTCTTTGGAGATGCGATCTGTTCCTGGTCTGAACGAATTAGACAAGCTAAAACTAGTAGACATTTTGAACAAAACAAAAGTAAAACAACAAAATTCGATAAAACGCGGTTACGGATACGGGTACGGATAAATGCAGTCACGATTACAATTACGATTAAACATTTTTATTTTTATAAAGCATAAGCGGAGTTTTATAAACATGGCGTCTTCAAACAACGACGTATGTACCTTTTTATCTTTATTTTGTGAAAAAAAAAAAAGCTACTATTGATTATTTACATAAACAACAAGGACAATACATATTAGTAACTTGAATCCTTAATCCCATCTTCATAAATGGCAAAGGAACATTCAATTTCAGGCAAACATGGCGAATCAATAACTTTACAAGTTCGATTATCACCACGTCCTTTACGCAAATAAAGCCTTGTGCAAGATGCATGAGCAATGATATGGCCACCTGCTGGCTTTTTTGGATCAGGATTAAAGGCAGACATACCATCTACTTGTGCTACCATTTGGTTTGTTATTATCACAGCTAGACCAAACTCTTCTGCTAAGCGTTTTAATAAGTGTAAGACGCGTGCTAAATGATTTTGACGAGCTGATAACTCCCCTCGACCAATGTATTCAGAACGATACAAGGCCATAATAGAATCCACAATTAAAAGTGAAAACCGAGTTTGACACATGATAGATGCTGCTTGAATTAAGAGTTCTAAAAGATGATCTGTATTATGAGCATGTGCATAGGCAATGTTATCCAGCGTTTGATCACCATCTAATGAAAATCGTTCAGCAATTGAAAGAATGCGTTGTGCTCGGAAAGTATTCTCTGTATCTACATAAAGGCACTTGCCATTCCCACCACCTATATCAATAGGCAATTGCGAAGTTACGGCTAACATATGACATAATTGACTTTTCCCAGTTCTATATTCACCATAAACTTCTGTAATCGTACCTGTTTCAATACCTCCTTTTATGTAAGAATATCATTTTATATAATACATACATATATACATATATGTATGATGTTAATATATATACATATGTGTTAGTTCTATTATATAATATAATTAAATAGACCTCCTAATATATGGTTCAATTCTTTTGAGCCTGTTGTGATATGAATCGTTTCTTTCTGATGTTGATATATATCTGCCCCTGTAGTAAAACCTAAATCTACCATATTGCTAGCTATAAATGCGTATAGACAAAGGAAAAAAAAATTTATCAGTTTTTTTTCTTCTTTTTAATTCTTCAATTTTTTTTTTCCTTTTCATGTTATTACCTGCTGTTAATAATTTATCAGCTTTTGTTTCTGAAATGCCTTTGATGGCAATTATAGCTTTTCTAGGTGAAAAAGCTACAGACTCGACGGTATAAAAGCCCCCTTCTTTTAACTTATTGATCTCGGCTACTGATATACCAACTTCCTAATTGTCATACATATGCATACACACACATATATATATATATATATATAAACGTATTTATTTGTATATATGTGCTGCTTTACCTCCAGTCTAGATATTTTTAAAAACCCAACATCATCATCGTCATTTTGTACTTTTAACATTCTATTACGTATACACTTAATATAAATGGAGTGGTTTTATTATTATTATTATAATGTTATTCAATAAATGCGATGAAATAGAAGATAAAAGGGTGAAAAAAAAAAAGTTGGAAATAATCGAAAAAAAAAATACACATAAATATAGTAAATAGATAAAAAAAAACATATACAAAATAATAGATGTGATATATTTAACTCTCTATTAGAAAAAAAAAAAACTACTCAGTAGCATCACCAATACCATCTTCTAAAATAGCAAAAGTGCATTCATTTTCAGGTAACGAAGGTGAATCATATATTTTACATATACGATTTTCACCACGCCCCTTACGAAGATATAATCGGGTACATGAGGCATGAGCAATTATATTTCCACCTGCAGGCTTCTTTGGATCAGGATTAAACATAGATGCGCCGCCATCAACTTGAGCTACTACTTGGTTCGTAATCACAACAGCCACACCAAATTCATCTGCTAAACGTTGTAATTGTCGCAAAAACTGTGCTAAATGAATTTGACGAGCTGCTAATTCACCACGACCAGCGTAATCTGTACGATACAAAGCCATGGCTGAATCAACAATCAAAACAGAAAATCGAGCTTCTGACATCATAGCAGCTGCTTGAACAAGAAGTGATGTCTGATGATCTGTGTTGTAGGCTCTTGCATAGGCGATATTATCAAGCGTCTCTTCACCATTCAAAGAAAATCTTTCCGCAATTGATAAAATACGGCTGGGTCGAAATGTGCTTTCGGTATCAATAAAAAGACATTTACCTTGTCCACCTCCCATACTAATTGGTAACTGCGCAGTAACTGCTAACATATGACACAATTGGCTTTTACCCGTTCTAAATTCACCAAATAGTTCTGTAATTGATCCTGTTTCAATACCACCTATTTTTTTTTTTTTTTTTGAAAGTCAATAACAAAACACATTTTTTTTTAAAAGTAATTGTTACCTCCTAAAATCCGATCGAGTTCTCTAGAACCCGTAGTAATAGTAACAATTTCCTGTCGACGTTGATGCACATCCATAGCTGTTGTAAAGCCCAAATTTACAATTTTAGCAGCTAATAAAGGAAGGAAAAAAAAAGGTCAGTTAAAGAAATAAAAAAATAGATCGCTTCAACTGTAATTAAAGGTTTTTTTTTTTTTTTTTTTTTTTTTTTTTTTTTTTACCTTCTGCAAGTAATCGATCAGCCTTTGTTTCCGAAATGCCTTTAATTGCAAGTAATGCTTTCTTGGGTGCATAAGCAACAGACTCAACTGTATAAAAACCTCCCTCTTTTAACTTCTTGATATCAGTTGCTGAAATTCCAGTTTCCTAAATCGAACCCTATTATTATCTCTTTTTTTTTTTTTCCTATCTATAAACTTGATCTTGCTTATTTACCTCTAACTTAGAAATTTTCAAGAAACCGGCATCTTCTTCATCGCTTTGTGTTTGTGACATTTTCAATATTAAGTATAAATGGCTTTTACTTGTAGTAGAAAAGAGAAAGAGAGAGAGATCTATGTACGATGAATGAATGAAGAAGACTATATTATAGATATATAAAAAAAAAAGAAAGAAAGAATACTTCAGTTCGCGCCTTTAAATTAAAATAACATGTAAACCAATCAAATTTAACACACTGAGATTAAAATTGTTGCTATGGAAACCGATCTGCCGTAGCAACCCTTATTGTCTAAAACAGTTCATGTTGAAAAAACAAAATAAAAAAAGGGCAACCACTAAAATTTAAAGTTATAAAACAAAATGCCTTTATCAAATAAGTAATACATACAAAACAATGTAATAAGAATGAAGTAATAAGAGGGATGGGGGTGGGGGTAGAAAGAAGAGGAAAAGCAATGTTAAAATAGATTAGTTGAATTGTTCTGAGAAAAGACAGCGTTATTATTTAATCCTGTTGATCTATTAAAAACTCCATAACTATTTGTTAATTGAACCGGTGTAATATGAGACATTTGTTCTTGGTTTGATTGTGAAGAAGTATTCATATTTAATTGTAAACCAAAATAATTTGATAATTCATCGTCATATGCAGTGAATTGGTTGATTTTATTTTCATAATTTAATGCCATTACTGGCACTGTGTTAGTAGTAGTTGCCGCTGCTGCTGCTGCTGCTGCTGCTGTTGTTGTTGTTGTTGTTGTTGTTGTTGTTGTTGTTGATGTTGTTGTTGGATTCATATACATCGGCGGCTGTGGTGGAGAATATTGTAGATTAAATGGCTCATTGAATGAAGTGAGTTGTTGTTGTGGTAGTAGCGGTGGTGGTGGTGGCGGTGGTGATGGCGTTGTTGCTGCAGATGACATTAAATTTTCATCCTTATTTAAATCAGGTATTTCTTTTAAGCCTTGTTTCTTTCTCCATTCATTTGTATATCTTCTTAAATTATAATCAATAGTAAGGAACCAATATTTCTCAAAGAATTCAGCAGGTAATTGCCAATTGCCTGCCACAGCAGGATCTCCTCCATGGAATACTGAACCTGATAATAAGCAACGGAAACAATCATCCAAATCAAATAAATCTCTATATAAAATCATTCTATCACGCATATGAGGAGTTGGGATTAAATCAATTCTAGGATCATGTGGAATTGTAAGCTATGTGCGAAAAATAAAATAAAATAAATATTAGTTTATACGTGTAGGTATGATAAAAAAAATAACAAATTTACCTGTAATAAGGTAGGCTGAATGGCAAAAGATACAGATTTCATACGAACACAAGCGGATTGTAATCTTAGACGAAGACGTAACGTCTGAATTGCTGCTAAGTTGGAAGTGATAGGCTCATTTGGAAGCATAGTAGCAGTAGGGTGAGGTGGATGCACTTCTTGAAGGATTTCAGGACTAAATGTATTCTGGGGTGAACAAGATCTACTATCATCTGACTCAGCTAAACTGATAGGTGATAGAGAAGGCATATTATTGAATTCATCTTGTATATTCCCTTGTGTATTGCTTGAGTTAGCTATTGATGAGTTATAAATAGTGCTTTGTTGTTGTTCAAAAGAAGATGTTGTTAATGGTGATATGGATTGAGTTTGATTAGACCAGCTATTATTAGTTCGTGAAGTTTGTGGTGCTTTTGATAAATGATCATTTACAGTATGCACTCCATCCTGTGTAATGATAATTGAGCCTGTAGCCAATCGTTGATTTGGAAAGCGTTGAGACTGTTGCCGCTGAGACTGCTGCTGTTGTTGTTGAAAACAGTCATGACTATCATTCTGCATATTTTGTGATATTTTCAGCTGATTCTTAGAGCTTACATTTAAATATGAAGCGATCGATTCAGGAATCGATTGAGCTATAACAGAAAGTGTTTGTTGGTTGACATGAGGGCAATGTTGAGGAATTACAAGATTATGCTGTAAACAGACAAGTTGTAATGATAATACGATGCCTTTTAAATACCAGTTTTCAGCTCTCAGAATTTCATTTTCACTTGATATTTTTTGATTCTCTTGCAATAATTTATCCCGTTGTGCTTTAATGTCTTGAATGCTCGTTTCCAGATCCTTCATGTGTCGCTCTTTACGTTCTCTGAATGCTCTTTGAGCTGCTCTATTTTGTGCTTTTCGAAGTGCAGGTGAAGCAGGATTAGGTTTTCTTCCTGGCTTCTTTCTAATCTTTATAGGTGACTCTTTTGAATAAGTGGGAATAGTATTTTGTGATGGTAATGGAAATTGTGCAGATTGAGTTGAAAATTCATCCTTTTCCAATGATGGTGATTGCTTTTGTTCATTTATAGAGGTATATTCATCTTCATTAGACAAGTCCATAGCCTCTAGAGAAGAAGAGGTTCCAATAACATTTTCATTCATTAGTTATGTCCGCTAACAAAAAAAAAAAAAAAAAAAAAAAAAAAAAAAAAAAAAGTATTTGTGGATAATGGCTGGAAAAAAAAAATGAATAAAACTTTTACAAGATTCGGTAATTGTTTCAATTTAAAAAAGGAAATAATTTATCCGTGTCTTATTTCTATTGCATAAAACCAGATTTTGACAAGAACCTTTAAAAATTAAAGAAGATATCTAAATATAACATGAAAGAAATAAATAGAATAAGGTACCAAAAAAAATCAATAATTTTTTTCAACAAGGAGTATATAAAGACAATGATATACAATAAGAAATAATAATCTTATACAAACGTTCCTTTGTTGCCAGAAGATATGCGTATTAAAAAGGCATTGGAGTATTGTCTTTTTTTAATACTTTTATTTCTAAGTATTCATATATCCGATGCCATTGGTAACCTTAAAGATAATAATAATACTACTAGCTATCAAAAGTATCCACATACTCGTTACTATCAACTAAATATTACAAGTAAAAGATACAATGCAGACTGCTCTGATCATCAATCCTCAGTTCTTATGGTCAACAATCGTTTGCCCGGAACCCCAATCTATTTAGTGAAGGGAGATCGCGTTTTATTGAATGTATGTAACAATATTGAACCTGATACGCGCATTAATGGTGGTGTAGGTTGGGATATTATTGTTCATTTGCACGGTATTCTTCAAATAGGATCTCCCGGTTCAGATGGTGTTCCTTATTTAACACAAAGACCAATTGCTCCAGGTGAATGCTTTTTACACGACGTTACCGTCGTAAATCAGGAAGGTACTTACTTTTATCATGCTCATGTTGGTCTTAAGGAAATGAGTGTATATGGTGCTATCATTGTCTATGAATCTGAAAGGGCCGTCCCCAAATCTTCTCCTATTTATAAAAAAGGAAATCATCGTAATAAGGCAATGGTACAAGATGGTCCTTTCAAATATCATGATGAGCATACCCTTCTAATTAGCGAATGGTTTCATGCAGATACCGGTCAATTTGAAGAGTATTTCTTAGGCACTAATTTTGCGGGACTCATTGATGCGGATACAATCTTGATCAACGGCCAAGGTATCTACAATGAAGAAATTGATATTGATAATTCCTGTAAAGGGTATGCAATTATTCCAGTTGAGCCTTCAAAAACTTTGCGTCTTCGTATTATTGGTGGGTTAATATTCCGTACTATAGGCTTTGCTTTAGCTGGTCATAAAATGAAGGTCATTGAAGTTGATGGCAATTATGTGAAACCCTATGAAGTTGATTATCTTGAGGTATCTCCAGCTCAGCGATTCTCTGTTCTTATTACAACTGACCAAGCTCCAGGAGATTATGGTATTAATATCCAACGACGGTTAGTTGATTCTAACATTAGAATGACAAATGGGCATGCTATTATGCGATATCAAAAAAAGGCAAGCTCTTTTAAGGCTTGGTATTTTAATCCTCAAACGAATCAACGTTCAGGTACAAGAATCATTTCGGCCCCGGAGAACCAACCAGTTTTTCCAGCCGATGATACTCACCATTGGTATTGGAATCATTTAGTACCTTATTATGGTGTTGATCATATTGCATCAAAAAAAGTGAAAAGTAATAGGACAATCCTACTTCGATCTTCAACAGAGAGCATTAATAATATCACACACTGGTATGTAAATAATGAAGCACATACTGAAGACAGCGGCCATACAAGCGTACTTTTATATGATGTATTAAATAAAACTAGACCTCTGCCAAATCCCCGTAATAGAGATCGAGTTACTGGTTATGACTCTGTGCTTAAGACGTATCCTCTACAGTCTCAAGAGATTGTAGACATTGTTCTTCAAACAACTCTGGATAATAATGATAATTGTCGTTATCACCCATGGCATACACATGGTCACTTTCATTGGGAGATTGCTTATGGACATGGTGAATATATAGAAAAACGGGATGGACATATACGCAACGTACCTACTCCTATAGCTAAAGATTTGACTCTAGTATATGTAGATAGTGACGAAGAAATTCTTAATAATAATAAAGACAAAAAGCATCGTGGTTGCGGTTGGTCAAAGATTCGAATTATTGCTGTAAGTATGATTATGTTTACGTATATAAATAGTTCTAACTACATTTATATATATATATATATATATATATATATAGAATAATCCTGGTATATGGGCTATACATTGTCATGTTACGCCTCATATGTTTATGGGTATGATGGCTGTATTAGAAGAAGCTCCAGAGTTAATTAATGATAATATGCTACCTTCAAAATATTAGAAGAAGAAAAAGACCAGATTTAGTATAAAAGAGTCAATACATATATGTATACATATATAAATATGAAGAATAAAAAATCTAATAAATTATATAATATTTGTAAAAATATCATTTGTATATTTTGTAATAAAAGTTCGTTATATAAATATCTTTAATCACTATACAGGTTAAATAGTAGTATTTTAGCTGACACACTAATTTATACTATTGCTATTAAATAAATATTAAATTAAACTCATTACATATTACTATATCTTGTATTATTAAAATAATGACAAGACTATATATATTTTTGTTAGAAATAAGCATTGACTAATATTTAATAATATTCCCCAGTAATACAAAAATAATAATAATAATAATAGTAATAATAAAGAGATATAGTGCCAACATTTTGAAGACATGCCTTTTTGTTACTTTTTTATTTATCAACCTGAATAGCTAGCATTTGAGGTGTAAAGTCGAGACGAAAGCCATTATTTTAAGAAATAGTTTCAGGTACACAGAGGAAAAATGTTTCATAATTAGTTGATATAAATAATGCAGAAATTTGAATTTTCAAGTACAACTACATTTCTATTTTATTTGATTTTTCTTTCCCCTTTCCCTTTTTTTTTGTTTCATAAATAATGATAGTGAGTAGAATTGGTAAGTCATACAAAATAAGAATACATAATGAAGATATAATAGGGAGATTACTAAAAAGTATTGACATATATATATATATATATATATATATATATCACTTGTAGATGTTAAAAACAATCAATTAAAGCAAAGTAATATGTTATCCTCATTTTTAGATACGACAATGGAAAGTGAAAATACGACTGAAAATCCCCCTTCACACTCTGCAGAGGCATACTCTATCGCCAATCATGAAACACCTATTGACTTCTTTTTTAATCATAAATCTACTATAAAATTACCTAATGGATGGACGACACAGAGAAAAAGAGCATCTATATTTGAATTCGATACTAATATTCAAACCTTAAGTGAACTCTATTCAGCTCTCATGGACCTTCGAAACCAACTTCCAGATCCTGTGGCAAGTGAATTAGAAGCACCCTTTAAGCCAACTTTATTCACATTTGGATCTTCATCTTCATCGTGTTTTACAGAGAATAGCTTTTTCTCTTCAACAACAAGATCTGTTTACCACGATCTTCATAGCCCAACTATAACTTCATTACATAATAGCAATGTTGATAATAATAATGATGATGATGATCAAGAAGTAATCTATCAACGACTTGAGTGGACTTATCCTGACTTTATTTTTGATCTCTTGATAGATATTTATTTTAATTGCTGTATCTCACCCATACGTCTACAGTCTCGATTAGACAGATTTCAAAAGTTATCGATAAAGCAAAGAGCTTATCTATGTGCTATCTATGCTTATAGTTCATTACATGCCTTGATTTGTCATCCTGAGAGATTTAGTATGTATAGCCTTCTTATGCAGTCCTTAGCTAAAGATGCTTACAAGGTTGCCTTTGAACTTGTCGAATTTGATTCTATAGATGTCATCACAGTTGAAACACTTGTTATTATGTATCAATATTTAATGACATCTGGATACGAAGGAGAGGCGCGTAATTTGTTTTCCTTGGCTCAAAGACAAATGGAACTTTTATTATCATCATCATCATCATTTAATAAAGAAGACATAGATTTGCATCGACTCTTTGTCTGGATGACAGATTTAGATTGGTCGTTTGCTTTACTTTCAACGAATCAGTTTCATACTCATCAATCACCTACTACTATTCGATATTGTGATGTAAAAGCATCTTTAAAAAGGATTCAAACGAGAGACCATCATGCTAAAGAAGACGAACTCTCTATAAAGGCAGCCAAGTTCAGAATAAAAGGTTTACATATCCTCTTAGCCACTTCTTATGCAACGATAAAGGAAAATACGACTTTAGCCTCATCCTCAAATTTAAGTCATTCACATGAACGCTTAAATCGTTGGAGATCAAAGTATCTAAAGACATTTTTATATAAACGTCAACCGTCTTCTAATGAGTATACGCTTGAGGATCAGTTAGCGTTGAGACTTCATGCTCTCTATTTTACAAACATGTTGGGATTGCATCAGCAGCATATGTTGAAAGGATTTGAAGAAGATCAAACTAGATGGGGGTCTATCCTTGATAGACAACAAGAATGGACAGATTATTTTAATGACCAAGCCACAAATAAAGGGAATGAAAAAGTCGAACGAGGTCTTTATAGTAGTATGAATGCAGCTTATGGATTTATTCAAGTCATTCAACTTTTATTAAATGAAAAAGATTATTGTACTTTACCACAAGTAAGCAAAAAATAAACGCACACACACACACATATATATATATATGTATATCATCTTATTTATTTACTTATATATCTATCTATATATATATAACCAAAAAGTTGATCGATGTCTTATCAGTGGCTTGTACTGTCCTTTACTTTGGAAATAAAGTGATAATTTCAAATGAAGAAATGATACAGAAATCAAAAGAAGCTTTGTCATTTGTAGTAAAGGCCTTTCTAAATTCATATTATTCTATAATGGTTATTGAATGCCCAAGAATTGATAGATTTGTTAAAAAATGGAGCTTACTTATATCTCCCTTAGCATGAGAAGAGTATACAGACTATGTGAATTCCCTTCCCCCCTTTTTTTTTCTTTATATATAAATAGATAAATAAATAAATAAATAAATAAATATATATATATTTGCATGGATGTATGTATGTATATTAAACGCATTCCATATAATAGGCATATATATATATATTATGTTGAATTTGTCAATGTTGTTGAAGAAGCAGTTTTATAGATTGTTGAAGTTATTGAGAGAGCATGAATAGTTTCTTCGAGTAAACCAGTAATATGTTCAACTCCATGTCGTCTATTGCTATTAGCAATATTCTTTATAATTAGAAAACGCAAAATATCCAGTAAAACTTGAAGTCTTAATTGGATTTCATTAAGCCAAAGTTTCCAAAGATAAGAAAAAGAATATTTAGTGTTTATATCATGCTTAATTGTCAATTCTTGATTATGATGATTATGATGATGATTATTATAAATGCGTAATAGGATCGTAAGGATACCATCAGGTACTGATGAATCAACAGTGTAACGCAAATCACAAGGCTGCGTTATAAAGAAACGATGAACATGTGAATTTACAAACTGGTCTACATCACTTGATGAAAGTAAATCAGCTTGTATCAAGGCACATAAAAACTGAATTAAAAGGATAAATTCTCTACTTTTTTCTTTTAGGGCTGCATTCATTATTTTATCATCTATCATGATTCCAGGTAATTCAACAATGGGTAATAGGCGTTCAATATGATAGTCTTGATAAGAAAGGCGGATAGAGGTAAGTTGACGTTGAAGTTGCATGATTAATAAACGACAATGAGTTGACGAAAAGCAGGCATCATAAAATATGATGCTTAATGTTTCATGTAATACTGCTAAATAATCTGCCAACAGCACACATGTTAAGGATGATTCCTCTGGTTGCAGATGAAGTAATTTCCATTCACGATCATTAAGAAAAAGTTTTCTTTCAACAGAAGTTGACTTGTTGGTATTATCTATTGAATAATCACCCAAGTCAGGATCTAATAAGTGATGGTCAACAATGATCCTTAAAGTTTTATCTAACAAATAACTCAATGAATCATTTTTGTCTTGTGCTTGGATAACTCTGTCATTAATAGCGATAGCCATATGATTTGCGACAGATTGTAAGACAAAAGGATCAATAAGAAATCTATTACAATCTTGTTTGATTATTCCATGTCTTTCCAAGTAAGCCACTGCAGCATGAATCAAATGGTCAAAGGTGCTACAGACACTTTTCCCATGTTCTATCAGCAAGTCAATTTGATATTTTGATTGGAGTACTTGATGAGATAGGAGTCGACTTTTACGAGAACAAGCACCTAAATACCAAATATCTGGATATCTTAAATTTTCACTTATTTTTAAAATAAGTTCAAATGGTAATTGCTCAAACTTGTTGCCATTCGTCATTAGCGTAAAGAAGTTTCCCAATTGTTTCTCCTCTATAATTATATATAATATAATATAATATATAATATAATACGTATATATACAAATATATATACATATAAATATGAATATGTATATGTATATAAAAAGGAAAAAAAAAAGAAACAAAATAAAAAGGAGAGAGCAAAAAAGGGTAAAATAAGATGATGTGTGTTGTATAATGTTTATTAGTATTCTGCATAATTTACCAATAGAATCCTTTGTTTCTATAAAAGACCGATACAAATAAGAAATAAATAAATAAAAAAAAAAAAAAAATAAAATAAAAAAAGAAAGAAAGAGAGAGAAGAAAATGCATTTATTGTACAACAAGTCAAAAATATTTAACATAGATTCTAAGGTTTAATGCCTAAAGTTAATTTAATACCCATACTCATTAATTCAGTTGTAAGATATCTGAATACATAAGGAATAGCAATCAAATCAATGCCCTTTGCTGTACCACATGTCTTACATTCATATGTACGACGATTGCCTAAAGTTGACACTATCTTGGTACAAATGGGTGAAGCTAATGATCCACAAAGACGACATACATATGCTTGACTATAATCTGAACAGTTCATTAAACGATCTTGAAGAATGTAACTTGTACCATGTGCAATTAATGAATCACGTTCCATTTCACCGAGACGAATACCACCATGTCTCTTACGACCTTTAACAGGTTGCATAGTAAGGTTATGTACTGGACCGGTTGTACGGACTTGGAATTTATCATTCACCATGTGTCTAAGACGTTGATAATATACGACCTACAACAAAACAGATGTATAAATGTATGTACATGCTTGAGTCTTTTTTTCTTTTTCTTTCTATATCTTAACCAATTACTATAAATATACTTACACCAATATAAATATCCATCTTTAATTCTTCACCAGTAATACCAGAATACATTGCTTCATTACCATAATAGTTATAACCAGCCTTTCTTAATTGTTCTCCAAAGTAATCAGCTGCTGTGTTTTGTTCATTGAATTTAAATGGTGTACTATCCTGTGCAATACCATGAAGAGCACCTGCTTTACCAGCAATACTCTCAACAAACATACCAATTGTCATACGAGAGGGGAAAGCATGAGGGTTAATAATAATGTCAGGTTGCATACCTGATTCTGTAAATGGCATATCAATAGCTGGATATTTCTGTGAACAGACACCCTTTTGTCCGTGACGAGATGAGAATTTATCACCAATAACGGGGGAACGTGTGATACGAAGCTTGATATGAACTTTTTGAAGCTCACCATTACCTGAATCATCACCTAAAATACGGACTTCATCAACATAGGCATCTTCAGGTCCCTTGTATTTCTTGATGATATTTCTGCCTGTAGACTCATCAATATAAGAACAAATAGGATCATCAGCTACTAAATGGGCACCAATGTGTGGCAAACCATCATCTCCAAGCTTGTTACGATATTTCTTTCCTTTAACAGGGTCAAGACCAAATCTATATGTAATTGGTTCACCACGAGAACGCATACTGTTGAGATCAATTGTTTCTGCCTTATAAACTGTACCATAACCAAAACCACGCTCATGTGCTGACTTGTTCAAAATCATAGCATCTTCCATATCATAACCAGTATATGAAATAACAGCAACAATGGCATTATTACCTTGTGGCCAACCATCAAGACCGTAATGATTGTAAAGTTCGGTTCTCACAACAGGTGTTTGTGCAGATTGGATACGATACAACTTATTATCTGTACGATGATTGATAACAGTAGATGGTGTACCCATCGTTTGCTTACCCATTTGACATTGATACATATTACGAGGAGATTGGTTAAAATCAGAGAAAGGTGTTTGATTAGCAACAACACTAAGAATATGAGTGGGGGCAATTTCTTGATGAGTAGTTACACCAGGAACAACTTCATCATCCATACAGGCAATATCCATATAAACTTGTTCAAAGGTACCAATCATATCAGTCTTACCATTACCAAGATATTTCACGGGACGCATCATACGAGCCGGGCTAGAGAATAGATAAAGACCAGGATATTCACCACCATAAGTTTTAGGTACATTGGCAATTTCAAGATCGAAAGGAACTTTGTTTTCATTATTCACTCTCCATACCTTTAAGCTCTCAGCTGCCTTAGCAGCAGTAGCAGGTGTACACCAGCCAATAATCTTACCATCCAACATAACAACAATATCTCCAGGACGATTAATAGTGTGAAGGAAATTTTGAGATACACCAAGGGCTGTTAAAAGACGAGGAATATTTGCAACATCAAGAGGTTCGTTGATGACCTTACATTTGTGGGCTAAATGGTTCAAAAGACCACATGGTGCACCATCAGGAGTATGGACAGGACAAAGGAAACCCCAGGCTTCAGGAAGTAACTTACGAACTGATGTTGTTTTAAGCTCAGCAAAGAAAGCACCACGATGGATACAACGGAAATGAGATAAATAACGGAAAAAGTTAAGTTTTTCGGCAACAATAGTGAAACCAGAGAATTGTTGAAGATCCAAACCTGTCTTACTAACAAGATTACCTGTAGCTAAGAAATAAGCTAATTTGGGACCAATATCTGGATTTGATTTACGACAAGCATTCTGGAAATAAGTATCTATGTACATACAGATAGTATGTTAACAAATGATTCATTTATAGTGAATTCTTTTTTTTTTTTTGAATAGTAACTTACTGTTAAAGAAGTCAACTTTGGATGGATTTAATCTAATATCGTTACGGATCTGCATTCTAATACTATTCAAATAATCAAAAATCTTTTCTTTAAGAATCATATTGTAAAGGTGTCCGCCAAGAAGCACTTCTTGATGTTGAGGAGCATCTGGATTATCAGGAACACATTCACCAGAGACAACAGAGTAAAGTTTACGAATCATGAAGGCCAAAAGATTAAATTTATCACGATTGTCATCCATATGAACAAAAACGACTTTCTTAAGAAGTGCTTCACCTACTTCTTGATCAGTTAAATCTTCATCAAGCATCATAATGACTCTGAACTTTTCACCAATGTAACTTAAGCATTGTTCACGAGTAAAGAGAGAATAGATTTTGAAGGATCTCAAGAGTAATTCAATACGATCAGTTAAGAATGTATTTTGAAGATCGCCTTGGCATAGAGCATCAAAGATTTCTTTATCGGATGTATCTACTAAGGCCTTAAAGACAAGAACAGCAGGTAAAAGATATTCTTGCTTACGCCAGGCAAAACGGAACATAACATTACCATCTGTCAAATAATGAATTGTATTCGTTAAAGTTGTTTGATCACGACGAGCACAACGAATGGCACAACCATAAGTAGAGTAAGTAGGACCACGATTTTGGAATGAATTACGAACGATAGCAGTAACATGATTACGACGTGGGACAATCAAGAGACGAATTAACTTTTCAATACCGTTTACAATAAAATAACCACCCATTTCTTCAGATTCTTCATGATGAGCAATTAATTCTTTAGGGAACATTCCTCTAAGGTTACAACGATTAGAACGAACCATAATAGGGATCAAACCAAATTCTCGGTTTTCAGACTGAACAGGACCATTATTCACTTTCCAACAGATTTTGCCTTGAAGTCTACCACGATATGTAGTTAAACGTTCACGACATTCAGTAGGATAAATTCTTCTTTTGAGTGTTGTTGTATCTCTTTCACTAACCATAGGTTGATGCATCTTAACATCTTCAAGCCAAAATGTTAACTTGTTGCCAAGTGAGACACCTTTTGGATCTAAATTCTTGTCATTGTCCGCATTATCGAATACGGAAAATGTACCAATGTCCTTAATAGCATAGTCTAATAAACCTGGTTGTCCAAGACCAAATTCAGAAATGCTATTAAAGGATTCAAGGTGAGGTGCAACAACTTCTTGTAATGAAGGAGTTCCAAACTTCTCATTTGAGGGATTACGGAACATCTCCTCTCGTTCAAGTGTATTAAATTTCGACATTTTTATTTATCGTCTTTCTTTTTTTTTAATTCCTCCACTTTATATTGTTGTTGTCTTTCTTTATGCCTGTTGGGCGGATCGTTGAGGTTGTCTAGTTAAAAAAAAAGAATAGAAGACAATGTGCTTTTAATCAAACAAAAAAAAATTTCAACAAATAAAAAAAAAAAAAAAATGTGACTTATATTTTTATAGCCACTTTTGATTGAGTTTCAAATTATACTTTCTATAAACGGACTTCAAAACAGGTTCATGTCTGTTGTCTACAAGCTGGTTTAGAGCTTTAGATCTTTTAACCATACGTTGTAATACGTTAAGTCAAGAGCATAAATAATTAGTATATATATATATATATAAAAGAATACATATATTTAAGATATGATGAAAGTCAATACTTTTCAAATATTGAAAGATACAATCTAATTCGACCCTGTGTTGATGACAAATCAATTATTTGTGTGTTAATATATGAAGAACAATAACCTTAAGCAGTCTAAAAAAAAAAAGAAAGAAAGAAAGAAAAAACTTTACATGATATAGTGTTAGTTTATAGCAAGAATAGTATAAAGTTAATAGCTTTAATACTGAGTTTGGAAAACTGGATAATTAACTTCTATACCTGTTAAGGCATATATCATTCAATTGCTGCTGGATGAATTTTATTTACTTAGTATACCTAATGATATTGTTATTTCTTAAAATGAATTATGTATAAGTCATCTAAGCATTGATCTTAACGTATGACTATATACATTTTCACTATATTTATTGGTTCTTTTCTACATTAAAAATAAAAAAAAAGTAGTTGAATAAATCAATATTAAGTATTTAGTGAATTATACACTTTATTGATGATTGTATTGTTATATTCTATATCTTATAACATTTCTTAGTGTTTTAGTCTCAGTCAAAGAAGACCATAATGGGATTACTACTTACTTAGTCACCTTCCGAAGACTAGTAGAGAATATTATTAATAAACAACATAAACAGAGCTATTTCCTTTTTTTATTTCGACTATTCTTTAGTTTGATTAAATAATGCTATATCCTTGCCATGCCTCTCATCTTTGAGTATCTATAATATAACCTTTCTTTGTATTATCCATGAGTTAACTTTATGTATAAATTATTTATTTTTAATTAGTATATTTTTATTTACTCTTCTCAGCAATTGTATAATAAACAGCTTAATATATATTGTACGTGATAGACTAGATATGTTTAAAAATAAGATTTGACTACTTATTCTTTTTTTTTAAAAAAAAAATACAAAATATTACTAACAAAGAAAACCTATTAAGTAGTTTGGTGAGCTGCTAAAATTAAGTTAGGAAAATGAAATATGTTTAAGGAAGAAGCTCTTTAGACTCAAAAATTACTATTGATACATCTACTTAAATATCATAAAGATATTTCTACGACTTTATTATTAGACATTTAACTTTTCAATGATTAGAAGAAGAGCTCAATTTAATAGCTTTTTAAAGAATACATCGGAGATGAGAAGCTTTTTTTTTTTTTTTTTTTTTTTTTTTTTTTTTTACCGAACGCAGTAAAAAAAAAATACATATTTGTGTATATAAAGCAACTATATATTAAATCTCCGTAGGGGATACGCATTAAATTAGAAAAAACGCGGGAAAAGTTAGTTCTTTATTCTTTTTTGTTTTTATACACATTTTTTTTTTAATTTTTTTTTAGAAAAATAAAATAAAATAAATTAAGCAATGAACAAGAATATGTCTGTTTATGTCTCAGGCTATACAACTGATAAAAGTATCGGTATATATCAATACAACTTTGATTCATCAACAGGAGTTTTGACACCTAAAGGCTTAGCAGCAGAGGCTCTTCATCCTTCCTATTTTTGCCTTCATAAAAGTAACCAGCACATGTATGTTGTGAATGAAATTACTGGATTTCAAGGTCAAGAAACAGGTTCAGTCTCAAGTTATACACGAAACAAGGAGACTGGGGAGTTGAGGTTGATAAACCAACAGCCTTCAGGTGGTGAAGACCCTTGCTACGTTACCTGTGATGCTACTGGAAATTATATCTTGGTTGCTAATTACACAAGTGGCACAACTTCTGTCTTCCCCATCATTTCCCCAGGTTCCCCAGAATCTTCTATAGGCGAGGCAGTTTCGATATCTAATCATGCTGATTTATACCAGCCCTCTGGAGGTGTCCCTGCTCGTCAAGAAGGACCTCATGTTCATTCCATCGATCTTGACCCTATTACTCAACACTATGCATTCGCTAACGACCTAGGTTGTGATGTCCTGGCTACTTACAAATTTGATCGTCAACATACTGGGAAATTAACTCTTCATTCGACCTTTGAATTTCCTAAGGGCTCAGGCCCTCGTCATCTCAAGTTTGCACCTAACCATAATAACTTTTGTTATCTCGTGACTGAGCTCTCTAATGATGTCTATATGCTTGAGTTTGATTCTTATGAGGGTAAATTTCGAAAGATACAACAAATCTACGCATTACCTGAAGGTGAGAAGGAAAACCTAGGCTCTGAGATTGACATCACGCCCAACGGTAAATTTTTGTACGTATCTATGCGAGGTTATGATCTTATTACGATCTTTGAGATTGATGAAAGAACAGGTAAACTTTCTCTAGTCGGTCATCAAGATACAGGTGGTAAACATCCTCGTCATTTTACAATTGATCCTACAGGATCCTATTTATTAGTTGGAAATAAGGTAATATATATATATATATATGATATGATTGAATATGTATATGTATATATAGATATATAAAAGCCTCTAACATCTTTATATTATCAAGGATTCTGATAACATTGTTGTTTTCAAGATAAATCAAAAAACAGGCACATTAACACAGGTATCAAGTATTAAACATGTTCAACCTACTTGTATACAATTTTGGGAATAAATAAAAAGATGTATACATGTTTAATATTTATTTATTGCATATATACATATTTGTATGTATGGAGAAAAAAAAATAGACTAGTTTGTACTAGGTTGTTGAAATCCAAGTAATTCTTGCATACGTTGTTGTGTCTATATATTAAGCAAAGTGAATACTTTGTTTATGTTTAATTTTTCCTGACTATTTTTACCTTCGTGGTCAAGTAATGGAATACAGCTTCCTTCAACCAAGGTTGCTTATAAAAGTCAGATTGACGCAATTCTTCCAAATTAACCTCACTTTCACCCAAGATGACTTCCAAATCCCTTGCTTGACTTGCAATCCATTTATTGATAAAATCGACAGGTTCCTTTGAAAATTGTAATAAAAAGTCTCGTTTAATTTTACTGTTATTAATACTTTGAACACATTGAATAATTTTATCGTCTAAAGCATTGATTTCCTTCTGCGTTTGAGTGGATGATACGATATGCATCATTTTTTGACGAACAATACTGTCCAACTCGACTTCAATATCGTATACCTTTGATGACTGATGTAATGGCTTATCAACACGAATTGTATAATTAATAACAATAGGGTCAGGTCTACTTAAATGCTGAGAAATTAATTCTGGTAATTGAGAAAAGTGAAGTTGAGGAAATCCAAATATCTAAATTAAATGAATGAGCTTATCGTCATTCTTTATCTTTATATAATACTTTACCTGAGCTAAGCGATTATCACAACGAATAATTCTCTTATCTTCAGCATCTTGAAGTTTATGAGCCTAATGAGGGAGGGAGGTTTGTTTTTTTTTAATCACTTCTACATATTGGTAACTCTTATAAAACTACTTGCCTTACAGTAATTCCAAATCCCCATAACAATATGTGGTTTTGTTTCAATCTTTGCGTCTAATAAATCGGCCAAGACAGGGCTTAATTTAAATTTTGGAGGGTTATAATCAACATTCAAGATGATCTTTGCATTCACATTAACATCCCCTTTCCTCTTTATTTCAACAACATTAAACTCGGGTGAATTAGGTTGTTTTTGCCACTAAAATAATAATAATAATAATATTTGATTAATAGGAATTAGTAAAAGATGTATGTATTTACCTCAATGTAATTTCCTTCTGGATATAGATTTGGATCTCTATCTAATTCTACAGCAATTGAACGAAAGAAAGAGGTGATTTTTGGTGTAGATCGATTAGACTAAGCATTTAATTAGTATCAATATAAATGTGAAGAGAAAATAAAATAAAATAAAATAAAATAAAATAAAAAACTTACATCTAATAAACGACCTTCAATTCTAAGAGTCCAATTAGGAGTAATACCGTTGTTTAAGTCAAAAGTATTTTCTTGCTCTGTATGTACTGTTTGATCTGATGCTGTATTTGAAATGAAAAGACGAAGTGTATGAGGTACCTACAACAATGTTATTTATTTACACATTCTATCTTTATATAGATGTAGTGGTATTGCTAACCTTTGATGGTTTTCCAAGAGCTTCTTGAATATCTAATCTCTTCCTCATGATAGTCGCATCTAATTTTTTTTCAAATTCAACTAGCTCGCGATATAATTTTGATTCTGGAATGAACGTTTCAATCTGTAAAGGGGCAAAATAATAATAATAATATTAGAATTCCTGTTTTTATGTTTAAAGGAAAAAAATGAATATAGATCTAACCTGTGGTGGTACATTTTTATCTGTAGGCCTTTTCTTTCTAAATAGACATGTATTATTAATGAATAGATTAAATCTCTTTTTTTTTCAATTTAGAAATTTACTTGATGTGTTTAGGAAGCGTATCCACTTCACTAGGTCGTTTTCTGAATGGCATTGCATTTGGTGGCATTCCTTGAGGAGGCATCATATTTCCAGGTGGAGGCATAGTACCAGGATGTTGCTGATACACGTGAGATTGTGGTTGTGGTTGCATACAACTGTTTAAGAATAGAAATGTGTATATTTATATATGTGTATAAAAAAAAGGAAAGAAAAAACACAAATAAAAAAAATGAATATGCTTTAAAACGTGACGTGTCTTTTTTTCTTTTCTTTTTTTTTCTTCCTTTTTTTTTTTTTTTTTGCCTGATATGTCTGAGAGTTAGAGACTAAGTTTTTTTTTTAATATTATTTCTAGTTAAAGAAGAACCCAAAGAAAGCATTTGAATGAGTAGACTATTCTTTTAAAAGCTGATTTAATAAGATATTTCTTTAACTTGGTTAGATGATTTATCATTTTCCGTTAATTTTTGATACCCAAATATGGTGTATACTTTATTTTAATATTCTCCGATAGGAATTAGAAAGGGGAAAGATTGCAGTAGTCGTCTTATCAGCAGATATCAATAGCTTTGTATTGTCTACTACTCTATAAAAAAAAAGACAATTCAAATTATGCTTATTAAACGCGTCTATCATGTCAGTAATTAAATTTAAAAAATATGGTTATATTTAGTAGCCTTCTGAACCAACTAAGCAAATTTAGTAATTAAAAAACCCGCATTGATTTTACAGTGATTTACTTTTGAAAATCGAATGAAAATAGAGAAAATTTATTAGCAGTTAGGAAAAAAAAAAGTTGACAGTAGAATTATCATCAATCAAAAATACACCTATTTTTTTTAGAGAAGTTTTTAATACAGGAAAAAATATCTCGAAAGAGTCAACAATGCATATTTTTCCTGAGAGTTTTTTCAAATATGTGAGTTGGATCAAACTAAGGGTTAATGTATTATTTCCCAACTTTATAACATAAAAGCCTATTTAAATATATACTTTTTTATTGAGCAAAAAAAAAAACAGTACTTTTCTTGGTTCTCAAAGCAAACAAACTTTGATACTAACAGGATTAACCACGAGAAGGTGAAAGTACAACTAATCCCAAAAGGAAAGTAAGGAAATAGTTTAAAATAAATTTTTAAGAGCCTCTCTCCCGATAAAGCAATGGTAATACCATCACACAGTAAAGGGAAATTGGAGATCCAAGGAAAAAAAAATAAGACAGGTCAGGAAATGAAGTTATAAAATATGATAACATTAATACAAAAAAAAAAAATGAATAAAAAAGTTATATATTTTTTTTAGGTGGTTCGTAAGCATCACATTAAACAATAGCAATCTCGATAAGCAACTTACTGGTGAAAATTACAATCAGGTAATAATTCTCAGGTAAGCCAACTCTTGGAACATGTTTTAGTTGCGTCACGTATTAGAGATTCCGTCAAGCCTACAGAGATTGCTCACAATCGAACTATCCGTATACCTTACTTTTACCCTACAGTATAAAGATAGTGGTTGCCAAGATAAGAGAATAAATCAGCTTATCCCGGCCCGATCATGTTTGTTTGCAATGAAGAGAGTATTTGTAAGAAAAAGAAGAGAAAAAAGAATTAAAAATAACTGCATCTGTTGAACTAGAATAATACACTAATAAACTTTTAAATAATGACGTTTATTCTCATTACCCAATAGTATCTGAGGATTTTGGCAAACATGTAAGGGCTTTAATTTAACTCTCACTTTATCATTCTTTAACACTCCTAATGTTTTTTTTTTCTGGAAAACAAGGAGTTTCTGTTTGCTACTTTGTCTCGTCAATAAATACTATTATAGAGTTAAAACATTTATTTAAAAATATATTCCTGTTCGCTGACATTTTGTTATCTCCCGTTACCTTTGTATTTTATCTTATTCATTTTCAGTGTTGTTATGATTGTTGTCGTCTTTACAACAAAGTTAATAGAAATAAACCATCATTTATTAAATAATAAAGAAGGTTTTTTCAAATAAAACTAGTGTATTGTACTTCACAGCATAATATTCATTCTACATTCAGTTTTAATAAGCTTAAAAAATTCAATATGATTGTGAATGACTACAAAGGTGATCTAGACTGGATCAGTAACTCTAAGGTCCCAAAAGAAGTTATTCATTATTCTTTATTCTTAAGGAATAGAGAAATTGTAAGTGTAATGATATAGAAAGCTTATTACTATTATTATATATTAATTATAATGATATAGCCAAGCAAGGCTACTATTAAAGCAAATATAGCAAAATCATACTGTTTAAAGAAAGAACAATTAATACACAACAGTATTGTCATTATTGGAGATAATAATAGAATTACTGGTAGTAATTTTAATGCTAATGTAATTTTGCAAGCAACAACGTGTATTGTGAGTACGCTATACTTATTATTATTAGGAAACCCGTGGTAAATCTAAAAAAAAATGTTGTTTAGAAACACAAAAAAAAGAACATAGTAGCTATAAAAAAGAAAAAGTGAATGACAAAGTAAGGCAAAATATGATTAAAAAACTCTTTTATTGATTTTTTTAAGAGCTCTAGTGTTTGGAAGGATTGGTTAGAATTTTCAATCATGCATTCTTAGGAAAATTTAAAGGAATTTAAAAGAAATATCAAAAATATTCCAAATTTTGAAGAGAAAGATGAAGTAGCAATAGAATTCATCCAAGGAATATTTAACACTAGGTAAGAAATATACATAAATAAATTATAAAAATCTAATAATAATTTGTTATAATAGCTACAATTTATACAGGACAAAGCAGAATATTAAAGAGCTTGAATCAATATTCGATGATTTGTACATATACCCTATATTTAAAGATTACAGCCAATGCATTGTTTGAAACCAGATAAAAAAGTCAATCAGAGTTTATGGTTGGTGAAATATCATTGAAAGCAATGTCTACCCAATTGAATTCTGTAGGTTTGTATCGAGATGATGCAGGTCAATTCAAGGTAGATGGAATAATAACGCTCTATGGCATTCATCGCCTAGAGCTTTTATTACTTGAAACATCATCTCATTTTGGGTATACTGATCGCTCAAAGATATCATTGGACCACTATAAAGGGTTATTTGGAGCGTTATCAATGTTAAAAACGATTGCTGACACTTTTTATTTTGCCTCGATTGAACAGTTTGGTCAGATGAAGGTCTTCTTCACTCATGCTGCAGGTACAAATATATAATTATATTAAGTCTACTAAGATATTAACGGCTAAATGTCTAGAGAAAACTGTTTACTTATGGAGCCTTAGGTACGAGCATGAAGGAAGAGTTTATGAACTTTGGTTGGAGAAAATACTCCATCTGCAACCAGAGTTTGAAAAACGAGATGAAGAGTTGTTAAACATAATAAACTTTTATTGGTCAATGAAGGTAATTTCCACGAAAAAAAATGATATCTGTAATAATGAATAGTAATAATTTTATACTTTACCAGAGTTTACTTGAAGAAGCTACTGATAACATGATAAGACTTCAAGAAGAACACAAGAAAAAGCTTGTAGAATATCGTTTCTCCACCCCTCCATCAGAAATGCTGAAAACAATCGTGAACCCCAGCATATTAAAGCTAACAGAAGAAAGCAATAAAGCTGGGATGTATCTTCTTGGTCCCTTCTTCACAAATGCGAATTAGTGATTTTGTTGAAGAGTAAATATGTTTATTGAAATAAATACCAAAATAATTTTACAATCTGTCCATATCGTGACATCTTGGAAATTGTCTTTAAGAATGACGAATTTAACCTTTAAGAATAAGCAGAGTATTTATTTCTTCAAGAAAATATCAAAACCGAAAAGCCTAGACGGGTTACAAATTTCAGATACCAATTCTAAGCAAAGCAGCATTTGGGGGGGGAGGCGTTGTTGTTCCTAACTCACATATTTGAAAAAGCTCTCAGGAAAAATATACATTGCTGACTCTTTTGAGATATTTTTTCCTGTATTAAAAACTTCTCTAAAAAAATAGGTGTATTTTTGATTGATGATAATTCTACTGTTAACTTCTTTTTTTTCCTAACTGCTAATAAATTTTCTCTATTGGTAAAAAAATTTCTCTTGCCAAGATTACAAATTCTATTTTTATTTCCCAAATATTCTATTTTCAAACACAAATCATTGTAGACAATTAATATGCTGATAATATACAGACTACCCTTAATTTCTGTTATTGTTCCTTAACTTTTGTATCTGTTTCATATGTGCTTACAATGGTCTTATACACCTTTATCATGGCGAATAGCACAGGTGGTACCGATCCATAAGAAAGGTTCTAAAAGTGATGCAGGTAATTTTAGATTAATTGTTTGACTTCTATTTTTCATAGATTGTTAGAAACATGCCTATATCCTAGTCTGTTAGCTCAAAGACCTATTCTTTATATTGCTCAGGGTGTTTTTTTTTGTGAATCTCGTAATTCTGTTGATCAAGTTCAATGTCTTATTGAAATCTGCTCTATTTTTCGATGTAAACACAAATGCTTTCCTATACTGGCCTTTCTGGATATTAAATTGGCTTATGATATGGTTGATTGCTCTTATATATGGGGAGTACTACACTATTATCTCTGCCCTGCCTTACTTGGCGTTTTCAAAAATCTTTTCGATCTGGGTACAAATTGAAGTTTTATTTGATAATCGTGTTTCTCATCGTTTTTCACAAATCACTGGAGTACTTCAAGGATGAATCCTCTCACCCTTCCTTTATTCAATACTATGTCAATCAGCTTCCAGCTATTTTACGCTTACTACAACTCATTGACTACTCTATCTCCAGTGATATTATATCATGTCTAATACCTTCTCTTAACTGTTTACTATATACTGATGATGTTGTGCTTATAGCAGCTCCTGGGAACCTACACATAATATTGAACAAATGCGAAGATCACAGTTATTCCCTAGGATATTGATGGAACCCATTGAAAGGTGTCGTTGTTGCTCACTCAAATGATACACAATGCTATTAATTATATGGTGCTGATCTCCCTAAAGAAACATCCTTTTTATACCTCAGTGTTCCGCTGAAACCAAGTGGTCTACTTGACAGTGCTTCTCTAGTGCAACAAAATATTAACAAATCCTCTCTCACTATGAATCAACTAGCTGCCATTGGTATCAATTCTAAAGGTTTCCCGTCATTGCTTGCTTATCGGTTCTATAGCAAAATGGTTTGTTCTCAGTTAGAGTATAGCCCTGCTCATCAGCCCTCTTTCTGTTGCATTTGTTCAACGGTTGGAAACCACTCAAAATACATGTATTAGGCGTATCTTTGGTGGGCATTCTAGGTCGTCAGCTAAGGTCATGTTACATCTAGCTAACCCCCCATTTATGAAGACTCGTGTTGTGGTTCTCCAAGCACAATATCTTTTTTCACTCCACTCAATTACTTGATGATACTCTTTCTTACTCAGTTATTACCCTATGTTCAATCCTCAAGCAGTCGATTACACTTGAATAAATTAAATCAAACTATAATGTGGAAAAAAAAACTTCTGTGCTTCCATACTCTCTACTCTGGATAAAAAAGAAATTCTATATTCTCCGTAGTAAATTTCTAACTGATCAACTTCAAGATCTATATGCTGACACCGATTCCATCCTACTGTCCTCTTGTCGTCCAACTCGTGATCTTGATCCAATTCTCTGGCTACCTATGACTACTTCTGAACGAAGTCGTGTCCTTCGCCTGGCACCTTGGTTGGCTACCTGTTGGTAAACCAAAGGAATGTCTCTTTCACTCAAATCAAAACTAGAGGTTTCATCATGCTTATACATTCACAGAAGCTTATATTTCCCTCTCACAATTGATGACCCAATATCATTTCTTCTCAATATGCTTCCACGGCGTAAACCCCGTCGTGACTCTAATTGCCTTAGCTGGTTTATTCTTTGGCCTATCCTTTTTACCATTTTACATGAATTGGATCATTACTTTCATGATGAATTTCCACCCTGTCTCGTTGATCCTGGTTGCAAACCGTTAAATTGGTTATCCAAGTAACAGTGTGAGTCCTATGTTTATTCTGGTCTCTTTTTTTTTTTCATTATATCTCTTTTCTTTTCAATTCTTTTTCCTTTTTTTTCCCCCCTTGTCTCTTGGGAGGGTTTTTTTTTTATTTTTATAACCATTTTATAACTGGTTCGGGCAATACAGCACATTTTGTTGCTACATGCTCACTGTCAAAAAAAAAAAAAAAAAAAAAAAAAAAAAAAAAAAAATTACACAGAAATAAAATAAAATTTAATCGTAGACAATTAAACCAACCTTAGTTTTTTTTAAAAAAGAAACAATGTCGGAACGTAAAAAAAAATCAGATAGGCAAACCATTTAGGAAAAAAAAAACTCAATATAATTATATCTCTTTCCTTTTTTTTATTTTTTGTTAATATATAGATTATAAAATTCATCAGTTTATAGATTATAATTTTTTCTTTTAATAGAGAAGAGAGAAAAAATTGACATGAGTGCGCAAAATATAAAACCAATACCAACAAAAGAAGTAATTACCTCAAATTCAACAATACTTGACCCTAATGAAGAAATATTTGAACCTCATGAGGAAAATACAGATCTATCTGAATTAACGGGAAGAGCATCCCCATTTGTTTATATGCTTGTTATTTGTGTTTGTATAGGCGGTTTTTTAGCTGGTTATGATACAGGTGGTAAAGTTGATTAAACAAGAAGCTTATATATATATATACATCTATCCATATAATTGATTTTTTTTTTATTTACATCTAGTTATTTCGGGTGCCTTAAGTTTACTTCATGAGGAATTTCATTTGAATAATGTGACGAAGGAATTAGTTGTTGGCGCTACTACCTTTGGAGCTATTTTTGGTGGTTTCTTTTCGGGACTTGTAAAGCCTTTTAATTCTATTTTATTTTTATTTTATTTTATTTTTTTCGTTTCTAATCTTTTTTTCTTTTTTATTGTAGCTTAGTGATAGATTTGGCAGAAGGGTTTGTGTCACAACAAATGAATAATTTTTTGTTTTTTTTTCAGATTTATAACACAGTTTATAACCTATAGATCCTTGTTATTGTTTCCTCTGTTATATTTATTGCAGGCGCATTACTTATTTCATTAGCAAGGAATTATGGTGTTTTATTATTTGGTAGATTTGTAGTCGGACTTGCAGTGGGGATTGCATCGATGATTGTACCTGTCTATGTCAGTGAATTATCACCTAAGCATATTAGAGGCAGATTAACCACCTTAAATACCCTTGTGCTCACATTTGGTCAAGTGATTGCATATGTCTTTAATATTGTTTTCACGGATATTCCTAATGGATGGCGATATATGTTTGGTATCGCTGGTATTCCAGCCCTTATACAATTTTTCATTATGCCTTTCCTTCCCGAATCACCTCGTCGTCTAATTGCCATTGGCAAATATGATGAAGCCAAGGCAGCTATTCGTAAAATCTATGGAGATTCAGTGACAGATGTTTTTATTGATAGAGAGATTAAAGTGATTGATAACGATATTCATACTTGTCGATCAGGATCATTTAGAGATTTTTTACACAAAGATAACTTTATTCCTTTAATTATTGGTAAATATGTATATATGTGTGTATATACTTGAAATTACTATTTTTATTTACATGTATATATATGAATAGCATGTATTTTACAAGCAGCACAACAACTTTCAGGTTTTAATGCAGCCATGTATTATGCTGCCACTATTTTACAAATGGCAGGGTTCAGAAGTAATGAAGGTTCGACTAGTGTTGCTATTATTGTAGCAGCCACAAATATGGTGTTTACTGCAGTAGCCATTTTAGTGATTGATAAATTTGGACGTCGAAAGATGTTATTGTTTACGATGCTGAGTATGATTTGTGGGTTAATTGCACTTGGTGCTACCTTTGCTGCTCAACAAGGATTTATAACACAACAAGATACGTGTGGTGGCTACTCTTCACATTGTGCACGTTGTGTCCTTGATGAACGTTGTGGATGGTCGATTAGTGGAAATATCTGTATTCCACTTGAAGGGAACGCACAAGATATTTTTCATAGTGCAACCGGCTGTCCTAGTGAACCTAAAGATAAAGCGATTACAGGCGTTCTTTTAACATTTTTGATCATTTATGTTGCGAGTTATGCTTTAGGGCTTGGTTATATTCCATGGTTAGCACAATCAGAAATGTTCCCCATGTCTATTCGTGGTAAAGCAAATGGAGTAGCAACAGCTGTTAATTGGATATGTAATCTTATTATTTCCACAAGTTTCTTATCAATGACAGAATCAATGACAACAGCGGGCACATTTTGGTTCTATGCTGGTATTTCTATCTTTTTATGGGCTGCATTAATTCGTTTAATGCCAGAAGTAAGTGAAAAAAAAAAAAAAAAAAAAAAAAAAAAAAAAAAGAGAGAATTTATATACTAAATTATTTATTATTTTTTATAGACGTCTGGTAAAACATTAGAAGAAATTCATGAATATTTCTTAAAGATTTAATGTATTTTTAACAATTTATAACATGTATTATTATTTAATTTAATATAATGAAATGTACAGAATTTATATGGCATCTATTTTAATAAATAATTGAATAGTTTAACTTCAATAATGCAGGCAGTATATAAAAGATACTAAACCCAATCTGGTACTTTTATTATAAAGTCATAAGGCTTTGTGAAAATAATAATAATAAAATGAAAGCCATAATGCATTATTCTATTTTCTTCTTTATTTTTATTGTTATTTTGATTATTTGAATAATTGGGAATCCTTGATATACATGATTGAAGAAAAAATAAAATAGCTTTCATAGGCAGGCTAGATAATATGGCGTATATTCATATATGATTTACTTTTTTTTTTTTTTTTTTTTTGGAGGAATCGAATTTCATAGATATTTCCTATATGATTCTATTCATATGATGTAAAGAAATTAGCTTTGAATATATTTAATATATACATTTTATATTTACGTACAAATCTTATGTCCACAATAAGGACACCAAGTAGTAGAATAATACACCTTATGTAATAAACAGTAGTTACTATTGCCGCTACTACTATTGAATGAGCTACGTATTACGCAGTATGTTTTGGGCATTTTTGTTTTTCTATTCATTATAACTTTCATAAAAAGAAGAAGGGTAAGCCAAAAAGAAAGAAAAAGAAAAAAAACGGAGGGAAGAGTAAAAATAAAATTACTTTATTATAATGTTTTTTATTTATATGCAAAAAGAGAAAAAGAAAGAGAGAGAGAGAGAGAGAGAGGGAAGGAGGAAAGAAAGAAATGAATTGATTACAATATAACATTTTTGGACGTGATGAAGGGCAGTTAGAGATTTAATATCAGATTATTATTTCTTCTCTAAAAAGTAACAAATAATAAATAAATAAATAAATAAAAAAAAAAAAAAAAAAAAAAAAAAAAAAAAAAATAGAGCAAATAAATTCCAAATAAAAGTTAAACTCGCTTTCTTCTTGTGAATATATTTACACTTGAAGAATCCTTAGTCATATTCTATTTTTATATTGGACGGTTTTTTAGAATCATATCACCCTACTTTTTTTTTCTTTTTTCTTTTTTTTTTTTTACCTGATTTTTATCATTTGCGTGACAAATTAAAAGAATGCGCGTTCAGGTATAATATAGATATAGATGTCAAAGCTAACTACAACATTATCTTTAAAGCTAAGTATATATAACAAAGAAGCTTAGATGGTGATTTCAATTGACCCTTGATAAAAAAAAATAAATAAAAAAGTATACAAAAGCGATGGATATAAATGAAAATTTGTAGAGGTACATCCATAATACTTTCTTACTCTCCCAATATTGACAGTTTTATAAACGGCAGTATTATCTATTAACAGGTAACAGCTCAAAGTTCGTTTAAATACAAATAAAATAGTGACTTTAGAGTGCCTAATTCTTAGGTATATCTTTCATGTTATGAATATCTAAAGTGTCAATAATTTCATTGATAAGCTTTATAAAATAATATGAGATTGCTCTTGCTCTGGTAATGCCATTTACTGTTGTGACAGAATTATCATCATTTCTATTTCTTTTCCTGTGTGATGGAAGAAGGTGGAGAGGGCTTTTTTTTTTGAAGATCTCTTATAGTGTATGTGATATTAAATCAATGATCACCTCCTTACAAATATAACAAAGAATAGGACTTCATACATCCATATTCGCCAAGTTTTCGCTTTTGCTTTCATTCAAATCTTTAAATGCCCAAAGTTTGTGACAATGATGCATATTGAAACATGTTTTGTTAATAAAGACCTAACTTGACAGACATTTAATCTTTTGATTAACATATTATTTCAGGATTTCTCTCTTCTTACTTGAATAATTTCATATTGTTATTTTATATATATTTATATTTATATATGGATGCTAATACACTTATACACATACTTCCTTAGCAACTCCACCTAACAAAGAAATTACTGTAAATATTATGTAAAATGCTACTTTTGTTAGTGACATAGTTGAAATAATCAAAGTTTGATGAAGATGGTCGAAGAGTAGATGACATCATGTGAATATCAAGCCCTAATTCATCTATCTACGCCTAATCAATGTATTTTTTGAATTCTAGTCTCCCAATTCTAAACAACGGGATAGAAAGTATTCTGTTTCATCGTTAGATTGTATTCCTTTGCTATAAGTTTACCAGCAGGCGACCTTTTTTTTTTTCCTTAAATCTTGATTATTCAAAGGGGATTTTTTTTCAACCTGCCTGTATTATCATTAATTATTATATATGGATATTCATCATACAATTCATAAAGTTATTCTTTATGACTATTATTTAGTGGGGACACTTTTTTGGCTTGATTTATTTGTTTACTTGCTTATTTAACATATTCCATTCTACTTCTTCACGGAGCGATAGGGAGTTTTTTTTTTCAGCACCCCCCATATTTGCCCTATTTAATATTTAATAAGAATTATTCGCTACATTAAAGAGCTTCATTCTTAGTTAACATGTATATAAAAAAACCCAATTTTTCATCATTATCATAGTTTGCTCATATCCTACAAAATATATTTTTTTTAAAACTTTTCATTTTTAATATCGAAAATATTTGGTTTGTAAATTTTTGTATTGTGTCAGGACTTTAAGATAATGTGAACTGCTTTTGTCTATCTAGACTATAGCTTCATTATTATTCTCATTAAAAGTACTATATCTATCATTTTATATATGTATATAAAAAAAAAGGAACAAAAATAAATAAATAAATCAGGTTTGTAAATTGTATTTTTTTTTCAAATTTTTTACGCTATATTATATTTGAAAATGTGAGCAAAATAATAGCTAAGAAAAATGTTCAGTATTTAAAAAGACAGCCTAGCAAATGAAGAATATAACAAGTAAATTATTTCATATCTAGCCGAAAATTTTGTTCCTGAAAAAAAAAAAAAAAAAAAAAAAAAAAAAAAAAAAAAAAAAAAAAAAAAAAAAAAAAAAAAAAAAAAAAAGTCAGAAAAAAATAAACTAGCCTATGAAATTATATGAATATAAACTACATTAACAGAATGGAAGTTATTTTTACCGATAAGTTAATATTTGCTTTAAAAAGATCTTTGACATATACATATATATACATATATCAAGAAGAAAGGAAAGGAATTTAAACTTTACTCGGTATACTAATGTAGAACACGAATTCACAAGTAGACATTATCACTCTAAAAATAAATAGAATATCGTCTAATACACACCTTTATGAGTGGAATATGGATTAAAATAATAAGCAAAGCTTTTAAAGGTGAGAAAATAAAAAATTGAAGTCATATTTGTAGATAGCAACTCTATTCAAATCTATTAAACATCAAATACTCCCTGATCAAGTAAAAAAAAAAAGCTGCTTATTTATTTTTGTTTTTGCAGGGTTTTTATTTAGACCTCTTGTATATTACTTGTTAGAATACAGGATACCAACCGAAACAACAAAAATTTAAGTAAAAGATAGTTTGCGAAACTAACAGAGATGTCTTAATTAAAGATAGATTTTATTGAAAATTGTACATTCGAAAATATACAAAACATTTTTTGATGAAATAAGCTATATAGTTATAATTTATATATCAGTATTTTTTTTTTTTAACTAAAAAGAAAAAAAAGATGTAATAATTACCTATAATATATATATACATATACTATTCCTAATAAAACTAGTAAAATCCTTAAAATAGCACGTTTTCCTTTTGTTTTGTAATATTTTTCTCTTTACAAAGTTCTGTTGCTTCTAAGTTGCTCAAAAAAAAAAAAAAAAAAAAGGTCCGCGGCACATTTTTTTTGAAAGTTGCACAGAATACCCCACATCATTTTTAATAAAGTTTTGATTAATTTCTTCTATTTTTTTTTGTGGGGAAAAATATAAAAAGCTCGTTGATTTATCTATAGCTACGCGTTTCTTTTTCATAAGAATATATACACACATACATAAACATATATATATATATATAAAGAATGGTTACTCAAGTTGGTATTAACGGGTAAGTTAAAACTAGATTATACTAGCAATATATAAGTGTATATTATACTTTTCTATTGTATGTATATGGAGCTTTGTATTGCTAGAAATAGATGGGAATGGAACCCCCCTATTTTTTTTCTTCCTTTTCAATTAAACATTATTTTAATTTTAGTTTTGGTCGTATTGGTCGTATTGTTCTTCGTGCATCTCTTAAGAATCCTGAAGTTCAAGTTGTTGCCATCAATGATCCCTTTATTCCTTTAGACTATATGGTCTATATGTTCAAGTATGATACCGTCCATGGTCGCTTTAAAGGTACAATCGAAGCTAAGGATGGTAAACTTGTTGTGAACGGTAAAGAAATTTCTGTATTCTCTGAGCGTGACCCTTCTCAAATTCCCTGGGGTACTTCTAAGGCTGCCTATGTTGTTGAATCAACTGTAAATACATATATATTTATATGCACCATTATAATTTCTAATGTTTATATATGTATAGGGTGTTTTTACTACAGTCGAAGCAGCTTCTAAACATTTAAATGGCGGTGCTAAAAAAGTAATTATCTCAGCTCCCTCTGCTGATGCCCCCATGTTTGTTTGTGGTGTTAATCTTGATGCTTACAAGTCCGAATACAAGGTTATTTCTAATGCCTCCTGTACTACCAACTGTTTGGCTCCCTTAGCCAAGGTCATTCATGATGAATTTGGTATCAATGAAGGTTTAATGACCACTATTCATGCCACCACAGCCACTCAAAAGACGGTAGATGGTCCCTCTCATAAAGATTGGAGAGGAGGTCGTGCAGCTGCTGCCAACATCATTCCTTCCTCTACAGGTGCTGCTAAAGCTGTTGGTAAGGTTATTCCTGAATTAAATGGTAAGCTTACTGGTATGGCCTTCCGTGTACCTACCCCTGACGTCTCTGTTGTTGATCTCACTGTCAATCTTTCTAAGCCTGCTTCCTATGATGATATTAAAGCGGCTATCAAGAAGGCCTCTGAAACTACCATGAAGGATATCCTTGAATATACTGAAGATGCCATCGTAAGTTCTGATTTTATCGGTTGTGAAGCCTCTAGTGTCTTTGATGCTACAGCTGGTATACAATTGACTCCTACATTTGTCAAGTTGGTCTCTTGGTATGATAATGAAGTTGGCTATTCTCATCGTGTAATTGATTTGTTAGCCCATGCAGCCAAAGTTGATGGTGCTTCTGCTTAAATCTACCAGTTTATTTATGTAGCTTATATATACATATTTATATATCAAATGAATAATTATTCAAAAGAACAAAAAAAAAAAAAAAGTTAATTTTTGCGTTTGAATTAAAAAATTACAAATGAATATAATATTATTTACAGAAAAAGCCTTCAGAGAATTGATATGAAGTTATAATAACAGGCATCTCTTTTATTCTCGCAATTTAGTTTTTTTATCTTATAAACCTAGATTTCAAAAGTTGGGAACCATAATAAACAATTTCTTCTGTTAAATATTGAATTGCTGGAATTATGTCATAAAATAATGATGCTTATATCAGTAAATGAAATAAGACAAAGTTAACAAAAATACGTAAATTTGAAACTTACTTTTTAGATAGGATCTGAAAGTTTTTATTGAAATTTTTACAAATGTAAATAGACCATCTTGTTTTGTTATATTTATGATTATAGTCTTCCCGTAATATTATTGTACAAAACGTTAAAAAAAGAATTCAAACTAAAAATGTATTAATATTGATATAGAACCACCAGTATTAATACAAATTAAGTAATGAAGCAGTTATTGCTAAAGTAGATGTCAGTTTTATAGATATTTCAATTCAACTATCAAACTATAGACAAATTGTTATCAACAAAAAAATAAATAAACAATTTGATATATGCAATCAATAAATCGAAATGAACCATGATTAACAAAGGAACATATATTTGTCTAGTACTATAAATGGGCTACTAATTAGAAAAATATATGTATATATGTGTATATATAAAGATATAATGGATTCTTATTTATATGTTTCGAAGATGGATACAACTGCTTGGAAAACGTTGGAGAAATAAAAACATATTCGATAGATAGTTATGTTGATACTGTTTAATCTTGATAATGAAGAATCTGATTATTAAATTAATCCCAGCTGTCAAAATGTGCTTCAAATGCTGTATATCTGATTTAAGTATTAAGTTGTAGATATGAACTGGAACTCTTTTTCCTTAAAAAAAATAAGGATAATCTAGAAATGATGTGATTCTGATTTTGCATCAATATTATCTTATAATCATTCCTCTAGATTGTGCTATTCGCTTATGTAAAGATTATATATAACTGCATGCTTAATCAGGATGAAGAGAATACTCCTTATAATTTATCAAATGTTAAGCATTTTATACAAGGTTTGCGTAATTAGTCTTCCTCAGTATTTAAATATCCATTATATAATATCCCAGTAACCTTTATGATTTTATCCTTACACATATACGTCTCAAATAATACCAAAGTAGAATCATACCATAAGCATAAAGTGTACAACTCATATATATTATATAGTCATCTCAGTTTAATGACGATAGAATAACTATGTTATATTATGTAGTACATTGTCATATATACAACACGAATCTATGTTAGTGAATCTGATGAATCCATGCTGTATGGGTTCAAAATTAAGAGTTAAAATTCACTACCAGTATTATGACCTGATATCAAATAAATTTTTATCTTGAAGAAATCATCTTATCTCCTTGATTTTAGTAGTAGGATGTAAGGTAAGATCAACAACAGCTAGATACATAGAATAAAGTACTTCCTTGTGATACGAATTCATTATATGCATATCAATATGTGTATAAATGTATACATATACATATATGTTTAGTTTTGTAGCCTCAATTCCGTGAATGCTACAGGTAGCTGCCTCTTTCTGTTACAATCATTTAAATGACAAAAAGGATAAGTAAAATAACATAAAATGAAAATGGGTGTCATTACTTCTATCCTGGAAAGGGTTATATTCAGTCATTAATTAAGAGAGTCATTACTTTTAGGAAATACTGCTTTCTCTGGCTTCGTAAGATGAGAATTGTCTATTCTAATTAGCGAAAATAAACAAACTATTAAATGCATATCCTAAGTCATTTATAATATTAATTGTAGTGAAATCAATACTGCTTAAATGTAACTCTTATGAAACATTATTTAACTGTAATTTGATAATGGCTAAAAATATTTACGAGAAAAAAAAAGAATATATATCATTAAACGATATGGAAAGACCTGTTATATTTAAGTAACTAGAACGCAAGTTTATAGTTGTTAGCCAACACAAATAAAAAGTCGAGGAAAACTTAATAGTTTATTTTAGAATGGATAGAAGACGCATAAAACTTTTATAGTTAGGCTTTATCCTTTATTCAGGTAAAATATGCAATCATAAATTACAAAAGTATTTTAGTATCTTAATCATTTTCTATATAAATCATACTTCTTGGATAATATCTTTACACTACATATGCATGTAATATATTGATATTATATATAAACCTTAATATAGATTTGTAGTCTAACTATCCTTTCTTATTAATACTAATCTTTGAAAGGGGTAAAATTGCATATATATTCGTTTCATAATATGTAAAATAATTGACCTTAGGTCTACAGAATATCGTAAGCACTTAAGCTTGTATATTAATTAATGCAAATTATAGAGGGAAATGGTACAAACTTCAAAATTATAGCATTTTATTCGTAAGTATGGATTGAATGATTAAGAAAAAAAAATTAACTTTGTAATGAAATTATTCAAGAGCCCTGTAATTGGTTGGATAAAATTTTTTGTTAAAAATCCAAAAATGCTTTTTTTTTTTTTTTTTTTTTTTTTTTTTTTTTTTTTTTTGAAAGAAAAATTCTGCCAAAATTAGTTTTATTTTAAACATCAAGCTTAATGAATCCCTATATAAATCAAGGCCATCAAAATAATATCTATTTTCAAAATGCATATGGGCAGTTGCAACTTCAACAACAACAACAACAGCAGCAGCAGCAGCAGCAGCCTCAACAGCCTCAACAACCTCAACAACCTCAACAACCTCAACAACAGAATTTCATGAATAATCTACCTCCTGAATTACAGACTATGGTTAATGGATTTCCACTTCAGAAAATAGACGCAGCAACAACAGCAACAACAATAAATAATCCCTTGATGCAACAGCCTCTTGATGATCCTATAATGGCAAATATGATTGCTAAAAGGCAAATGTATGGTGGTGTTCAACCACAGCCACAGCCACAGCCACAGCTACAACCACAACCACAACCACAACCAACGCAACAGCAGATACCATCTATTGCAGGATCCCCAGCAGTTTCGTCTATGGGGCTCCAAAGTCCACAACAACAAAGCCCAATGATTTCTAATAATCAGCAACAGCTTCAACAGCAACAGCTCCAACAGCAGCAGCTTCAACAGCAGCAGCCTTCCAACTTTGTTAGAACTCAACAATGGAACAAGCAGCCTTTGATGCAAGCCATAAATAGCCAGCAACAACAACAACAACAACAGCAACAGCAACAGCAACAGCAACAGCAACAGCAATTTATGATGTTACAACAGCAACAACAATTATTAAGAAAGCAAAACCCTATGATGGCTAATAATATACCTAATACTACTGTTACTTCTTCTATTAATATGAATAATATTGAATCTCCAATGTCAAATATAATGAGTCAACCAGCTACTATAGATGTGACAGCTGAAATGAAAAAGCAAACAATAAATGATTCAGATATAACCTCCAAACGAGTTGAAGCTGTAAGTAAGAAATAAGTGAATACAAATAAATGCCATATAATGTATATTCATAATGCATATGTTACATATAGATTTTAGCTTTAAATCTTGAATTAATTCGTTTATGTATTGAAAGTCAACGTACTGGAAGCAACTTGGAATCTAATATGACAATGTGAGTATATATATATATATATATATATATATACATATATGTATATTGGTTTTATTCTATCTTGTATTGAACTTAAATATTAGATACCAAGCCAAGTTGCAATCCAATTTAACCTATCTTGCTACCATGGCTGATATTTCTATGGTCAAACCAGGAGAAGTAAGTAACAAATAAATAAGACGCGTTTATATATATATATATATATATATATGTATATGTATATACAAGATATCTTTATTAATATACACACACATTAGAACTTTAAAGTACCTCCACCACCAGATCTTTCTCCTTTACCTCCACCAAAATCAGATATAGCGAAAAAAGTTCATGAATTGTTGAATATAGCTCAGGGATTATTTGAAGATTCAGGCAATAAGGAATCAGATTCACCGTCATTATCTTCGCTTCAACATAATAATAGTAATAGGAATAGCAATAACAATAACAATAATAATAGCAATAGTAATAGTAATAGTAACAGCAACAACAATAATAATAATGGCAATAGTAATAACAATAGCAATAGTAACAATAATAGCAATAGTAATAGCAATAATAACAATAATAACAATAATAACAATAATAACAATAATAACAATAATAACAATAGTAATGGCAATAGCAATAGCAATAGCAATAGCAATAATAATCAGCAGCAACAGCAACAGCAACAGCAACAGCAACAGCAACAGCAACAGCAACAGCAACAGCAACAATTATTACGTCAACAGGCAGTAGCTATGCGTCAACAACAACAGCAACAGTTTTTGAGAAATATAAATAAAGCAAATGGAAATAATAGTGCAAATAATAGTAATGTGAGTACACCCATCATGATGGATCCACAACAGTTTATGTTAAGACAACAACAAATAAGAAATCAACAGCAGCAAATGATGGGCTTTAATAATCACACTTCACCTATAGTATCTAACAATAACAATATTCATAATGGCTTTAGTCCAATGCAACAAAATATGAATTCACCTCATAATAGCACACAACCTCCACAGCAGTCTATAAATCCAAATGATATATTAGCTGCTAATGGTATGTTACTAAACCCCACTGCTAATAATACCGCTACAAATATGATGATCAATCCAAATAATATAATGATGAATAACATGTATACTCAGGATGACCCTAATAATTATAATAATGTCATGATGATGATGCAGCGATTACAGCAGCAGCAGCAACAACAACAACAACAACAACAACAACAACAACAACAACAACAACAACAACAACAACAACAACAGCAGCAGCAGCAGCAACAACAGCAGCAACATCAGCAGCAACATCAGCAATAGTAACAGTAACAGTAACAACAATAAGAATAGCCATAATCGTTTTATTAAATAAACATGATTGTTACTATTTATGTATTTATTTATTATGTATAATTGTTTATTTTATTTTATAGCTTTTTTTGTCAAATAAAATTTTAATGACTGATGTGAGTACATAATATCTTATTAACATTGTATTGTCTAGATTGATCCCCCCCAAAAAAAAAGAAGAAAAACAAGCTAAAAACCCTTTATAAATAAAAGGTTAAAAAAAACGGAAAGAGTACTTGGTGAAATCAAAGTATAAAGAAAATTAATCAAGTCGTATTTTATTACCCAATTTCAAGAATAAACAGAGAATATACTCTGTTATAAGTTAGATAATTCATTTTATACAGAAAGATATAGTTGAATAGTTAACACAAAAACCAGAGTGATACTGTAGTAAGATATTTAGGTTATTGAGAGGGCAATTTGTTCAGAAGAAGTAATAAAGAATTTTAATTGTTTGAGGTATAGACAATCCATAATATATATACATGTAAGATAGTGTATACTTTATAATGGTGAAAAAAAAAAACTCTAGATAGTATAAACAACCTTAATACTGACTAAGAGGTGATTGACTAAGTCTCCGTTGCATATGTCAATTATACTTAAATTATGTCATTGGTAGCCATAGGATGAGGCTAATAGATAATTAAGAGTGATAAGCCGAAAGCTATTTTGAATAAACTTTATTTTGTATATCACATAGGCTATCTAGATAAAATAATGAACCATAAGGCTTGAAGCTATGTCTATCAATGCTATTCAATTAAGAAATATAGCATTTCAAAAGAGAATTTTTTGGAGAATTTTTAAGCATGTAAACATTGTTGGAATCAACATAGTTAATAACAAGACCATAATTAACTTTTCTTCGGATTATTTGGGTCTAGAAATGGACAGATAGATGTTTATTAAACCCGGATTTGTTAGTATCAATAGTTATTGTTTTATTTATAATTAAAAGAGTTTTGTTGATATTGACTTATATCAAAACAAGTGAATTTAAGATGCCTTTAGATTTCATTAGAATATCTATGTAAGAAAAAGAATTATTTCGGGATAAAAGGATACTATACAATATATGTATAGAAATATATTACTTTGAGAGGTTAAGATCTAGTACAATGCACTTTTGAGGGTTCTAACAGTAATCCAATTGATAACTGTATTACTCGGAAAGGGCTAATCACAAGTGTATCGAATAAGAGATACCAATTAAAATAATATCATAAAAAAAACAACTTAGTTTTCATATTAATTGAGAAAGCTCTTATAGACTAATATCCTAAAGGCATTTGGTTTGTGAGATTTTAGGTAATTTATTCATATAGATTGAGGATACTAAAATCAATATAAGATAGCTTCATCTAAAAAAAAAAAAAAAAAAAAAAAAAAAAAAAAAAAAAAAAAAACTTCAATATAAATTTCATTAAACAAGTTTTACATAACTCTCTAAAAGTAAAGGGGAAATAAAGGGCTTTAATGAATGTTGTGCGTAAGAATGAACTACTGTATTATATGCCGACTTAATATCCAGAAAAGCCAAAATTATGCTGATTTTTCCGTCCATATCGTAAAAAAGAAAAAAAAAAGCATATTCCTACTTAGCTTAATTCTTGATCAAGAAAATCTCAAAATTCATAGAAATCACCTTAGGCAATATCTAGACATAAACTGAATACTAGTATGATTATTGATAACAATTATCAAGAATTTATACCACAACTGAATTGTAATAAGAGATTGATAATTAAATAAACAAATTCGAGAATATTGTTCAATCATCTCTTACGCTTGTCATCTTGCAACAATAAAGTAGTGAATAAGATACGGCTCACAAATAAAGCCTTGGATGAATATATTAAGAATACCAATTGCAAATAAAGTGAGTTTTGAGGGAATGAAATGTAATTTGTGTTGTTTCCTGGTCCATATCAGGCGTGGTAGCATATCAGTAGCATTGGTATTAAATTATGATCAAGAGATAATTAATTCTTTCAATTAAAGAATGTGTAGTTATATCATAACGGTTTGGCCAGTAGAGAATATTGGTAGAATGAATTTTCAACCCCATCATTTTGTGGTAATTGTTGATAAAAAAAATAAGACTATATATTATTACTTTATGCCAAAAAAAATTAATAAAAAAGGGTATAGAGCAATATATAATATCTTTTAATCTTATATAGAGTGAAATATGTAAGTTATCAATACATTTATAAATACATTTATAGAGTACAAATTTTGTGACATATGCAGATTAGTATTCAGCCATGAGCATCTTTAACTTGTATATATATAGATTTACATCTTCTATGTATACTATGAAGAGTTAACTTCATGCGAGTGAGCATAAGCTTTGATTAAATAATTCCATAGCAATTGAGAGTATTACCTGATATGATAATACTAATAAAAAGCAGTTTAACTCTATAATATTCTTAAATTTAGGTTATGAGAAATTATTTTAAAATATCCATAGTTCATATTTTATAATAGTTTTAATAAACAACTGTATTCTTGTCATAATTTATACCTTTTTTTTTTCGACTCATAATCGATTATATTAATTCCTATGGGAGATAACAGCTCACCGTTTAAAAGATAAACTGTCTCTAAACCAACTATTTCGACGCTTATCGCTCATTTTAAATAGAAATGTTCGAACTATGTATGTACCAAGCAGCTTCTTTGCTGGTAATTATAATTTTACTTAATTGAGAAAGAATAAAAAACAAAATAACTGGACAAAAAAGCTATAAAATAAAATAAACAATTATACATAATAAATAAATACATAAATAGTAACAATCATGTTTATTTAATAAAACGATTATGGCTATTCTTATTGTTGTTACTGTTACTGTTACTATTGCTGATGTTGCTGCTGATGTTGCTGCTGTTGTTGCTGCTGCTGCTGCTGTTGTTGTTGTTGTTGTTGTTGTTGTTGTTGTTGTTGTTGTTGTTGTTGTTGTTGTTGTTGTTGTTGCTGCTGCTGCTGTAATCGCTGCATCATCATCATGACATTATTATAATTATTAGGGTCATCCTGAGTATACATGTTATTCATCATTATATTATTTGGATTGATCATCATATTTGTAGCGGTATTATTAGCAGTGGGGTTTAGTAACATACCATTAGCAGCTAATATATCATTTGGATTTATAGACTGCTGTGGAGGTTGTGTGCTATTATGAGGTGAATTCATATTTTGTTGCATTGGACTAAAGCCATTATGAATATTGTTATTGTTAGATACTATAGGTGAAGTGTGATTATTAAAGCCCATCATTTGCTGCTGTTGATTTCTTATTTGTTGTTGTCTTAACATAAACTGTTGTGGATCCATCATGATGGGTGTACTCACATTACTATTATTTGCACTATTATTTCCATTTGCTTTATTTATATTTCTCAAAAACTGTTGCTGTTGTTGTTGACGCATAGCTACTGCCTGTTGACGTAATAATTGTTGCTGTTGCTGTTGCTGTTGCTGTTGCTGTTGCTGTTGCTGTTGCTGTTGCTGTTGCTGCTGATTATTATTGCTATTGCTATTGCTATTGCTATTGCCATTACTATTGTTATTATTGTTATTATTGTTATTATTGTTATTATTGTTATTATTGTTATTATTGCTATTACTATTGCTATTATTGTTACTATTGCTATTGTTATTACTATTGCCATTATTATTATTGTTGTTGCTGTTACTATTACTATTACTATTGCTATTATTATTGTTATTGTTATTGCTATTCCTATTACTATTATTATGTTGAAGCGAAGATAATGACGGTGAATCTGATTCCTTATTGCCTGAATCTTCAAATAATCCCTGAGCTATATTCAACAATTCATGAACTTTTTTCGCTATATCTGATTTTGGTGGAGGTAAAGGAGAAAGATCTGGTGGTGGAGGTACTTTAAAGTTCTAATGTGTGTGTATATTAATAAAGATATCTTGTATATACATATACATATATATATATATATATATATATAAACGCGTCTTATTTATTTGTTACTTACTTCTCCTGGTTTGACCATAGAAATATCAGCCATGGTAGCAAGATAGGTTAAATTGGATTGCAACTTGGCTTGGTATCTAATATTTAAGTTCAATACAAGATAGAATAAAACCAATATACATATATGTATATATATATATATATATATATATATATACTCACATTGTCATATTAGATTCCAAGTTGCTTCCAGTACGTTGACTTTCAATACATAAACGAATTAATTCAAGATTTAAAGCTAAAATCTATATGTAACATATGCATTATGAATATACATTATATGGCATTTATTTGTATTCACTTATTTCTTACTTACAGCTTCAACTCGTTTGGAGGTTATATCTGAATCATTTATTGTTTGCTTTTTCATTTCAGCTGTCACATCTATAGTAGCTGGTTGACTCATTATATTTGACATTGGAGATTCAATATTATTCATATTAATAGAAGAAGTAACAGTAGTATTAGGTATATTATTAGCCATCATAGGGTTTTGCTTTCTTAATAATTGTTGTTGCTGTTGTAACATCATAAATTGCTGTTGCTGTTGCTGTTGCTGTTGCTGTTGCTGTTGTTGTTGTTGTTGTTGCTGGCTATTTATGGCTTGCATCAAAGGCTGCTTGTTCCATTGTTGAGTTCTAACAAAGTTGGAAGGCTGCTGCTGTTGAAGCTGCTGCTGTTGGAGCTGTTGCTGTTGAAGCTGTTGCTGATTATTAGAAATCATTGGGCTTTGTTGTTGTGGACTTTGGAGCCCCATAGACGAAACTGCTGGGGATCCTGCAATAGATGGTATCTGCTGTTGCGTTGGTTGTGGTTGTGGTTGTGGTTGTAGCTGTGGCTGTGGCTGTGGCTGTGGTTGAACACCACCATACATTTGCCTTTTAGCAATCATATTTGCCATTATAGGATCATCAAGAGGCTGTTGCATCAAGGGATTATTTATTGTTGTTGCTGTTGTTGCTGCGTCTATTTTCTGAAGTGGAAATCCATTAACCATAGTCTGTAATTCAGGAGGTAGATTATTCATGAAATTCTGTTGTTGAGGTTGTTGAGGTTGTTGAGGTTGTTGAGGCTGTTGAGGCTGCTGCTGCTGCTGCTGCTGTTGTTGTTGTTGTTGAAGTTGCAACTGCCCATATGCATTTTGAAAATAGATATTATTTTGATGGCCTTGATTTATATAGGGATTCATTAAGCTTGATGCTAAAGAGCAAAAAACACATTAGTTGACGAACCTTAAAAAGAAAAAAAGGAAAAAAAAATCGTTATGACGCTTTATTTTGAGATTTAAAATATTTTACCGTATAAATTGTAAAAAAATAAAAAATAAAAAATAAAAAAAAAAAAAATAAAAAAAAGGCAGCTCGCTTATTACAATAAAAGCTTTTCAAGTCTTGAAGATATGAGAAAGAAACAGGGCAAGACTAAAAAGGAAAAAGCTTTAACCGATGAATTAATAAGATAATAAAGCAGATCATTAAACTTGCTGTTTCAGTCAACGATTGTATTAAATCAAGGAATTAATTATTTTAACAGCAATCATTTTTTGGCAAGGAAAAAAAGCCCGTTTTAGTGGATGTGTTTATCTTTTTAGGAATAGGGTAAAGAGAATGGTTTAACAAATTTGACAAGAATATTTAAAAGAGTAACAGAAGGCAGAAATAAATTCAACAGCTATTTTGATGAATGAAGTGTCAGTATTACACACATAACCTTGAAAGAAATTGCTAAAAAGCAAAACATATTCACGATAAATTGACATACAATGATCAGGATTATGTAATTACTATAGATGTACTACAACTTGGAGAACGTTTTCAACTCACCTTCTGAACAATTCAAAATAAACAAACAAACAAAAAAAAATATCAACATATCTATGACTCTTATCAGCAATTGGATTTAGATACGGGATATGTTTAAAGACATTTATAAATATATATGTGTATACAAATAAACTTAAGTTTTGAAACAAGACAATAAATGCATTTAAAATCTGCTAGAGACGGACTAGTTAAGATAAGAGTAATCTAAAAGGATTCTTACGAGTTCATGAGTAAATAATGAAAATTAGGTAAAAGTTAATGATGAGAGTGGCAGGGAGAGGAAAAGAAGGAAGTTTGATTAGTAATAGTTGGTCTAGGCGGTGATTTGGATGCAGAGGAGTTGGTTTATAAAATAAAATGTGAATTCATAGAGAATGGTGACATATTGACGATTCAGTAAAGAGTTCAACGGCTTGTATTTGAAAACTGATCAAAGAGAGAGAATAATATTAACAAGAAAACTTAATTATAATATCAAGTATTGGTAAAATGATGGGTACATATGCTGAAACATGTTATAAGGGTACCTTTTATTAATCAATCTTTCAAAAAAAAAAATGTTTGGGTCATAAAGTAGAATGGTCCACCGAATAACGATTCCAATATTTATCCTATAATATCGACTTCTAATTTATAAATGGTATCAGTAGCTGTATTACTGAATATAATAATCTATTTAGTATAAAATATGATAAAGATTTCGAGCTAATAGTTGTAGACTGAGTTTGATGGAAATCATTAAGATGAAAGGAAGGAATACCATGGCTCCTAAGGATTTGCTAGAAAGGTTAGATATATAGAATGATGAGTGAATCAATAGCACATCAGGTGGTAATGAAAGTGAATCTAACAGAAATTTAGACTAAAGTATATACGATTACCTTTTCAGACTTCTGTAAAACTTGGATGTATATAATATTATTATGATAGAAGATCTGGATGAATTACCAAAAAAAAAAAGAAGAAAAAAAATCCAGTGCATCAATTTTGAACAAATTTTAATTACCTATATCGATATACGGTAAATGTTGAAATGGTGATAACTCGAGCTATGACTGAATCATTTGTGAATAAAGTCAAAGGAATAAAATCTTGTTTGTTAATGACTCTATATTTTTTTTTTCTATATCAATAAATGAGATTTTTGTTCATAGTCATTAATACTTTAGTGATAATTATTAACAGTAATACTTATATAGGTGTAGCTCTGAAAAGAAAAATAAGACAAGATGTAAAAAAGATATTGGAAATATGTTTGCAATTGTAGCGAAATATTATATACTGATTAAGTTAGTGACTGATTTGTGAAATACAAAACAACACATTTACTATAGTTCCGTTAATATCAAAGGTCATAATTATTTAATTATCATTATATTATTTATAAGTTACAAAATATGTGTCTATTTACAATAAAAAAGGGAAACTGCCATTAAAATTACAAAGTATAATAATATAAATGTATAGGATATAGTCTACTATAGTATACTATCACTCTATCGTATTTAAAACTAATGGTAATCTATAGATCACTATTATAAATTTAAATCGGGTTGACATATGTAGCGATACTACTCATTCTTTTACACAAGACCAAAAGAAGAGAGATATAGTAAATATAAGTATGTCTCAAAAAAAAAAGAATCTTTTGTTTTTACTATTATTATCATTCTCAAGCCTATACCAATAGTACTAAGACCTTGCCTTCTCATATATATTATAATAGAGACATCAACAAATACTATTGATGTTTCAATTGAGCAAAAAAATGTATATTTAGTTAATTATGTAAATCATTGCTTAATCTCTAACCTGATTATTTAGTGTATTTTATGGGTGTACAGTAGTTATACCTAGCAGCTATTATGGTAGATTTTGTAAAACTGTTATTAGTTTTGCCCAAATCAAATTAAAAGTATAATAGAGAATGTTTACATAATTAAAAAAAAAAAAAGAATTATTTGTTCTTGAATATTTTCAAAGATGAGGAAGTAGATAACCAATGTTGTATAAATGAATAGACTTTATTTAGAAAGTTATTTTGAATATTAAAAAAATATAGAAAGCAAGCTCGGGTGATAATTTCAAATACTAGAATTATCAATTATATTCGCAAGTTAAAAATCAAAGGATCTGAGGAAACGGTAATGAAATCAGTATATTTTCAAGTTTATTCTGAACTAAAACACAAAATACTTTATAAGTATTTTCTTTTTTTTTCTTTTTCTTTTTCTTTTCCTTTTCCTTTTTTTTTTTTTTTTTTTTTTTTGTTAGACCCAGGTCTAACTTTGATAATTTGATAGAAGAAAAGAATACTCACTCAAGATGAAACAAATAAATATGAACAGTTTTCGAGAAGATTACTAAATTAAGGATACACATATCATGTAAAGTTAGGAAAAATACTGAATATTGATTCATATGTTATATTTCTTGTTAGATTTTTCTAAAATATGTCATCACAGCTTTCGAGCAAGACATGTGATAATATATTCTACAAAATTAAATTCATACCTAGATCCCATAATAGAATTTGTAAAGTGAGTGAAGAAATACGCAACAATATAATTAATATTTTTTTTTATAGAAAGTATGGGTAGCTGTCAGAGATTGTAGTTCTAAAATAAAGTTTTTGCATAATATGCGAATCTAAATAATGATAAATAATTATCAAGTTCAAATGCAGAGCTACTTTCACAAAGCATTCTCAAATATGTATGTTTTCAATTAATTTTATAAATGCAATAAAAATAAAAACCCCTTTCTATTTTATTTTACTGCAGCTGTCTTGCTTCAAGTATAAAGTTAAAAAAAAAAAGATTCACAATTGGTTACAAAATCATTCGTTATATTGTCTATATCAGTTTTTTTTTCTTTTTCCTTTACTCGTATAATGACGATTTATGCTTTATTTCAAATTATCTGTGTAGTGCATCATAATCAATTATCTTGAAAATCACTTGATGGTTCGAAATTTCGAAGATTATATCATTATAAAAACAACAGCAATTGGGAATAAAATATGTTAAATAAACTTTTCATATGAGACAAGAAGGGAAGACTCTAGATTTGACAATCCTATTTTCTAAATATTACAGTAGTAAGCAAAATCTTAATTTGCAACAACTTGATGCGGAAAAAAAAAACTGTGTAATATTTAAATTTCACGAGACAAAGTTAAATGCCGCTCTTTGAAACAATGTTTAGTACTTTTTGTTGTTTTATTTACTATATATGTATATATATACATGTATATGTTTATATAGAAGGCAGTATTTATAAACAAATATAATTTTATACAACATGAACTTCAAAATGCTACTAATAATGGTTACAGTAAAATACAACAACCTTATATGATTTAAACATTTGTTTGTATTATACAAATAATGATGACATGATAGTAATAAAAATAGAACACGTCTATCTAGTTATAATATCTGATATAAATATATTTCTTGTTTCACTAATGTTTAAAATCAAATAACGAAATCATCATTTTGCCTCTGGAAATAAAGTAAATAAAATAAAATAATTTTCTTTATTTTATTTTATTTTATTTTTATTTTTTTTTGTCCAGAAGACACTTTAATAATGTTCCTGTATTTTTAAATTAGAAAATAGACTTTACGGTTTTTTACGTTGTATTTTACTATATTGCCAATTTTTTTTTTTTATACAAATAATTTCTTTGTTGCTATGGATCGCTCATATATTATATATTTGTACCTTTTTTTTTTTGACAAAATAAAAGTGAAATATAGCCTATTAAATTCATAAATTATTAAATACGTATTGGTAATGTTCCGTATTAATATATACATTTTTCGATTATCACATGCTACTTGTCATTTGTTCTTCAGGTACACATATTTGTTATCTATACTTTTTTTTTCTTTATCTATTGCTGGGTTGTTACCACTCATGTTACTACTAATATATAACTACTACTACCACTACTACTCTATGAAACAATAATTTGCTATTGTTGTAGTATTAATATATATATGTCACCATATCGGATAACAGCAACAACAACAACAATCGGGTAAAACATTACTCCCGCTATTACTTGTTAAAATGATCCTATTATTATTATGCCAAGACAGTAAGTCCGCTAATGATAATAATGTAGTAAAAGTGAATTATCGTCTTATTTTATAAATTAGAGCGCCTATTTTGTTTCTTGACATTTTAATAAAGAAAAAGAAGGGAGAGCGAGAATAAATGAATATCCATTTATAGCTTAATTTTTTTGTAATTTTTTTTTTTTTTTGGGGGGAGAAAGGGAGAGAAGAAAGAAGAGGAGAAGAAGACAGAGAAAGAATAAGATGATTATTATAGACACAGAAGTTTATAATATGAATTCTTAGAAGGGGTTTTATTTCTGTAAAAAAAAAAAAAAAAAAAAAAAAATATTTTTAATTTTTTTTTTCCTTTCTCTCTTTTCTTTTCTTAATATATACAACACTTGTTTATTTTTATACACTCTATCCTTTTTTTTTTTTTTTATTTGCTCATTACCGACTTTTTAAATTAATAATTTATGGCCGATGTATCAAAAAAGACAACATCAAATCATAACAACTTGGGTGCGGCTTGTTATAGATGCAGAGGATTCAGGCAAATAGAATAAGCTAATTTATATATGTATACATATATGTATACATATATTATAATTGTAGTTATAATTGATTTTGATTCTAATTAGTAATAACTATAAATAACATTTCTTTTTTTTTTCTTTTCTTCATCAATATATAGACATGCATGCGATAGAGAAAAACCTGCATGTTCACGCTGTAAAAGAAGAGGCATCACTTGTCAATATCCAGAAGCAGCACCAACACTAAAAAAGCTTCAAAAAGCAACAGAGACTTTGAGTGATCGTATTAAGAAATTTGGCGAGCTTTTAAAGACAGGCGAAAATAATAATGATGGATTACTCAACAATACTAATTTTAAAAAGGGAATTTCTTTACAAAGGCTTGCTCAGCCTAGATCCACTGTAGCTCCTGCCGACTTTGACAATTCACCCTCTCTTTATATAACAAACTCTACTTCCATGTCCGTACGTTCAAATAATCCCGACCTTCTGATAGATGATGATGCGAGATCAACTACAAGTCATTCTACAATCACAAAAAGCAAAACAACTCCTCCCGTAGTCTCTACAAGCTCTTTTTCTGTTTATCCATGTAACAAATGTTATAAAGACTTACAACAATGCGATCTTACCTTACCGAGTTGTAGTCGATGTGCAAATAATAATTTTGAATGTATTTATACGAAAACAGAACCCAAAGCGAATCATGTCTCTCAGGTCCTAAATACGATGAATAAAGTGATGGATCAATGGCAAGACTCGATAGATAAAATGGCAAAGGACTTTGCTCAAAAGACTCGTGATTTTGGTCAACGTGTAGATCAATCGTTTAAAAAGAAACCATTACCTCCCTTTGCTTGGAAGATCACTTCAACAAATAAAGGTCTCTCCGTTGAAAGTAATGTCAACTCTTTTAATGATCTTTCTAAACTGGTAGACCAATTCAAACGAACTATGCATATCACTCCTCGGGATCCTGAAACAGCTGATACAGATATGATAGATGATGAACGTCATAGAATAGCGCAAGGTGTTGAAATTGATGATGCAAGCTCTATACACACTTCCTCTGGGTTTTCTTTTGGTGTTTGGAATGCATGGTCTCATCCGACAAATGCAATACCTGAGGATTATCCTGTTGATATTAATCAAGAATTAACAGATAGTCTTGTAGAACTCTATTGTAGAACACCCTGTTGTTCTGCAATTCGTTTACCTATCATTGATACAACTGAATTTTTGGCCCGTTATAAGAGCACTGATGCTGAAAGACGACCGTCTAAGGTTCTTATCTATGCTGTTTGTGCTATGGCTGCTCGTAATGCATTCCAAATGCATGTCTGGAGTAAGAGACCTGCTCATGAGACACCACACTACAATATGGGTAAAGCACTCTCTATGGCTTATTGTCTTAAGGGACGTGAAGAGTTAGCAGAATGCTTTGATAGACCTACGATAGATAATTGTCAAGCTGCCTTTTTATTATCCTATTGTAATCATCAAAATGGCTATCCAGGAGTTATTTATGTTTATGATTGGATTGCATTTACGATGGCACAAGAATTAGGTCTTTATGATTCAGGTCGTGTATTAGACACAAGAGAAGGAATCTTAGTATGGGGACTTTATTACTTTAATACATGGTATCGTGTATTACAGGGTGTATCGAATTCATATGCAGAACTAGGACAAATCCATCCAAGTTGCCCTCTACCTCCTCCACAACCTAAACCAAAGTTAGACTATATGGATATAGATGACATGATTGAACCACCTCAAGAAATGATTGATTACTACGTTTATACTGAATGGTATTGTCTAATTCAATTACAAATTCTTCGACATGATTGTATGAGTCGTTTATTATCAGCACAAGCTGCAGGAAAGCATGATACCACACTCTCTGCTGATTTACTTGCAATGCAAGACCGTTTACAAGCCTTTTACGATAAATTACCAGCAGAATGGAAGAATCCTGATCTTGAATCGATTGCCTTGGATCAAATGGCAGCTTGTACACCGGAACCCTTTTATCATGGAAATGAGCAACAGCAATACTATCATGTCGATATTCATGAATTTGCTAGATTTTGTATTCTTAGTGTTCACGTCTATTATAACATTAATAAGATTTTATTGTATCAAGCGTTTTTCCCAACTGACCATGCACCTACTTCACCATTTTCACTTCAAAGTCTTTATACTTGTATTGATGCAGCTTATGCCATTACACAAACATTAGATATCATGGTGAAACATCATGATGAATGTAATATTCCTTTATTAGGTTTCTTATTTGCTAATATGGTCTATATAAAATTACTTAATTATAACGATGATCAATATCAAGAATTTGCAAGACGATGTCTAGAACAATCCATTAATGTATCCAAGATGTCCAAGGCCTACCTTTATGATTTTGAAATGACACGTAACCTTGTTAATGTTATGGAACAAGATATTCGAAATGCCTGTGGTGGAAGACCTCTTAGTGTAGTAGATGATGAGTTTTATCCGTTTGCTCTTCCTTCACCACCTACTTTACCACCTTTTATTCAATAATTTTTTTTTTTTTTTTTTTTTTACGCATTTAATACTTTATATATGTATTCCCTTTTTTTTTATTATTCTTACCTAATCAAATATTCTATACATATTATATTAATTTACATTTTATAGTCTTAATATACAGTTTGTATTTTTTTTTCTTCTCTTAATTTTGATAATAACAATAAATAAAGGGAGAGAAAGGATCTATTGTTACACTACATACAATCGTCATTTGGCGTAGTAATTGAGTCTGTGTTGTTTGTTTATTTTGACAGGGTGAAGAAAATATAATAAATAAATATACACATGTTTATTATTCCTTCAAGTCTGGTTGAATACATATATATTATTATTGTACTACGATGCATGCATAATTCAATTCCTTTTTTTTTTTTTGTTTTTGTTTTTTGCTTTGCTTCCCTTCTTCATAACCTATTTTACTACTTTGCTATACATTATACAATATATATACAGATACATGTGGGTATATTTTTATGTGCTTATTTTTGCCGTTATTTGGAATGTATACATTATTAAGTGAAAAATGTAATAATACATCTTTTTCTTTTTTTTTTTTTCCCTCACTTTTATTAACTTTCACGGTGTACAAAAAACGACATTCCTATTTATTTATTATATCTGCATGAATATTCATTTAAACTTTTATTTATTCACATAGAAAGGGGAAGGGAAGAAAGATGACAGTTGCATGATTGCTATCAACAGTTTAGTTTATAATTTATTTATTTATTTATTTTTTGTATTTATATTGATGGGGTTTTCTTTTTTTTAAAAAAAATCTTTCTCTTTCTTTCTCTTTTCTTTATACAAAATAATAATAATAATACTTTTATTAAAGTAAATTCCTCTTGCTATACATGTTCTAAACTGCTTGCTCTTCTTCTTGAATCTGGTACTATGTGTACTCCTATTCTGTATGTGTATGCTTTTCTTTCCTTAAAGACTGTTACTACTATTGACTAAAAACGGATGCTATCTGGTATTATCGCTTCTCTATGAAAGGTGGAACTGGCTAACATGGTCCTTTTGACTACCCTGGTTTATAACCTATCTTTCTGAGGTTTACTGTCTCTCTCTCTCTCTTACAAAATAATAGCTTCTCTTTTTTTCTGTACTATAATGAAGAAGCTTGTACCATAATTGCTATTATACTGTATGGTCTGTCTTTATAAGGCTTGCTTGCTTCCTGTCTATGGTCCTCATTATCGTTACCACTGCTCTTTATACTTCTCTCTCTTTATATATTTATGTATACATATAAAAACAAAAAAAATAACAAAAAAAACAAGCAAAAAAAACAAAAAAAGAATTATTTGCACCTTAAACTAATACTCCCACTTTCACCTACCACCTTGTGTGGGGGGGGAGAGGTGTGGGAGGGCAAGCTAACAATATTTTCTCTTTATCTGAACGTCTTTTTTCCTAGCAGGGCTGCATGATGTAAATGATGAAGTAAGGCGAAAATAAAATGTATAGTAAATAAGCTACAAACAAAAATGGGTCCCTCTATGGACATCTTCTTTTTGTTAACCGTCTGTATTGTTGGTGATGACTAAAAACATTTGATACATTGTGCGCAAACTATTATACCATAATTAGAAAATCAGGGTATAGTGGTGTCAAAAGAAGAAAAACAAAGGTAAAAGTGTCTTGTTAAATATACAAAATAAAAAAAAATTCCTTGACAAACAATTATTTATGAGCAAATCATTCTAGTGACTCCTGTTCCTAAATATGCATGTCCAAAGCTTTTTAGTCTGGCATTTTAAAGTAACGTATTAAATATTTAATTTCACAAAAAAAAAAAAAAAAAAAAACTAATATTTTTTATTTATATTTATATGCTGAGCATGCCCTCCCTTAGAAAAATGGTAATTTCCTTTTCAAATATTCTTTTCAACGCACCCTGAATGGTCAGTATCTCATTAAACAAACATAATTTCTTGCTTACTAAAACCTTTTCTTTTTATACATATTTGTTAGCATATCAGCCTCTAATGGATCCTCTTTCTTTCTTTTTTTTTTTCGTAAAAAAGAGAAAGGAGAGAGAGATGGGGAGGCTATCTATTAGACGGTTTGATATGCTATTAGAATGTTATCGCTCTCTGGTCTTTCCAATTATGTATGTCTCGTCTTTAGTATAATAGTTTGCCACTTGGGTAATTCCGTATTTGCTTTTTTCCATGAAATAAGCCTTATATTTTTTGGTTTGTTACCACCAATATTGTCATTAGCAAGAAGTGGGGTCTCTTAAGGGATTTGTCTTTGTGTGGCTTGGTTACTATTCATTGAGTTTTCGTCCCTTCTTTGTTTCTTTATGTGAGCCACTAGAGAGAACGGACGATTTGGGTAAAGGAAAGGTATTGTTTAGTCTTGTTTAAATCAAATCCTCTCCCCCTTTTTTATAGAGAAATACAAAAGTATTTGTTTTAATTTTTTTATAGAAAAATACAAAAGTATTTGTTATAATTTTTTTTTTTTTTTTTTTTTTTTTTTTTGTAAAAGCTTGTCTTTTGTTAAAGGGGTTAAAAACTCCTTTGTTTAAAAAATACAATAAAAATATTGTAATTGTTAAAAATCTTTTTTTTTTCTCTTCTTTTTGACCTGCTCATTCAATAATGAATACAGTACTTAATTCTACCAATCAAATTTTTTACAGCTAAAAATCATATTTTTTTTTAAAAAAATAAAATAAATAAATAAATAAATAAAATGCACAGTTATTATTTTATTTTATTTTAGTTTCTTTTAACATTATTTATAATGGCGAAGCATCATCCTGATTTGATCTTTTGCCGTAAACAACCAGGCATTGCTATTGGGCGACTTGTAAAATATTTTATAAATTAGGCGAAAAAAAAAGAATGAGAGAAACCGGTTAACTAATTATTATTATTGAATAGTGCGAGAAATGTGATGGTCGTTGTGTTATTTGCGATTCCTACGTTCGTCCAGCAACTATTGTTCGTATTTGTGATGAATGTAATTTTGGTAAGTAATTGAATTTCTTTTTATTATTATTTTTTTTTTTCAAAAGGACTAATGATTTTTGTCATTCCTTTTAGGTTCTTTTCAAGGTCGTTGTGTTGTTTGTGGAGGACCAGGAGTATCAGATGCCTATTATTGTGTAGGCTGTACGCGATTAGAAAAGGATCGTGAAGGTTGTCCAAAGATCATCAACTTGGGTTCTTCTAAAACTGACTTGTTTTATGAACGGAAAAAATTCGGATTCAAAAAAAGATAATTGTTGGTTTTTTTTCTTTTTTTTTTCCTTTCTTTGTAAATATATAGGATTCAATTTGTACAGAAAGCACAAATAAAAAGAAAAGAAAAGACACATATTGAGGAAGGGGGGAGGGAGTTTTCTTGTAGTTTATGGATTGTGTTGTATTGCATTGTACTGTATTGTATTTTATTTACATTTAGAATTTGAGAATAAATGGCAAATCCATTATTCTGAGTCCTTTTTTATGTATCATGAACGCTCTTATAACTTGAGAGGGGATATTCTCGAGGTTATTGCTACCTACTATCCCCCCTTTTTTTTTATTTTATTATGATGTCAGCTACAATAAATGTGCTGTATTATTGAAATCTTCTATTCAGCAAACAATGCTCTGAAACACAATAGAAAATATCTGCAGAAAGAAAGTATGTCGATATACTTCAACTAACAGCGTATCATCTACAACATGAAAAAAAAGAAAGATCTGTCTAGTTTATGTCCATGTGATTTATTTTCTTTATCAAAGAGACTTACAAGATGGGAGGCAAAATAATTATATAAATACAGGCAAAGTAAAATTAGTATCATTCTTTCTTATATGCATTGAAATAATAATAAACTGGCCTTGTGATTACCGCAGACGTGTCAACACTGAATTACCTTTTCGGCAGTTTTGTCAGGTAACACATCATCATTAGACAGTTTTTAAAGCCTTTAAGGATTATTTACTTTTTTTTTTATAAAAAGAATGAATACAAGCGCATATGAAATGAAGGATTCTAGTCTTTTAATAACTGTTGACAAAGAAAGAAAAGGAGCTCACCTTTAAAGTGAATATGATATCTTTTTTTAAATGAATCTATTTTATTTGTGCAAGTTAAAGTGTTTCAAGATTTTAAGGAAAGTAGCGTTTCAAGCAAAGCATTCTCTACCTTCTTATTTTAAATTAACTTTCTGTTGCTGATAAAAGTAATCTCTTTATTTAATGGATTAGCATTTATTGAAGAAGGGACAAAGTTGATGAGGCCCTTTTTCTCTTAACAAGTGCTAGTAGTATTATTATTAGTAAAAAAAAATTGGAACTGGGTATTAGTTTGTTCAAAGACTATCATAATATAATATAAAGTTTAAAATCCATTATTGTTTACTATATTCATACTTTAAATACATGGGATTTTTTTTTTAATATTATTGATACTACTGCTACATAATATAATATACTATATATAAAGAAGGGGAGGAAAAAGAAAAAAAAAAAAGAGAGTGAGAGTGAGAGTGAGAGTGAGAATGTGTGCGTATGCGTGTGTGTGTAGTGAAGGAAATTTAAAATCTTAATACACCTGATGAAGCACCTGCTACCATACCTGGTTGATTGGATAAAGTGGATGCAGAAGCTTGTTGAATGGGTAAAGTAATACTCGAACGATGATAAGGAGCATTAGGTACAATAGAAGAATTAGATCTCGTTGTAGAATTGTTATCCATAAAGCTTGTAGAAGATGAAGAAAAGAGCATACTATTTGTATTTGGTATAGCTGTATTTCCTTGTTGTTGTCTTATCATTTGTTGTGCTGATAGTATGGAAGGCATTGTTGCCGTCTTTTGTATTGAATTAGGATGAAATCCATTAGATTGAGCAATAGGACATTCTTTATGTGCTAATAATAATGTTTTTAAATTTACAATTTCTTCTTTTAATGATTCTGATTGTAATTGAAGACGTTCGTTATCATTTGTCAAGAATTCAACTTTAGCTTGAAGATTATTTAACCATTGCTTCTTTCTTTGACGACATTTTAATGCAGCTAAACGAAAAAAGAAAAAAAAGAGTAAGCTATGATGATGAAGAAGCTTTAGAGAATAGGTTGCATTACCAATTCGATTTCTTTCTAAAAAGTTCTTTCGTTTTTCATCATCATCATCTTTACTTGCAGATTTTGATCTTCGCTTTGATCTAGTAGTCATGGACTTTGTATCGTCATCTATTGAATCTTGAGTCATAGCAGAAGAACGTCGACTTGTGGTATTTAATTTTTTATAGGATTCATTACTATCTATTGAATGATTTTCATCATCTGTTTGAGAAGTAGCAGAACGTTTTCGACTTGAAATTTGTTGCTGTTGATGCATAAATATTTCTTGAGACGATGCTTCCATTTTAATAGGATAAGTGTGATTCATAAGATGAGTTCGATTATTTGTATTATATAATTTATTTGTATTATTGGGTGGCATCATCACTGAAGAATAGTATTCGTTGGGGTTAGCGGGACCTTGAAGCATTGAAGGTGATAATGGGCCTGTTCGAAGTGTATCCCATGTAAATTGATTTGCTACTTCTTTGGGTAAAATACCACCACCTATCATATTATCTGTAGTAGTAGTAGTAGTAGCAGCAGCAGCAGTAACAGCAGAGGCCGTTGTTGTCGTATTCTTTAAATGAGAAGGACTTGTAATAGAGGCAACTGGAGGTAATTTTAATTTTTCTTTATCATCTATAACTGCTGCACCCGAGAAACTTTGTTCAAATGGATTTGGTTCTTGATCCAATTTAGCGCTTGAAATTAAAGGTAATACAGCCATGGGTGCTATATTTTTTTTTTTTTTTAATTTTTAGTTGAAAAAAAAATAAAAATAAATAAAATAAAGATTAAGTTGTTGTTACCTTCTGAATGTTGTGTTGATGCTGCTTGGTTTTCAACAACTTGTGATTTATCAATTGATTTTCTTCTATTGTTCATTTTTTTTTTTTACTGACACCAGCTGTCTATCATCATATCACATAAATGACCTTTTTTTTATTTTTATTTTTTTTTTTTTTTATTTAAGAAAAAAGAAAGGGAAAATGCTTACCGATTATAACAAAGTATATATATATCTAAAGGCTAATAAAGAAATCATATGTCATTTTTAGTCTTATTCCTTTATCCTTTTTTTTGTGTATATATAATATTATACCTTTTATTATTATTTTTATTTTATTTTATTTTTTCTTATTTTTTATTTTTTTTTATTTTTTTGTCGTTCAAAAAGCTCCCTTATTTAATTTAAAACCGTAGGGAAAAAGGAATTTGAATTATTTAAAATGTCTTGCTATAGAATTTTTAAATATCGAGAAACTGATATAGATGTATTAAAAGGTTCAATTAATAGTAGTAAAAGAAGAAGAAAAGAATAATAATATAAAAAAAAAAAGAAAAGCCAAAAAAATAAGATTTATCCATGATCATCATTACGTCATATATGCCTATTATGTATTATTTTTTTTTCTGCATTTTGATATTTTACTGCTAAAAAAAAAAAGATAAAAGGAACTATCCATTCAAAAAGAAAAAAGAAAAGAAAAAAAATTAATATACCGATGTTATCAAAACAAAGATTAAAGATATAATAGATGCTCTCTAAGCCACGCTTTATTTCCCTTCTTCAATATAATGAAATGATTTTTTTTTGTTTGTCATTTTCTTCCCTTTGCCTTTCGAAACTGACATATCGTGGAATAACTATGATTGGTCAAAACAATACATGCATTCGGAGTATATACAAAAAAAAGAAGTCAGACTTTGAACTATGCCAACATTTTCATCAGAAATAAGGAACAAGAAACTAATACAGAGGGTAAAAGAAGATGAAGAATTATTATTGGAAATTGTTTTTTTTCCTTTTAGACAATTCTACAAGGTAATAAACATCAAAACATTACAAGCTAGAAATTAGCAAATTAACTATTATGAAGAATGGACGATGGACAGAGAGATCAACACATCGTCTATCCTCAAAAGTTTGAAAAAAAAACTATACAGTTAACACAATACAAATTGCTAACGCCCAACCATAAATGATCAAAAGCTTGACGTATCCATGGACACGCAGCAACAAGAGATCTATGAACAATTATTCATCCATTCCAAAAATAGAAACTCAACAAGAATAGGTCTCCAACTGCTTGATTATCATCCATAACCGCAGGTTACAAACTGGTCTAAATTAACAAACATTTCATTTTTTTTATTTTTTATTTTTTTTTAGAAATAAGAAAATCAGTACAGAGAGCATATAATAATGGACGGAATCATCGAGACTCATGGTGTAAGCAAAGAAAAAAAAAACGCCATTTTTGTTTGATAAAGTATGCTTATTTCAACATGCGACTTTGATAAATTTGGTAAAAATGCAATCAATCAATAGAATACTGCATTCAATTAATCTAATTTGTACCTGCTAATAATAACAAATAATTTGTATTTACATTATTGTGAGAAAGGTAAGAAAGGTAAGAAAGAAAGAAAAAAAAAAAATTAAAACGCAGCACCATTCTTTCATGAAAAAAAGTCTGTGTGCATACAAAATACAACAATAACAACCTAATACACTTTATGTTTCATAACTAAATAAACAAACAATAATAAATAAATACATACATATTCATATAAATAGCATGTAGTTTAATCCAGATAAATTTCCTTTGATATATACTGTCTTTGTCTATTTATTTAATATGTTTAGAGTACCTAATAACACTCATCCTTCACATATTTATGGCTCAACTACATTAAATACACCACTCATATCATCATCATCAACAACAACGTCCCACTCTCATAGAAGAGAAGTAGAAGAAGGAGGTAGAGAAGATGGCAGTGATGAATTCTTTTATTCAGCTCAGGGGACTCCTATTTCTCGTCCACAATCTATAAGAACATCTATACAAAATTTTGCTGGATCTTACTCGCGTGCATCTATTTTATATGTAGCTGATACTATTTCAATACATCAGCAAGGTATAAAAAAAAAGTTACATGTATCATGTATTAGGAATAGATTAGATATATTTATTGCAATGATCATTAGACTATGAAGATAAAGAAGAAGAAGAAGAACAAGCCCTATTATTTGAATCAAAGACTAGGTTATATATAAATAGATAGATAGATAGATAGATAAATAAATAAACTGATACCTTTATTATTATATTAGAGAATCTTATTTAGAAGAAGACAAGTTATATACCCATCGTACAAATACAAATCATACTGAATTACCTCTTTCAAGATTAACTACCATGAGTTCTATTCTTCTTGCATCAAAATCAGAAGATGAAACAAATATGTATTGTAACAAAAGTGACTTTCTTCAATCCATCTTCAATGCTGTTAACGTATTAGTAGGTGTTGGCATCTTGGCTTTCCCGCTTTCAATGCGTTTGGCAGGTTGGTTCTATGGATCTTTTATTTTCATATTTTGTTGTTTGTCAACCAATTATACTGCCAAAATCATTATTAAATGTCTGACTACTGCTAATGGTCATGGTTCATATCCTAATAATATCAGGGGCACCACCTATAGTGATATGGGTTTGATTGCATTTCAAGAAAGAGGAAGACGATGGATTAGTCTTATATTTATTGTTGAATTAATTACGATAGGGTATTGTATTCAAAAGAGAAAGAAAAGAAAAAAAGATGTATATATGTATAAATCGAATGAATCTGATAAATATATACATAGTGTGGCAATGATCGTCTTGTTAGGTGATGGTATTCAATCTTTATTTCCTGATTTAGATATTATCAATACAAGACTTATTTCACTTTGTATCTTGACACCGACCATCTTTTTACCTATTAAAAAACTGGCTTATACAAGTTTAATAGGTATCATTGGTTGTATCTCACTTGTTTTTATTGTACTTTATGATGGATTAACCAAGTTCAATAAACCTGGTAGTCTTTATGAACCTATGGTAATTCTAAATAATATATAAATATATATATATACACCATCTTATACTCATGATGTCGTTGTTATGGCTACAGGATACAGAACTTATTCCAAATGATCTTTCTCAATTACCCCTGAGTTTTGGATTGATTATGTCAGGCTTTGCAGGTCATGCGGTGTTTCCATCCATTTATCGCGATATGAAAAATCCGAAACAGTATAACAAGCTGGTTGATATAACATATCAAATAACAGCTGCCATTTATCTTGCTATGGCTACCATAGGTTATTTAATGTTTGGACAAGAAGTACTTCAAGAGGTAAAAAAAAAAAAAAAAATAAAATAAAATAAAATAAAAAATAAATGAAAGAAATGAAGGATACACATATAATCTTTATTCCTTATGCATATTAAAAGATTACACAAAATTTGATACTTGTAAAAGAATATAGTCAAGCCTTGAATCATTTTGCTATTTGGTTATTAGTCTTGACACCTATTGCAAAATATGGTTTAATGATGCAACCTTTAAATCTTAGCTGGGAATTATGGTTCTTTGCCAAGTATGAAACCAATGATGAATGGAAGAAAAAGGCATTCATGATATCCGGAAGATTACTTGTTACCATGATTTTAGTTTATATTGCTCTTCTCTTTCCTGGATTTGATAGAGTCATGGTAAAATTTTATACAACAAAAAAAAAAAAAAAAAAAAAAAGCTCAGTATATTAATTATATTATTTCTACTCTACTAGTCATTATTAGGTGCTTTCTTTAGTTTCTCAATATCAATTATATTTCCAATTATCTGTCATTTAAAGTTATTTAGGGCAACATTATCTCTAACTGAAACTATTTTGAATTTATTTATCTTGTTTATCGCCATTTTTATGGCTATTTTTGGTACTATCTGGAGCGTACGTTCAACCAGCGAGCTTTAAAATAATAATAATAATACTAGTAATACTAATACTAATACTAATACTAATACTAATACTAATACTAATACTAATACTAATACTAATACTAATACTAATAATAATAATAAAAGTTTCTCACTCACTCACTTACTCTCTCTCTCTCTCCCTCTCTCCCTCTCTTCAAACATTCGATTTTTTTTTTTTCGTTTTTTACAAGTACATATTCACGTGATAATGAACGTTATTGTTGTCATTTTTTGTTGCATTAGTGGTTGACTGAAATTTAATTTTTTTTTTTTTTTTTTTTTTTTTTTTTTTTTTTTTTTTTTTTTTAAATTATTAAAAACCCATAAAAAATAAAATAAAATAAAATAAAAATTGCCTTTTTTTTTTTTTTTTTATTCCATCTCAACATCAAGATGACAACAAACGAAATTGAAGAATTTGATTTAATTATAGTAGGTGCAGGTATCGTTGGATGTACAGCAGCAAAGGCATTTGGAAAAGATGGAAGACGTGTTCTTTTACTTGAACGTGATTTATCAGAACCAGATCGTATTGTTGGTGAGTTATTACAACCAGGAGGCATGGATGCCCTTAAAACACTAGGTTTGGAAGGTATAAAAATATAAATATAAGAAATGAAGAAAACAAAAAAAAAAAAAAAAAGAGTACAAGATGCTGAAGAATACAGTTTAGATTGTGTGGAAGGTATTGATGGTATTCCCTGCTATGGTTATGGCGTCATTCGTGGTGATGAATTAGTAGAAATTCCTTATCCAATTCTTCCAGCAACAGAGAAACAAGCTATGGGTAAATCATTTCATCATGGCCGACTTATTCAAAAATTGAGAAAATCTGCTAGTTGTGCTGAAAAGTAATGAAGAAAGAAAGAAAGAAAGAAAGAAAGAAAGAGAAACTAAGATTTGTTATTTATGAATAGTGTGACGGTAAAAGAAGTTACAGTGAATGAATTGATTCGAGACGAAGACAAAGTCATTGGCGTTGTTGCACAATCAAAATTAAATGAAGAATTTAAAGTAAGTTTACACAAGTAAAAAAAAAAAAAAAAGAAAGAGAATAAAGCCATTCATTGTGTGTGTGTGTTAGTTTTATGCCCCACTTACAATTGTATGTGATGGTATCTTTTCTAAATTCCGAAAAGATTTTACAAGTAAAACGCCTGATGTAAAATCCTATTTTGTGGGGTAAAACAATCAATAGAACAAGCTCAATACTATTTTATACTTATAGTTTTCTTTTTAAAAAAAACAAATTAGTTTTATTTTAACAGATTGTCAATTGCCTTTACCTAATCATGGTCATGTTATACTCGCTAAACCATCTCCTATCTTAATGTATCAGATTAGCACTCACGAAACTCGTGTTTTAGTCGATGTTCCTGGTAAATTACCTTCTATTTCTAATGGTGACTTGAAAAACTATTTGAAGGATACAGTTGCACCTCAACTACCTGAAACTATACGTGTAAATGAAATGAAATGAAACTGTAAAAAATATATATATATATGTATATGCATATAAATAAATCATTCACATTATATCCTTTTCTCTCTCTCTTAGATTAAATTCTTGGAAGCAATTGAGACAGAAAGATTAAGATCAATGCCAAATGGATTTTTACCTCCTTCACTTAATCAAACAGAAGGTATGATTGTCTTGGGTGATGCAATGAATATACGACACCCTTTAACTGGAGGTAAGAATATATATATATATATATATGTGTGTGTGTGTATAGGTGTGTGTGTATATATGTATATTTGTATATATATCACTAAATTGTTATCGATAAGGTGGTATGACAGTTGCTTTTAAGGATGTTATCTTACTGCAAGAATTATTATCAAAAGAAATTGTACCTTCATTTACAGATACAAATGTTATTTCATATCAATTGAAAACATTCCATTGGAAAAGAAAAAACTATTGTACAGCTATTAATGTATTGGCCATGTCACTTTATCGTCTCTTTGCTGCCAATGGTAACTTGGATCTTGAGGTCCTTCAAAGAGGTTGTTTTGCTTATTTTCAACTAGGAGGTGAATGTATCAATGGTCCTGTAGGACTCTTATCAGGTCTTATTCAACGTCCTTTTACTCTTATTTATCATTTCTTTGCTGTTGCCTTTTATGCTATCTATATTCAAACAAAAAAGAATGGATGGTCAGGAGCTCATCATAGTTTCATCATGTTCTTTACTGTTCTTTATACTGCATGTGTTACCATTTTACCTTATCTTTTGAGTGAAATTAAATATTAAAGGAGCTTAAAAAAAAAAGAAAAAAAAAAAAAAAAAAAAAAAAAAACGTCATGCTTCACGATATCGTATTTTTTTTTTCTTCTTTTTTTTATATACACTTATACACAAATTCTATTTCTATACATCATGGTAAGCTTGTCTATAAGCATTTACAAACAAAATATATACATATATGTGTATATATAACAAAAGTTATCAATAAAACTAATTAATTATTGTAAAAAAAAAGTCAGCTAAATTAACTTATATTCGAGCTAAAAGAGAAAAGACAAATGTATTTTTATGCATTCAAAAATTAGATTCAGTGGACGATGTGAAAGCAAAATTATGTAAAGCACTTTCTAATGAAAAAAAACCAGAAGAAATAAGATTACTTGTCAATGGAACAAAAGAGGAATATACTATTTTAGAAAATACAAAATCTCTAGAAAATAATCAAGTCGTTTACTATGTTTATTTTGATAGAAACGAAGGTAATTAGCATATAATAATACTGCATTTTTATTGTAAAAAAATGTATATCTTTTTTTAATTTACAAGTAAAAATGTATTGAATAGGCGAATGGGAAAAAGTGAATGTTATAGAACCACAATTATTAGATGAAGATGAAATCCAAGATGAGGAACAAATTACAAAAAAGGAAAAAGGGAAAGGCAGAGCTTAATGCAATAATTGTAATAATAAACAAAAACAAAAAAAAAAAAAAAGGTTATCATGAGGATGATCACCTTTTAAATAATGATGATGATGATGATAGAATGACAAATTATTATTCTGTGAGTGGCATTTTCATTTAAATAATAAGATATGCTGTCTATAAACATCGGAGGGTTTTTTTTCTTTTTCTTTTTTTTAAAAAAAAAACTCATTATTAAGAATACACATGCATATTCAAAATAAAAGACAGCATCATTTTCGAGAGAAAAACCTCTATATTGATTAATGCTTATTATAATTTTATAAAAGCAAATACTGTCATAATCAACTTGTAAGCTGGATAACAAAAGCAATAGGAATTTAACATGAGTAGAAATTAGCTTTATTCAAATTTCAGTAAAATAATTATACTAGACTTAAAAATAAGCTCTATAAAAGACAAGAAGTGAATACCCGTAAATTGGAGTATATATATATGTATGAATATATATGTACATATTTAGAATACTGTTCTACATAGAGGACAGCTAGCTGAATTAGAGGATCGGAACCACTAAGAAAAAAAAAAAAAAAAAAAAAAAGACATACACATGAATGAGTATACACAATGTAATATGTCTACAACAAATAATAATACTAATATACCTTGTATAAACAACTTGAATGGAATTTATTTTTACAGGTTCTACATTGTTTAGTGGGTATCGATCTATCTTGTGCACTAATAATTGAATAACAAATGGTACAATCTTCGACTCCATTAAAGTGAAGGTTCACATTACGTTTAAATACTGTTAAAGCATCTACAATATTACCATTCTAGAGAAGGAAGGAAAAAAAAAACGTAAATCAATATCTAACCTTTTCTATTACATCTTCCATCTAATCTTTTTCTTTTTTTTTTTTTTACCTGTGATCCAATGACTGCTGTTACTGCAAACATCCAACCTCTCCATTGCTTATCATTGACACCTACTTTTTGAATTCCTTCTACGTCAATAGGTCTTAAGGGAAAGTTAGTAGGTAACTTGATTGCAATCTGCATATTTTGTTCATCCACTCGATATATTGCTGTTACTTCAGATTTAGATGTCTTGACTGTAAATTCATTGTCATCATTATCTTCTAATTGCTTTTTAATGTCTTCTCGATTCACCATCTCAATTTCCTTGTGAATTAATTGTTGACTGAAATATTTTTCTGTATAGTGTTCAACAGCTATTGTCAATTGTCGATGTTTACAATCGATCCACCATTGTCGAACAAGTGAAGGAATATGTGTCAGGGCACGATAATAAAGATGTGAACTGAGGACTAAAAAGGTCATGTCAGATGTTACATCAATACCCTCCGTGTCATAATCTATGATAGACCAAGGTGTGATGTCAAATGATAATTCTGTACTGTTCTGTCCAACATGAAGGATCTTGCAAAGTGTTGGCATTAAATAGGATACAGCTTCCTGTTCTTTAAGTTGCCTTGTATATTCCTGTTTTAATTTAAATGTAATGTCTATAAAGTGATCAAACATAAGCATCCAAGCTAAAAGATATCCTAAAGTGTCATGTAATAATGAGGAATCATCTATCACAGATTGCCAGTGGGTTAAATCAGGAGGATTTAATAATGCATTCATAACTTCCTGATCAATATCTACATCTCCTTTTTCTTCTTCGTTTGTTTCTGTAAATTCAAGTTTAACCGATAAATCTTGAACTTTATGTGCAACGCATTTCTTTAATACAAGATAGATTTGTTTTTGGAGCACTTGATTAGGTGAATAAATCAATGCATTAAACTTGCTGAAATAGTCATCACAACAATCAACCAAATACTTTTCTGGAACAAAGTCTAATAGGCGTGCTAAAAGTTCTTGATAGATCATTCTTGCCTCATTCACATTTGGACCATTTTGATAATAATCCATTTCTTTGGCAACAAGGTCTAAAATGCACTTGCTCAGAATCGATATACGTTCCTCAAGCGCCTCTTGCAAGGATTCATTATTGCTTTCAATGGATAATAAAGTGTGTAATAATTTTAATCCATGATAGACAACCATTAATTCCTCAGTATCTGAGGTATCTGCAAACGCTATCCATTCAAAACAGCAGTCCAAGAAATCATTCCAGTGACTACCAGAGATATCTGAGATGGACTCTGCAAGATATTTCAAAAGTTGGGCGAACTGCGCTTGCACCAAAGCATGAGTTCTACTACATTCATCATCATCATCATCGTTGTCGTCATCATCGTTTTCTTTTATAGATACTAGAAGGGGTCGAATTGTTTGAACCAAATAAATTAAACGTTGTCGTGGGATATCAAATGCACCATGATTCAAGACAGATGTGTTTAAAAGAACAAGAGTATCCCAATGTGTTTTTAAATCCTTCATATGGCTTAGACCGGATAATCGATTGGCTAATTCACTTTGATAATGTATATAGCTTGGATCTTCACCCATAGTAGATTTGAAACACAACAAGATGGCAACCTTATATGCTAATGGTAGCTTATTATCGGTTGATTTGATCAATGGCAACCACTTTACCATACCTTCCATAGGCCAGTCTAATAAAATCACAAGTTGCTGTAAAACACGTTGCAAAACATGTGCTCCAAAGATAGGTTGATTTACAACTATAAGCTCAGCTACAAAGCGTAATAAGAGAGGTTGCTGGTCATTTACGTGGCCATTCATAACAGAGGCAAGTAATTCATTGTTCCAACTTAAGACGTCATGATGAATAGGCACAAGATGAGTAAGCCAGTCAATAAAGACAGAATGCATCGATTGAACAAATGTACGAACTCCATCAACCGCTTTGGGTTGCCAGATACGACATTTATATCCAGGGCACATTAATCCTTGCTCACAACACATTACTGTCATCATCAATTGACGGATCAACCACCCACATTCAACTCTTTTATTTTCGCTAAAAAGATATTCACCCCAGCAAAAGGCTAATCGTGCAAATCCAGAGAGGCCATATAGATCATAGTTTATTGTTTCTGATTCTTTTTGCAAGTCATCCTTCAATGATAAAGCTATAAAAGGGTCAGTAAAGCTCAACGTCAAATCATGACTAGAGACTAACAAATGATCAGATAAGGTTTTCCATTCTTGTTCTGTTCCTAATAACATCTCCACAGATAGTTCCTTATAGGTAGTTAAAAGTGTTTTGATTCGATGAGCGTTATCAGAAGGACTTGCAGCATAATGAATATCAGTTATAGAACGTTTTACCCGCTCAATAAGGTAGGAACTATCAGCACTATGCTTGTAAAGGTCCCATACCTCTGAGGCACTTGGAGCTACTGGCGAATCAATAAACATGATATCAAAGACTTCGCCAATCCAATCAATCGTCCTTCCCATAAGGCCAGGATGAGCATTCTGAAGAATAGTTAAGACAGACTGAACTGACTCCAACAAAAATGATGATCTTTCCTCTTCATAGTGTCGATTAAAGCTCACTAAAGTAGTAGTCAACAAATTCATTATTTCTGTTATGGTAGTATCGGATAAAATAGGTATGGAAAGACTAAAGGAAACCATTTTCTCTAATAAAGAACGAGGTACAGTTATAAATTGAGGATCCATTAATCGGCTCAATGCTTGTTTAACAATTGTATCCAAGGCATCACAACGATATGGTACCTTTTGACTTTGTTCAATGGTAAGAATAAAGATGTGTACACTACGAGATATTAATTCTGAATCATTCAACATATCCTTCAAGATATTCATTAGGGCTGTCCATAATGTTGATCCTTCATCAGTTTGAGTCACGCAAGTTACGTAAAAGGTAGCAAAAGAAGTTAACATAGCCTCATCACCTTCAGACCATTCCAATAGTCTCAACAATTGCTGTACAGCTATAATTAATTTCTTTGTTATTTCTACATCTAAATGAAGCAACTGTTGACCCAATACAAGTAACCCATGAGCCCATTGTTTATGTACCATAGCCGATTCGACAGATGTTAATAACAAACGTTGAGCAAGATCATTTGCATAATTCTTCAAATCCATAATGTCCTTGTTGTTTTGCTTAATTTCATACGATAAGGCAGTCATGAAATGAGCTACTTTTTGACAAAACAAGTTCATGTCGAGCTGTGCTTTGATTAGTTTAGTATCACAGTCAATCAAGGTTTGAATTAAAAGGTCATCTAGCTGTGATCTAAAAGTGAGCAAATTAAGCTGTTCATTTGAAAAGAGGATAACTGTATGTTTAGCAATAATTGCATATCCATTTAAATCTAGTTTATCAAAGTTCTTTATATTCAAAAAGTAGGATTGAATCATGTTGAAGAATGTTTGTTCAATTAATACTGTAGCTATCTGCAATGCATCTTCTTGTTTTGTTTTACTAGAAAAGAACATAAGTTTAATATATATATGTATATATTTTTATATAACCACTTTATACCTTAAAGAAATGGCAAAATAGATAATACATTCAGCATAAGCATTTAAGAAGAGATACGAATTGGATCGATCAATATATTCAGTATTTAGTCCTTTCCAAAAATTGTCAAATACATCTGTATAGAAATTAGGCATTTCTTTTAATTCTTTAGGAAGATGAGCTAAAAGGGCTAATAAGCTTGGATAAGTGATATTAGGTGAGCCATTTAACCCAGAACGAAGGAGATGAAAAAGCTTAGGTAATGCAGGCTTCTTTTTACCAATAACAATCCATGACTGAGGTAGTTCTAAAATAAAATAAAATAAAATAAAAATGAATAAAGGATAAAAAAAACAAACACAAATAGATTACATACTTTTGGTCATTAATAAAAGAGCATCCCACATATCTGAATGAGTCATTGTGTCTTTTTCAGTAAATACACTTGCGTAAAAACAGGGACAAATCAAATCTAATCTTGATTCAACCACTTCAATCCAAGATATCAACAAGGTACAAATAAAGCTGTAAAATGCTTTTCGAATTAAGGGACTTTCATTAGTTGATAATCGTTTCCACATGGTTGTATCGTCAAAGATAGTCTCATAACTTTCCTTTGTTCTTTCTTCTAATGGTAGAAATTGAATCAAATAAGATAAAATTTGTAAACTAGAGGAAACAACTCGTGCATATTTGGAAAACATCTCTTCCTTTGTTACATAGCGCGCATCACTTAATGTTTCAGGTGTTTTATAAAGAAGCATGTCTGTTATGTAATCTAAAATCTCCTTTTGACAAAATGAAATTACGCCTAATCGTTTATCTGCTGCAAAGACAGTCTATTATGAAGGTTAACTTTCTTTCTTTTTTGTTTAAAAAAAAGAAAAGAAAAAAGCTATTTACATACTTCAAAAGCACTTTGTGACACTTTAACAATATCCTTACTTGAATCATACATAGATAATAACCAAGGTCCAATTAATTCCTTCAAAATAGGCGCAAATTTCTTTTTTGCATTAGCTGTAATTAACGCATGAACTTGATTCGCTATTAAACGAACACGTCGATCTACTTCTAATACTAATTTATTATACAATGTCACCTATTTTCCTCAAGTAAAAAAAAAAAAAAAAAAAAAAAAAAAAAAAAAAAAAAAAAAAAAAAAAAAAAAAAAGAGAGAGAGAAAGAGAGAGGAAGAAGGTTAATACACTGTCATTACTATTATTACTACTACATACCCAATTATTTAAAATAAGTTGAATAGCACTTTTATTTGTCTTTAAATAACTTTCCAATTCCTCTAATGCCTTAAGTTTAGTCGTGACATCGCGTTTGGAGATTTTTTTGAGGATAACAACAAGTTCTGGATCTAACTCGACAGCATAAATCTCACCAGAAGGCGTAGAAGGACGTGAAGGAATGGCTGTTGGTAATGGTGAATTACTTACAAATTGAGCAAATCCACCGAGATTCTCAAAACTTAATGAGCGGCTTGAACTTGCTAATTCAGCAGCACGACTACATGAGAAGAAATAAGGAAACAATGATGATTTATTTTAATTCAAAATGCCTCTTTTATTTTTTACCTGCTGCTAGCAGGCTTCATATTGCCTTTTACTCTGGGTTTTGTTGGTTTGCCCATCTTTGTTTATAATAACAAAACAATATAGGAATCTCGCAGCAACACAAAATTGAAACTTTTTAATTTTTTTTATTTTTTATTCATTTATTTTTTTTTTTTTTTTTTTTTTTTTTTTTTTTTTTTTTTCAAGAAATGTAACGGAATTTTAATTTTTATTTTATTTTTACCATAACTTTCTTTCGGGCAAGCATTATTCTATGATAGTCTTCCTTGAACAATGGAGTATTTTAAACCCACACTATTGTCTGCATCTCATCGACCTGAATTGATTTCTAACGAATCTTTACTTATTCAACAAGTTCATATTGGACTGTATGAAGGGTAAAAATAAAATAAAATAAAATAAAAAATAAAATAAGAATGAAGAATGGAGCAAGATAGAACATTCTCATGAGTTTTCTTTTTTAACATGATTCCTGCAGAAAGCATAAATTAGATCAATACCAAGATGGCGTCTGTTATTTAACTACACATCGCATCATATATGTAGACTATAGTCGGCCTTTAGAATACTCAATAGAATTAAGTTTAAGTGTTATTCAGGATGTTGAAAATTACGTAAGTTAAATAAGCTAATTCTCTTTTTAATATTCTCATCTGTTTTCTTAAAATAAAATAAAGAATGGATTTTTACGATCTTCACCTAAAATCATTCTCAATCTTAACCCTGCATCATTAAATAATCAAGCATCTTTAGTAAATACAACCCCAAGTGCTAACGTCTGGGCTTGTCCCATTTGTTTCTTTTCGAATAAAGCATCTACTGACATTTGCGAATTATGCGGTGTCCGAAAACAGCAACAGCAACAGCAACAACAGCAACAACAACTAATATCAACACCAACAAATGAAGATCAAGATAGCAGTGTATGCACATTATGTACATTTAAAAATCACCCCAGTATGGTTCAATGTGAAATGTGTGGAGCGGATTTACCAAAAGTCATTGTACCATCACCATCAATACCTAATAATAGTTCAATTATACCAGTTCAAATACGTCTCTCGTTTAGACATGGTGGACATTCTAGTTTTTTAAGTAAACTAAAGCAAGCCTTGAGTACTAAACAATGGGAAAAGGTATATATATATGGAGAAAAAAGAAAAAAGATGGCTAATACACGTTATATTTTAGAAAGAAATGAAGTCTCCTAATAGCAGTAGATCTACTACACCTGTTATTCGTGGTGTAGGAATAAGTATGTAAAATTAAAATTACATCATATAATTCTTATTTATCCTATTTTTTATTTTTCAGGTGCAATTGAGGATCGTATTAAAAAGACAAGTCTTGAAGCTAATGAAACCATGACAAATGCCTTTCAGGATCTTGATAAACTAATGATGAAAGCTACTGAAATGGTAAAATTGGCGGAGTCCATTTCCAATAAACTTAGCAAAGATTCAGATAATAAAGAGATGTCTACTTTACGAACCCATTTATTAAACCTAGGTGTAACTTCCCCTGTCACAAAGTAAGTGAACCATTTTATGATAATGAAGCATATTATTCATAAATATAAATATATATGCATATGTAGAGGCACTGCTGGCTCAATATACCATCAAGAACTAGCAAGAGAGTTGGCAGATTTTCTTGGTAAACTATACGAAAAGGAAGATGAAGTAAAGTCTTTAACAGACATCTATTGTTTATTTAATCGTGCTAGAGGTGTTGGTAAGTTTTGTATAAATATAAAGAATATTTAATTCATACTTTTTTTTTGTTTTCTTAGAATTAATATCACCAGAAGATTTACATAAAGCAAGTCAACAATTTGAATCCTTAAAGTTACCATTTCGACTAAGAAAATTCCCTAGTGGTTTGTTAGTAATTCAATCCATTCATATGGACGATAATATAGCTGCAAATCGTATACTAAAGCATGTGAAAGAGCACGGAGGTCTCTTAACAGCTCTTCAACTGGCCGATATTGAAAATTTAGCGCTTGCTGTTGCTGAAGAACAGCTGTTTGTTACTGAGAGAATGGGTCTACTTTGTCGAGATGAAGGACCTGCTGGTCTTACGTTTTATGAAAATTTATTTTTAGTTTCCTCATCATGATACTTGTTAATCTGTATCGACTAATAAAATATATGTCCATATGTTTTATATATGTATATAATGAACATGAATATAATATATCCATGGCATTTTAGTATAATCAACAAGACTCAAGGGCCTCATTCAAAGGACCTATCAACAGCTAACAGTATCACATAATTCCCTCTAAGCTGTGTGTGTAGTATGCTATTAGATCATAGTAATAATTTTATCCATCATACAAGAGACACCTTATTTAGATGAACACATTTTATCTCGACCTATTATTATATATTTCGCTATGAAGAAAGGTAGTATAGGATCTTCCATTCTCTCACTTGCTTGCTCTATCTTATCCTTTATGTATGTATGTATATATTTCTATATATATGATCATGCTTAAATTGGATTAAATATAATTGCATATTCCCGGCGTATGGTTTCATCTAATTCACTAGTATAGTAAATAATAAAACTCAAACGTTAACTCTGCTCATGTCCAAAAAAAGGGAATATTTGTTTATTAAAAAAAAAAAAAAAAAAAAAAAAAAAAAAAAAAAAAAAAAAAAAAAAAAAAGCACAAGACTGAGTTTCGGGGCTTTTTTTTTTTTGTACACAGAACAAATTCATGCCAATTAGGCACAAAATGAAAAGACAGATTGGGGAGAAGGAAACGAAAAAAAAAAGAGATAATTTTCTTTTTTTGGGTGAAATTACATAATCGAATAAAAGGAAATACAAGAAGAAATTTATATATTTTTTTAATGCATTTATAAAAGATATAATTGAAGAAGCCATTCTTTCAACTCGACACAATTCAAAACTGATATTGAGGCAAGCATCTTGTTTATTTAAAATACCGAACAAAAAAAAATGAATTTTGCCTGGTAACTTTTTTTTTTTTTTTATAATTCAACCCTTGACTACCCCCAGCATCAGGACCCTCTTTTTTTATTCTTCTTATTCTTAACCTTTTCATAAAATAAATAAAAAAAAAGAAAGACCAGAATTCAAAGAGTCATTTAACAAATACAAAAAATCATTTTAACTTTCTCTTTTTTTATCTTAAAAAAAACAAGAAGAAAACAGGGCCAAAGAATATCAAGATTCTTTAAAGCAGCATTTATTTAACTACAAACATTATAACTACCCCACTCTTATCGTCTTTTTTTTTTCCTTCCTCCCTTCTCCCTTCCTCCTCCTTCTCCTTCTTCTTTCTTTCTTTTTTGCGTATATTTAAAACATAAAATAAAGGTCATGACAGAAGACTCGACATTAGAAAAAAATCAACAAGAAACTTTTTTAAATCAATTTATAAAACAGGAATGCGATGACTCGACATTACCACTACCACTACCACCATCACCACCACTGACGTCTTGTACACACGATAATGAGCTAATATTAAAAAAGTTATTAGAACCAGGTCAAGAAGAGCCGACTGTTAAACAAGAAGAAACCAGTAACAACACCCTGGTTCAAGATACAGTAGCAGAAAAATCAAATCAAAAAATAGTAGATCAGCCTGATTCTATACCAAATACAGATACTACAGCTATACCCGCTACCACATCTACTTCTGATGCAACAACAGCAGTAATCACCTCTAATACAACTACTACTACTGCTGCTGCTGCTGCTGCTGCTACTACTACTACTACTGCTACTACTGCTGCTACAGTAACTACTACCCTATCACAACCAACAATAACAACAGAGTTATCGTCATCTACTTCACTAGAACCAAATAATAATAATAGCAATAACAATAACAATAATAGTAATAATAATAATAGTAATAGTAATAATACCTCAATAGATACTTCACATCAAACAATCCCGCCAGTTACATCTATTACAACATTTGAAGAAATCCAAAGACAACTAAAGTCAACATTAGATCATGTAGAACAACGTAGTATGGTAAGCGCCTTTGAAACCTTAAGTAATGCAACATCAGCTGTGGTTGAACATTGTCAAGAATTAGGTCTAACGTCTGACGATCATCCTTATAATGCAATTGATCGAGAACAGTTCTGGGCTGGCCTAAATAACTGTTGGCTCTATGCCCTTGCACAACAAAGACATGAACCCAGTCAGCCTATTGAACGTTTGACGGATCAACATCTTTATAGTTTACGTGATAAGGTGGTGAGTTGGGCAGATACGTTAGAAAGGTTTGGACTCGTAGATTATGAAATGGGTTGGTGGGAGGCGGATATCTTGTCAGCTATTGATGGTATCTTGGCTATGAATTATGCAGCGGCTCAAGCGGCTGCTCAAGCAGTTGTGGCTCAAGCAGCAGCAGTTTTGTTTGGTGGTGGTGGTGGTAGTGGTGGTGGTAGTGGTGGTGGTGTTGGTGGTGGTATTGGCGGCGGTGTTGGCGGCAGTAGTGGCGGCGGCGGCGGTGGTGGTAGTAGTAGTGAAGATGTAAACATGTAAAATAAATAAAATAAAAAAAAAAGAAAAGAGGGCATCAAGATGTATATAACATTATTTATGTATTTCTATAAATGTATTTTTTATATATTTATACAATAAAAAAATAGTAACAATAATAATAATAGACGTTTTAAAATGATTGTTCAATCTCTTCCTCCTCTATCAGATCATCAATATCTGGTAAAGGAAAGTTTAAAATAGCTGCTACACCAGCCAATTGATTCAATTCTATACAAATAGATAAGGAATCATATATAATTATTCATTTACATATATTTTTATAAACTTACGTTCTCCTGATGGATGCATGCTTGAAAAAATAAAAACATTTCCATTCTGTGCTCTCACTTGTTCAACTAATCCTACATATTTCTTTCGTGTTGCAATATCGGCAGATCGAAATAGTCCATCTGTCACAAGCAATGTGCCTATAGCTCCTCGTTCATTAGCAATCGCAACATGCTCAAAGCCGTAAAAGGCACGATCAGGGTCATTATTCATCATTTCATAGAACTTATCGAGCGCTTGAACTTCTCTTGCTGCTTTTGTATCTGCTAGTTTAACCTGTACAGAAGGATCTTGCATGACTTCTGTTAATGCATGTTTATGTCCACTTGAACTATGAATTAAGACAAATTTGGATTTATTTTCCAAGAGTACTTTATTATCTGTTTTAACTGCTTGATCAAATATATAACTATAGAGCTGATCCTTTACAAAACCTGGACTTGCAATAATAATTGCCTTTACAATATCAAAATGAATAAGGCGAAGAATACTTTGATATATTTGTTCATAAAATTTAGTAAGGCCCTATTATATAAATATTTATTATATAGGAGGAAAATCAGACAAAAAAAATGAATATATCCTCTTTTTTTTCTTATTTTATATAACTATACCTTTTCATGATTTGTAACAGATCCTTTACGCTTTCGAGGAATAGGAATTTCAATACGTTGGCGTACAATTGTCATGTGTTGTGTTAAGAAACAAATATTAGCTAATCCTTCTTGACAGACGATAGCTGCCACATCAGCTTGTTTTGTAATATCACAAGCATCCTCAACACGTTCTAAGGCAATAATATCCCATTCATGTTTATAAATTGTGAAGTTACGATTAAGCTCAAGATCGATTGTATGATAACTACCCATCTTTTTTTTTTTACAAGTAAAATAAACTTTAATTTTTTTCTCTTTCTATAAATTGTAATGACTTACCTTGACATATTGATTTTCACTAGCTACTTTTCCATTGATGCGTAATAAACCACCTTGAGGATCAAAATCGACATTTTCAACAGTAATTGTTAAAGTTAAACGAACTCGCTGGCTTGTTGTTGATCCTGTTGAACTTTCTGACTGAATACGACTAAATATATATATAATAGACACAATAAAAAAAAAACCAAGAGTGAGTGAGATTCGAAACATTCTATATATCTTTTTTTTTTTTACCGGATAGTAGGTGCTCTAATCATGTCATCGTTAGAAATCAAGTTATAAATATGCCACATGTCTTCTAATTCTTCGGGAAGAAGGGTGATAGATCCCGAACTATCTTTTTCTAAACTCTTGCCAATCAACTAAACAATATAAATAAACAAATGATCATGTTTCTATGATGAATTAAATTTACCTTCATTTGTAATGAACAAAAAAAAAAAAAAACTTACGAATAAAAACGCTGTTATTTTATTTCATTTTTTTTTTTTTTTATTTTTCTAAAAAGGCCAATTAAAATTATGAAATTTAGCATTTTCTCAAAATAAATGTCATGAGGTTAAATTATGCTAAAATAAAACAATTATGAGCCAACTTAAAATTGGCGAGAAGATTGTGCCTATCTTCTTTCTAGTTCCTAATAAGACCCTACTCTAATAATGAATACTCCTGTCTCCTCCTCCTCCTTTTTTTTTTATATATGAAAATGGATAGGAAAATATATTTTTTAATGAAGAGGGAAAGAGAGAGAGAAAAAAAAACGTTTACGATCATAATATGTCGATAATCACAGTCTAGTTTTTGAAATCACAACAGTAGCTAGTCAACAAACCTACTTGAGTCTTAAGCACCTCTCCCTCTCTCTCTCTCTCTTTCCCTTCCCTCCACTCCAAAAAGAAAATTGTCTTATACAGCAGCTGCTATCACCATCATCAAAGAAACTATTTATTATAAAGCCATATATTTTGAAAATCCTCAAGAGCATAAGTCAGTGGTTCAGGCTGCAAGAGACTTAAATATTGATTACTATACTGCATTACAAAAGGATAAAAGAGATTGCATATATAAAGTATGTATCTTTATAACTTTATTAGGAAGAGGGAAAAGAACAAAAAACAAGTGCCAATTTCAAGTTGGCTCATTGTCTTTTTTTTTAAATAAAGTAAACAATTTCTAATTTCGATATTTTATTTTTATGTGTCAAATTCCATAATAGGAGGGTTTGACTGTATTATTAAAGTCTCTATTGTGTAAAAGTATTATTTATATCAGAAAGGGATTAATAAAATTATCAGTAGTGGTAAGAATAGAAGGAGGAGAAGAAGGATAAATACAGTGAGTAGGAAAAATAAGGGCATCATGAAAAGCAACAGCAGCAGCAGCAGCAGTAGAAGTAGTAGTAGTAGAAGGAGAAGAAGAATTAGTAGGATAATAGCAATAAGCACTAGTATCCATGATCATGTAATCATTATGTGAATGTTGAAAGTGATCAAATTCACTTCCATTTGAGCTTGTGACAGAAGGAGAAAAATGGGTTTGATGAGAGAGTAAAGAAGGTGAAGCAGATAAACCACGATAATAGTCAATAGGTTCATTAAGAAGTCCGTTCTTGTTCACTGTCATAGGATCTAGTAATAACGTTGAATCATGTTGATAAGAAGAAGAAGCAATTTCAGTAGACATGAGAGAAGAACAAGGAAAAAGAAGAGGACTATGACTGTCGTCTATCTTCCCTTTCATCACTTTCTTTACTTTAGGTTTAGGAGGTTCACTATTGATTTGATTCACAAAATGTTTTGATTCCTTTTTAGTTGCTAACTTTGGATCCTCATCGTTATTACAATAATAAAGGGAAAGTAAATGCTGCATATCATCGAAATCACGTGCAATGAATTTGTCATGAGGATGTTTCTTGTAAGGTCTCGGGGCACTTTCTCTCTTTTGAGGTTTAAACTTATAATTAGGATATCTAAATATAACAAACAAATGAGTAAAATAGAAAAAAAAAATAAAATAAAATAAATGTCAATAATCACTTTACAAGGCTTTGTGTTCCATCTTAAGTCTCTCTGCTTTGTCAATATAAACTTGTTTCTTTTCAGGAGTCATTTCCCGCCACCATTTGGATATAATTTTTGAAATATCGCGATGATTTGCTCCAGGACATTGTTTTACAATTTCGCGTTGTTTTTCTAATCTAAATGTCATGAAACTGTTTAAAGGTCGAGGAATTTTTTCAGAAAAAGAAGATTTAACCATGATTTTTGTTCTTTAAAAATGAAAGGAAGGAAGGAAGTATATATGTTTAAGGAATGAAAAGAGTATAAAGTTATCTGGTTTTTTGTTTTTTGTTTTTTCGATTAAAACAAGTCTTTTATATATTCTAATGTATAAAATAGCTTATAAATCAACTACCCCTTACTTTTCATTATTTTATTGCATATTAGTGTAAACTCGGAATATTGTCTTTTATAGACAATAAATATGCATTTTAATTAAGTAGTAAAATAATATATTATATTAAGAAGCTATTTTTGACAACAAGCAAAATCATGTTACAATTTAATAAATACCTAATAGCAATAAATAAAGAATATCAATTATGAATGCATTATTATTATCATTATTATATCTTACCAGGAATAATTCTATATTTAACAATTTTACAATACTTTTCCCAGTCTTCGCCATATTTAGTTCTACACTTGTGATCATCTCTTCTTTCACGATGAAGTAAAAGAATAGCGAAATAAATTGGATAAAAGTATGGAATAGGTGTAGCAAATCCACATGGTAAACTCCAACTTAGAGACATGAGCCAATCACCAAAATAATTGATATGACGTGAAATACCCCACCAGCCTGATGTTATCAATTTACTACCTGCTTTTGTTTGAAGATACTTGAGTTCTATTATAAAAAAATAAAAATAAATAAATAAATAAAAATAGAATAATAAATGGAATATAAATATCTCTCTCTCTCTGTGTGTGTGTTCATTGGTCTTACTTTTAGAGGCAGGACTGTTAGGGAATGAACGGAATTCATTCTTTTGTGAGTTGGCACTTCTAAAGATATAATAGCCAATAAAATTAAGAGCAAGAATACCACAAAAGCTAAGCCAGCTAATACTTTGAGGGAAATCAACAAGATAACGAGCTTGAAGAGTATAAGTAAAAGGAACCCATGTATATAAACCAAAGGCTAACATAAAGCCAAAACCATCTAATATAAAGAGTAAGTCTTTGCATATTACAATACATATTAGAAATTTATACCAGTTGTAATATCCATAGTAGTTAAGACAGCTTCCTCGTTCCAAAGTGAATCAACCACATACCAAGTTTGAAAGAATTGTACGAGAAACATTGTATTTGTCATGCGTCCACCAAGATCAGTCCACTGCTTAGCTGCTAAACAATAATTTAATACTAACCATCCAATTAATCCAGGACGAAGTTCAGTGAAGAATTTGATATCAAAGCCTCCAATACGAGGATTGAGTTCTCTACCGATCATAAACTTTATATAATATAAAAGATGAGAAAAAAGTCATTTATACCACACACACACACACACATATAAAAATATAACATACATCATAAATTGGATTTCCCGTATTACCACCTAAAGCTAATAATTTATTAGGTCGGAAACTACCAAGATAAACGGCTGTAGAGATGGCATAACTAAAAATAATAGAAGCAAATGCTAAACCAATATAATGATCATAAGCGTATTCAAGAGGCTTTAATCCAGTACTCTTCAAGAAATAAAGTGCAGCAAAAATAGTTGTATGAAATGAAGCAAAACCTATGTTTCCATCCAAAAAAAAAAAAAAAAAAAAAAAAAAAAAAAAAAAATGGCAATAGTTAGAAAACATACATAAATACATACACACACACAAGTTATTATCTATCAATACCATTCATTCTGTATTTAAGTCGATTGCCGTTACGAAGTAAAGTGCCTGGGACATAATCACCAGGTAACACGATATAAAATAAAGCTAAACTAGCTACAAAACCAATATAAATCAAGAAAGCAGAAGGATCCCAAAGAGACATTAAATAATCAAAAGTAAATTTAGATGACAAAGTTCCTTTCCAATCATCTCTAAACTCCTTTGAAGGGTAACCCGTAGAGTCACAACAAGTAGCAAAAAAAAGAACGAGAATAGGCAAACAAATAACCATACCTAAAGCGCCTATAGGACCACCAAATTCATAATGACGAGTCTTTGGATTCAATTCAGCTAATTGGCTGGATGATGTTGTTTCAGCAGTAGTTGCTTTATCAGCAGTTGATTTTGCCTGTTTCTTTCTTTGAACAGGTTTTGACATGTTTAATTTGGAATTAAACGTTAAAGACAATATATAAAATAAAAAAAAAAAATAAAAAATAAAAAAAAAACAGAATTTATTAAATCTGTATCAACATCCGACAATCGCCCATTTTTTATTCACTGCCAGTTCTATCATAGTTTTTACGTTTTTTCACTACAATAATTATTGTTAAATAAAAAAAAAAGGTTATTATCATTTGTTGTATATTAATTATTTTTTTTTCTCCTTCTGGTTTTACCATCTCTTAATACACTATAGGCTGATGATATGGCTTGAAACTTGATTTTTGCTTCCTGCTTTTCTTTTTCATTTGTAAATCTATCTGGATGGTATTTCATAGCAAGTCTAGTAGATTAAATATGATGTAAGTATAACGATAATAATAAATTGTGTTAGATAATACCCTCTAAATGCACTTTGAATATCTTGTTGATTTGCTGAAGGACTAACTCCCAAGATATGATAATAACCTTTAGGGTCATTACCCATATTATTACTATATTCTCTCTCCTCTCGCCATGTTCGACGTCTTTCTTGATCTTCAAATGCTGTATATTCTTTTACCCAATCATTATCCCATCCTTCTGGATCGTCTATCATGGCTTTAATTTCCTGATTTCGGATTATATCACGAATGTAAAGTGAAATAATAGGATAATACATGGCGAGAAAAGAAGTAGCTACGGTAGGTAAAACGATACCTAACTATTAATTAAAATAAATAGACTATTTTAAATCAATAAAGGTTTCTTACTTACCCAGAATGATCCACTTGCTCCTCCCCAACCTATTCCACCTGTGAATGTCATGGTAGTTGCCATACCCAAAGCAGAGACAGCGGCCACTCTTTCATGATTATATATCTTGGTACCTCCAACTGATAGATCATAACCATTCACAAACGTCCTTAATCTTCTTCCCAAATAATGAATAGAAAATATAAAAGCAGGATAATAAACAGGAGACACACGTACATCTTTGAGCTCAAGTTTCACTTTTAATAATCGTGTTTCATCCATACTATAAAACTCTCTTAGGAATTGATCTGCTAATAATTCCTCTTGTTCTTGGATATAAGCAGTTGCAAATCGACGTGCTGTAGTTGGATAAAGCATAAAAGGATCTACTTTACGTACTTTGGTCTCATCCCCATGAGATGTCTCCAAGAGATCAGGTGTAAACTGGACTGCATTTTCTAATGCAGGTCCTGTTGTCATTTTATTCACAAGTCCACGACGATAACGATGAGAGGCATAAATTTGTAAACCCGAATGTCCTAATGGGTTATAATGACGAGTAAAATGATGTTGTTGAGGAATCCAGGCCCAATCTGTTTCCCATCGAGATTCGTTTTTTTTAGTTGCTGGGTTATAACTTGTTCTAATTACTCTTCTACCCTAAAAATATATACATATAGATATATACATATAAAGTCGAATTTTGAAGAAGGAATAAAGGGAAAAAAAAGGGGGGAGGCATCATTATATATGTTTGTAAACTTACTACTTGGGCCTGTTCAATAGTTGCATTGACTGTGGCTGATACAACCCAGAAGGGAAGATAGACTTCTTCAACTGGAGAAGATTGTGATACTCGAGCAGCAAAGAATCCTTTCCCATGATAATCTTCAAAAGTCTATTATTACTATGCATGATTATTTAAATCCATTTTTTTTATTATTATTAACCCTACTTTTTCAGCTGCTTTAATATGTTGTGCAAAAGGGATAGCTTTTACTTTTTCTTTTGGTGGACCCTGATTTGAATAATAACGGTAATATTGAATAAGATGGTTTGTTTTATTAAGTCGTTTTAATAGCAGTAGTTGCTGTCGTCGAAATAATAATGTTATGGAAATCATTGTTTAAAAATAAAAGGATTATTTCTTATTATTTACAGCCAGAAGAAAAAGACTGTCATCATACTAACGATGCTAATTAAAACTCAGTTTTTTTTTGTTTTTTGTTTTTTTCTATTTGCATTATAGTATTTTTCGAAATTATTCGCTCACCTTTTAAAACTCTATTATGTAGCCTATCATTAGCCATAATTTCCTTTTCAAGAGTAGCAGCACTCGATTGCATAGCCTCCGTCTTTGCCTTTCTCCCGTTCAACCTCCATACTTTCTAAAGTTTTTTCAATGTTGCATCAGTCTCTGTTTTCTTCTTTTGATGGACTATCTTTTCAGATTGAAGTGTATTGATATGTCTTGTTTGCTGTTCTGTTAGATCAGATAAAAAGTTTAACAGATTCCTAAAGTTGTTTCTCCTTCTCTGATGCCTTCATCAGACTTGCATTGGCCTTTTTCAAGCCTTTTAGTTAACTCTGACAGATTTTTATCTGCTCCTGCTTTCTCTAGTCTCAACTTCTTAATCGTCGTAGTTCGTTTAAACACAGTTTTAGATCGTTTTTTTTTTTCGACTTCTTGTAATAAGCCCTGAGAGACTAGCAAATGATCCAGCTTGTGTATTTTTCTTCTTTTGATTTCTTTAGTTTTGTTTCTAAATCTTTCATCTTGCATTCACTTTTCTTAGCATGTTCTTATAACTGATGTATCTGATTGTGCAGTTTAGCAATATTTTCCATAGCCTGCAAAAAGCTGCTGTTCATGTTGCTCTAGGACTCGATCTTTATCATCATTAATGATTCTATTGATATTTTGTGGTCCTGCTAATTTTTCTTCGCGTTCAGATTTAGTTACTAAATAATCCTGCCTAGTTTCATCTTCCTCCTCCTCCATGACTGCTACAGGTTCATATTTTTTTATTTCATTATTATCCCTATTCGTATCTTTTGATGAGTCGAGACATTCATCTTCAGTAGGCTCTATATCTGTCTTCTTTACACTCATGTCCATTTTGGGTAATGATCTTTTCTCCTCTTTATCCTTCTCTTCGCTTACATTTATATCCTCTTATTCTTTCCTCACCTTTTCCATCACAGTTATCTTATTTCCTTTGTCCTTCTTCACACTCTATTTATTAGAAGATACATTCGAATGCTTTTGGTTTATTTACCATAACAGCAGCTAATCGACTTGATAAATCTAGATTTAGATGTGTGTTTATTGAAGGAGAATTCGTTTTCTTTGTTGACTTGGGTTTTTCAAGTGTAGTAACTGGACCATTAATAGGATCAACATAAGTTTCTGCTTCAGTATCTTTATAATATACATTATGTAAATATTAAAAGATAAAAGGAAAAAGGGAAAAAAAAAGAAGATTAATAAGGGACATTAGAACATCATTTACCTTCGTTTGCTGATGACTGTCGTCGAGTAATAGGTTGCTCGAGAAAAGAATCAAAAATTGTTTTTACATTAGATATAGCTTACTTAAAATATCCACCCCCATTTTGAAGTAGTTTCACTAGAACCAAAGAAACTGCTCATTATTAAATCATTTAGAAGCTTTATATGAATGGGATTTCAAAAAAAAAAAAAAAAAAAAAAAAAAAAGGGAAATATGTATACATAAAAGAAATATCAGTTTTCTAATAAGTACTAAATATCTTTAATATTTTGTACTCATCTTAGTTAATTTAAAAAAAAATAATTTGATTGTAAAGGAAGAGAAATAATCATGATAGTTTCTCTGATAAGATATTAGTTAATAGTTTACATAATCACTACTGCACCACATTTTGTATTTCCTGTATTTTTTATGTCAATTACTTGTTTTTATACTTCTTAAAGTCAATTTGGAGCAAAAAGATATATTATTATACAAACAATAGTTAAAGAAGGCACAAGATTATTAAAAGACGCGTAAAAAAAAAGAGATATTTATTTATTGTATTTTATTTTCATTTTTATTTCATATATATAAAAGTGAATCCCCAATTCGTCAACAGTAATAATTACTGCAGTCCAAAGGTGGCCGCGTGGAGGCTAGGATTCGTTGCACCTTCTTTGTTCTTGTATTTTTTATTTTTACTAGGAGGTTAGAAAAAACCCATAGCCATCACAATATGTAACGCCCTCTGAATCAACAAGATACCCTACAATGTCCTCCTAATTCAAGGAGGGCAAGATAGGGTGTCTTGTTGATTCAGAAGGCGTTACATAAGTGGTAACTATGAGAAAAAGAATTTCCTCCTAGGGCAGGGAAGAAGAATAAATAGTATTATTTAATGACTTACCTATAGAAGAAATAGTAATAATAAAGAAGAAAAAGAAGAAGAAGAAATAACTTTGAATATCTACTTTTTTATAAGAATAAGGAGGTCGTTGTTGTAAATTACAGTCACAATCATATGAAATCGATAAGAATATGTGTTACCCCACATTTAATACACACACACGCAGTTACATTATTTAATTTTCTTCCTTTCTTATAAAAAGTAATAATGTGTAGAATAATAAAATGTTGTCAATTTTATATCTTCTTTATGACTATATGAAATGTGTTTATGTTAAAGAAAAGAAAAAGAAAAGAAAAGTAAGTAAAATAAATGTCTTTTTGTTTTCATTTTTTTGTTTATATTCTCATAAACTTTCTTTTTCCCATTTAGGCAACTAATATGCATCTCATTTGTACAAAATACTACTATTTCCCCACAAGGGGTATTTGATAAGTCTAGTCTCCCTTTTGTTGCGCTTAAAATCATTCTTTTACTCATATACATCGTTTGCCAAAATGAGGTTGTAAAGATTAACGATTTTAACTTCCTTGATGTAGGTTATGAAAACCAGTTAAAGTATCTTTGGCTTGCATTCATTGTAATCTTTCTCCTCTTCCTTTTAAATACTAAAATATGTTATAGATAATACATTCCTTCATCCGCATGTTTAATCAAGAAACATGACATTATAAGTCAGCTCATGATAATAAATTTTTAACGTACATTAAAATGAATCAGTTTTATTCCAATGACTGTAAAGAACTCTTATAAAGACTAAAAGGGAGATAAGAAGAATGATAGATAATATGTTACTATATACTAAATATAAAGGAGGAAATGTATTTATTTTTTCAAATCTCTACTGTTGCTACATTTTAGCTCTGGAACAGTATTATAAATATCTCCTTTTGTAATGAGGATATTAATTAGAATAATTAGTTCTGATGATGCCTATTTTTTCCTAAAAATATATATTTATATGTATATATACTCTATAGCAATAATGTTCGTATTACTACTGTCTTTTCATTAGAGCTATCTTCTCTGTATAATTTACGGCTTTTGAAATATAATTCTTAGTCTCTTTTGGCCTTTAAGTTTATAGGCATTGACAAGTATCTGACAATATACTACATAGAACAAGGAATTTATTAGGTAATTCATTTTAACTTTTTTTTTAATTAGGCAAAATATGAACTTTAAATGTAAAATTGGATAAAGGAAGAATTGAGATTATTCATTTTGTTTATTCAATATCTAGATAACGTTCCAGTAAAATAAAGTAAAAAAAAAAAATAAGAAAAAAAAAAAGGAAAGAAAAAAAGAAAGAAAGAAAGCAGGAAGACAGAAATTGTTGAATGAAAATCACAAGGAATATCTTGTACAGACATTTGATGATAATCCCTCTACAACAGTAGATCAAGCATTAGATGATCTGAAAGTTTCTCGGGCGATTGTTCACAAGTTTATGACAGAAGATTGCACTCTATTACTGAAAAAAAAAAGCATACTTTTATTCTGCGGAAAGAAACTCCCCTGAAAAGATCCAGCAGAGATACGAATGGGTAGTCAAATGGTCAGAGACTGATCTAGATTTCGGGAGCAACAGCGTCTTCATCGATGAAGCGGCATTCCACATCACACATGAAAAGGATAGTAGCTTGGTTACAAAAAAGGTGAGGGAGCAATAGTTGAAACGCCCACAACAAGGGCATAGACAACGACAATATTGGGGGAGGGTCATTTCACCGTTTGGTGTCATCAGCATCAAAGTAAGGCGGTCGTACGAGGCTCCCTCAAAAATAAAACGGAAATTGCCTGGTATAACCAAAGCTATCAAAACTACAGGTACTGTCACTGGCCATTATTTTAATTTTATTGGGAGTGTTCTTGATATTATGGATGAGCATGAAGAGTTCAAAAAAAAAAAATCTACATCGTCATGGACAATGTTCCAATACACAAGCATGAAGATATCGGAAGATATGTTGTCAATCAAGGCTACAGCCGTGTATATCTCTCTTTCTTCCCCCCTATTCTCCAGAATTGAATCCAATAGAGTAATTCTAGTTTGTCGTCAAGTGCAAACTTAAGAGGTAGAAACTTCTGCAGAAAGAAACTCTCACTTCAAGGATTTCTGAAGCTTGTAACAGTATTCTTGACAGTGACTTGCGAGACTTTTGTCGTTATTCTGCATCCAAATGGCAGTTGTGATTTGATAAACAGCCACTTTAATGTGATGGCACACTATTGTGCCAAAATTTCTGTGCTATCAATAAAAAAAAAATGTGCCATGACAAAAGTCGGCAGTTATGTCAAACTAAATTTAAAATATGTACCAAAATAAAAAAAATAAAAATAAAAATAAAAAAAATAGTGCCATTAAAAAAAAAAAAAAAAAATAAAAGTGCGCCATGTGATTTAAGAAGGAGTGCATGTATAACAAAATGTGTCATCTTAAAAGAAAGTTAAAACTGAATTCTAATTGAAACAATTTGATTAGTGCAACCTATTAAAATAATGTGGGGCAAATAAATGTAGCTTAAAGTAATGGTGAGAACTTTTTTTTGTAATGATAAAAAAACAAAGTTACACATTTTACAGATATATAAAAAGCGGGAGGATTTATTAATTCTTGTCATCTTTCTTTTCCTTATTATTTATTAATTTCTTTTAAAATGACTGGTTATCTTGTTGAAACTGAAACTCCAAAGGGTTATAAGCTTAAGCGTAAGTCGATTGTAGATACATCTTTTTTTTTTTTTTTTTTTTTTGTTTAATAATAATGCTGTTGTTGTTGTTGTTTATTTAGTTCAAACGGGTCTTTTTATCAATAATAAATTTGTTGGTGGTTCTAATACTATTGACACTGTAAACCCTGCTACTGGCAAAGTCATTACTGCAGTTCAAGCTGGTAATCTATACATATACATATACATAAAAAAAAAAAACTAAATTATATTTGATATATAGCTGGTAAGGAAGAAGTAGATATGGCTGTTGAAGCAGCTCTTGATGCTTTTAATGGTCCTTGGAGAAAGATGTCCCCTCTTGAGCGTGCAAGTCTTATGTTTAAACTTGCTGATTTGATTGATCGTGATAATGAAGAACTCTCTCAGATTGAAACTCTTGATAATGGTAAAGGGATTACCTTTTCACGTCTCTTTGATGTTAAACAAATCGCTATTTCACTTCGTTACTTTGCTGGTTATGCTGACAAGGTACATGGTAAAGTAATTGATACAGAGGGAGCACTTTCATATACACGTCATGAACCTATTGGTGTCTGTGCTGCTATCATTCCCTGGAATTTCCCTTTAATGATGCTTGGTTGGAAGTTAGGTCCTGCTTTATGTACAGGTAATACGATCGTTGTCAAGACCTCTGAATTGACCCCCCTTTCGGCTCTCAAGGTAGCTCAATTGATCGTTGAGGCAGGTTTCCCACCTGGTGTAGTTAACATTATTACAGGTTATGGTCCCATCACAGGGGAAGCCCTCTCTCGTCATATGAAGGTTGCCAAGGTAGCATTTACAGGCAGTACTGCAGTAGGTCGTGCTGTCATGAGAGCTGCAGCTGAAAGCAATCTTAAGAAGGTGACCCTTGAATTAGGAGGTAAATCACCTAATATCATCTTTGATGATGCTGATTTAGATCAAGCCGTTCGATGGGCTCATAAGGGTATCTTCTTTAATCATGGCCAATGTTGTTGTGCTGGTAGTCGTATCTATGTTCAATCTAGTATTCATGATGAATTCTTGAAAAAGTTTAAAGAATATACAAGTCAAACTAAATTAGGTGATCCTCATGATGATGATACCTTCCAGGGACCTCAAGTCTCTAAAGCTCAATTTGATCGTATCATGAGATATATTGAATCTGGTAAAGAACAAGGTGCTACCTGTTATATGGGAGGTAATCAATGGGGTAGTGAAGGTTATTTCATTGAACCTACTGTCTTTACAAATGTAAAAGAAGATATGACTATTGTGCGTGAAGAAATCTTTGGTCCTGTTGTCACTGTCTCTAAGTTTGATGATGTTGATGATGTAATCAATATGGCATTAGATACAGAATATGGTCTTGCTGCTGCTGTCTTTACAAAAGATACTGCACGTGCTATTGATGTATCTAACCGACTTGCAGCTGGCACAGTTTGTAAGCTAAAGAAGAAATTAAAAAGAGATTATAATACTGATATAATTATCATTATTAGGGATTAATTGTTATAATGAATTGGATTATAACACACCATTTGGTGGTTTCCGTCAAAGTGGTATTGGTCGTGAGAATGGTGAATATGCATTAGATAATTATATTCAGGTAAAAAAAAAAAAAAAAATGTATTATGCATATAAGGGATGAGAACAAAGAAATTAAACTTTTTTTTTTTATTTATTTAGGTCAAGACTGTTAAGATTAATGTAAACCGTACACCTTAATTTCTTTTTGTACTGTGTGAGTGTGTGTGTGTATGTGTGTAGTATATCTCAAATCTTAATAAAATTTATGCATATTATTTGTATATTATTATGTAATACTATTGTAGTAATCATAGTAAGCTTAGCACTACTATTTCAGTGTTTTTTTTAAAAAATAAATAAATAAATAAATAAAAATCACACACAAATTCTTTTATTCTACCGATATAAACAAAGCCTTTCTTTCTCTCCCAAGGAAAGAGTGTAAACTTGGTTTCAAATATTAAATTCTCATTTATGAGAAGAAATAGTAGACTCGATTTTACTTGACATGGGATCATGTCCCTTTCCTGCTGCTGCTCCTCTCTAAAATAATATTTATTTGTTTCACTCAACAAAGTAGTGTGGGGAGGAAAGGGGAAGAATTGTCAGTCATATGATATTTTGTAATAGTAGTAGTAGTAGTAGAACAACTTTTTTTTTCTTGCTTCTTTGTTATTATATCAATAAAGCATGCTTGTTTCACTTAATAAATCATACCCACCACTACTGAGCATTTTCTTGTTTATTTCAGATAGTAATACCATTATTATTTACTACTACTACGACTACTCCATTATTCTACGTGATACAATAATAAACCAATCATAGACGTATAAAGTTTGTTTGCTACTACTACCAGTAGTCATCAAGAGGAGTTGATATAACACTAAGTATTATGTAAACAAGAGAACAGTAAGTTTATTACATTTAAAAAGTTATAGTCTTCTGCACTATTAATACTATTATTGTTGTTGTTATTGTAATTATTTTATGATCTGTTTCATACAAGTGATCTATAATTATAAGGAGTCTTATCAATAGAGTTTATACCGAAAATGGTTACTCTATTTCTACTAGAAGAACTTTATAAATGTGACTACTACGAAAATTTTTTTTTTTTTTTAGATTTATTTAGCATTGAAACTCAGTCCCGAGAAAGAAAAAAAAAACTATAAAAGGACTCGAAAAGTAAACAAAATGAATTTTTTCTTTAGTGACCGTACTCTACAGGATCTGTATACAGTACGTTTCAATTCTATGTTTTCCAAACTAGATACAATCTCCAAGTTAGTCGATGATTTTTAGTAGACCTTCTTTAGAGTGAAGTGTGGCGAATTGTTATCTCTCTGAGTACTTTTCGTCAGTTGATGATCTCGCCTGTCTTTTATTCCAAGGACATGGCACGGAAGGAGCTACAAGTCTGATAACTTAACCTTTTTCTTTTTATATATTTATATTATAAATGAAAATGAAAAATAAACTAATTATAAAAAAAAAAAATAAAATGAAATAAAATAAAACCATTGTACAAACATTCCTTTTTTTTTTAAAAAAAGAAAAAGAAAAAACAATAAAGCCGTTATCAGTTGTAATTTTTCCTTCTTTTTTTTATTATTATTTTATCAGCTCTAGTCAGAGTTAAAAGTGGGTTAATGAGATTTGTTAGATAGAAGGCATGTATAATATGGGAATACTCCTGTTAATAAAAAATATATACTTGGAAATGACGACTACGTTTATATATTTTGAATGTGTATATACATGTTTAAACATGTACGCAGTAAAATATCATTATAAATGCTACTTGACTATACAATTTGTAGAGGCTATATTAAGCTCTTTCATACATTTACTAATAGCTTTTTAAACAATCTTCTATAAATGAATGTTTTAAGGAAAATATTTTTGTTTTTATTACATCCAAGTAACCGTATAGCTTCTTATTATCAATCTATTTATCCATAAAACCTGTTCAATGTATTTATATGTTAACTCTTTCCCTTCTATTCTATAAATTTATATAAATGTATATATTTTTTTTTTTTTTGTTCGATGAATTATTACTACACATCATTAATAACAGGCACCATTATTATCATAATATAAATTAAATCACTAAGCCACAGCTAATATTATCCAATCATTATCAAGTGTTGTAAATTTTTTTTTTTCATGTCAATAATAAAGACCATTAAACTACCTCTTTTTTTTTTAGTTCCTCCTCTTTTTCGCAATGCAACTTTTTGTCAAGTCCCTTGCCGGTAACACCCTCGCTTTCGAGGTCACCTCTGCCACCTCTGTTGAAAATGTTAAGGCTATGATTGCCGCTCGTGAAGGTAAAAAAAAAAAAAAAAACTCATTTAATTATAAAAAGGGGAATTGTATATTGGAGCTTTTAATATACAATGCGAGAAAGTTCCTCCTTCCTTTAACCTTTCTTTATTTTAACGCGCATCTAATTTTTTCCCCCTTTTTCTTTTATTAGGTATTGATGTTGAATCTCAATGTCTTTCCTTCGCCGGTAAGTCTCTTCAAAACTCTGAAGCCCTTGCCCTTTATGGTATCCAAGACAACTCTACCCTTCACCTCAACGCTGAACTCCTCGGTGGTGGTAAGAAGAGAAAGAAGAAGACCTACACCACTCCCAAGAAGATCAAGCACAAGCGTACTAAGGTCAAGTTGGCTATCCTCAAGTACTACAAGGTTGATGAATCTGGTAAGATCACTCGTCTTCGTCGTGAATGTCCCAATGCTACCTGTGGTGCTGGTGTCTTCATGGCCAAGCACAAGGACCGTCAATACTGTGGCAAGTGTCACTTGACTTATGTCTTCCAAAAGGTAAATGATGAAAAAAAAAGGATGAAAGAAAGAAACGAGAATTAACGTATATGTATATATTTTTTTTTATAGGAACAACAAGCTTAAAAAAGTTGTAATATAAAATGATCAACATTTTATATATATAAATTATTTTGTTTGTATAGTTTCTACTCATAATAAAAATATACATATTAAAATTTCATAATTGTTTTTGTAATACATGTTATTGTTGTTTTTTTGCTAGTTAAAACAAGGTCTTTACGATAAAAAAAAAAAAAAAAAAAAAAAAGCTCTTTGTGAATAATGATTTGATTCCTGATAACTAGGATTTATTGGATTAAATTTGAGTCACAAATCGAGAGTTCCAGAAAGCTCTTTCGAAAAAATAAAAAAAAATAAAAATAATAATAATTTTCCTGCTACTATAATTTCGTGTTTTCTTTTTTCTTTTATCATTCTTTTTTTTTCAAGAAAAAAAAATATATAATCATGTCTGACGATAATAAACAACAAGCCTTGGCTGAAAAGGAACTTGGTAATCAAGCATATAAGAAACGTGAATTCGAAGTTGCCCTTGAACATTATAACAAGGCTTTTGAACTCGATAATACCAATATTACATTCTTAACTAATAAAGCAGGTAATGTATATATATAATCTGCATATAGCAAAATAGTATGTATGTATTCTTGGTTGATTAATTCGGTTTATTATTATTATTAGCTGTTCTTTTTGAACAAGAAAAATTTGAAGACTGTATTAAAGTTTGTGAAGATGCAATTGAACGTGGTCGTGAATTAAGATGCGATTACAAGCTAATTGCTAGGTGAGTAGCATAATTATGATAAAAAGAAAAAATGGAAGGGTTGAGAACGCAATACTAAACTTATACTATATTATATAATAGAGCTCTTCAACGTATTGGTAATGCTTACCTCAAGTTAGATAATTTAGATGAAGCTATCAAGTATTATGGTAAATCTTTGACTGAACATCGTACACCCGAAACACTTCAAAAGCTTCGTGATACCGAAAAACTTAAGAAAGAAAAGGAAAAGGCTGCTTATTATAACCCTGAATTGGCTGATAAAGCTCGTGAAGAGGGTAATGCCTTATTCAAGGCTGGCAAATGGCAAGTAAAAATATAGATATATGTAATACATATTCATTCATGATAACCAAAAATTCTGTGTTTGTGTGTTTTATGTATATATAAATAGGCCTGAAGCTATTGAACAATATACTGAAGCCATTAAACGTAATGATAAGGATGTTAGACCCTATTCTAACCGTGCTGCTTGTTATTTGAAATTAATGGCTGTTCATGAAGCTGAAAAGGATGCTAATAAATGTATTGAGCTTGATCCTACTTTCAGTAAGTTATAAATGTATACAAATATATAATGATAATAGAGAAACTGACTTGAAAAAAAAAATAATAATCTAAATAGCCCGTGGTTATATTCGTAAGGCAGCAGTTCAACTTATCAAGAGAGAATTCCAAGAGTCAATTGATACTCTTAAATTGGCCAAGGAACATGATAAGGATGGCAAGTGCAGTCGTGAAATTCAACAACAAACTATGAAGGCTTATGCTGCTATGAACCCCATGTCTGGTGGTAATGAATCTCAAGAAGAAGTTCTTAAGCGTGCTGCTCAAGACCCTGAAGTTCAACGTATTCTTAGTGACCCTGTGATGCAACAAATTCTTCAGCAAATGCAAGAGAATCCTATGGCTGCTCAAGAACACTTGAAGAATCCTCAAGTTGCAAATAACATTCGTAAATTGATGAATGCTGGTATTCTTCGCATGGCATAAAGTATATAAATATATTACTTTATATAATGCAATATTTTCCCCTACTCTTTCTCTCCCTTTTTTTTTTTTTCTTTTCTTTCTTCCATATCTATATTAATTATTTTGTAACGATTTTGTTTCTATTACACACATAAAATAATGTTTGCATATACATTATGTATGCGATGAGCTATTTTTTGTATAAAAATGGAAATATCATTATTATTTTTCTTCATTTTATTATTATATGTACAATTTCTTCCAAGAAAAAGGTAAAATTTGTTGAAACAATAACTTCTTAGGCTTGTTAACCAATTCTGCATCCTGGTCTTCTTTTTGCTTTTTCTTCTTAATAGATAATTTCTGTGTCATCAGCAAAATGATATTGTTATTATTATCACGTTTCTTCTTTTTATCATTCCCGTCCTCCTCATTCGTTGTCTTATTATTTTGAAACAAAGTAAATCTCAAGAATAATTGCATTGCCTTATCTCGCTTCCTCTTTTGTTTATTATTGTACATTGTTCTTTCATCATCACGAGTAGTGATAGCAATAGCGTTGTTATATTCATCATCAAAATGACTATTACTACTGACTTCTACAAGAGTGGGTAATAGTAAAAGGGGATTGTCATGAAGTCTTCTTGTTGTCTTGTTACGATGGAGTAGAGGAGACAACATACTACTACTACGACGACGACTATGCCGGTAGCTATTTAAAGGTAAATTATAATAAAATGATGAATGCAGACTATTATAGTGTTGTGAATTGGTACTATTTGATATAAATGTTATAGTAGTAGTAGTAGAGTGTGTTTCATGATATCTTTTCTTCTCTCTACTGTTATATTCTTGTCTTTTTGTGTTCTTGATATCGAATAACTTTAATATCTTGTAATAGATAATATAAATAACAGAATATATCCAATAGATATGTGAATGAACAAGTACGACAAGACTAATTACTGATATTTTGTTTAGTAAGAGTGGATATTTGTTTCTATTGGTAGTAATAATAGCTGTAAGCTTGCTACCATTCATTATTACATATATGTATACATAAATACATATAGATATGTATATGTATATGTATATGTATGTATTTGTATTTGTATATATAATGAAAAAGGGAAGAAAAGAAGAAAGAAAATAAAAAGAAGCAGAAAATAAAAAAAAGAAGGAGCAGAAGGGCAGGGTATGTGTGATATTTATTAAGTGCACACACATAACACATGAAAAAAAAAAAAAAAAAAAAAAAAAAAAAAAAAAAACCAGTATTATTATCATTATAACCAATACGGTTCTCTGAGATACAAAATTTATTACGACCTAAAATTATCATTCAGACATCGTTAGCTTTAACTGATAGCATCAAAATTACTATTATAAAAATAAAGAAAGATAGATGGACGGACGGACGGACTGTTAACGTTTATTGAAACAAGAATGTTATTTACGGTAGTTGGATCCATTCCATTCAATAAACATGCTATTATAGACATTAAACGATAATAATATATAGATATATATGAATATATGGATATATGGATATATGGATATATGGATATATGGATATATGGATATATGGATATATGGATATATGGATATATGGATATATGGATATATGGATATAGATATACAGATATGGATATATAGATATGGATATACAGATATGGATATAAAAACATATCACATTGCAGAGCTCGTTCTTTTATAATGCATGTGTCAATTGTATTTTATTATCATTAATTTTGGTATAAAACATATCTATTTCTTGTTGGTGCTGAAATCAATAGCTACAAGGTAAAATACTTCTTCAGTTATTTTAACTCATCTTTTTCGAATTGTACCGATTATATAAAAATATCACATCATAATTCTCTTGAGTACACACATGAAATAAAGGGAGAGAAGATTAAAAGATGTACAATATATGCTGTCATAATGCATAGTCAGGCACCTTTCTGATATACTCAATCACCTCGTATTTTTTTTTTTTTTTTTTTTTTTTTTTTTTTTTTTTTTTTTTTTTTTTTTTTGCTTCTCATTACCAAGAAGTATATATGATATACATCACTTTGTAAAGAATGTTGAGAGAGAGAAGTGTTTTCTATGTAATAAGTATGTTAATTTTAAAAAAAAAGACTATTATGTAATACATTCTATTAGGGGAATATAGCTTTATGTTACTACAGGTAATACATATACATAAATATCCGTTTTTTATTAAACATAACTTTTAAAGATATATATGGATCTGCTATTCCATAAATAAAAAGAACCATATTACATTGTAAATACCTTCTTTTTTTTCATGTTTGACGAACACATCATTGATGAAAGAAAATTTTAAAGAAATTGATATAAATGATATTTGGCTACATCTCAATTGTCACTTTTCTTTTTTTTTTTTTTTTTTTGGGGGAAACGAGGAGAGGAGAAGTGGCGGAGGTTTGAGACTAAAGCATAATAATAAAAATTTATAAATAGCAAATAAAAATAAAAGGAATTTTAAAGGATAATGAACGCTTCACCAAAGGAAGAAGAAAAAAAAAACTTACTAGAATTATAAAAGAAAGAAAAAGACACCATGACTTTATATTTGCTATAATTTAGGTTAGTAGATTGCAAAACAAGATATATTGATACATATTTTGTCAGCAATAAAAGTTAAGCTTATCGGATGCACTACTCTATTAAATTAGAAAGTGTGTTAATAATATATATTTATATCTATGCAGTATGATGCTGAGTAGCTGCTGGTAATATATAAACTCATTTGCATACTGTCTAATCAAATCTCGTTGCGCTAGCCTTTGCCTATGTATTTGAAACACTTTTTCTTTTTTATTCTTCAAAAAAATTGCGGAAACTCAAGGTACTAAAAATATAGGATGCTTTTATAATTTAATACACTTTTCAATTTAATATTTGAAGCACTCATAATACTCTATAATAGAGCAACTAAATGTACTGATAATAAAAATAGCAGTAACACATGCAGTATAATTATGCATATTTATGAATAAAATATATTCGTTATTCATTCTCGATAACTACTAATATCTTCATTACTATCAGTTATCATTCTTTCACTTCTTCTTCTAACTATCATGTCAGGTAATAGAATTGTATTAAACTCATTGAATAGTTTGTATAAAGTGCTTGGGAAAATCATATAAGCAGTTCGAAACATAAAAAAAAGAAGTGTACGTTATTTTAATAAAACAATCAATATCACTAGAATCGTAACTTATCACCATTATTAAATATATTACGATGAATGAAGGTTATCTAATTATGTTATTTGATTATACTTTATTTTATCTTATATGATTATCTTGAAAAATTCTGTCGCCTTTTTTTTTTTTTTTTTTTTTTTTTTTTTTCAAGAATAAATGCCAGCAAGTTATAAATAGCAATAACATCAAATTGTTTTAATTCTATACCATCATTTTCTTGGATAAGCATTAGTATCATATTAGTTTATGATTGATCTTCTATCATTCAAGCAGTCTATTTTAAATGCTAAACAAGATTGTTATAGCAGTTACTACTCTAGTTATGTTAGCACTTTCTTCACGTGGAAATTAAATATGCCTTATTTAAAAGGAAGAGGGAAAGATTTAAAAAAAGAAATGTACCTTTTTTTTACATATTTATACGTAATAATTGCCACTACCACCATCAATATATTTATATAAGCAAAAAAAAAAGTAACGGATTTTTTCTTTTTTTAGTCATGAAAACTTCAGGCACTTTAAATAAATACTATTTTTATTGTCAGTAGCAAAAGGCTTTTTACCGTCTAAAATTAAACTTATTACTTGTTGATTGATTTTCTTTTCTTTTTTTTTTTTTACAAGAAATATTCATAATAGAAACTCTTTCTACATCACAACAAAGTAACAAATTTTTTTCAGAATTCCTGTTATTCAAAGGTAAATCAAAATTAACTTTGTTGTTGTAGATGTCATGTTTCATATAGACACTATCATGTCGAGATAAAATGATAGTAAAGTACACTGTAAAATACGCGTTCTCATCGTTATTAAATACATGAAACGCGGATCAGATCTTCATTATGCACGTATATATACACACATATATATATACATATATTTTTATATATTTTTATATATAAATATACATATATTCATACATATATACATATATAAGTACTCATTCACAAGCTGCTTCTGATATTAATAAATAATACGTTATAATTTTCTTTTTTGTCTATTGCTATTACTATTAATATTATAAATAATGACATAGTTAATGTTAAAACTATTTTTCTATTAATGGAAATTGAAATAACATTTTTTACACACGACCATTTTTTATTTTTTATTTTTTGTTGATTATCTTTTTCTAGACAATGATACTAGTGTTTCAGTTAAACTAATAATCCTTGACCTTTTTCTTGTTTTTGTTTATTAACTCGTGCTTTTTTATCGAATTACTTCTCCGCTTATTTTTCTTTTTTTTTTTTCTTTTTCGTTAATTAATTATTCATGTTCATTGCTGCCTGTAATTGTGTTAAAACCTAAAACCTATTATATTCCCGTTTATTATATTCAATTATATTATACATAGTCTTCTTCTATCTTTTTTTTTTATCTTTCTTTCTTCTCTTTTATTTCTTTCTCCTATAAATATTATATATATATATATATATATATATCTGTATACATATAGATATAAACAAATTATTGCAAAAAAAAAAAAAAATGGACATTTGTAGCTTATTGAATTCAACAACGACGACTAAGAAGAGTACGACAGCAACCAAGGCTAAACGTTACACATGCAATTGGGAAGAATGTACAAAAGGCTTCACAAGACGATCTGATCTTGCACGACACAAGCGTATTCATACAGGTGAAAGACCTTACCACTGTGAATGGGAAGGATGTGAAAAACAATTTATTCAACGATCTGCTCTTACAGTTCATTTAAGAACGCATACAGGTGAAAGACCTCATGTGTGTGAACATTGTCAAAAGTCCTTTGGGGATTCCTCTTCTTTAGCAAGACATCGTAGAACTCATACAGGGAATCGTCCCTATTATTGTCATCAATGTCAAAAATCCTTTACAAGAAAGACAACGCTTTCAAGGCACCAAGGACATATGCATCCTAAGTCTTCTATTCAATCCACTAGCAATCGTGATCCTTTAACACCACCTCCTATAGAACAACATCTACCATTATTGTCATTCAAAGATAGTAGTACAGATCATTTTATTCCCTCTTCTCTTTTCCCTTCAAATCATTTACCGCCTCCGTTTCCTACTTTACATTATTATTCACCTCGTTTCCCCCTTCTTTAGATGCTGCTATATCTATCTTTGTTCACTCTTATATATACCCCTCTTCTCTTCTCCACTATCTCCCTTCTTTGTGACTTTCTCCCCTTCCCCTCCCCCTTTTTTTTGATGAAGGGTTGTAAATAATAACAGAAAGTTCCTTCTTTATCTAATAATTACTAATTACAAATAATTAATTAAGACTATATAAAAGGAAATTTTAAAAAGGGTTTTCTTGTTCTTGTTCTTTTTTTTTTCTCAAGTTAAATATATAACCAAATAAAAAAAAAAAAAAAAAAAAAAAAAAAAAAAAAAAAAAAAAACTTCTTCTCCTTCCTTTGTTTATTTTAAATAGCTTAATTTAAGTAGTCTAAAAAGCATACATGCAGCAGAAGGATTCATATAAGAACGATTCCGTTTTTTCTAAAAAAAAAAATAAATAAATAAATAAACTCCTTTCCTAAACAATAGTAATATAAACCACTTCATTTATGTATGTGGTACTCCATAATATAGACAAATAAAAATGTAAAGCTTATTTTATTTTATTTTTTTTTAAAAAAAAATATTGATATTTTTTATTATGACAATAAAAGAGTATTTTATACTATTTATTCCTTGAAAGGTGTATATTATTTTCACATAAATTATTATAAAACAAAAAAAAAAAGGTGAAGTATATGCATTTTTTTTTTATCTCAGTTACAAGATAATGCACCAGTTTTTTTTTTTTTTTTTTTTTTTTTTTTTTTTTTTTTTTTTTTTTTTTTTCTTATATATAAAAAAAAGGTATAGGCTATGTTTAACGAATGGATCTTTGTCTTCTCAACAAAGATTCTCGCTTTTCAGCACGACTTTGATGACCAGAGGTTAAACGTGAAAGACCTTCAGCATCAAAGATACGCCAGAATTTAAGATTTTCATCAGCAGCAGCAGTAGCTAATGTTTGTCCATCAGGACTAAGAGCAGCATGTAAGATTCTTGTTGAATGAGCGGGGATATCAGCGATTTTTTCAAGACTAGGATAACCCCAGACATTAATTTGATTCCTAGAACCACCATGAGTTGAAACGATTTCACGATGATGTTGAGACCAGTTTAAGGAAGTCACTTGAGAGTCAGTTTGAATTGTCTTGAGACGGTTACCATGGGTTGTATCCCAGAAGCAAATCTTCTTATCATCACGACCACCACCTGTAGCTAACAAGTCATGTTTCCATGGACACCAAGCGAGAGCCTTAATAGCACCTGTATGACTTCTTTTCGTGTGTCTGGCTTGAGAGACGCGTGCATCCCAGATATTCACCGTGTTATCGTTACCGCCACTAGCCAAGGCACCACCATCCCAACGCCATTTGAGCCCACAGACTTCTTCATCATGACCATACATTTGACGTACTACGTGTTTAGCAATACGGACATCATGATGAAAGATACTACCGTTATAGGCACCAGATGAGCAATAGTAACGATCCCAGGCAAGTGCACCAATACGACATTCTTGACCTCCTCCCTTCATTGAACGAAGCTTTGTATTAGATTGCACGTCCCATATTTGTGTATCACCGGATTCTGTACCCACAGCCAAGTAATAACCATCAGAGGACCACGATAAGGAACAGACTTGATCATTAGAATTATATTTAAGAGCTCGAATAGCACCTGTATCAGCATTCCAAAGATAGACAGACTTGTCCATACCAATAGCCACGATGTTCTTTTTAGACCAATCAAGAACATTAAGATAATAGTCATCCACAATATAGGGGGCATCCAAGATTCTTTCTGGCGTCATATTAATACGACGCTTCATTTTAACAGAGTTAGCAGGACGTAAGGTGGTTGGAAGAGGAGAGTTCTTCGTGACGTCCACCTTTTGTATGGGGGGTCTCCTATCAAAGGATAAGATACGTTTAGAAGGATCAATACCAATAGCTCTAGCGATTTGTTCATCAAAGGTTTCTTGACCACTACCATCTGGAATAGTAAAAGAGTGTATATTATTGATACGTGCTTGAGCAGAAGGCATATCAATTACACTGGGTATAAAACGATCATACTATGGGCAAAAAAAAAAATACATAATTAATTCATTATCAAATTGATTGTGTTTCATGGTTTTTAAGGACACACAAAAAATTAAAAAAAGAAAAAAAAAAAAAGATAATTATAATTATAATAAAAACTTACAAAGTGTGTGTTATCATAAGTTTTTTGTCTGCATTTAATAGGTGCAGTTAACCATTCTTCGTTTAATGTATCAAGATGAGAAGCAGTAGAACGCGAACGTTTTAAACTAGGACGCATAGTAAACTGTGGTGTATAACTACTGCTACCAGAAGTAGATGAGCTATTACCAATACTATTAAAACGCATAGCAAAGTCTTGTTCCTTTTTACGTTGTGTATATTCTTTATTTTTAGAGACACTACTATCATCTTTTAAATTATCATGAATAGATGATAAAGGCAACTTTTGTTGCTTAGTAGGAGGATCAGGAGCATCTGAAGATTTAGTTGTGTTTGTTGGAAAATAGTTTGTAATGAGAGATGATAATCCCTTTTCAGTGTTAACTTTTTTTCCTAATGATTTGGACATTATATAGAGTTATATTTCTTTCCTAATAGTTTAAAAAAAAAAGTAAAGAAGAAAAAAGGGAAAGGGAAAAAAGGGAAGAAGAAATAAACGCAATACAACAAAAATAAAATAATGCTGTATATGTGTATATTAATGTATATATAGACACGCACACAAAAGAAAACAAGGTCCAAAAAAAAAAATTAAAAAAATTAAAAAAAATTTACTTTGTCATAGTATTTGGAAAAAATAAACAAAAAAAATTTTTCTTTTACATTTGATTGGCCGATAATATCGGTAATGAGTACATGAAGGAGTGAAAAAAAAAAAAAAAAATAGAGGAGGGGAATATAATGCAAGATAGAAAATAAGAAATTGAAACAAGTAATGTGCATATATAACTCACATGAGAACCCCTAATTAAAAAAAAATATTTATATGATCGTTTTAAATTATGTGATATAGAAATTATTGGCACACTTCAGGAGACTAAAATTGCACAGAGTTACTTTTAGATTTCACAGTCCCTGAATTTTATTTTTACAAATGCTTAAATTAGATGGTACACTTTTTGCAAATAGATGCCTCATCTTTACTTGACTTGTATACAGTTAAAGCAAAATATGAGCGTATGTCTTATCTACAAAAAATGGGAAAGGTGATGTTGTGGATGAAAGTGGGAAATATGCATTTCAAAATGGATATTGATACTGAGGCATATCCCATCGATTACACTACTAATTATGATAAGCATTTGTACTATAAATCACATGAAAAAAAAACAAAACAAAAGAAAAACCTCACAATGAAAAACGAAGCTTACATGAGAAGCCTAATAATAAAAAAAAGGAAAATGAGGTTCGTTCATATCGGAAACATGGCGATGCTGTCAAAGAACAACTGTTTTTTTTTTTTTTTTTTTTTTTTTTTTTTTTTTTTTTTTTTTTTTTTTTTTTTTTTTTTGTTTATCTATTTATTTATTTATTTATTTATTTATTTACGAAAAAGCCATGACTCATGGGGCAAGCAGCAAAGCATCTGGGGGGAACAATAGGCCTACGACTTATGTCTGCGTTAAAAAGGATGAAGAAAATCCATCGGATATCCTAGAGCTAAATAATGGAAAAAAGGTGGGTCATCCTTCGATCTTGAATGAAATGCGTAAGCACCTTATCAGCTTTTATGATGATAACCCATCTGCTGTAGTTGATTCAGCCATGGCAAGCTTAACTAGCGAATTTGATGGTTTAAAAATAGGAAAGACATCCGTTTATAACTTTTTGACAAGTGAAATACAACTTGACTTTTTTTTTTAAAAAAAAAAAAAAGCTCACATGTATTCGATTCAGAGGAACAGCCCTGATAGTATTGAGCGAAGATATGAATGAGTTTTAAATTAGCTTAAGGAGATGAGATATGGACTACACGAGTAATTATGTTTTCATAGATAAAGCCGGTTTTCATATAAATCTTAAGCGATTTATGGCGTGGTCAAAAAAAAAGCGGGGGAACTAGAGCTGAAGTAATTGTACCTGAAACTAGAACAAGGACCACAATGATTTTGGGTGCAATTTCACTGTTTGGGATTGTAAATATTCAGTTGCATTGACCCATGATACCATCGAAGAAGAGAAGACTAGGCAGTAATGACTTGATTGTTAACGGTGCAGGGGGAGGGAAAGGGAGTTACAGTAACAGTCATTATATTAACTTCGTCAAAAATACCTTGGACGTCTTAGATAACCATGAAGAGTTTAAATGTCATTATATTGTCATGGATAATGCTCCGATCCATACTTCAAAAGACATCAAACGCTATACCACCAGTCGTAGCTATGGCTGTATATATCACCTTCCATACTTTCCTGAACTCAACCCAATTGAGTTATTTTGGTCTAGTTGTTAAAAGTAAACTCAAGAGAGAAAAAACTTTTGGAAAAAGAGACGATTTCCAGTGGAATCAAAGAAGCATACAACAGTCTCCTCTTTAACGACCTTCAAGGATTTTGCCATTATTCCACCACAAAATTTAATGATTGCTTAGAAAAAAAAAACATTTGTGAATAATAAAAAAGAAACTCTGAAATCTATATTATGATAAAATATCAAACTCATATTGAAGAGATCCTCTTTTAAAATGTAAGATTTTTGTGTTTATTCAAATTTTTAGAAGGTTGCTCAATTTTGTTTGCTATTAAAAATTTTATATGTCAAAACATTTAGAAAATGTTTTTGGGAGTGGGTGGATCCAATCTTGGTAATTTTTTATTGTAACTATTTTTGCTGCTGTTTACAATTCTGTCAGCAATTATTTCGTTTTTTTTTTTTTTTTTTTTTTTTTTTTTTTTTTTTTGTCAGAGGTATATCAAATACTTCAGACTTAATTTTAAACCAACATTTTTCAGCAACTAGGGGAGTGAAAATAGTGCTCGTAGAACTTCTGATGATTTGTAAATTTTGATATTATCTGTGATGCAATGTAAGTATGTAAAAGATAGATGTTATTTCTTCCTCAAATAAGAGAAGATATGATAAGTTAGTGCCATTTAGAAGATCCCTCTTTGTACTGTTTTATTCCCAAAAAAAGTTAACTTGTCACTCCAAGTACAAATCATACTTTTTTTTCGATAACCAGAATCTTGATTATCTTAAAAAATTATTATGATCAAACCAAAACAATACGCAGAAAGAAAGAAAGCTATCATATTATCATTTATACAATGTAAAATGTTTTGCAATTTTATTTAAATTGAATATCATATAAAGTTTTTAATACAATGGAAGAGGGCTAATTACTATGGAAGTTTACGACTATTCATTCGATGGGCTTTTTCTTTTTCGACAAAGATGATAACTTTCGAAAGAAAGCCATGTTATTGGCGGCATTGGTGGATTTCGGTGATTGTTTTCTGCAGCTTCAATTATAGACGATTTTGCTATCATAGTGGTTTCTAAGGCAATGTTCTGTTTAAATAATACAGAAAAATTAGTTCAATATGCACTGTTTGATTATTATTAAATCCATTCTTACTTTCAATTGTACAATACTAGAAACGATGTGCGGGAGGAAATATAATTCTTCCACACTTCTAAACAACTTCACCTTTGAGACCCTGACCATTCTATATAGCTTAGGAGATATCATATCCATTTAGTAGGTGAATATGTCATCTCCTTGGCAGATGATGCCACAGACAACGGGATTTGGAACTCGATACAAAACAAGTTCATTGTAGATTGCTCGCATTTGCTTGCCGAGTTTTACTTTATCTGATTCTATTGCCGAGTAATTTGTGGATTTTTTGAACTCGCCAAGCACCGAGATGCACTTCACATTAATCGATATGGAATAGACCACGAAATCCGGCTTAAATTTTGAATCTTTCTGAAGCACTTCGTTCGCCTTTTATAAATATTTATCAATACGTTGTATTTTTTTTTTCATTTTTGATTTTATTATATTACCATTTAATCTTAAAGCGACCGTCTTTGCTAAAAATAGATAAAAGCATTTGCGACAAGTAGTTGTGCACAAGAGAATCTTCTACAGAATAATCAGGAGATCCAGAAATAAACAATGGCAATCTAAATACAGCAATAATGTTAATAAGATTTTAAAAATCAATGAAAACTGTTCGCTGATATTTTACACTTGGTTTAATACATGTGCAGTATGCATATCTACGTCATTTTCCCCTTTCACTGCTTCACACAATATCCTTCCACCAAAACCTAAAGCGGTTATCCAGTCGTGTGGTGGGTTCTTGAAAAAAAAAAAAGTTTAATACATTAATCATTACATCTATCAAATTTTCTTTGAAAACATGTCATCTTACATCAACAATCTCTTGTCAACATTGCTGTGCCTTGACGCCCATTTCTTGACAGTATTGTTTGGCGTTTAGACTGGATATAATGGCATTGTGGTCTTCTAATCTGAAGTATTTAGAAGCAGACATATTAACGTCTGCCTCGAATATGAATATATCATTCATTACCCTAATGGTAAAAGAAATGAGTAAGATTTGAAACTGATTCTGAACTTTGCCTTTTACTTACAGCAACCGAATGTCCAAAAGACTACCTGGGCTTTTCTTCAATTTTAGAATGTTGTCTTTCAGCAACCTGCATTTTTCTGAGACGCACAAGTCACCAATAACCCATTCATCTTGAGCAATTTCTCCGTGATCATTGGCTTCTCCCAAAGCTCTTTCCTGGTCAAAGAAATATTCACATCCCCGACTTGGATGGTGATCAATTGTGAGATCTGAGAGAATGTTGTCATTATCATTATGGTCTTCTTTATAAATATATTTATTACTGTCTGTCATGAACTGACTTATAATGTCATGTTTCATGATTAAACATGCGGATCATAAATTTATTCAAGGAACTCTGCCTAGAATCTCCTAACTCTCTCTTGATCCACTCCTTCTAATAATATTAAGACCACTAACACTTCATTGTCAATAACATACCTTATTCGGTCATAACTAACACTTTTCTAATTCACATCTTATCCTCAGACCTCTTTAACAATCCTTATAAATACCTCTATCAAGTTAAATTCATAAATAAAATAATTGACTTTAGAACTATTGTTCGATCTCGTTGACTCTTTTTGTCTTAATATTAATTTTTTATTTTCTAATATTTTTTATTTGATATTTTAAAAGAACATCATACAGATATAGGTACAGATGTAAGTGCAGCAGATGTAGGTGCAGAAGTAGAAGTAAGTGCAGCAGATGTAGGCGCATCCATGTTTTTAGTTTCCTTATGGATATGACCGACTTTTACGATAGAACAATTATTTATTCTTCTTTGGACTTCTGGGCCAGTCAAATTCATTAAACAGTTTCCTTGAACATAAATATGGCATTGTCGTTTCCAGCAGCTTTCACAATGGCATTTCCAGCAACTTCACAATGATGTTCATAAATACTTTTCATTTTAACAAAGTATGCAAAGAAAGAAAAAAAAAAAAAAATACGGAATAAATTGAACGCAGCTATTTAAATAAAACATTAAGCTCCCTAATAACAAAATTTTCCCACAAGTCACAACTAAAAATACACCTTTTATCAAAATGATGTCGCGCAAACCTGTATATTTGTATGATAAACTACTTTTAATACAACTTCATTTTTTTTTAGCGCGACATCATTTTGGCAAAAGGTGTATTTCCTGATTATTGCTGGATTTTTCCTTAAAATTCACGAATTTTGAAATATAATTTGGCACCTGTTGAATTCGAGTTACCCAGATATTGATTTTTTTTTTTTTCAAATAAAGTTGATATATTTGGCTATCAGCTAAATGCGATCGTAAAAGACTTTTGTTGATTTAATATTTGTGCTCCTCCAGATTGCGATTAAAATTTGCAATAAATATATTAGAAGACTCAGTTACCACTGCCCTTTCCATCTATCTCTTTTTTAACATGAACTATTCGTCCTCACAAAATATAAATTATATGATCGCAAACCTATTCATTTTTATATTGAAGAACTTGAGATTTGAAGCTTTTACTGCGCCACTATTATCAAAAATAATTATCATCTACCAATATCTGATATTTCTTGTAAAGTATATAAATAAAAATTATTATAATATTAAGACAAAAAGAGTCAATGAGGCCGAACAATAGTTCTAAAGTCAATTATTTTATTTGTGAATTGTTAAAGAGGTCTGAGGATAAGATGTGAATCAGAAAAGTGTTAGTTACGACCGAATAAGGTATGTTGTTGACAATGAAGTGTTGGTGATTTCAGTATTATTAGAAGGAGTGGATCAAGAGAGAGTTAGGATAGAATTGCTTAAATAAATTTATGATCTGCATGTTTAATCATGAAACATAACATTATAAGTCAGTTCATGACACGCTGTGAATATGAATATTTCTTGCCCATTGTTACCAATTGAAGTGAAGCCAGCTTTAATCAAAGGGGAAGCTGTTTTATATGTAAGTTATGCTCCTTAAACACTTAAAAAGACGTGATACACTGTACTAATAAACGTTATTTAGGACGAAATCATAAGAAGCATCTCGGATGAAAGTGATCCACAAATGAGTATTTTATGCAATTGTCGATCCTTGGTTGCCTCCATTAATCAGCAAGCAGACACTTATTGAGCCTACACCCACTTTGGTACTTCCTACTACTAAAAATAAATCAGAAGCTGCATGGAAAACATATCTAAAACGATCAATTGAAGCCTTGGAAGTAGATTTAAAGCAAAAGGAACTGGAAGCTCAAATTATTAAAAAAAAAAAAATAAATAAATAAAAATATTAAAGGAACAGTTGTGATACTTTTCCCAACTTTGTTATTATATTATGTATATTTATTCCCTAACGTTCATAATCTGAGTAAAATAGAAACAGTGATCTATCGACCAATACCGTTTAATCTGTACATATAAATCTTTGACTAGATGTTCTCAAAGATGTACGACTATTCAGAAACCAATTTCAAATTATAAAAGAAAATGATCGTTGTGATGGAACATAATATAATAAAGAAAAATGAAAAGAGAAAGAAAACAAAAGGAAGTATAGTTCGAGACTGTTTTTATTCAATAAAGAAAATAAAAATAAAAATAAGAATTGAAGATTAAAGATTATTCTGTGTCTACACAACTGCTTGTATTTATATTAAAATAGCTGTCAAAGAACACGAGTCATGAAACAGTGTCAGTATTCAGATATACATCTTGTTCATTCAAGAGACTGATCTATGGATTATCTATTGGGTGATCTGAGCGTATGTTCCTGATATTTTTTATAGTTTTCTTTTATTGGATCAAAGACGATCTGAATCCTTTGTCAAGGTTATAAAAATAAATATTTAGGAATGATACAATATCTTATAATTGATACATCTAGACGATTGAATGTCAATAAGAAGTTTTATATTATTTACAAGATGTTATATACAGAGTTTTATTTCATATTCAGGCTTATAGTTTATCCTTTATTATGTTATGTAATTCATCTATTATAATATTACTTATGCTTATATCCAGAGCTTGTTCTATAACTAATTAGCAACCTTTTTGGAATAAAAACAAACCGCCCATTGGATGAATCAAAACCGCCTTCTGGAAAAATCACAACGGCCGCTTGGCGTTGGAACGACTGTACAGTGCGTATAGCCCCAATCAGCGAAGGTTAAAAGTCTAATTTTCTTGAGCATACCAAAAATTATCCAATAAACGGATTTAAAATTTTTAATCAGCGGACCACTTAAACCTAAACAGCAAATCCCCATAACAACCTAATGGCGCTTAGAATTTTAACATGGTTAAAGAGGTTCTTTGTTTAGACACTTTGAAAAAGCATCAGCAGAGTGTTGAATTGAAGGTACTTTTATGTTACAAATCTTCAACTTGTAAGCTGATAAAAAACTTACAAAATGGGGTTTTTTTTTTAATAAATATTTTTTGAAGAAACGAACTATTTTAATTGAATTGATGAGAGTGGTTAATGAAATTAGAAAATTATACAAGAACTACCAAGTCATAATAAATTTTGATGAAATCAAATTGCATAACATAAAAAAAGTATTTTTGATACTTTTAAAAACTTAGTCTCACATGTAACAGGAATAATAGTTGTATTTATTAATTAATTGTATTAATTAAGATTTTTTTGAGTGTAACAAGCTCCTTCTTCCATATGTTCAGCTCTGATTCTCGTTTTTCAGTAATAGAGGATCCTAAGTTATTGTTTATCATCAGGAAAATATCCTGTTCAACAGATTACTATAAATATTCTATATTTAATATTAAATTACACTTACATAAATAACAGGCTTTTTATTTGTTAAAGCAGGTTTAACGACAACATTTTATAGTTTTAGGCATAGACGCTGCTGTTTGATATAATACGCGTAGTAAAATAACGTACTATCCTCTACACTATTGAAATGTAAGTGGGCAAACCTACAGTATTAGTGAAATAGAACGATTAGAGAACGTACTCTAAAAATTATATCATAAAATTATACATACCCATTTTTGAATTCCTTTTTAATATGAATTGGCTTTGTTATTCCACAAGAGACCAGTATCGAATTTAAGCATTCATCAATCATGTTTATTAACGAATCTCCCAACAAACAAACTTGAGTACTTTTATGCCAACAATTTTTACATTTTTTAATCATTTTTAGTTTGCAAAAACTAAGAATGAAAAAGACAAAAATATATTTTGAGAAAGTTAGTTTAAATAAGTGAACTGCTTTTGAAAAATAGATATTGTGACTTCAAAATTTGCCATGATACTCTAAAAATGTATAAAAATTCTTTTTTTTTCCTTTTTTTTTCTTTTTTTTTCTCAATTATATTATATTCCTCTCTTTTTAAGAGTGGTTAAATTTTTTATATTCCTCTCTTTTGAGGGGTTAAACCTTTTTATATTCCTCTCTTTTATTAGAGTGGTTAAACCTTTTTATATTCCTCTCTTTTTGAGTGGTTAAACCTTTTATATTCCTCTCTTTTATTAGAGTGGTTAAACCTTTTATATTCCTCTCTTTTGAGGGGTTATTAACAAATGAAATGAAAAAAGAAAACTACTTTTGGGATAATTTAATTACGTTTACTTCTAAATTTTAATGAGTATAAAAAAAATTGAGTTAAGCTGGTCTTAGAGAGTTAGGTTTCATAACAGTTTTAAAAATATTCCCTAACTTGCTGAGCCATGAAATGTGCACCATTGTCACTAATTCTTATTTGACGACATACCCATTTAAAAATGGCTAAACAAGGAGTGGCAGCACTAAGAGTGGCATTAGGTTCTGCATCAACCCAAAAAATTAAGTAATCAATCATCACAATAGCAGCAATGTTCCTTTGTTTAGTGATGGGTAAATAAATCAAGTTAATCACAAGCTTTCAAAAAACATCACTCGCAGAAATCTTGAAGCTTTGTAAAGGAGTAACCATATTCTTTTTTCTATATGCTTGACACATATATACCTGCTCCAACATACTTTCTGATAGTTTCATAATAACCTGGCCAAAGGTATAAACTTGATATTTTGAACATTTGTTCAACACCTTGATATCCACTTGATTCATTATCATAAAAGTCTTGTAGGAATTTCTAACATGGATTTTTATGAAGTCGATCGTCAATAGCACTGTAATTAGCAGCTTTTGACTTTAATAGTAATTCTTCAAGACAATGCCTAAGCTGGGATATTGGTTTTACCAGACCTTACTGCCAACTTTTTTTCAATCCTATTTAGAAATTTTATCATATTTTTATTGTCAGGAAATGCGTTTTTTCAAGAATTTTATATCATTTGTGAGTGCCTTGTATGCACATTGTGTTGTTGTGAATGTGGTTTTGCACACAATTTCAAATCGTAAAATGTAACTTCATGCTGAACGGGAGGGGTTGCATGCCAGTATTCTACAAAAAATAATTAGCTAGTGTTGTGTCAGTAAACTCTTGATTTAATTACTTTCCAAAATTGAATAAAATCTCTTTCAAACGCTCCATATCCTATTTGATTCAAGAGTGAAAATTTATGCGCAAAGAATACTATTGAAATGCTTGAGTAGCATTGCCTTATACGTAACAACAAAGAAAGTGTATTCCCAATTAGTGGATTTGAAAATTTAATCATCGGATTTCTTACATAAATCCAGGCAACGGACTTCAGTTACTAAACAGCATTTCTATTAACTTTTTATATATCAAAATGAGCAACACACACATATTATAATGGAAGATGTCCAAGGGAAGATAACTATAAGACGGTAATGACGCCATGGATTACATTAATGAAGAAAAATCTTAGTTTAATTTTAAGAATTTAACCAATTTAACAGATTACAAGGATTCACAACCTGCTCTAATTGAGTTAGATCCTGAAGATGAGAACTTCGAGGGTGGAATGACACTTGTGATTGAGAAGGTAGATAAATTGCTAGCTGACAGAGCTCGCAAAGGAAATAGCTACACCACTTATATGGATGACCAGAAATCTTTGTTTTTATATTACTTAAAAATCAAGCTTTTCTCGACAACGAAAGAAGGTGAACATGTTGGTATACCTAAGCGAACTGCTTAAGCCTAGACCAAGAGGATTATAACAGACTGTATGTGGAACATCTACGAAAAACAAGCATATAAAAGGTAATCGTGCTTAAAATCAACTTCAAAAGAAACAAAAACTGCATATCACCCAGTTGTTTGACGAGAAACTGTATACAACAACTAATAAAGCTATAGATAGCTTGACAAAAGCATTTGAACGGTTCAATTCAATTCAAAAAAAAATCCTCTGTGAATAATTTTATTTTATACGAATGCAACCTTTCGATAAAGAAATTGGTTTGCCATCCTGCAGCTCGAAATGCCAGGTATGAGTGGGTTCTAAAATGGAAAGTAATGGACATAAACTACCTTCAGAACTGCGTTTTTATTAATGAATCTGCGTTTGTTATTAATATGAGGCCGTCTTATGGTCGATCTGCCCATGGCATTCCTGCCGTAACAACAACTCCAACTATCAGAGATGAATAGCATTCTATTTTAGGATCGATTTCAATCGTAGGTGTCGTTAATGTAAATGTTAGAGCACCTCAAATGTACGAAAGAATCAAAGTTACTGGTGGTCACAAGAGAAAGGCTGCAGACTCAAAAAAAAAAAAAAAAAAAAAAAAAAAAATATATATATATATTTGTAAGAAATATATACATGTAACTTTTAACATGATTTTTGAAATAAAAACATCATATAATGCATATATGCTATAGGTATCATCAGAAAGAGGCAACTTCTGTCTTCCCGTTAATACATACTATAGAGCACTTCGTTTAATATATAGATGATCACTTATTGCGGATTTGTATAAGTTGCTTAAAATTCCGAAACATCGCCACACTTTTGTGAGTCACTCAAATAAATCAAAGAAAGCATTTTTTTTATTGCCTTAATAAGTGGATATATTGCTTACGAATTGGAAAGAAGTCGTATAATTACTAAGGATTATGACAAGGTGTTAGAGGAAGTTATTGAAATTGAGAAATTAAATAGGAGGTACAAAGGAAAAATCTCAGGAGGATATAACGACAGAAGACGGAGTGTACGATTTAATCAAGAAGAAACACAAGATGATAACATAACAACTATAACAAATAGCTCTAATTTTAATGATTCAACAACTACTATAAGAAATAATAGTAGTGATAGGATCTCAGCTGACACAATATCAGAATTGGTTAATACATTCAAAGAATTAAAAATAAGCGTTGTTGAGTTACAACAAGGAAATCGTTTTAAGCCATATAACAACAATACTTTTTCAAAACAAATATACAGTGATCGACAACCTATTATTTGCTTTCGATGTAACAAAGAAGGTCATCCCCAACAGCTGTGTCCAACCTTAAACAATAACTATAATAATAATGGAGAGTCGTCGGGAAAAGGGGAAGGATATCAGTAGGAAGGGATAATACTGATGTCTTTAATAAAGAAAATATTAATTATCGTATTACTAACCAAACAAGTAATATCAATTATAATTCTTCACATATCCCTAAAAAAAACGATATACAAACATACGATAAAAGTACAAACTTTTCTCATTTAAACACAAATAGCCCCTCAAATATGAATAATATAGAAATAGGGTTATGTACTCCTAAACGTGCTAAGAAAAAAGAATACATTGAAAATAAAAATACTGAAATAGTAGATATATTTGCTGTTAAAAGAAAAGGAGTGGGGAATGAAAATACTATTGAAAACTCAAGATCAAAAAAACAAATCAGTCGTAAAGGGAAGGAAAGAGACCTTGGTGAAGGAACAAGTCAATATTTTATGTCTCAACAATCAGTGACTTCGAGAATACCTATATCAAATAATAGACAAATATAGACTGGACATATAGGAGAATAGGATAAGAATATTAAAAAAACAAATTGAAAGAACTAACCCCATAAGAAAAAAAGGAGTTAGAGAAAGAATAAAAATTAATATAGAAATAGAAGATACTTGGGAAAAGCTGAAGAATACACAAGTAAAATTATCTATGGCAGAATATCTATCTCTTAACAAGAATATAGCAAGAGAAGTTAAGGAAGGAATCATGTATATTCATCGAAGAAAGAGCAAAATGCTAAACTCAATGAATGACTCCATAGTGATTAGTAATTTAAGATCAGGAAACTTATTAGAAGAAGGAGAGATCTACAAAGGAAAAGTAACAGAATCATCAGAAGACCAGGATAATGGTTCAAACCTTTTGACAATGACGAACTAAGATGAAAGTAGTATTAGCGATAGTGAATTAGACCTTGAATCAACAGGAGGAAGCAGTAGTGGTGTTTATGGAAGTGATACAGATGATGAAGCAGATAGTGTGGTGGATTATCCTTACGACCCAGATATAATGAAAAATGCAAGGCCATCAAGGATATTAATAGCAATTAATGACAAGATTATAGAAGCAATTCTAGACACAGGTACAGCTGTTTCAATGATCAGTAAGAAGTTAGCAGATAGACTTACAAGAAAACAATTACGACAAAATACCCCTATCTGGTTTTGGAAGTAGTGGAAAAATTATCCCCTGTCGTATTACTAGCAATGTTAATGTAAGAATAGGAGGAAGACTCAGAAAAGAACATTTTTGTATAGATGATACAGAATTACAAAGAGATGTCTGCCTATTAGGGAGGTCATGGATAAGAAATCATGATATACGACTGACGGATAGAGGAAGAATAACCGTAGTTTCTATCAAGAAAGGAAATGATTATATTAAAGTTCGGTGCCTAGAAGATGAATCGTATAATGATAATGGTGATAAAGGCAAATTAATTGAAACTAAAGCTATTTATTCTGTTCAAATACAGCGAGCAAACGACGATAGTGGGAGGATCGTTGAATTGAAGACGTATTAAGAAGAAATTGTATCTGATGATATTTGTCATGATCTGACTTATAATGTCATGTTTCATGATTAAACATGCGGATCATAAATTTATTCAAGGAACTCTATCTATATTCTCCTGAATCTCTCTTGATCCACTCCTTCTAATAATATTAAAATCACTAACACTTCATTATCTATAACATACCTTATTTGGTCGTAACTAACACTTTTCTGATTCACATCTTATCCTCAGACCTCTTTAACAATCCTTATAAATACCTCTATCAAGTTAAATTCATAAATAAAATAATTGACTTTAGAACTATTGTTCGATCTCGTTGACTCTTTTTGTCTTAATATTAATTTTTTATTCTCTAATATTTTTTATTTGATATTTTAAAAGAAATATCACGTATAGCATCCAATTTTTCAGCTTCTTCTCCAACTAACTGGTCAAGATTATCATGCGCAATTGAGTACAGTAATTTTACAAAAGAATCATTCTTTTCATAGTCTAAAGTACTGATTGACAAAGATTGAGAGCAGAGGAAAAAGCCGATGGCTCGCAAAGGATGCAATGTGATTTCTTGTTCATTCATCTGTAATGTTGATGATGTCAGTAGCAAACAGTGTTCAGCCCATCCAAGGCTTGGTATCTGTCTAGCAAAGGGGAATTCACTATCGACAGACTTGCTCTGTAAAGACAATGTTACACTTGCAACTCCAAATACCAAAATAATTGGAAGCCTGTTGTAACGGTTGTATACGAGTGTACAATAATGAATTGCACGTGTTAAGAATTTGTCATCGACTTAATTTTGTACTTCAACCAGTATGGGAAGAAACGAACTCAAGGGATCGTGAGGAGCATATAGAATATCGCATTTTTTTTCTGTTATCAATTCTGTAGGCGCTGAAAAGTAACTATCATTCGCCGCTTCTGGCACGAGAATGTTTGATAACGCATTTATCACTCGTTGGTCGGTTAATACCAGTCTGCTTATCAAATCAGTTCCTGGCCTGTGATGATAAAGGAGGATGCGATCATTGTCATCTAAACAATTTTACATAAGAGAATATTTATTTTTATAACATATTTACTTACCTTCGTCACTGTTGAAATAGTCGGGCATTATTATTTTTGATAAGTAAAACGAAGAAAAAGCGTATCGTATCGTATCGTATCGTATCGTATCCACAAATTTTTTAAATTGTAAAAAAATTGGTCAATAAAACTTTCATCTATCCGTATCGTGACTGTATTTAGACTCAAATTGACCAATAAGACTCTTTTATTTATTTGTAATAAATAAAAGTATCGTATCCGTATCGTATCGTATCGTATCCACATTGTATTTAGATCATGGTATGACCACGGTATGACCATGATATGACCACAGTCAAAACTTTACTGTGAAGCTGGGAAATATTGGTTAAAAAAGCTCATTCTATAAAGTTTATGAACGAACCACTTTGTTATAATTGTAGTCGTCTTTATAACTAAGAATAGAAATAAACCATCATTTATGACATAATAAAGAGGTTATTCATATAAAACTAGTATATTGTACTTCACAGCATAATATTCATTCTACACCCAGTTTTAATAATAGTCGTTGTCAGAGTATTCGAGCTTTCAAAATAAGTATACACATTGCATTATGTAATAATAAGAGTTCAATAGGATATGCATCTATAATATTCAACATTGTTATGTAATAACATCTTAAAGGATGATAATAATAATAGTAGCACATACATAATTGGTATTAGTGTTATTGCTGTAAATTAATAGTAACGCGTTGCTTACCTCCAGAAATAATACTTGGGCATATTTTTAATAACAGTGTTGATAAGATAAAGATAACAAAAGAATAAGACAGAATAAATCTGTGAAAACTTTGTATAAAACTTTTATTATCAATCCAAAATTTAAAATAAAAAACCTGATTTTTAAAAGTTGAGTGCAAAATGGATCCTTATTTATATCTTGTGGAGAACGGGTTACTTCGCGACAGGAACAGAATGAAGATATCTTGAAAGAAGAATATTTTCCCATAGAATAATTAAAGTTATTGTGTTTGAACTTTCTAGTCTTTGCCCTGACTGAGAATTAATCTCAGTTAACTCTAATAAATATTAAATTATTGGTGCTTGATCTAGCCGGTTATTTTCCTTGAAACCAAATAATGAAATCTCGTATGTTCATACTTATGAAAGATATAGGGAAGATGCTTTGTATTATATGCATTCCTTACTATACTACTTGAATGAATGTCATTATATTGTATAGTGTATAGATATTATATGATTATATTTATAAATTAGTATATAAGACAATATTATAATAATAATGTGTATATATAACTAATAAGTATAATCTATAATTCATATATCTTTATCATTAATAACTCCTTTATTTCGTAGAGTTAGTATTTATTATAATATTATTTTTCTCATCACAAGAATGTCTTATAAACTGAAATCAAATAATATTGTATGCATAAAGTGTATAACTAATAACTATAATATCATTCGGTCCTTCATGACTCTGATTTGTATATTATAAGATATTATGTAATACATCATTATATACACAACAAACAGCAACAGCTCAGGAAGAAAAACGATAAAAATATATTTTTATTGCATGCAGAGTTATTCGAATACAATCTTTACATGTAATGCTTTATTATACCAGTATTCACTTATCCATATTATTTTTTTTTCTGGGTACAATTTTTGTATTATCTTTCTTCTAATAAATTATACAAAATTTTCACAGACTTGTCTTTTCTGTTTCCTCTTTCTTTATCTTTTGCACTTAAAACAATCTGCTAGTTTCCCACCTGTGCTCATAGAAAATCAGCACATTATTGATCAAATTTTCATTAACCGTCTGATTAATTATTCATTAAAGGTAAAAAAAAAAAAAAAAAAAAAAAAAAAAAAAAAAAAAAAAAAAAATAAATAAATAGGTAAAAATAAACTTGATTAAAATAAACACTGACACACTTATGAGTGACATGTCTATCCAAGAGGAAGAAGAAGAATCAACTGAAGAGGTTTATGTTAGTTTATATTAAAAGCACAGTGAGCCTGCCGAAGAAGACGTCAATACGACAATGGTGTGTGATGAGGAACTAGCTGAGGAGCTAGGTTTAGATTTGGAAGAGGATGAGGTAAAAGAAGAAAGTGAGATGGAGGTAGTAGACGAAGTAGAAGAAACGTTGAAAGAGATAAATGCTCGTGTAAAAGAGTATGTTGAGACTAATTTGAGTCAGCAGGAGCGTGTTGGAAAAAAAACATACAGGAAGTATACTGATCAACAAACTGGCTTTTTTATTGACTTGATTTCTGTAGGATCTAACGTCAAGTCAGCTTGTTCGAGTACAGGTATCTCCTTATGGGCTGGATACAAATATAGAAAAACATTTAGAGAGGATCCAGAAAATGGGCTTATCTGTAGAAAAAAAAGAGAGGAAGAAAAGGATCATTATTCAAGTTACAATAACGTCATGCTGAATGGATTATCAAATATATTGACGATAATTCAACAGCAGTACTTGAACAAATTAAATTCGACCTTTGTAAGAAAATTGAAGACGAGAGTCTTACTGTAAGTCGATCTGCACTTTACAGATTTATGCGAACTGTTTATGCTCTTTCGATGAAAAGATTAGAAAAAATACCTACCAGAAGAAATCATATTGAAGTAATTGAACAAAGGAAAACAGAAGTAGAAAAGTGGATAGCTGATAAAAATATGGACTTCCAAAAAAAACTGTGTTTTCATCGATGAAGCCGGATTTAATATCAATATAACACGTAATAAAGGATGGTCTAAAAAAAGGTAAATCTGCTAAAGCAATCGTCCCTTCCTCGCGTAGTACTTCGATTACAATCTTGGGTGCTATATCAATTGATGGTGTTATCTACATTTTACTAAGAAAGCACACTTCATCTGTTGGGAGTAAGAAGAGAAAAATCAACGGCAAAGAGGTGAAGATTAACGGTCGAGTAGGAACAAGATCTGAACACTTTCTTGCTTACTTGAATAATATGATGAATTGTTTAAACAGCAATGGACTCCAAGGCCATTATCTTGTAATGAACAATGCTCCTATTCATAAGCCGGCTCATATTAGGGAAGCCGTTGAAAGTAGAGGATACAAGTGTGTTTATTTGTCAGTATATCCCTTTTTTTTTTTTTTTTTGAATCCAGTTGAAGAATTCTGGTCGAAAGTAAAAGCTGGTATCAAGAGAAACCCTCTTTATTCTGGTAATTTATTGACACATAGAATAATGAATTATGTTAAGAAGGTTACTTTGAGCGTTTGTAGAGGTTGGATAAGACATTCTGTATCTTTCTTTCCTCGTTGGATCGCAAAAGAACACATGCTTTAAAGTCCTAAAGTGAGAAAATTTTTATTGTTTGATTGAGAAAAAAATATAACTATTTTGGAAAGCTTATATTTATTTATTTTTTCCAAAGAAAGACAACGATCGAAAAATGAAACTGAATGCCTTATCCATCCTTTACGGTCTGCTAGAGTAACTTGAGAACATGCTTCTATAATTCGAGAAGTTAATGTATCACTGCCATCGAAAGGCTGTCTTTTGACACTATATTTTACTTTCGACCAAAACTCTTCAATAGGATTAAGAAATGGCGATTATAGTGGAAGGTAAGCACATTTATAACCTCTTTTCTCAATGAACTCTCTCACAATGACAGGCTTATGTATAAGAGTATTATCCATAATAATGTAGGAATTTTTTATCTCATTTTTGTCAAGAACATCCATCACATTACTCAAATAGTTAAAAAAAATGTTCGGCTCTCATGCCTATTTTTGCTGTTGTAGCTACTATTTTCCCATTTGCTTTTTCTCTTCTTAATTCCAGCGACAATAACAGGTTTTCTCAGAGAAATTAATATCAATATCACCTTGGTTCGAAATAGCGCCAAGAATAGTGATTGTAGTTCCCTTGTTCTTTGGAACTACAGTTTTTGCTGGTTCGCCTGCTTTTGACCAACCTCTTGTATAAGTGATATATAAATTAAAACCAGCCTCATCTATGAAAACACACAATTCTTTTCAAAACCCATTTCATTATTAGATAACCATGATTCAACAGCAGGTTTTTCTTTTCAAGAGGTTCTCATCCGAATTTCGATATTCAGTAAGTTTTTCTAGTTTCTTTATGCTTAATACGCATTGCTCTTCGACATGGCGATAAAACTGGCTTTTCGAAATAGAAATACAAGGATATTGTTCGATAAGCTTTTCCTTCATCTGTTCAAAGGTTATTGGTGTAAAACTATCGACACGTTTTTATGACAAACAACGTATGTTCTTCCGTTAAAACCTCAGATCGAACTCGACCCCCCTTTGTTTTTTTTTCTCAGGAACAACTTGAGTTTCATGCCATATCTTTCGATATCGATAAGCGGTTGAAAGAGTAATGCCTGCTCCTGTTGCAGCATCCTTCACCAGTACCTATTCAATGATTAAACCAATGAAATCGACAATTTGACGTTGCAGACTTTCCTACCCTTGATTTTTTGTAGCACCCGCAAGGTTTTCAGCTAATTTCTTCAGTTTTACCTTCCCATCGTCTTCTTCTTCTTCGTACTCGCTGTCTTTTTTCTTTGCTTTGTTTTGTATCTCCATTTGCTACTTCAAAATTGTTTATAACTTCCTCATCGATTTCCATGGCAGCTTCATTTCGATCAAATGTAAGACGCATCATTGACATCAAACTGGAATATACAATGGCTGTTTGATCATCAGAGTTTTCAGAATCTTCTAATGACAGATCTTCCATGTGAACATCGTTTGTCATGTTTAAAAAAGTTGACTATCAATTATCACATGAAATTTTTTAAAATAGTTGTATTTTTTTCTAAATCAATAGATAAACGTTTTCCCTATTTTAGTACTTAAAAATTCTTATTTTTTCGAATTATTTTCTCATCTATTTGCATAAAATCAATGAAAAGTGCTTAACAGTTCTTTATGTTGTGACTTTTAAAAACAGCAGTGAAAAAAAAAAAAAAAAAAAAAAAAAAATGAATAAAATAAAATAAGCTTCCAAATTAGAAAAACAACTTTTTTTGTTAGTTAGTTTGAAACTTTCATGTAAAAAAAAAAAAAAAAAAAAAAAAAAAAAAAAAAAAAAAAAAATGGATAATTGGTTTAAACAAGTTAAAAATGAGATTGGAGGTTATGATGAATTGATAAAGCATATCATTGAAAAGATAAGTCTTGTAAATAATGATACTTTATTGTCTTCATTACCTCGTTCCAAAGGTACACTTCTTTATGGTATACCTGGAACAGGAAAAACAGCTGTGGCGACATCTATTGCAAGTAAAGTTCTATTATTTAAATCATTCACACAAACTCCATATTTATAATTTTCTTATTAAAAAAAAAAAAAAAAAAAAAAAAAAAAAAAAAAAAAAAGAATAGAACATTCAAATTTACCTTATTATCAATTGGATTGTCCTGAAATATTTCAAACAGGTTAATATTAGCATCATATTGGGAAAATATAAATTAAATATGTGTTATATATATATGTATTATATTGTATAGAGGAAGGAGCAAGTGAAATGAAATTAGCCAACTTTTTTAAGCAAATTAAACAACATTCTATGTCTATTTTAATATTGGATGAATTGGATATGATTGCTGGGAAGTGGACATCGAAAAAGAGTGCACTTGATATTCGGCTTGCTTCCATGTTGATGATGTTGATTGATGATTTAAAAAATGCATATATAATTGGTATAACAAGTCGATTGCATGCGATCGATACATCGTTTTTAAGATCAGGACGTTTAGATGATTTGCAAATCATGAGTGTTAAAACACCCAAACAAAGATACGAGATATTAAATATACTTACAAAAAGTAAATACAAAAAGTTTCTTAAACATTGTATTCTAACTTTATTTTTTTTACAAAAAAAAAAAAAAAAAAAAAAAAAAATACCTTTTGTATAAAGAGCTTCCTTTCAAATCATGTCAAGAAGGTCATGAAATACTTGAAGATATATCCAAAATAACTCATGGGTTTGTATCAAGTGATTTGGAAAGTCTATCCTCTTTTACTACTCTTTTGTATATAAAACAACAAGCACCATTTATTACACATGAGCATTTTATACAAACTTTAGCAACGATTAAAAAGCCATCTAATCTGAATGAATATTCGACACAGATACCTACTATTCGATTTAATGATATTTATGGGATGGATGACATCATACAGGAGATAAAGGCATCTGTCATCCAACCCTTTCATCATCCAGAACATTATCATTATTTGGGCATTACACCACCAAAGGGTATCTTGATTCATGGACCTACAGGTGTAGGTAAAACAATGCTTTGTTGTGCCTTAGCCTCAGAAGTAGGAGTTAATTTTATGTTGGTTGAAAGTTCACAAGTTCGATCGAAAATCATCGGTGAATCAGAGAAGAGTCTTGCTAAACTATTCCAACAGGCAAGAGCCAATTCACCTTGTATCTTATTTATTGATCAGATTGACATGTTATTACCTAAAAGAGGAACAAGCCAATCAACAGAAAATACAAGTGATCGTATTGTAACAGGCTTTTTAACAGAAATGGATGGATTATTAACGAAAGCAGGAAACACGCATATTGATGTACTAGTCGTTGCTGGTAAGAAAGAAAAGGAAAAGAAGAAGTAAAAGTAGAGAAAATTCATCTATTTTGTTTGTTTATTTATCATATTTAGCAACAAATAGAATAGAAGCCATTGATAATGCAGTGTTAAGACCTGGTAGATTTGATGAACATATTTACATTCCATTACCAAATGATAAGGTTTTTATTATTATAATATTTTTTTATTTATGTATTTATTTATTTATTTCTTTTGGACTGGTAGCAACGTAAAGAGATTATTCAAGGCATTAGTTCAAAAATGCCAATTGATTTAAGTGAACAAGAAATAGAAGACCTGGTGAATAAAACTCAGCATTGGTCAGGTAAAATAAAGAAATAAGAAATAAATTTCACAATCACTAAGCTTGTCTTTATTAGGAGCGCAATTAGACAATTTATTTAGAGAAGCAGCATTAACAAGTATAAGAGAGAATATAAATAATGAAAGGGTAAAGAAAAGAAAAGAAAAAAAAAAAAAAAAAAAAAAAAAAAAAAAAAAAAAAAAAAAAACTTTACTCATGTTTTAAACTTTGCATAAATAGATTTCAAATTTACACTTGATGAAATCATTTTTAAAATAAAATAAAATAAAATAAAAATTCAAATTCCTCTTTTTTTTTCTTTTTTTTCTTCTTCTTCTTCTTTGCTTCTTTACTTCTTTACTTCTTTACTTTCTCTTCTTTTATATATTAAAAATGATAAACTATTACCATTATTCTTCGCCTTTCCTTATTTTGATTTTTCATATATTAGCCTTTTTATCCGTCCCCTATGTTTTATATGCTATCAATTTTGGTGAAGTTATACCGAGACTAGCCTATGAAATGAATCTTGATTTTTACATGTATAAAATGGAACCTGCTCTTGTATGTTTGGCCTTAGGTACTGCTTATTATGTTTTCTTTGAGATTATATTTGATATACTTGAAGCTTGTAAAAAATGGAAATCTACAGTTTATATAAATACGAATCAAGATATTATTCGTGCTTATCCTGTCTTTTTTGCTAGACTTGAAATGGCCCTACGTCAAATACGTAGAAATTATCCACGTAAGTTTAAATAATATATTACTAGAAATTATCCACGTAAGTTTATATAATATATTACTAATTGTATATTTATTAATATCTGGTATATAGCCTTTGTGGTTAGTTTATTCTTATTATATGGAAACACAACAAGATTTGATAATTTAATAAACAGGTATGTATACGCTTACACATACACTTACATATACACTTACACATACACTTATATATACGCTTACACATACACTTACATACTTACACGTATATATCCCTTTTTTTTATCATTAGTATTATGTATCTGCAAACATGGATGTTTATGATTCAACCAATAATGACATTATATCATAAATCATATCCAGGTTTACTTTCTCAATATTTTTATCGTACTGTCTTGATTTGGACATTATATTATGCTGTATTTCCTCAACAAGCCAAATATTATATGACAGAAATGACAAGCCATTTTGGACCTTCATCACGACATCATCATTATCACCGTCATATATCAACTATTTATCCTACAAACAATTATAATAATTACTGTGGTTATAATAAGCAACAACAATGGATACTTTAAAAATCAGAAAAAAAAACAAAAAAAAACACGACTATTATTATTATTATTTATATTTATGTTAAAGGGACGAAGGGAAGGGAGGCGGGGGGAATATCAATAAATAGTCTATAATTTTTATGCTATAATTTTTTCTTTTCATTCGTGTTTAATGCTTTCTTTGCACGTATCTTTTGCTGCTTTCCGATATATGCTTCAATACCAATAGCTATAATATACATATAATAAACTAACATTAGTATCATTTTTCCCTCCCCCCCCCAAATTTATAATAAAAATAAAAATATATATAATAAAAAAAAATTACCTATAAACACGAGTGCAATGCCCATCCATTGTCCTATATCTAAGGAATGATGAAACCAAAAGACACTTAAAAGCATAGTAAATAATTTTCGTGTTACTGTAACTGTAACTAAACGAAGACTACCATAATGCTGCAAGGTATAAAATATAAAACATTGTCCTACTGCTCCACAAAAGCCAAATAATAATACATCTCGAATCACTGCTGGATGTTGTTGAAAGAACTCAAATGCTTGATGTAATTCATCATTATAAGGATGTAATAATAAATAAACCGCTGAAAATAAAGAACCAAAGGCATTCATATAAAACATCATGTGCTGTCCACTCACAAGATTAGTAAATGTTGCAAAGATTTGATCTTGGGTGGCATTCGTTAGACCATCTATACAAAGGTTCATAAAAAGTAAAAAGAGTCCCCACAAGGAATTAGATGCATTTGCTGATGCTGTCGCCTTTTTAGCAGGTTGATAAAGCATAAACATGGAGACTCCTAGTGTGACGAGAAGGATACAAATGTACTTGTAAAGTGGGAACTTGCGTCGATAAACAAGAACATTCATAATCAATACTGGAATAAGCTTACATGATTTACCGAGAATCATGGTTGGATAATCAATGTGTTTAAGCGCTGCATAACCAAATGGTGATCCTGTACAATTAAAAAGTGCAACCTGTCCATATTTTAAAAATAGACTCTTGGGCGTGATTGAGAAGTGAAGACTACGTCCTGATAGTTTAAGGTAAATAAAGGCAACCATGGCTGCAATGATGGATTGGATCAGATTAAGTACAATGAAGAATTTAAATTTCTTGGGTGTTTCTGCATCTCCATATGGTGTAGTACTGACACGTTCCTGAACGACACCCCATGTTAAAAAACAGGTATAAATGCCAATCACACACAGTGTAAAACGAAGCATTAAAACAAAACTTTTGTTCTTAAGGAACAAAAAAAAAACAAAATAAAATAAAATAAAACAAAATAAAATAAAATAAATAATATAATAATGCGAGGTGTTAACGTGCTATTGGCTAGTAAATAAATTATTACATAATAACTGATCTCTAAATTAATTATTATAGCGTGTAAGCTACGTGAACTTTCTTTTTTATTCTTTTCATACCTCTTCCCTATTATTCTCTTAATAATGACTTGCATAGAGTGAGTTGAGGTAAATTAGTAGTGGTTAAACAGAGAATGTGTATAATAAAATTCCTCATCTTTGATATCTGACTTGAAGAATGAATAAATGATTTAGCATTGTAGATAATAGAAAGAAAGAAAAAAAAAATTATCGCAATTACTATCAGATTATTTCTTAAAGTAGTTACCTCTTCGACGTCTAACCCTCTTATTTATGAATAGGTTAAAAGATGTTTATGTTTAATTGCACTTATGTTTAAATTAGGCATTTGTATACAATTCTCTTATTAAAAAAAATACAGTGAATTTGTTACGTTGGATGCATAAGATAGACTATTGTATCAGTAGTTTATTCTAAGTAAATGTAACGCAAATTAAGGTCATGGATGAAATTCATTGGCTTATAGCAAGTTCAAATGCTTTTCTGAACAATTTTTATTATGTTGATATGCATAGAATTGTCTGATGTGGTAGTTACTAGATCGATTGTCCTAGAAGTAAAACATGACTTTCAAATGCCTTATTAAGTTTCTTAAATTAGTAAAACCCAGTCCAGATAACATTTGTATTTTAAGCAATATTAGCATATCCGGGGGGGAGAAAAAATAAGAAAGAAGAAGGGAGAAGAGTAAAGTTTCCAAAGTATTTTGAACAAAAAAAATGAATAGAGCAAACTCAAAAAAATGAATTACCGAATTGAGAAATTAGTAAAAATGGATTCGGAATAAAAATCATAAAAATGCATATATTTATTTTTTTTTTTTTTTTTCTTCTTCTTCTTTTTCTAAAAGCTCATTATAAAAATACATGACAACAAATCGAAGACAAAGTTCTTCTTACAGTGACGATCTTTCACGGTATGAGTTCGTTGATTATACCTCTGTTTCTCATTTCGAGAAATTCATAACTCAGATTGAAGAAGCTTTGTATGCTTGGGGAATCAAAGATGGATCTTTTGGAATATTTTCACAAGACCAATTGGCTAATGCCAAAGCAGCCATTTTATCGCCTTCAGCAGAGCATTTGACTCGAAAAGAAACTTTGTCATTTAATGGTGTTGATTATCAACTTTCTTATCATTATCATCCAATTGCTTTAGCAAACAAGGCTCAACACTTTCCGTTAGCTGCAGAGGAGTTTTATCAATTTAGTAATACCAACTATCATCCATTACATCGATGGACAGGTCAAGAGCGTTTGTTAATCTTACAACCCTCGGTTAAGAAGAAGATGTTTATTAATACGAGTGGAGGCAAATCTGCCAACGAAATGGCGTCAGCTAAACAGCTTCTCTCAGCTTGTACCATTGCCCTTCAAAACGCGGGTTGTAAAATACCTGTCTTTTTATCTGTAAAACAAACTCGTCATCAAATGTATATAGGTTATATGCTTATATGCAATGACCCCGGAAACCCATTAAATGAGACTGAAGTACGTTTCAATATGTCCTTAATAACACCATCTACGACTACTGTCCTGTGGGAGCTTGATGAATTAAAAACATCTTTTTTACAGAAATTAAGTGTTCATAGAGAGGATTATGGTAAATAAAAAGAATAGTATAGTATAGCATGTTACCCTATATATATATTATACTTATTATAACTTGTATAGGCCAACCCGCTGAGTTACCTTATGAGTCCCCCATTTATATATCAGCCGTATACACCTACAACCTAAAAAACTGGTTTGATGAAAATTGGAAAGACTGGGAGGAAGAGATGATTGAATCAAGGCGTAGAAGAAGCTTCAGCGACGATTTTGAAGCATGGGATGAACAACAAGCGCCTGTAAATCGACAGAATATAAATGAACATCGATTACCATTTGGATCGTTAAATGATCCACTCCGTTCCTTAACTCTGAACGCTTTATTTCCTTTGACTGATGAATTTCATTATGATTATAATACGATGGATGCATTGACGGCAAAAAGTTGGCAACTAGTTCGAGAATTTGCCCCTACTCAACAACAACGCGCCTATCTTTCCAGTCTGTTGGAACATGTGATCGAGTCATGGGTCAAGGATCCTACAAATCGTGACTATCTGGCTCCCTTTGACAGTAATAATAATGAGTCAGTGAATGACAGTATTGGGCTAATGCGTAATTTATTTACAGCAGGAAACAGTCCGTTAAACAAAAAATTGACGGTTGTACATCAAGGATCTAATAATAGTAGTAATAGTAGTAGTGCTAATTCAAATGATTCGATCACTGTTATCAAATCAGATCAAATAGAAGATGTCTTGATAGCCTTATTCCATTCTATGTTGAATAATGAAGATGAAAATGATGATAATGATCATACAGAGACAATGCAAAAGAAAAGACGAATAAAGAGATTTGACAGCACAAGAAAGTTGGGACTCAAATTAAAGACAGGATCTTCTGTACCTTATCGCTCATTTTTATGGAACTTGCTATTTTATAGTCTTGAGGCAATCTCGGTGGGTTCAACCAAAAAACAGTCTACAGCAGCCCATTTTCTGGGATTTTTAAGAGTTATTTGGTTAGAGGTCCTGAGACAGATACGTTGGCATTGGGAGAATTTAGTGCCAATTCCTGACTTAAACCCGTACTTGTATGAAACGACAAGAAAAAAGGATGAAAAACAAAACAGCAATAATAGAATTTTAGGAATTGATCTTCGTTATAATATTGTAAGTTGAAATCTGTGTTCTTCTCCCCCCCAAAAAAAGGAAAAGAAACAAAAGGCTGAACTATGAAATATTATTTAGTTACATCAAAAATTATCAATGATCAACTGTTGTATATATCGTCGATTACAAACTATATCTCAAAATGGAAATTTAAAGGATTATGAAATTAAACCAGTTAGACGTATAGGTAACTTATTTGATCGTCAACAAGAAGAAGAAGAAGAAAAGGAGTCAAGATTTTCCAAATTTCAGGCTTTAATAGAAAGATTTGTTGATGCTGGCGCAGAGGAAAATAATAGCGAAACAATCGACGTAAAATACAGACAGAAGCAGTTTTTTTGAATTTATATATATTTAATTACTTTGTTTTATATATTAGGATTCTGTTTCATTTGGCCAATCTGATATTGAAAATGAGGTATCTGATGAAAGTGATGTCTTTTTAGATGCTGTAGCCACCCCATCACCTTCATCCTCTTCTAATCAAGATACTATGTCTAATAATCCAATGCAAGAGTCGTTTGTGAGCTTACCCTATGTAGCAGCAACAGCAGAAGAATTAGAAGCAGACGAAGCCAACGCTATTAAAGACCCGGATACGATTGAAGGAAGCCTTCGACCACATAACACCCTCAAATTATTAAAAACAGGTCAGCCCATGCAAATCCCCATTACTCAGGATCCTGGATTTATGACTGAAGATATGATTTCAGAACAAGCAGACGTCTTTGAGAGTCTTGGTACATCTGAGACAGCAACACAACAGAGAGCCAAATTGCAATCACAACAGTTATTTTCAGATATGCAAGCCTTTAAAGCAGCCAACCCACATGCTTGTCTTGAAGATTTTGTAAGATGGCATTCACCACGTGACTGGATTACTGTGAATGGTGAAGAGGGGCATCTAAGTACACGTATGTCTGAACCAAATAACATTTGGCAAGAGTTATGGAAATGTTCTAAACGGGTTCCTTGTTCACGTCAAAAGCCACTGTTTAATATCACGATGGAAGCAGAGAAGGCACTTTATTTTCTGGAAACGACTACTGTTCATGAATTCTTTTCAATGTAGAGAGTATACATATAGTGATTTAAGAATCAGACTAAATATTAACTTGTTATATCTGTCTGTAGTATGTTGCCTACATTAGGATTAATTGCTTATGATACACTTTCAAGACTTCCAATAGCACAATATAGTCAACAGGTAGCAAATGGTTTACACCATTTAAGTAAAGAATTAATAGAATTTCCTTGGGATGATTTCAGGTATACTTAATATAAAAGTACATACATACAAATATATATATATATAATTCTTATTGAATATTTAAAGACAAGGGAAAAAAACATTTGATAATATTTTAAATTGTATACGTCAACAAGAATCCATGACATGTCATGCTATCTCCTTACTGCGCAAGGTAATATTAGAATATAAATATACTTTTCTATATAACTTATATTTATGTATAATAGCTTCCAAGACAATATGATCTAGTGGATCAATTATTAGTAAATGGCCAAGCCATTGTTAAAGAGGGTGATGAAAGATCTACAGTCTTTCAATTATTTAAAAATGACCGTAAGTTGGATATGTAGTTATTTAATACTATATACTTATATGTGTATATCTGTATATATATATATATTTTTAGAGGGAATTATATCAGAACCTTCTTCCAAAGAATATCTGTTATATAATGATTGTAAAGATTTAACAACTCATGGTAGAGTTTTACCACAAAGACAATATACCATTGTAAAAGATAACGAAATAAGAATAGTGGATATGCAAACTACAGATGCGTTGTATTATTAAGACTTTTTTCCTTTTTTTTTTATTGTAAATAATAAATTTTTTTTTTTTAATGGCTAATATTTGCATTTAAAATTGTTTTTTTTTTTTTTTTTTTTTTTTTTTTTTTTTTTTTTTTTTTTTTTTTTTTTTTTTTTTTTTTTTTTTTTTTTCCTTCTTTAACTGAATGACAATACGTGAACCACACGCTGTATTAAAAGTGCAAGACAATATGACACAAAATAAATATACTGTTATTCTTCCTACTTATAACGAACGCGAGAATTTGCCCATCATCACTTGGCTTCTTGCAAAAACTTTTAAAGAACACAACATTGATTGGGAAATTATTATTGTTGATGATAACAGTCCTGATGGAACTCAAGAAGTTGCTAAACAGCTTCAAGACATTTATGGTGATGATCATATTGTAAATATTTATCAATCTGCAGCTTGTAGTATTTATTAACACATTTTACACATGTAGCAATTGAGACCTCGTGCCGGTAAACTTGGCTTAGGTACTGCATATGTTCATGGTCTTCAGTTCGCTACCGGCACTCATGTCGTTATTATGGATGCAGACTTTTCACATCATGTAAGTTTATTCATTAAAATATATAAATGTATATGCATACTGACATTATAAGTAGCCCAAATTCATTCCTCAAATGATCAAGTAAGAATAAATATATATATATACATTTAGAAAAGATAAATGATAAATTCATTTATTTAATTGGATAGATTACAACAAGAAAAGGATTATGATATTGTTAGTGGTACTCGTTATAGAGCAGGAGGTGGTGTGTATGGATGGAACTTGAAGCGTAAACTTGTCAGGTACAAAATTAGAAAACACAATTTTATTTCATAGAGCTGTAGTACTAAACAGAAATTTAGTCGTGGTGCCAATTTTTTGGCTCAACTTTTACTTCGTCCTAGAGCCTCAGATCTTACTGGCAGTTTCCGGTAAATTACACGCAAATATATACGTATATCTTTTTTTTTTTTAATTTTATAAATATATTAGTCTTTACAAGAAGGATGTCCTTTATCAGTTGATCAATGCTACTATCTCAAAAGGCTATGTATTTCAAATGGAAATGATTGTTCGAGCTAGACAATTCAATTACACTGTAGGTGAAGTTCCTATTACTTTTGTAGATCGTGTCTATGGTGAAAGTAAAATGGGAGTGTCTGAAATTGTTCAGTATGCTCAAGGTGTATGGAGACTATTTACTACCATCTAAAAATAATAAACAATTGCATTTTATATACATTTACATATATTTATATACATATTAACATGACATGGAGTATATACATGTATATATAAATATTTATGATATTTTCTTATTATCTAGAAGTAAATGTTGATATTCACATCCTACTATGAACAGTGGCAAAGTGACAGAGGCAGATAATAAAGGGGTTATTATCATTAAAGCATATGTCCATTTAGGAATCTCTGTAAAGTTAGATCGGCTATAGACCCACATCCATGCAGTAGAAATAAGCTGCATACATACGATATCATAGCTAATGCTTGATTGTGCGGGGTGACTAAAGAATGTATTCACTACTTTATGATATATATCAATAAAGATAGAAGAATTGGTGTCGAGAGATATTGTAGTTAAACATTCAAACCATTGATTTACATAGATTGCAAGATTGGCTCCTGCTGCTATTGTATAAATTAGCATTATAAAAATCGTAATACTATAGGATGGTTTGTTGTTTTGCTGCTGATGATGTTGTTTATAAATCAAAGGGAGAATAAGTAAGATATGCATAATTAAAAGATTGGGCATAAATAACTCTGTGCTCGCTACGAAAGGTGAAAGAATGACGGTAATCAAGCCACCTATTGTTGAAACTGATAAGCTTTTCAAAAGCTTCTCAGAAGGTTGTCTACTAGGAATAGGAGTGTGTGTCAACATGACAACGAAAAATAAAGCAGAGGCAACTGAAATAGCTACAACTTGACCCAAAAGCATGTAAGCCCAAACATAAGGAATATTACGTCGTGTACCTTTAATTATAAGTTATTATCATAGCAGATATCATATTTATATATATACATATATTTATATAGAGAGAGAGAGTTACCTTCAATGGCTAATAGAGGCGTCCAAACTGAAACCGTCAAGCTACATAACTGATGACTCCATAGCCATGGCCATACACCAACACTTACTTTTCTCCAGGCACTATCAAACAAAGATACATCATTCAACCAGTGAGAAATAGAGTTTATAATAGATAGAGATTGAGAATGGGGTTGTTTCATCCACCATTCTTGGTAACTAAAAATAAAAAACTTGAACATGTAAGTCCAAGTGGCAATAAAGGAAATGACAGCTAAAAGAATGAACAAAAAAATATTTGAATTCAAGTTTATAATAGCTTTTTTTAATTCAGCTCTGATTCTCCATAATAAAAAGAATATAAACAAGAAGTAAGATGTAAGAATGGAAACTGCTAACGGATGATCAATGTCCATATAACGTCAAAATTTACTATAAAAAAAACAAGAAAAAAAAACTATTAAATTTATTTTCGGTTACCCAATTATTATTTATAATATTAAAAAAAAAAAGAGAGAGAGTTATGAATGCGTATGTATTTTTTTTTTTTTTTTTTTAGATTTCTACAAGAATAATAGTGCAATCATCATAATCTTGTAAAGTGGATGCAAAAAAACCATGTGCACTTTCTCTGTTCGCAAAATATCTTGCAGAAGAAACGAGTGTTCTTTCTTTAATTTTACGTGCTTTGGCCTCTTCTTCAGTTAACTCATGAAGTAACAAAGGTATACGAGGAAGCTCCTCTGGTTCTTCTTCTTTTTTGGGTGTTTCAGTTATATCTACGTCCATATGTGAGTCACTATTTTCTTCCTTTTTATTCTCTTCTGCTTCATTTATCACTTTATTGTCGTCTTTCATTTCCTCATCTTTTACTAGCTCTTCTTTGTTTACTATCTGTTCATCTTCTTCCATTTTTTCAATTATTATCTTTGATTCATCTCCTTTTTCACATTCTATTTTATCCTTCTCTTCTTCTTTTTCTTCTACTATTACTTCTTTATTATGTTCAATTGTTTGTCCCTGAATTCTTTCTTCTTCCTCTAATAGATATTTTCCAATCTTTTCACCATCTTCAATCATAGGCCCAATGACTTTCGCAATAGCTCTGTTTTGTCGTTCGGCTGTTTCTTCATACATGTAATCAAAAGTACCATCTGTGCTCATAAATAAAAAGTGCCTTCGCTTTTCTTTGTGAGGACCATTTAATAGAACGGTATGATCAATGTAGGGTTGGTCAGAAATACGAATGAATGTAACATCAGGTTCACAAGAAATAATCTTATGGAGTGGATCCATCTTGAAATCCAAATCACCACAAGAGCGTGCTACATTGAGAGAAGGGATGCGATCTTCTCGTGAACGATTTTTTGTGATTGGTGGTGAACTCACTGTAGTACGTACAGCACTTTGAGCAGTCCAATTTGTACCAAGAGTTGAATTACTATCTTCAATTTTAGTATCCGTTGTCTCCAAAGTCTCTGACGCATCGTCTACTGTTACTGTTGGTGACTGATCAAGACCAGCCTGATAGTCCTTGGGTCTAATTCTCGCATTTTTCAATGCAACACGTTTTGCATGTCGATTACCATCCTCTCTTAATTTATCTAATTCTACCTTAATAACTTTATTTTGTACCGAATCTACAAATTCACCTCCATTTTCCAAAATGTGACGCGCTAAATGCTCTAAATAAGGCTTATGATCTTGTGAGGCAAATACAACATCCATTTTATAATCATTATCAATACCAAGCGTGTTGGCATTTTCAATAGAGGTAGGAGGTGCTGAGGAAGGTTCAGGGGCAGAAATTAAAACTGTGCGTGAATCACCTACATTGACATTAATAAGCCATTCACCCAAAAAGATATTTAAGATCAGTGTACAGCCATCATTATCTACTGGTTGACCTCCTGTTTGTTTGGCAGTTGCAATTTGCTGGCGTTTTAAAGATAAATATCCATCATCAAGTGACTGTATCATAGCTTTAATTTCTTGTTCAAACTCTTTTTGAATAGCTGTATCACCTAATTGAGCTGGATCATATTTTGCACATAAATCATTTACAGCAATAGGCGTCTTTCTTACAAAGTATTCTGAGCAGCCAGGGCCGCCATGGCCATCAGCAAGAATAAATAAACGACCCATGATTTTGTTGTTAATACTTATATCTGTTACTCTAAATTTATCTTCACAGTGCTCTTTTGGAATTTTAATTTTTTCATGAGAGCGAAAACGAGGGTAAGAGTAACCTTTCTGTTGCACGATAGCAAAGTAACTGGCAATAGGATATTCTACAAAATTAATGCGGTCAATATAATCTATATCACTTGTAGGAGGAGAATATAACAAAGAATAGTCAGCTATTGTATCTTGTTCAATTATTTCAGGTTGCTGATTATCATCCTCAGAAACAAATGATGTAAAACTAAAAAAATAAAAAAGAAATATATATGAATAAAGGAGAAGATTTGTATTATAAATTATGCATTTCTCTTTTTTTTTTTTTTTTTTTTTTTACTCAGATTCATCATCTTCTGAATCAATCTCTACATCAGAATTGCAAATTTCATTGGCATCTTTCTTTTTTGATCTTGTAACTCTTGACTTTTTTTTTTGTCTCAGTTTTGTTGAAGGAGAATATAATGAAGGAGCTTTACGTTGACGTTTAGCGTGTTGATTGGCATAGTAACCTGATGATCCATATTCGACAGGACGCAAAATGATGGGCTCATCAGGAATTTCTTTTATTTCAGGTGCCTGGACACCGTTCATAATGTCATTGGAAATGGCATATTTAGCTTGCCTTCCCGCACCATCTTTATCAATTCGGAAAGGATCGGGTATTTTTAAGTCTCTTGCTATCTTTCTAGAAGTAGAAATGATGCCTTGAATCGTGCTTTTAGGAGTTTCACCTCTGTCATGATAATTAATTAAAAAAAAAAACGCGCATTATAAATTAATCCAATTTACCTTAATGGTAATAGATTTAAAGTCCTAACTGCAATGACAAGTTGAGCAGCATTCATGGCTTGATTACCATAATGGAATAATGTTGCCATGACTTTCATGAAGGATGAATTTGCTCTTAATTGGTCACAAATGTTTAATTGAGCTAACTCAGTGTCAATGATAGGTGTTTCAGCTACTGATTCTGTATTAACATCAGACTTTATTGATGACGGCGATGTTATCGTTTCTGTTGCTGGATCCATATTTGAATAAATATAATAAATCTTACAACATAAACTTTTAATTTTTTCTTTAAAAAAAAAAAAAGATTTTAATTAAATAATGTCCATTTGACAAAATACATCCCTTTTCTTTTGTTTTTTTCCGTATCTGAAGCGGAGCTTAATTAATCAAAAACAACAGAAAAAAAAATAATAACCAAACAGACATGTAATATTGCAGTCTGTTTTATTCAATTTAGTGAAAATTGAAAAGATAATAAAAAAACTTCCAAAGAGATAAGAGGAAATAATACAGATAAATAATGGGCTTGAAAGAATATAAAAAAAACTTTTAGCATTGTCATGAAAGCAACTATTTTAGAAGTCAGGTATTAGTATCAATGGATGATGGAGAGAGGAGTATATTATAAAACGTATTGCATATTTCAAAAAGTATATATATTACAGATAGCAGATTAATGGTTAGCTCAAAGAGAGAATACTTGGGTAGTCTAAGGTTGTGTAAAATAAATCTTGTTTAAGTTAAATAATAAAGAGGTTTTTTTTTTCTTTTTTTCAGCAAACAACAATAGTTGTTGGTAGTGGCAATGTTTATGAAAATATTTACACGACTATAGCCAAATGTAGTTTGTGGTTGGTTAATGAGTTAGAAGTTTAAACCTACTATTGAGTAATCAACTAAGATACCAGTACAAGACTCAGCTGTTTCAACTAGAAGATATAAATAGACAAAGAATAGGATTGATATGTAAGCTTTACTTACGAGCAAAAGGCAGTTTCGAATTTAAATCTGAACAGCATGTGTCAAATTTAGGAGCACTAAAAGCATATAGTTTCCAAAAGGGTATCTTAATGAGCTTAAAGCATTAGAGATAGAAATCAAATAATTATATAGAAGATAATAATTTTGGAATTATTATGTTTGTCTGTATAATAGAAACATACTCCCATATTGCATACTGCTTGACTAAGATAAATTTTCATGTTAATAAGCTTGTAATTACTTTAAAGTCGTACTATTTAAGCAACCAATGACCAATCATCAACTTTGTAAATCAAAAGTGTAGCTATCTCGGTATTGCTTTAATGGCTAGTTTACAATTTAATTTATCTAAACAAGCGCATATTATAGTAATCTATTTCATTTAGTTTTGCCTATCAAAATTGAACATTTCAACCTAACTTCTCCATTCTATAAATGGGCTTTAGTGTCCAGCTAATGTTATAACTATTTATTAGAAAGCAATTTAATCTGAATACTTATTATTACAGTAATATTCAAATGCTTCTTAGGATTTATCTATAGGTAACTATACCATTATTTCTATTATTTCACTATTAGATGATTTCCGTAGGACTATACAGTAGTTTCCTTTTTAAAAAAAAATGAGATGGTCGCAATCTTTAGCTTTATTATGATTAATATTCTATTTATTCTTCTGAACCTGATCTAATAGAACAATTCTAGATGCTGTTATAGAGTAAGATTAAGTGCTATAGGCTTTCACAGTTTAATAATTGTCATTTTCAGAGTATTTGAACATACTAATAAGTGTTGTATGTATTGTACTACGCAGTCATAAAAAGAAATCAACAGTAAATTATGTCTGTTATGTTCATTGAAATACATATTATTATAAAATAGTTTCTCTTGTTGTGGTTTACAGATAAGATAAAATAAAAAAGACAAGAAAAGGTATGTTGAGAGTTGCCCATAGGCTTCATTACAATTAAAAGTGTAAAGAACTCAAAGAATAATCATTTCATAGTAAATGAGATAAGAATATCAAAACACATACACTTTCTATAAATGAAGATAATAAAAATACAACAAATTGCATTGAAGAATATAATTATAAAAGAGAATAATAATTTGACTGTCTACATAATATCATGAGTCATTATAAATATGTCTACGGTTTTTTTTGTATATTTATTTTTATAACTAATACATGTATTTTTAAGTGAGATCAATCATTTGTTGCATATTCATCACTCTTAGTGTATCCTCAGCCAGCTTTAAAAAATTATTTATATAAATTTATATGTATATAGCAGAAGAAAATATATTTTTTAGAGGTAAAGTTCGTTACTTATTTTTCCACACAAGAATAAATATATTTCGTTTGTATATGAATACAGATATCATAGAAATGCATTATATGATTTATTAAGACTGTTTACCTAATTTAACTATATTACAGATCACATAACCATGATATTCTCTCAATAGCAATAAAAAAAAACCAATATTACAAAATAGAATTCATACTTACGTCACCAATTATCATTATTCTAATTGGTTGTCGGAGATTTAAATTCATACTAAATGCTCAATTATTACTAGGGTTAAAAAAAATCAACAAATGGTTTCTTGGTGTAGTTGGTTATCACGCCTGCTTAACACGCAGGCGGTCGCCAGTTCGAGTCTGGCAGAAATCATTAATTTTTTAATTTTTATTTTATCAGTTAATAAAAATCATTTTATTTTAATATTATGTTATTATCTACTTATATAACAAATAGGTATAATTAAGTCTTATATGAATTTTACTACTACAAAATCAGGCACGACATAATATGATAACATCTGAAAAAAGGCCTCTTTATCTATGTTAGATATTTGTTTTTAATTTATAACTAATTTCTTTTGTAGTGCGACAAAAAAAACCAGATAGAATAAAGATTATTGAAAAAATAAAATAAACGAAGGTATCTGCTTTTTTCCTATATAATACAAAGCATATTATATATCTGTATATATTTATATTGCGATTTTATTATTGGAACATTTTACAAATATGCTTACACTATTATACTCTACTAATTTATAAGCTACCAAGGATTAGTATTCAAAGCTGTTAAGGATATTATTTTGATATAGTATGATCAATACTTCTTGATCAGATACGACTATGTTCTCTATTAAAGTCATTATGATTTGCTCAATTTATTATTCAAAAGTAGAGTGGATTACCTAACAAACTGTATCAAATTACTTACATTTATAGATAGATCAGAATAGTTAATAATAACTAATTAATTGTATACAAACATTCTACATGTTTAAGTTATTTATTAAGTCTAGAAAAAATCAAATCACACGAATATTAAATTATTATTTCCAAATAATAAACACAACACAAGTATCACTGTTTGTGTCTGTTATCTTCTCAAGGATAAACAATTCACCTTTCAGTTCATGGAAGACAAGAGGAGCCCATGAGTTTAAACGAGGAGATATAGTATTGTATTTATTGAAGATTTATTTTTCATACATTCAATCATTCTTTTTACAAGTTTGCATCGACTATTTTTGACACTATTTGCGGGTTTATACCTTGATTAAAAACCCGTTATATAAAAAAGTTAAAGCAAAAGAAAAACTGAATATTTATGTAAGGTGCAAAAATGTTAATAATAACTGTATACTAGTGCATTACTATATATTTTAATTGAATTCAGATATGTAAAAATTATTGCGACGCATACGCATAAAAAAAAAAAAAATACTATTATAAATACAAAAATACAAAATATATATTCTATGTATATAAAGGTAAAGCTATCAATGATTAATATTCTATTTTTAAATCCAAATAGATGATATAATATACATAGAGATAGATTATTATTATACATGTAAAGTTATATGAATAGAATATACGTAATTACAGTATTACTATTATATAGTAATAATATTAATAATGCTTCTAAAGAGCAAAACAGTTCTACACTAAAGTTGTTCTATGAAGCATTATTAATGACTTCTCCAGGTAATGAGGAGCCTTTAGTTTTAAATCCGTCCTATTAATATTATTAATTTTTTTTTAGAAAAAAAAAAAAAGATACAAGAAATAGTGTATGTTGAATTTACCACAATTACGAAATTTTCATCATCAGAAATATCATCCATTAAATCGACCTTATCTTCATTGTGATCCAAGATATTTTGTATTTGCTGCACATCATCTTCCTCTTCTTCAATAATAATACGATTTTTATTTTTTGATATCATAAAATCTTCATTCTCATCATCGTCTTCATCTTCATCCTCGTCTTCTTCATTTTCGCTTAAAAATGCAATAACCGATTCATCAGGTATAGCTTGTGCTGCCTTAGCAAAAGCAGCTGTTTTAGGATCATTTACTGTATATAAAAATAGGCCTATTTAGAGAATTAAAGTTCTTCAAGGTTAAATTTTCAGTACTTACATAAATTTTCCAAAATATTTTCCCCTTTTTGCTTTAAAAGTTTACGTCTTCTAGCTTCTGCAGCTCTACGAATTGCAATAAGATCGTTATCTTCATCATCATAAAGGTCAATATCATCAAGCATTAGCCCTGCTTCTGCAGCTGCTTTCTGTCTACGTAAACCACCACCTGCAATATCTGTAATTAAACGCTGAATTAAATTACTATCACTTTCTTTATCTTGTTGACTAAACAAAAAGAAATATTTATATGTATAAGCATGTGCTATGTAATTATCCCATGTCCTTTAATAGAAAAACCTACATAAATGCTTCTCTTAATACTGCTTCATCTACATATTCATCATTATTTTCGACTAATAGACCATCATCTTCAAATTCATCTAAATTTTCACCAATTTCTTCATCAGAACCTGCCACGCCGAAATATTCATCTTCTTCCTCTTCAGCTTCCTCTTCAAGGTATTCATTGTTTCCTTCTGGCTTAGATGATAATGTGGCTTTCTGTAATTTCTTTACAGGAGCAGATATTTCATCAATATCCATAGCATTTAAATCATCAGTTTGCATTTCTTCTTTAGTATCATCTACTGTATCATCATTGGAATCACGTCTTACAAGACGAGTAAGAGGCTTTTCTTCTCTTTCATCTTCATTTGCCTCTTTAATTTCATTATTTTTTGCTTCCTATATATATATATATATATTAATTATCTGTAGATTTATATATATTCAAAAGTTTACCTTGGCTTTAAAAAAGTTTACAATAGAATGTGCTGGTTCAGGCTTTTGAGCAGCTTTCTTCTTTGCAGAAGAGTTCTCATTTTCATCCTCATCCTCATCCTCATCGTCAAATATGGATTTTTTAGCTTTTTTCCCTTTCCAACGTCTGAAAGCTATAGTTGCCATATCATTCTCATCCCCATCTTCGTCATTGCTATCCACTTTTCGTTTCAAAGAATTCTTTTTTACATCATCTACATAATCAATATCAAATTCTTCTTCAGAACCAGAAAATTCATCAAAGACATCATCATTAGCCTCATAGCTTTCATCCTCATCTTCCGAACTATTATTATAATTCTTTGGTCCTTTTTTCATTTCAAAATGCATATCTACTTGTTCTTTAATCATTAAGGCATTTTTTTCTTTTTCAAGTAATCTTTTTGCTCTTTCTGTAGCAGAAGCAAAGTAGCCACGTGCCTTAGCTTCTTCTTCCATCTTGATTCTATGATCATATCCTTCATTCGTAATTCGATTTAACATTCTTCGATTGTGTTCTCGTAAAGCAATAGAGGCATGCCTGATAGGAGAGAAATTAGGTATTGGATATCGAACACGATCGGGTGATAAAAGGGATGCTGCAATCCTTTTTGGATCACCTATAATTTCAAGATCACTATCATCACTTTCTTCGTGTTTGTTGGGTATATGACTAGAGACTGTCTTATGCTGCCTTTCAAGCTCTAATTTTCTTAAATAGGCTTGTTCATGTTCATCTCGACGTTTCACAAAATCATCAAACGATTTAATATTATACACTGGCTTTAGCATAACATTAGCTGCCCTTCGACGACGTTCTGCTTCACGATACATCTCTAGCTCTGCCCTCTTTGATAACTTTCGTTCCTCTCCCTCGTCCTCCTCTTCTTCACTTGTGTCGTCTAAAAGCTCAGTCGTACGTATCAATCTTTCACCATTCTCGTCTACTTTTATTTCATTTGATTCTTTCTTTCTTGTTCTTCGTCCCATTTTTCTTTTAGACTTGTTATTTTCTTTTTCTTCTTCTTCACTTTCGTTTTCTTCTCTTAAACCCTTGAGTAGTTGATGTAGCTTATTTGCTCTCGCCTCTCGTTGTGCTTCAAAAACATCTTTTTTCTCTCTTCGTTTTTTCTTTTCACGAGGCTTTTTAGGTCTTTTCACGGTCATTTTTGGTTCTTTTTCTTCTTCAGTAGGAGGCATAAGAGGAAAGTTCATAAATTTACTCTTATTTTTTTCTATTTCTTCATTTATTTTGTTGATGTCTACTGAAGCTTCAAAACGACGATTGATAAAGGAATCATCATCAGATTCGGAATCATCACGAAAGGAATCGTTGAGATTGATATCATGATCATCCATTCGAAGAATGTTTTTAAGATTAGATGGAATGTTATAGTTATCAAGAGCATCTTGATCGACCATAGAATTTAAAGCAAAATCATCTTCTGAATCAGATTGATCATGATCACTAGGTGCAACTAATGAATTTAGGGGGGTGTCATTGTCATCAAATAAACTACGTTTGTTGGTATCATCGCTCAAATCCATATTTTATTTATTTATAAATGAATATGTGTATGTATTTATGTATTTTTCTTAAAAAAAATGGATAAACTATACCACGAAAAAAAAAAAAAGATAAAATAAAATACGCGCTTAATTAGTGACTGGCAGTTTCGCGTTTGTTAAAGGTACATTTCGAAAATTATATCTAGTCATCAAACAAACAAACGAAAAAATAAATAAACAAATACGTAAAAAAGAAAAAAAAAAGAAATAAAACAGAGAATAAAGTCATAATATGAGTAAGCAGCATTTAAAGTATATTATATAGCATTATAAAAATAAAACAATAATTAATATGTATGCGGAGAATAAGAAAGTCCAAAAATTCAGGAACGGCCGTCAGTAAATTTTATATTAAATTTCATTGAAAAAAAAAAAAAAAAGATAAGTTAAAGTTTGCTTAATACTAAGGGAATAACTGATTTATATTGCTTCTTTCCCCCCAAACAAAAACATATATACATGTATGTATGTTAGAAGTAGTTTGCTTTATATTATTTAAATTCTTAAAGATTACCTGCATGTCGAAAGGGATAGAATGATATTAACAAAGTCATGCCAGAATCAACACATTCCATACTATTGCATTATTGATATTCAAATTGGTGTTAATATCCATAATAGTTATTATATTACTTTCGTCAATTGATCTATATTCCAAGAATATTCGAATAAACAAATTCAACATCATAACCATAACCATAATCTTTTTTTCCTCGGTCTAGTTATAATGTCGAGTCTTTTATTCTCATATTCAAAAGGAATACGTCTGATTCGAAAATCAACCTTATAGGTTTTTTTTTTAAATCCCCCATCGATGTACTATAAACCTACTATAATGTTATAGTACTTGAATGATAACCACATATATTGAATGTGTCCCTTACAAGAAGATTAGTTAGTTTTTTTTTATATAATTTTTTTTTAACTATACAACAATAGACTATTACAACTATTTAAATGTTCTATTTTCAAGAAGAATTCTAACGAGTTTTTTTCTCATCTTTTAAACTAAGGATACATTGATATTTATTATTATTTCTAGTACTTGTTACAGTATGCGATAGATAAAGGGACCACGGATGGTTAGTTGACACACAAATGCAGAGAAAGGATTTGTTTGTTTTATTTGATAAAGATAAAAATAGGTATTCAAAAGATACCACAGTAGTTTATTTAATTTGAATTATCAGAATTTGTTTGTTCTGGCTTTCCTTTCATATACTTGTGGAACTGACGTCGTAATGATTCGATATTTTTTATAATTGAATATCTTTAAAATTCTTCTCTTCTTTCAGACAAGTGACTCAATCCATTCTTTTCCCTTCTTCCACTTTCTTTTGCTTAAATTCAACGACAAATTTCATAGCTGCTTTATACATGTTATTGTTTTTATCAACTTTAGTAGTGGCAATCGCATTTTTTTTTTTAAATTTTTGTTATAAAATAAAATAATTTTTTAATCGTAAAAGTCGTCACCTTGACAACTAACTATCTATCAATTATGTAAAATAGAAAAAAAAAATATATGTATACAAATATATAATATGAAAAGCAGCAAATTTTTATTCTTTATGGGGGGTGGGTATAAATATCGGTTAAAATAAATATCGGTTAAATAAATATCAGAGAGTTCATTACATTAGCAAGGGCAAAATTCGGTTGAATGAGGCCCGTTACAGTTAAAACATGTTTGAATTGGATTTAATGCTTTCAAGACCTGAAGATTGTACATGTTCATGTGAAGTGTAGGTTGAAGATTGGGTCTAGGAAAAGAATCCAAAACTGATTTTTCAGTTACTATTTGCGCCTTTTTTACATTAGTAGTCGTATAATTATGTTGTTGCTGTTGTTGCCTTAAGACAGTTGAAGATAAAGGGCCGAGTGTCTTACTTGCAAGCGGCTTTGTTTTTAATGTTAATAAAGTCGTAAATGAAGTAAGTGGTGGAGGCATTTATAACAGAAACAAGATACGAAACTGAAAGAAAAAAAAAAAAAAAGAATAGTAGAAAAAAAAAAAGAATAGTAGAAAAAAAAAAAGAATATTAGAAAAAAAAAAAAGAAAAACTTAAAATGCTGTCGTAGTTTTAATTATGTTGACTACTTTTTCAACAAATGGAAAATCCGATAGTTCTTTTTTTTTCATGTAAATAATTAGCAAATAATAACTTCTGCCACGAAAAAAAAAAAAATGATTAAGACGATTAAAAGCTAAATAACATGTATTTTATGTATATAGTTCCTGCATAGTAGAACCGACAACAGGAATTGATTCGCTTTGTAAATCTTCACAACATAAAAACTTAGTTGGGAATTCCACAAGATGTCCACGAATTTTGCTTAAATGTTTTTTAATTTCTTCTAAACTCATGTCAGGATCATGAACATGTCCTAATTCAATTTTGGCTGGATCAGGATAGAAAGCATGATATTCTTTCCATGTTACAACTAAATTAAAAAACAAAAATTAATAAATTTGATTTGTATACTATATATAAAATGTCATACTTGTATCATCAGGTACACAATGGAATACTTCGCGGAAAGCAACTGTATTTATTGCAGCTGTACGGTTCCATCTATCCAGTGTTTCATCATCTAAAGGATCCATAACCCATTGATCTTCAGGGGTATTCGTATAATCTATTTGCGGAACAGGTAAAGGCAACATAGCAGGATTCACGATATCAATTTCATCTTCATGAAATAAACCTAAATGTTCTTTCCATAACTGGCGACGCAAAGTAGCCGCGAATCGACTTGCTTGATACTAATATAAAGATAATCAATTAAAAAGAAAACTAAATTTGGATCAAAACCACTTACAGGTTGATTATCCATACGTGATGGAATCATATCTTTATCTTCAATTACAATAGCAATTTCAGAATCACGATCACCACATTGTGATCTATCATTAAGATTAGCTGAACCCATAATAACTACTCGATCATCAGCAATAAGTAGTTTAGCATGTATATATAATTCTTCTGTTACATAAGAGCTAACTTCTCGTCTTTCAGCTTCATGGTCTCGAGGAGAAGTGGTGTCTTGTTTTGGAGGTGGGGTAGGCATAGAATACTCTTGTTGTCGATGCTTTTCTATTTCATCAGGCATAGCAAAACCAGCAGGTGGAGGATATTTCTGAATATTGCGTATTTGAGTAGATTCTACTTCATTTTGCATTACTCCAGCCAAATCTTGACGAGGTGTAAAGCCAGCATCAATTGCTAATGCTTCTTCTATTTTTGCTCGATCGATACGATCATAACTTCTTAAACTATAAAAACGGATGTAATCTTCAGGATTGATATTAGCCTTTCTCAATTGCTCAAAAATACTCTTTTCACCACTGCAAATAGAAATATATTGGTAGTACATAACGAGTCTATACAATAAATATTAATATGTATTTTGCTTAGTTATAAATTATTTCATTTAATAATATATATATATATATATATATAAGCAATATACCTTGCAGTAGCAGCATCTTTAGAACTAAGCTCAGCAGGGAAGGCAGGCATTAATGGGATTAATACAAATACTTTAAACTTCTCCTGTTCATCATGAGCTCGAATAATACGTTTCACTATAGCTTCACCAATTCGATTTTTCAATATATAGGAAGGATCATTCTCAGTTGTAGTAACTAGAAAGAGAGGAAGAAGTTTTAGTGAATAAACTCATAAGCTCATACCTTTATACTTACTAAAGAATTGATTTTCAATATAGACATAGTATCTAGCTCGATCGATAACATCAATGTAAGCATTTTGGATAGAGTGCTACATTATTAATATTCATATATTATTATTATTATTATTATTATTATTAAAAAGGAACATAATAAATGTTACCTCTAAATTAATACCTGAACTCCATCCTGCACTACTTCGCACAATTTGTGCATTACATGTGCCATGTACACCTGCAGTATTAGGTTCAAAATGATATGATCGAAGTATTTTACTTTCAATTGAAATTTTAAAGTTTTGATAACTGCTATAACCACCTACTGGAGGCTTTAAGAAAGGTGCTCTTTTTTTATCTAAAGCCTTTGAGTGCTTAATAAAATTCCATCTATCACAAAAGTGACGTGCAACATCCAAAACAGGTCCACCAAGCTAAAAGAAAAAAAAAAGTCAATTGAATAAAACTAGTATATACATACATATATATATATATTTATAAAGGCTTACAACACAAAGAGAAATATCATGCCATGGCATACGAGGTATACTTGTTTTATCGATCAATCTCATATCCCAATCAGCGACTATTAATATGCATTTAGTATAGCTTATATAATTTTTATGAATAATTTACCTTGCTCAAAATCTCTTAAACGGGCATCACTGTAATCTTGACCTATATTAAAGGAATTAGCTCATATTATCTTTTATTATTCTAGTTTATACCTGGAAAAATTTCCAAAGTAGGATCTAGTGAATAAGTAAAATCTGCTAATCGATGAGAGTGTGTATCCCATCGACTGTTAAATAAAAGTTTAATTATGCTAATCATAAAATACTATTTATTTATTTTTTTTATTATTACCCAAAGCATAAGTCAATACCGCCAAGAAATGCAATTCTGTTATCTACAACAACAAATTTTTCATGATGTGACCAGAAGAAAGTTCCTCCAACTGCATGATCAGGATGTCTTTGAACTATGTATAAAAATGAATAGATAAATTACTTTATATCTTATTATGCTTATTTGCCTACTTACCAACAATATTTTCATGCAAATCTTGTAAAGCCTTCTTTGTGTGTGCACTATTTAATGTTAATGCTAATTCAACTTCCTATAATATTTGTGTTACAGACGTCATTTTTTTTTCTTTTTTTTTTTCTTCATCATGATTACCTTGTACACGACAATATAAATCAAAACTCCTTGCTCTGCCTTTCGTTTTAATAATGCATCAATTCTATATTCAGGATATTTTTCAGGTGGTCTTCTGAGATACTACTTCAACTATTAGAACATATACAAATGAACTTTCTATTTTTGTTTTTTTTTTCTGAATATTACCAATTCAGGCGACTTTGTTATAAATTTAATTATTAGTTTATTTTTATTTTTTTCCGATTAAAAGAAAAAGGAAAGGAAAAATAAAATAAAATAAAATAATCTTACCAACCACCAATCCTCGATAAAAATAACTTCTTCTGCATTTTCAATAGCTTCTGAAACAGCCCTGAAGTAATAATTATTAATAATCAACTTTACAAAAAGCTTTACTAATATAGTTTACCAGCAATAATCATGTCCATCAATGAAATATTTTACCATAGCTTCATGTCGAATAGGTGCAAATGATTCATATCGATGTCCTTCAGAAGAGTATTCTTCTTCGTCTTCTTCATTTTCATTTCCTTTGATAACTGTATGAACTGTATGTCGTACTTTGTACTTGACTTTATTTGCTAAATGGCTTAAAATAGGCATTATTATTAAAAAAAAAAAAAAAATAAAAGGAAAAGGAAAAAAAAAAAGATATATTTCTGTAAAATTGATAAAAATCAGGTCAAAAAAAAAAAAAAAAAAGGTTCAAAGTATAACTCAGTCAACGGGCGTTTAACATTTAATGAAAATGATATTTGTATTTCATTTAGAACTTTTCTATTATTCATTCTATGCAATTAAATACACCGTTTTTTTTTTTATTCGTAAACAACATGTTGACATCATAAAGTCTATTGTTGATTAAGCATTTAAAACTTTCTAATCAACTTCTTTTATTATTTATTTTAATTTAATTCATTTATACAAATATAAGCTTCTTACACCTATTTGCCACTCTATTATTAATATTAGAAATCAAAATCTAAACTTACAAAATTGTTATTGGTCAATTAATGTCTATTTTGGTGAAAAAAAAGTTAATAATCATGAGGGGCTCATCTCTATTTATCCTTTTTTTTTTTCTATCTTTTGAATTGGGCAAATTTTTGGGAATAACAAAAGACCTGTCGTAGGGGCTTCAGAAGAGTATATATCACCTTTAACAGTCGCCTTATTACTGATCTTGTTTCTCTAGTGAATTATTATTTTATCACCTTACACACCTACTAATATATCAAGGAAAAACAGTCTAATTTTGATGCTAGATATGTTGCAAGGTAAATAATCATCTTACATGTATCTATTTTTTTTTTTTTTTTTTTTTTTTTTTTTTTTTTTTTTTGACTTTTAATGGTTGGTCCTGTTAATCAAAACTGAAAAAAGTTTTGAGAGCTAGTATCTTTTTTCTTGAAAAAAATAAAAAAAATAAAATAAAATGTATCTTCTTTAATAAACGTAATTTCTCTTTTAATTGGCAAACTATGCTCTTTTTATATAACAGACAATCTTTTTTTTTCACTTCTTCTTTTGAGAAATAACAGTCTTCCTGTTTTGCAAAATTCGAGAGAGTTAATCTTTTAATAATTAAAGATTATTATAAGCGATTGTTTCGACTTGTACTTTTTTTTTTTTGAAGATAAAAAGTAACTATAAAAATCCTTTTAAGACAAAAGTAAAAGATCAACTAAATTATAAAATAAATAAAGTGTTGGGAAGAAGGCTTAAAATAACCAGCTAATCAGGACTAAGCCTGGATTATGAAGAGACGGAGAAGGGAAAGAGAGTCTTCAATTGTTTGTGGTATTTATAATCTGTAGTGCAGATAGAGGCGACATATTGAATGTGTTCTACTAAATAGTTGATCAGGGTGGAAAAAAGAACTATACGATGGAGGACCGTGTGTGTGTGCGTGTGGGGTAACTAGCCGAAATACGAATGGAGACATTAACTTCGATTAGATCATGTCATAGGCTATCAAAGAAGAATAAGATCAATTATTGAAAGGAAATCGAGATATGGAATATACACTTAAGTGAGAAATGGAAGTTTATTTTCAGCTGTAATAGTGTGTGCTACACTGACAGCTGCTTGGTTCTATGAAGTTTCAAATTTAGCAGCAAGACGTCATATTTCTTCTTTAAAGTTATTTCACCAGTTGCTATTTACATGCATCATTTTATGATGTTTTTAATAGTACAACACAAAGTAGAATGGATATGAATTAAAAACGATTTTGCATTTGTGTATATGGAGAATAGAACCAAAAAAAAAAAAAAAAAGGTGAAGTATGAGCAGCCACAATACGTGACTTTGTTTTGTACTCTACTCTTCCTTTTTTTTATTTTTTTTTTATTTTTATTTTTTATTTTTACCATTTAATATACATTTATTACTATACACACATAAATAACATGGCAAAGAAGAGTTCAAATGAAGGAAGAAGAGAATCATCAGTATCAGATAACATCACTATTGTAAATGAAACAAATTATAATAATTCAAAATTCACTATTATTCAATCTACTAATCAAGATGCTATACCAACCAAAGAAATCAAAACATGGGAGGAACTAAAAGAAGAATGTACAACATTAGATGAAATACGTCTGATAATCCGTCGTTTGCCCCTTGATAATGTCCTTCCTCTTCTTCAAGAACTACTAACAAAGTTCAATGTTCAACAAACTCATGATGCAGCTTTAACAGAATGGATCAAAATCTTATTGTTGACACATACAGCTTACTTTATGTCTTTACCTGACATTGTGAGACAGCTGTCAAAAATTTATAAACAATTAGACAATCGACTTACAGTATATCCTAAATTATTAGCTATGCGTGGTAGATTAGATCTTATTCAAAATCAAATTGATGCTCGTAATCGTAAGGATGATTCTGAGGATGAAGTATCGGATATAGCTGAAGAGGCATATAGTGAAAGTGAGGATGATATAGATGATGAAGATGATGATATTGAAGACGAAGATAATTATGAAGATAATGATGATGGATTAATGGAATTAGATAATAATGAGGTAAAAGTTCCTCTTATTTTTACAATGTGATTATAAATTAACATTGTTTTTTTTTTTCTAGACTGAAATGTTTAAAGAGGAAGAAGAAGATATGAATACTGAAGATGAAGATGATAATATTAGTGATAGCGATATTGAAGAATAATTTATTTGTACATTAATAATAATAAAAATAATAATAAAAAAAAATAGGCTAGAGAATTTTCTGTATATATACATTTATCAGTCTTTTGCATGAATACCACTGTCGTCAATCATGACTTCACAGCCTAATCTTTGAGCTTTAGGCGAAAATTCTACAAATAAGACACGTCGAGTAATCATACCGTCCAACATGGGCGATCTTGCTAATCTAATTCTGGTATTAACCGAATTAGACCATGATAACCCCAAAACAGGCCTCTTTAATAAAGATTGAATATATAACCCTATCATGTGATTATTTTCATTACTGTTTATTAATCGAAAGTCCATCCAATGCTCTAATTGATCTGTACTTGGATTATTATTTTTAGTAAGTACATCAGATACTTGATTGACAGCAACAATAGCAACATCAAATTGACTTGCCATCTTTTTTAAACGGCTTCCAATTTCACAAATCTCACTCATTTTATTAAATCGTCTGTTTACCGGTGTAAGCTCGCTACGATAAATAGCACTAATCGAATCAATCACCACCACTCGAACTTGTTTTTTTGCCTTTTTTTGTTGTAGTAAAAAAGCCGGTAGTTGATAAGATAAAAGTCTATATTGTTCTTCACTGTCATTAATGCGAATAGTATATATATTATTTTTAAGAGTTTGTTGTCGATCACTTGGATATGAGCTAACAAGCTGATCAAGCCGTGCAGATGGAAAAGGACCCTCACTATGAATATAAACTGCAGATCCATCAAGTCCCCCTTCTGATATTGGCTTCTGTGCTGTTATACATAATTGTAAAGCTAATTGAGTTTTACCAGACGAACTGTAAAAGACGTTAATCAAATGATTGTCTGAAAATATCATTGATTGTTACCTTTCTCCTACAATTTCAGTAATCTCTCCAGGAGATACACCTCCATTTAGTACTTTATCGATCATAACATCGCCTGTTGTCAATGAATGAAAATCATGTTGAATAAGCTCATGTCCAGTTTTTTCACGCATTCTCCAATCATAAGCATCTTTAGAAGCTGCTTTTAGAATATCTTGAGCTTGAGCATCATTCACACGTAATTGTCTTTGTAAATCACTTGATGACTTTGATAAAACATCAAGTGAGGAATCAAGACTTACTACATATAACTACATAAATACGCATGGTTTAAAATTTTCTTACTTTTCTTTATTTTTTGTTTTTACAGCTTACATTCTTCTGCTTTTTCAAATACACCTATTTTTTTTAAAACTCTTTTCAGTTCATTCTCCATTTGTTCTATATATAAAGGAATGCAAAAAAAAAAAAAAAGAAAAAAGAAAAAGAGCAGTGACAAGAAGCTATTTATCGGAGCTACTACGCATTATGAATTAGCATAACTGATAATAAAATCACATCTTTTTCTTTCTTTTACTACATGTATAAGAATGCTAATAGATAGTAATAATCAATATTAACTTTTAACTTTTATTAGTAACGTTATAATTGAACTAAGTCGTCTATTATTATTCTCACTTTTCCTTTATAAACACGATTTAGGTAGTTTTATAAATGAAAAACAAAAGAAGGGAGAGCATTGACTGAATTGACACATTTACTTCAACCTTATCAGATTCCTGATAACCTGAGGCTTATTTAAATAACGTCTTAAATAAATTATTTACAGTATATGCATATAGAGTAATACAAGAGCTTCTTCAAAAATATTGACAGCATAACTGTAAGCTAGGGGGGGGATATCAATGAAGCCTAATTAAAAAGGACGATCTAAACACATATTATCTATATTGTAATACTAATTGAAATAACTTGTTCCTCTTCCTGTTTTGGGGTGTCAATCAATCAATAGTAGCTATCCAAGTAATATTGAGCTCCTTTATAATAATATGTATATGTCTAAAAAAAACCTTGCAACCAATAAACTAAATTTCAGCTATTAACGTTACTAGTAAAGAATTTAATAAGCTGTTGTAGCTTTGATTGTATTCCCAAATGGCTGGATCTCAACTTGAATATGATATAGCTGTCTCAGCATATAGTAGAAAATTATAAGATACACAAAGGAATACAGTAAGGAAAGATATTTGGTGATTTAAGCTTATCGTTTGCTAAAGTCAAGCTACATCTAGCTGAACTTCTATCCGTTGTTTAAAAGGATCTACATTCTATTACATTCCTTAAATTTTAGTTAATGATGTTGTTAACAGTTTTAATTAATTAAAAGAGCTTGTTGTAGGAAATGAAATCATGATTAATAACAAGTCCTTTAGTTTTAAATACAAATTATTATATATAAAAGTTAAATATATATACATATAAATACATATATAAAAAATATATTTTATTGCTTATTTTAAAAATTTGTTCATGTGTACATAGACAACTTACAAAATAGATGGTTCTGTTAATTCTAAAAATGTTTGTTGTACTTCATTTGTGCCAATAGGTTCTTCATGATAATATGTAGTATCAATACGAGTAATGGCAGCTGTAATTTGACCATTATGCGTAATCTTTCTTGCTGCTGCTTCTGCTGACTTTCTATGTTCTAAAAGACGTGAGGCTTCTTCAGGATCCATTGATTGTCTATTATTGCTTAATAGTGTCTTTTCAAAGAACAAGTCTGGATGTATACAGGTTCCTAATGCGCGACGCATCTTTGTATTAATCAAAGATAGTCCAATTTGATAAGATGCATTCATCCATCCAAATCCTTCCCGGGGAACATATTTAAATTCAACACCTACATTTCCATATTCCACTTCAACTTTATGTGTCATTCCCACTACATCATATTTTTCAGGTACAACTCCATTAAAGTCAACAAAAGATTTGGTTATCCTAGGAAAAAAAAAACAATCTATTAGCATTTCTAAAGATTTATATATTGTTCACCATTTACGTGTAAAGCCAACGATAAGCAAGCCTTTCAGCAATATCTTGCCTTCCATAGTTTTCAAATGCTTGCCATGCCATAATTTGATGAGGTGCCCAACCAAATGGGAAATCCCATTGACGATTAGGACGATCAAGTGAAAGAACACCTCTTGACTCTTTTGTACCTGATACAAGGCCGCCCAAGGCTTCAAACTTATAAAGTGATTTAATCAATCTTTTGGCTTGTTCCTTGGATGCACATTTAGCCCACATAGTCCATAATGTAGTGACCGATTCATAATTTGTTTGTTTTTCCAAGACAGTGTCATAATCAAAGTAAAGTCCCTTTTCTTCATTCCACAAGTATTTATCAATTTTTTCTTTTCTGGATTTGGCCTTTTCTCTCCATTCTTTAGAATGATGCCTTGTAATGATAGATTGGCCATTGGCAAGCGTTTCTGTAAAATATGAAAGCTCCCCGTCAAAGTAGGTATCAATTGCATCTGCAATATCCATTTCATATTTATAAAGGAGAGTATTCAAGTCGACGGTAGCTAAATTAGCACAAACTTTCTCATATCGATAAGTGGTATCATGTCCTGATTCTCGGACTGCACGATCATGTAAAAAATAATCATCCAACAATGGCTCCTTGATAGAGCCGTCATTATATCTATCCATATATTCTTTGATACTTAGGTTAGCTGCTGTAGCGTAAGGTTGAATGACATGATCAAAATGAGAGGCCTCTGTCTCAGGAGGGATTCCTAAGCCTTCTGGTCTAAATCTGGAAAGACCGGTTTTTTCATCATAGCGAGGCTTTGAAATCCATACCTGATTGTATTCTCTAATAGCAAATTCAAAGACATTTGCAAGCCACATGGTATTTGTGAGCCTTTTGCTAGTAGTTGAATGATCCAGTTTTTTATATACACGTAATGCCATATCAGTTAAAAAGGGAGGTTGAGAGCGACAGAGATAGTATGATCTATTAGCATTTAAAATCTTACCATAATGTTTGATTTGATATACGAAATTATCCACCATACTTTGTGCAAGTTCGATACGACCGTCGATTAAGAGCCCCAGGACTTCAAAGTATGAATCCCAACCGTACATTTCGTTGAATCGACCGCCTGGAACGATAAATGGAACACCTTGCCAGACGTACTTTTGGGTCTGATTATTAAATTCCTTCTTCATCGCAAGGGCTAAAATACCAGGACGATCGTTAATGGATTTCACAAATTCATGTGTAATCTCCTTGGGTAAACGCTCTACTTCAAGATTCAAATGAGATTTAGCAATTGCAACCTCTCTATAGTATTCAAACATGTCATCTTCAGAATAAGGAATATAGATACGAGGATTGTGATTTTTAGCAGATCTATTTTTCGGATCTGCACAAATAATATCTAGTCCATCAGCATCAATACGTCGTGTTAGTCCATCCCAAAAGTGATGCCGAATCGTACGAGAGAGTCGATCCACTGGATTTTCATTCAGTCGAGCTTCATCCAATACAATATGTTTGCGTCCATAATCATCTGCTAAAGCCAATTCTTGTAATAAATTGGAAAGCATGTAAGTACCTCGAATTTCAATCTTACGATATCCCCCAGAATCAGCGGTGCCTACTGCAAACGATTTGGGCCCCAAATCATTAACAGTGATTTGGAAGTCTCCATCTGTATCTTCTTGTTCCACTAAAATACGTTGCGTCTCTTTGACGTCAATCAAAAATTTTTGTGCCTTGTTTTTGTCATCTAAAAAAAAAAAAAAAAAAAAAAAAAGTAAGTAAGCCTCAGATCTATTCTATTTATATATTAATTTACCATGTGATGCCCTTCTTTTTCTTGGAGGAATAAAATACTCGGCCTTATCTTTACTTGCCTTTATATATACATATACATATATGGATAGATATACATATATAAATATGTGCTAATTTTATACAAAATATAATATATATGTATATATAAATATTACTTTGTAGTTCTTTAATCTACTAACGAATCCGCCTGCATTACTACCCGTTGTATAATAGGTTTTAGCAGGAGCATGAACATCTACATTTTGATCAGTGATAACATGAATTGTTGACTGCATTATTTATGTATAAAAAAAAACAAGAAAAAAGAAGAAAAGAAGAAAAGAAGAGGTAAAAAAAAAAAAAATAAAATAAAAATAAAAAACTATATTTATATAAAGAATCAAACAAGTATCCAAAATAAACAATATTACATTCAATTTATTTATGGTAAATGACTTGATAATGATTTAAGTTTAAAATTTGGGTTAGAATATTGATCTGGAACACCTTCTCCTTTTTTTTTTTTTTTTTTTTTTTTTTTTTTTTTTGCAGAGAAATTCTACAAACAATGTTGATTTGTTACGTTGTTATGATCATTAAGTAATGCGAGATAATGTATCTATTCAATCGAGCAAGCAAGCAAGCAAGGTTGGCACACCTATTTTGAATATAATAAGAATGAGGGAGAACATGTGTTTAAAATCCAAGAATCAGTAGACGAAAAAAAAAAAGGGATAACTTTAGATATATCTAAAATATGATTAAAGTAATGAAGAGTTAGTCACTTGTGATATATTAGTTCATGTTGTCAATGTAAATCAATCAAAAAAAAAGTAAGCATTTTTTTTTTTCATTACTTTGTATACACAGTTTTTCTTTTTTCTATTTGGTTTCTACTTTAAAACCTATATTGCCCACAACATTAGTAACCATAGAGACTTTACTTGGTAGCCAACCATCAACTAGAATAGTATATTTTTATAAGCTTTAGATAACGCATACATTTAACACTTTGCTTTTATTAAAGAAAATCATGTATAATAAGATTACTGTCCTTTTTTTTGGCCTAGAATTTAAAATAATTTTAGTAATCATACAACTTATTTATTATTAATTATTCGTTTACTTTTTGAAAAAAAGAAAATAAAAACAAGTAAATAAATAAAACGAAATACTATTAACGGTAATATTCAGTTCAGTGTATGGATAACCTAAACCTAATTATTTTTATTATTTCATTGCTTATTTACTTTATCTATTTGTATAATATAAAATTGAACATTTTTTTTTAATAGTTTAAACGGTTAAATGCTGTGTGCGGTCACTTAAATTATAATGACTTTTTTTTTTCTTTTTTTTTTCTGATTTTTGCTTTTAATTATGTATACTAAACTTGTTGATGATGCTATAAAAGGGCACTATGTTGAATCAGTAAATATTCTATAACCAATTCATATACCTTTCATTAATTTAATTTATAGATTAATACATTTGATCCTCCGGATGAAGGAGGAAAATGGGAATGTCCTTTCTGTAATCCAGCAAATGTTTACAAATTAAATGTGCCGCCTATTTTACAAATTGAAAGACGTAAACGTATTAAGGAATTGATTAGGAATCATGTTGAATTACATAAAAAAGATTTGATAAATCAACTATTTGAAGGCGACATACATTCTTATGAAAAGGTAAACAATATTTACAGTCACATAACAATTAAGTACTTATATCTTAATAGATGCGAGCAGAAAGTTTAAAGAGAGTTCGATTATGGATTAAAGGGACAATTAATGACCGTGAATTATATAAAAAAGACCCACTTCAAAATTGATTACATTTCTGATGGCACGAAATTGTTTTCTAATAACGTAACATCTGGCCAGACCTAGAAATCTGTAAATATTTGTTTTATATGATTATCATTCTATTTACCTTTGCAAATACTCTTCCTTTAAGTAATCCTAATGGAACAGGACCATAATCTCTTGAATCCGTTGAATTGCTTATATTATCCCCTCCAAGCCATATATGTCCTTGTGGAACAGTAATATATTTTCTATCTTTTGCTGTTGGATCTTCACAAATATTATCTCCAGGCTTTTTTTTTTTTTTTTTTTTTAAATAATTATTTAATAAATATATTCTGTGCAAACTTATTATCATTACCAAACCAATCACTCGTTTTAATACCGCTCTTCCTGGTTTTAATGGTGATTTACAAATAACAACATCGCCAATCTCTAAATCTCGAAAACGTTGAGAAATACTTTCAAAAGCAACCAGTCCTGACATGCTAAAATTAGGTAACATGGAAGGTCCTATACACTATAATAACATGAATATATATTACACGTAATTATCTATTGCTTATTACCCAAGTAATGCCAACAACATATTCATTGAAGCAATGGGCAAAACATCCAAACTGAATTGCATATTTGGCACCTCTCAAAATAGAAGATCCATAATATTTAAAAAAGTTCATATTAAAGAAAAAATAATAGAATAAGATACACAATTTGCAGTGGAAATGCTTTAACTCTTCTGCTGAGTGACTGTTTACCCATGTATGTAACTTGTCCCTGTCTTTTTTTTTTTTTTTTTTTTTTTTTTTTTTTTTTTTTTTTTGACATAACTTATGTATATTTTTATATTATAACATATAGACGCTTTCAATTGAGGCAAAAATAACAAATGAACATACTTCAATTCAAAACATTTCAACTTCGCTCGTCTTCAACAATAACAGGACGTCAACATTTTTGGAATTCAGCTATATCATTTGCTGCTGTCAAGAGAACAAACCCATATACAAAGACCCTTCTTTTACCAAAGACTAATTTTCCTTTAAGGGCAGAAGCATCAAAAAGAGAGCACCTATTTAGAGATAGATGTACAAAGGATTTATATCCTTGGCAGGTTAGTTCAATATAATTTATTTATTTTTATTTATTTATTTATTTATTTATTTATTTTTATTTTATTTTATTTTATTTTATTTTATTTTTTGCATAAAATTTCTGTTCTGCATAGCTAAAAATAATCCAAAAGATTTATTTGTTCTTCATGACGGTCCTCCATATGCAAATGGAAACGTACATTCTGGTATAATAAATAATACTCTTTCAATAAAAAAAAAAAGAAACTATTACATAACCTTTCTATGTATAGGTCATGCCATGAATAAGATTTTGAAAGATATCATAAATCGCTACAAGATGCTTCAGGGACATAAAATTTTGTAGGTTTTAGTTTTTTCTTTTCTTCAAGATAGGACATAAGATGAACCAGTTATTTTCTCTCTCTCTCTTTTTTTTTTTTTTTTCTTTTTACTAGTTATCGTCCTGGTTGGGATTGTCATGGATTACCTATTGAGTTAAAAGCTCTAGAACAGATTCGAGTAAGTAACATCTTAGTCTATGTTTACTATAATATATATTTAATCCATATTATAGAAGGAAGGGAAGGAAGAACTTTTGTCTCCACGAGAAATTCGTAAACTAGCAAAAAAGAAAGCTCTCACTGAAGTTAATAAACAAATGGCAAGCTTTAAGAGTTGGGGCATAATGGCTGATTGGGATAATCCCTATTTGACCCTAACAAATGATTACGAGATGCGCCAGTTACGTGTCTTGACAGAAATGATCAAACATGGTCATATTTATCGACAATTGAAACCTGTTTATTGGTCACCATCATCAAGAACCGCATTAGCTGAATCAGAGCTTGAGTATAACGACAATCATATCTCTAAATCCATTCATGTTCGATTTCCTGTAAAAAAATTGTCATCAGCGTTAAAGGACTGGAATTTAGGAGATGTATATGCTTTAATTTGGACAACAACACCTTGGACTATTCCAGCTAATAAGGCTATTTCAGTTCATCCTCAATTAAAGTATTCATTGGTGGAAGTACAAGATAAAGTGTACTATATTATTGGTAGTGATCGTGTAGAGGCATTTAAGCAGGAAACAAACATGGAAACTATTAAGGTATTGGATGAAGTACTTGGTAAAGACTTATTAGGGTCAGTTTATCAGCATCCTTTAAACCAACAAATAATGCCAATTATTGGTGGCGAACATGTCACTGCTGAGTCTGGTACAGGGTTAGTACATACTGCTCCTGACCATGGTATGGAGGATTATGAAGTTAGTCTTCAACATGGAATCAAACCATTTGGTCCAGGTAAGGATTGTTCAATTTATTGGAAGAATAGGATAGCAAAAAATTTCTAATTTTATTGGTATAGTCGATGATTGCGGAAAGTTTACAAAGGAGGCTGGTTTAGGACTTGAAGGCAAAGTAGCATTTACTGAAGGTATTAATGCTATTTTAGATATGCTTAAAAGAGAGTCTGCATTGGTTTCAGCACGTGATTATACACATAAATATCCCTATGATTGGCGTACAAAGCAACCCATCATGTTACGTGCTACTGCTCAATGGTTTGCTAATGTTGAGCATCTCCAACAAGAAGCTGTAGAAAATTTAAAGCAAGTACGAATGGTTCCTGAAGTTTGTAAGTTTTTCTATTTAACTAATGCCGCTATAGTAGTTCTAATATATCTTTAGCTATCAAACGTTTAGAACAATTTACTCTTTCAAGAAAGGAATGGTGTATATCAAGACAAAGGTCATGGGGTGTTCCTATCCCTGCCCTCTATGATGAACATGGTGAAGCATTATTAACAGAAAGATCAGTTGAATATATCATTCAAATCCTTCAAGAACGGGGTACAGATGCATGGTGGGAAGAACCTGATGATATGGTCTTTGTTGCTCCAGAATATCGCAACAAAACCTACAAACGAGGTTATGATACTATGGATGTTTGGTTTGATAGTGGTACTTCATGGACCTTACTCGAACAGCGTAAAGAAGGAAAGCCTTTAGCAGATGTATATTTAGAGGGAAGTGATCAACATCGTGGATGGTTTCAATCATCTTTGTTGACGTCAATTGCAGTAAATGGCAAAGCGCCATATGGAGCTCTTGTTACTCATGGGTTTGTATTAGATGAAAAGGGAGAGAAGATGTCTAAAAGTCTAGGCAATACTGTAGAGCCGAGCTTGATTACTGATGGTGGCGTAGATAAAAAGAAAAATCCTGCTTATGGAAGTGATGTACTTCGTTATTGGGTTGCCAATTGTGAATACACAAGAGACGTTAGCATTGGTCCCTCCATTATTGGTAATATAATATACTGAATATAATTTTTATATGGTATGTCTTGTCTCATTTTATTTTATTAGCTCAAATTTCTGATAATTTACGTAAAATTCGTACAACTGCAAGATTTTTACTCGGAAATCTTTACGATTTTAAAGAAGAATATTATGTTCCGTATAAGGAGCTTCAGGAAGTAAACATAAAGATTTATAATCATCTTAATGCTTTTCTAAATATTTATATATATTACAGATTGATAAATATATGCTTTATGAACTTTATCACTATAATCAACGTGTGACTAATGCTTATGATGATTTTGCTTTTAACAAAGGTGAATCAATATACAATGTTATATTCTAAAACCTATATTTATATATTATCTTTTTAGCTGCTCAAACGATCCAAAACTTCACAAATACAACACTATCTTCATTTTATTTTGATACCATTAAGGACAGACTTTATAATGAACCTGAAACATCAGAACAAAGAAGAATGGTGCAGACTGTATTATATGAGGTAAGCTTGATTAACTAAATATATCCCAAAACAAAAGTTAACTTTTATTTTTTTTTTTTTAAGGTACTTCAATCGTACACAAAATCCCTTGCGCCTTTTATTTGTCATACTGCAGAAGAAATTTATGAACAGTATAAAACAATTACACCTAAGCCTGAGACTTCCATTTTTAAGACAAGTTGGGTAGCATCTGTAAGTACATCATGAACAATGATATATTTATTTATTTTATTTTTAATTATGTGTATAGAAACAAGAATGGAATGATACTACATTAAATGACAAATGGTCCATACTTATGAACCTTAAAGGGGAAGTTAACCAAATTTTAGAATCTGCTCGACAAGAAAAGTAAGTGCAAATATATTTGTATTCTCTGGTAGTTTATTTATTTTATTTTTGAAGATACATTCGTTCTTCTCAAGAAGCTGATATATCACTATGTTTAAACAAAAATACAAAGTTAGCTAAAATCGTACAATCTATGAAAGGTATGAATGAAAAAGCAAAAGCAAAAGCAAAAGAAAAAAAAACTTATCCAGGTTTTTAATAATTTTATCTGTAGCCTCTGAATTATCTTCTCTATTCATAACAAGTCATGTAAATATTTTAACAGACCAAGAATTAACACAAGGTGAATTTGAACGAAATTCATCAATTCAAGGTAAAGAAATAATAATAGTAGTTTGTTAACCATTACTGATTCATTCCTTTTCTGTAGATGATAACTGTAAAATAATCCTTTCTAAATCGAAACAATATAAATGCCCTCGTTGCTGGAATTATCATTCTATAGAAGAAGATAGTTTATGTTTAAGGTGTTCAAATGTACTAAAATAAAAGTTCTCATGACCTTTTTTTTTTTTTTTTTTTTTTTTTTTTTTTTTTTGTACACATGTAGTGCTGATAAATCTCATCCTTTTCTTTTCTTTTTACTTTTTCTTTTTCTTTTTCTTTTTTTTTTATTCTCTTTTCATCATGGTCGAAGATAGTAAAATAAAACTAGACCCAATAGCATTTTTTGATCAATTGGCAGCCAATTCATCCGAAAAGGATCAAGAGAAAACACCTAACAAAAATTTATCAAATAGTTATTCTTTAGAAACTGTAAAACCCTCAAAATCTGATATCGAACATGATGATTTTCATGAAAAATGGACTAAATTAATAAAAAATTATAAGAAAGAAAAGCAAAGTAAAGGAGGCAATATAAAATATGTATACACAATATACATGTATCTCAATCTATATTAATTACTCATATCTAGTATTAATTCAGTATTTAAGAGATCAGTTAATTGCTCTAGAAGACGTAGATAATGACTTCAATAAAGGAAATATAGAGCTACATGATAATATTGAAAACAAATATAATGAAATATCCAAAAACATATTTAATATCCAACAACAGCTTTATATCGAAAAAGAACAGTTTGAAAATGAAAAGGCTTTACTAGAAGAAATCGAAAAATTACAAGAAGAAAGAGTATGTTTCCACATAGTATGATTTATACTACAGCATCTGTTATTAATTGATATGTGTATGGATTGTAGATAAAATTGAATGTGGGTGGGCAGTTGTATGAGACTTCTTTATCTACACTAAGGAAAGACCCTAATTCGATGTTAGCAATTATGTTTAATGGTAAAGCCGTCGTTTAAAAGCTATATATATATATATATATATGTATACATACTTATATATATTTAACTTGTATTTTTAAACAGAGAATGGAGGAACAATTATACAAGATGCAGATAATTCTTATTTTATAGATAGAGATGGTACTTACTTTAGATTGATATTGAACTATCTTCGAGACTTGAAGGTAAATTATATAATTATATTCTTGTTTATATGTACTATTGTTATTACTGTTATTAGTTACCTTCTCACATTATTAATGACCTTAAAATGTATGTATGCATATTCGACAATACAATTATACATTTATTAAAATAATTTATTTTTTTTTTAGTATGGATGAATTAAGACAAGAAGCACAATTCTATAAATTAAACGGTATGATATGTATAATATTTGCTGATTATTACTCATTATACTTTAAGGTCTATTGAAATTATGTTGGAGTAATTTGCCAGTCATAACACAAGGTAAACAAACTATTCACCTTATTGTTGCTCAGCATTATATTAATAATATTAAAGAGAAATTATACCAACTATATCCACTTCAGCCTTCCTTTAATAATGGTATACTCTGCTATAAACCAGTAATAATGAAGTTTGAAAGAAAAGATCTATCAGGCTTAGACTTTTCAAAATATCATATTGACCCAAAATCAAGCTTTGTGAATTGTAACCTGCAAAACTGTCAGTTTACCAATGCTCAGTTTAGCTTTGATTTTGACCAACAAATAGATTTTTCATATTCATATCTTGTTGGGACTAAATTTCCAGAAGAAGGCACTGTAAATCGTAGTGCAGGTTAGAAAAAAAAAAAAAGAGAGAAAAAAAAAGATAGGATAAAGGTTTTATATTAAATTTTTTGTTTAGGTATTCAATTCAAATTTGAGAATGCCATTCTAAGTGAAGAAAATATGCTTTACTAAAAAAAAAAAAAAAGAAAATAATAATAATTAATACAATTTTTATTGGTTTGAATATGTGACTGGTTTCACTTTTTTTTTTTTTTTTTCATTTTTATGATGAGCTCCAAAAAAAAAAAGCTAATATTTTTTTTTTCCCTCCTTCCTTTTATCTATACAAATATAAGATATGGTACATTTAAACTGCTAATGATTCAATAAAGCATTTATTAATTCTTTTATCTGTTCTTCTTTTTTATTAATTAGCCCCAAAACGAGCATATTGAAGAGCATATCAAACGACATGGTCGTCGTCTTGATTACGAGGAGAGAAAGTAAGCTTAATCTTGGATCATGATTTGACTATACAAAATTTTACTTACATTTACACTATAGACGTAAGAGAGAAGCTCGTGCAGTCCATAAGGCCTCACAATATGCTCAAAAGGTACATGGTTTTAAGGCCAAGATGTTGAATAAGAAACGTCATGCCGAAAAGATTCAAATGAAGAAAACAATCAAACAACATGAGGAAAAGAATGCTAAACAGAAATCAGCTGATGCCATTCCTGAAGGCGCAGTTCCTACTTATCTTTTGGATCGTGAAGGTGAGGATCGTGCCAAGATCTTGAGTAATATGGTCAAGCAAAAACGTAAGGAAAAAGCTGGTAAATGGTCAGTTCCTTTACCTACTGTGCGTGGTATTGCCGAGGATGAAATGTTCAAGGTTGTTAAGACTGGTAAAAATAAGACAAAACAATGGAAGCGTTTAGTTACAAAAGCTACATTCGTTGGTGATGGTTTTACTCGTAAGCCACCAAAATATGAGCGTTTTGTTCGACCTATGGCCCTTCGTTACAAGAAAGCACATGTTACTCATCCTGAATTAAAAGCTACTTTTTGTTTGCCTATTATCGGTGTTAAGAAGAATCCTCAATCACCCCTTTATACCCAACTTGGTGTCATTACTAAAGGTACAGTGCTTGAAGTTAATGTATCTGAATTGGGTTTAGTTACAACAGGTGGTAAAGTTGTTTGGGGTAAATATGCTCAAGTAACAAATAATCCAGGTAAGAATAGCATGCTTTTTATAGGCTTAACCTTTTATTAATTTACTTAATTTTATTTTACTTTAGAAAATGATGGATGTATTAATGCTGTTTTACTTGTTTAAATAATTATTTTATTTTTGTTATAATTGTACATTTTCATTTGATTCTTTTTTTTTATTATTTTCATGACATTATTCCTTTGAAATGATTATTATTAATAAATTTATGTATAGAGAAACATTCCTTTATATACCATCCTGGTCATTCTAATCTATCTTTTAAGGTATTTGTTAATAAAGTGGTAAAAAGTCATTTCATGTTTATAGGCTGTCATTTATCGAAACATTTGAGATGCATTCCAAAAAGGAACTTTAAGTTTTGGAAATATAATTGTAATTGTAGAAAAGAAGAGGTGAAGCAATTTTTTTTTTTTTTTTTTTTTGATGATTTAGCTAAAGCAGTTGATGTTATTCAAATCTGTCATGATAAATGCTATAGAGTTTACTATATTATATGCACATCATTTTCAAATGAAAGCATGCCTAGTCTATGAAATTACAACTTATGAAATCAGCACTAGTTACTTACCGTAATGCTTAAAGCAGTGTTCAACAGTTCTGAGAGGTATCTTTCTTACTTGCATTATTTTATAATATCTTATAACGATCTACCTAATATATCAATTATATATTTATACAAGACATGAATGCAAATAATGAAATTCTCCATTTTTTTTTTTCCCAAAATATCTTATCTTGAGATTAATTGAAAAATTATTTTCAAATAGTTTCTTTGAAACGTTTTTTTCTTTTTACTTAAGTTTGACATTTCTTAGTTAAGTTTACTTTAATAAATATTTAGGATGAGTCTCAAGAAAAAAAAAAACTTTCACAATATTTGATATTGAAAGGCCATTCTTCTTCTGACTAATATATACCAATCATCAAGGATCGATCCTAGTTATATTTTGATTATTATTTATTCTTAATCTTTTATAATATTGAACTCTACAACATCTTTCCCTGCAATTGTTTCGATTTGACTTATAGTTTTAAAGTGGATTATATAGACTTAGTTCTTTTCTTTTTTTTATGATGCTCAAATGTAATTCCTTTAACATCTAATTTCCTTATTAGATAAACTTTTGTTTACTATTAAACATAGCCGTTGTGTTCATATTGAGATACATTCAAAGGATATTTTTACTCTATTTTATTTTATTTTTCTTTCTGGCACACTATCACTTCGATTGAACAAATATGAGCATATTTGATGTATGATGTTGTAGGAGGTAATTTACCAATGTTAAGCGTTGTGACTGTTTGTGACTGTAATACAAAATCTGACAAAATTTGCCTAAGCACTTATTATAGTAGTAGCTTTTTTTTTTTTTTTTTTTTTTTTTTTTTTTTTTTTTTTTTTTTTTTTTTTTTTTTCCTTTCAATTAATTTACAATTAAAAAGATGCTTGGTGACGATACTCCCGATCTGTTTAATGTGTTTAGTGGTGAAGCAATTAATGATAATTTTGACGATGTTATTGAAGAAGATGATTATACTGACGAGGAAGGACAAATTCATCCTGTAAAACGTGCCACTTCTGAAGAATTAGAAAAAGAAATCAAGAAGCAAAAGATTGATGTAGACTCTGAAGAAGTCCAAAAATTTAGAGAGGATGTTGCAAAGCAAGCTGTACCAGTAGTTGCAGATAGTTTTGAGGAAGAGACCTCACGAGCGGTAGCCAACATTGCAGGTCTTCAAAATGCACCTGCTGCAGAAGAAGGTGAAAAGCTTGTTTTGAGCCATGCTGTGCGTCATCAAGTCGCAGTACCTCCTAATTATCCTTATGTTCCTATCTCTCAACATAGACCTCCTGCTGAACCAGCTCGTGTATACCCCTTCACACTCGATCCTTTCCAACGTGTAGCTGTATCATCAATCGAACGTAATGAATCTGTCTTGGTTGCTGCACATACTTCTGCTGGTAAAACAGTAGTTGCTGAATATGCAATTGCTCAATGTTTGAAGAATAAGCAGCGTGTTATTTATACTTCACCCATTAAGGTAAAGAGAATAAGGATCGTATTGATGAAAGAGGCTTACTTTATTTTATCATAGGCATTGTCTAATCAGAAATTTCGTGAATTTACCGAAGAATTCCAAGATGTTGGCTTAATGACAGGTGATGTCACTATTAACCCTCAGGCTTCGTGTCTTGTTATGACTACAGAAATTTTAAGATCAATGTTATATCGTGGTTCAGAAATTATTCGTGAAGTTGCTTGGGTTGTTTATGATGAAATTCACTATATGAGAGATTCAGAACGTGGCGTTGTCTGGGAAGAATCAATTATCTTACTTCCTGATGCAGTCAGATATGTTTTCTTGTCAGCCACTATTCCTAATGCTATGGAATTTGCAGAATGGATTTGTAAAATTCATCAACAACCATGCCATATTGTTTATACCGATTTCCGTCCTACACCACTTCAGCATTATTTGTTCCCAGCTGGTGGCGATGGTATCCATTTAGTTGTAGATGAAAAGAGTCGATTTAGAGAAGATAATTTCCAGCGTGCTATTGCTGCATTAAATGATAGTAAAGGGGATGATCCTAGTGGCTTTCAAGCTCGTGGTAGAGGCAAAAAGGGCTCAACCCACAAAGGTGGTCGAAATGATGGACCTTCGGATATTTACAGAATTATTAAGATGGTTATGATGAAGAATTATCACCCAGTTATTGTTTTCAGTTTCTCCAAAAGAGAATGTGAAGCTAATGCTCTTCAAATGTCAAAATTAGATTTTAATGACGGTAAATGATTACAATTGTATATTTGTATATATAACTTAAAACTAATTCATATATATATATATATATATATAATTAATTAGAAAGTGAGCATGATATGGTCAATCAAGTATTTACAAATGCTATTTCTTCTTTAAATGAAGATGATCGTCAACTTCCACAAATTCAACAACTTTTACCTTTATTACGTCGTGGTATCGGTGTTCATCATGGTGGTCTTTTACCGATTATGAAGGAAACTATTGAAGTTCTTTTCCAGGAAGGTTTATTGAAGGTTTTATTTGCTACTGAAACTTTCTCAATTGGTTTAAATATGCCAGCCAAAACAGTCGTTTTCACTAGTGTTCGTAAATTCGATGGTAAGACAACACGTTGGGTGTCATCGGGTGAATATATTCAAATGTCTGGTCGTGCTGGTCGTCGTGGTCTTGATGAACGTGGTGTAGTTATTATGATGATTGATGAAAAGATGGAGCCTGCAGTAGCTAAGGGAATGGTTAAGGGTGAATCTGATCGTATGAACTCTGCTTTCCATTTAAGTTACAATATGATTTTAAATTTATTACGTGTAGAAGGCATTAGTCCTGAATATATGTTAGAAAAATGTTTCTTTACTTTCCAAAACGACTCAAATATTCCTTCTTACGAAAAACAATTGGCTGAATTAGAAAGGGAAAAGAATGAGATTGTGATTGAAAATGAAGAAGAAATTGCAAGTTATTATGAAATTCGCAAGCAAATAAACACATACACTCAGGATGTTCGAGAAGTTATGAATCATCCTACATATGCTCTTCCTTTCTTACAACCTGGTCGTTTAGCACGTATCAAATATGATGATATGGAATTTGGTTGGGGTGTTGTTCTCAATCACAGTCAAATTAGGAACAAATCAAAAAATGATTCTGATGCTGAACCAACTTATATACTTGATGTACTTTTATACTGTTCTAAAGATAGTTCTCTATCTAAAGATGCTGCTGGTCATACTGTAGGCATCAAACCTGCCCCTGGGGATAATGAAGGTACCCTTATGGCTGTTCCTGTTTCTTTAAATGCTGTTGAATGTATGAGCCATATTCGTCTCAACTTGCCTAAAAATTTACGCAAAAAGGAATCTCTTACTGCTGTATATAAGTCTATTTTAGAAATCAAAAAGCGATTCCCTGATAATATTCCTTTATTAGATCCCGTGAATAATATGGGTATCAAAGATCCTTCTTTCCAAAAGTTAGTTTCTAAGATTGTTGTTCTTGAAAAGACGTTACTTGCACATCCATTATCAAAGTCAGAACAGCTGCCTACTTTATATGACAAATATGCAGCCAAAATGCAACTTATAAACAAAATTAAAGAATTGAAACGAAAGGTGACGGATGCTCAATCTATTGTGCAGTTGGAAGAATTAAAGAATAGAAAGCGTGTTATGAGAAGGTATTTTATATCATTTAAAAAAAAAAAAACTAGAGAAATATTGAAATTAATTTTCCTTTTTGTTTTTTTTTTTTTTTTTTTTTTTTTTTTTTTTTTTAATAGACTTGGCTTTACTACATCTGCTGATGTTGTTGAAATGAAAGGCCGTGTTGCTTGTGAAATTAGTACAGGTGATGAATTACTACTAACAGAAATGATATTTCAAGGTGTCTTTAATGATCTTACTGTTGATCAGTCTGTCGCACTTTTAAGTTGCTTTGTATTTGACGAAAAAGTAGATGCAAAAGCTAAACTTCAAGAAGAGCTTTCTGCACCACTTCGCCTTATGCAAGAAACTGCTCGTCGTATTGTCAAAGTATCAAATGAGTGTAAAATGAATATTGATGAGCAAGCTTATCTTGATAAATTCAAGCCTGAATTAATGGATGTTGTCTTTGCTTGGTGTCAAGGAGCTAAATTCTATCAAATATGTAAAATGACAGAAGTGTATGAGGGTTCACTCATTCGTGTTTTCAGACGTCTCGAAGAACTTTTAAGGCAAATGTGTGCTGCAGCAAAAAGTATTGGTAACTCTGAATTAGAAAACAAATTCTCTGAAGGTATTAATAGACTTCACAGAGATATTATTTTTGCTGCTTCACTTTATTTGTAATAAAATCACTCATTCCCTTTATCCTCCTCATAATTATATGTAAATTTTATTATTGTTATTATTAATAAACAAGTCATTTATATTATATAGTAAATCCTTTTTTTTTTCTTTTCTCTTTTCTTTTTGTAAAATAATAAATTTAATTCTCATTAAGCATGTCTTGTTGAAGCTTATACACTTGTGCATGTAATTCTTCAACTGATATTTGTGCTTGATCAAGCTGCAATATCTTATCTGCAAACTATTAAATATACAGATATAAATTATTGAAAAAAAAAAAAAAAGCTTTCTCGATGGTTTATTACGATCATATGTATTTACCCATAGCAATTTACGATCACAGCTTGCTGTCTTCATTTTATCCTTTTGCTCATAATAGGGTTTCTGAGTACTTTTTGATTTAAGCTATTATAATCCATCATTAGACATTTATCTTTAACGCAACATAACTAATTACCTTATTGACTATTTTATATGCACATGCGATTATCTCGCTTGAATATCCTAAAAGTTGTGCTGTCTGTAATCCTACAAAAACACAAGATAAATTAATAACTTTCCCAAGGAAAATAATAATAATAATAATAAATTACCATAATGATTTTCTGCATTCAAGTTCCCATCTTCAATTTTATATTGGTAGTCTACTGTACAGTCGTTTTTCCCTTGTTTCTACACAAGATGAATTACTCTTTTTGTTTTGTTTAATAGGATATATCAACTATTTATTACATACAGTGACATTCACTTTGAAATGCAAATTAACAACGTTAGGATATATATTCAGTGTACAAGTTAATTCGTGTAAATGGGTTGCAAAGAAGCAGAAAGCCTAATATAAATAGTATATAAATACATATACACACTCACATATACATATACATATATAACAGTATAGTGTATACCTTTGTTCTAATGAGATCTTCGCAAACAGCCGCTGTTATACCTAGTGCATCATTGGGTGAAGTACCTCTACCTAGTTCATCAATAATCACAATACTTGTATTAGTGATATGTTGCAATAAATACGCTGTTTCTCTCATTTCTGACATAAAGGAGGATGTTCCAATATCAGAAAATGTATTATCATTTGCTAATCTTGAAAGTAGCTAATATATATATATATATATATATATATCATTAATAAATGTATACTACTAATACGTATATTTATATATATTAATTCACTCGATCGCTCAAACGAAGACAAGCATATTCAGCTGGAACACTATATAAATATATATATTTAAATACAAGTTAAATACATATGCAGTGGATTGTAGTATATACACTTACAAGGATCCTATTTGAGCCATGATAGTCAATAATGCAATCTGTCTCAAATAAGTGGATTTACCACTCATATTAGGACCTGTAACAAATTGGAAACTGCTAGATAATGAAGCAAATATATCATTAGGAACAAATGAAAAAGATAAAATTCGATCAAGAATTGGATGACGACCCGATTTGACCACCAATGTATTAGAGAATTGAGGACGAACTAGAGCAAAGAGAAATTATAATTATATACAATAAATAGGCTTATATCTTTTACCATAATCAAAGGATAAATTACAAGAAGCAAATGATAAAAGTAGATCTAAAAGTGCAATTGCCTCAGAAGACTTGTATAAAATGTTTATATTTTCCCTAAATTTTTGTAATAACTCTGTTACGATTCTTTTTTTTTTTTTTTTTTTTTTTTTTTTTTTTTTTTAAAAAAAAAAAAGACAAATAAATGAATAAACCTTCCCTACAATAGTATATATTTATTATATCTAATTCATACCTGTCTGACATGAGATATACTTCTGTTAAAGATTCATTTATTCTACTATTCTTTTGAAGCTATATGCATATGCATTATCGGGATTAGTTTTTATATTTGTACTGGAAGAAACTCAAATATACCAATTCAATAGTAGTAAATTGTAAAGTTTTCTTTTTCCTTATAACGTTAATAAATTCAGGAGGTAATCCCTTTTCTGATGTAAGTTGACTGGTAGGCATTGTAATGTAAAACCCATTAGCAGCAGTAAAATAAAGTTTCATTTGCAAACTATAAGTTTCATTATATTGAGCTACTAATTCATAAATATCTTCTGTTGTTTCTTTATAAGTTTGCCTAGCTTTTTTTTTTTTTTTTTTTTTTTTTTTTTGAAATTCTATTTATAACATAATCATGATCCTAATATATAAGAAGAAGAAGCTTACCTACATCTAACAATCCATTTACTCCAGCCTAATAAAATATCGTTTAAATATGTATATGTATACATATATATATAATTGATAAGTAATAAAAAAAATAAATTATAGTTACCTTTACTGCATAACATTTTTGATTTCGAATACCTAGGCTTGTCTTTTGGATATCAACATCTTCATTTACAATGTTGTTAATAGCCTTCTCAAATTCCACTACATGTCATATATATACATATATATATATATTCGTTAAAAATAAGAAATCATAGTCATTTTATATGAAAAGAATTACCAAACATATCATTTGATAATATCTATATAATATCAAAGTTTACATTTAATAAATAATGTACATATATATATATATATATAAACTTTTGTTTCCATCATACTTTACTCTATATATTGTATCCAATAATAAACAATCATTATGATTATTTTCTTTGTCAGAACACTGTACAGTTGCTCTTTTAGATAAAGTCTTTGAAATAGCTTGAATTATCTTTATTGCATGTTTTAAATAAATTAATTGATTCACTTTAGTTTCCGAATGTTGAACAGTAGGTATAGCTTGTTGCTTTCGTTTTGTAATGCGATTTTTATAAGGAAGTTTGATGATGTAAGCTATGGTATAATCTAAATCAGTCAACTGTTTTAAATAGGATTGTATACTGAAAAGATATTCTTCACTGCTACTACTAAGTTGCTCTACAGCATTTAGTCTATCCTCAATCACGTTTAAGGAGCATGGTGGTTGTAGGATATTCATTCGAAGTAATCTTTTGCCCATAGGTGTCACTGTATGATCCAAGACATGTAAGAGTGTATTTTGAGTATAGCTATTGACTGTGTTAGATACAAGTTCTAAATTCTTTACTGTAATTGTATCTAAAAATAATACGTAAGTATATTATATTATATTACAATATGTAATGTATATACATATTTACCTATAAGCATTGTGCCTAAGTTTAGACCGTAAGAAAAAATAGTAATAAATAAATCGCAAAAAAAAAAAGAAAGTACAATGTGGTTTACCTTCTACTCCTTGATATGAAAATTTAATAGTATGATCAGCAAAGGTAAAGCTTTCATTTTCTCGTATATAACTATAATTATTAATTTAGTATTATGTTATACAACTAAAAGAAACCTATTTTTTTTTTCCTTTTTACTAGAATACACCAGAAATAGCAGCAAGACAATAGTATCTATCATAAAAAGAAATGTTTAGAAACAAAAAAAAAAAAAAAAAAAAAAAAAAAAAAAAAAAAAAAAAAAAAAAAAAAAAAAAAAAAAAAACAAAAAAAGATATATATCATTCTTCAGCATACTTTGTAGAGACACCAACAAGCAAACCAGGTATGTCTTCTTGAAGCCCATAAGTACAGATATATTGCTTTCCAATTTCATCATTAAAGCATTTTCGTGGTATAGAATGAATTGAGATAAAAGGAAAATGCATTTTCAGTAACTGACTTAGCTTACTACTATCTTCAGCAGAGGTATCATCATTATCTACAGTTGTTGTATATGTAGGCATTAATATCTCCTGAGGATCATTCAAGTTTATCTTTTGTATAGTTCTAGAAAACGTTTGTGAATCTGCTAACTTTTATCTATAGTTAGTTTTTTTTTGTTGTTGTTGTTGCTCTTCTTATATTACATATACATATTGCTTTACCTGACATATTATAACTTCACAACTATTCATATCAAATATACAGATACCTATCTCAATAGCTACTCCACGACCTTCTGTAATAGCCATAATACGTCTTGGAGATGATGAAATAGATGCTTTCTTATTAGTAGCTACTATACCTGTAGTGATGGGTCGAATTGCTGCATTGTTACTCTGATAATGAGTGGATTGCACTGGATACATTCCTTTTGATACTTTCTCTTTTGTTGTTGTTGTTGTTCATTAGTAGAATGACTTGTTCTATATATTGTTGATGTTTTCAAGGGTGAACCACTTTGAAAACTAGTGTTACTCGTTGGCATTTTTTTTTCCTTTTTTTTTTTTTTTTTTTTTTTTAAAAAAAGAAAGTAAAAGAAAGCAAAAGAAAGTAAAAGAAAGAAAGAAAAGGGCTATGTTTATTACTATATGTACAAAATTATTATTATTATTATTTTAATTAATTGTTGTCTTCTTTTTCCTCTATTTAAACTTGGACCCCATATTTTGACAGTAAAATCAGCCGAACAAGTTGCTAAAATAGGTTCTGTAGGATGAAAATTGACTGAATAAACACGATCAGTATGACCTTCTAAGCGCTGCATCAGTTCAGCCCTGTCTTCACCAACATTATAGAGATAAGCATATGGATCCGCACTGCCTGTTGCCAGTAAAACACTCTTTTCTTCTTTAGGCTCATGTGTATCAAATAAATAATCAGTTGAATTATTAGTAATTAAGTCTGAGTCTGCATAAACGCCATTTGCCATAGATGGTTTACTTAAAATAGATGAATTATCTATTATAAAAAATAGTTAGAATCCTTCTAGAAAAAAAAAGAGAAAAGAATAAATTATTTCCTTACATCCACTACCACAATAAAATGATGATTTAATAGGCCAATTTTTATTCTTGAATCCTTTTAATGTATGAACTAAACGAAGATCTGATTTAGGAGGATCCATACCACGATCATATACTCTTAATACTACACACATATAAACCAGCAGTTAGTTTAAATAAATACACATATAAAATATAACCAACCAATTAATTAACTTACAATTGTCATAGCTATTCAATGCCATATATCGAGGTTCATCGTAATCATCAACTACACATTATCCGTAATAAGCGTCTGATATATATATAAAATGACAAGACAAACAAACAAACTTACTTGCTCTTCTTGATGCATCCGTACTTCTTCTACCGATAGAAATATGAGTGATTGGCATTTTTGATGGATCATTCAATTTAGAGGATATACACTGTTCTAGTATCAAACTATTAGTTTTTTATTTATGTATTTCCTTGGATATACTTTACTTGATCGAACATCCCATACTTTAAGCATGCCCATTGCATCACCTGTCAATACATGAACACCATCTCTTGAAGCATATAATGTATTTATCATAGCATCATTTCTTATGATAATGGATGCACTTTCTTCTGACCGAATATCAACCATAGCTAATACTTTCCTTGATGTACCGTAATAGAATATATTGGAGTCTACAAAATCCCAACCTACACATTGCACAAGTCCCTCTGTGTCATAACTTTTGTTTAATTTCCCACTTTCTACGTCCCATGTTTTACATGTTTCATCAAATGCTCCTGATAATAGCATAGATGAATCAGATGTCCATGCTAATCCTGATATATTTAACGTATGCCCCTTTAAGCAAAACATCTACAAGAGTAGGATTAAAAAAAAACACAGTTAGTTCTATATATAATGATGCATAGAAAATAGTTAATGTATTTTTTTTTCTTATACCTCCTTTTGGGCTGAAGCTGTATCCCAAATACGAACTGTTTTATCAAATGAACCAGAAGCTAAAAGTGCACCATTAGGAGAGAATTCTACAGTATATACAGCACCTGTATGACCCTAAAAATAAAGTAATCAATATTGTTAGGAATTCAACAATTCAATTCATTATTTACCTTGAGTTCATAGCGCATTTGAAAAAGTTTCCCGTCTCTTGAATCAAGAGGATAAACTAAAAATTGAACAAGTCAATAAAGAGAGCAATTAATTACGACATTATATAGATAGATTTATATTTATACATTACTTGATTGAAAAGGCTCCATGTCACCACCTGCTTCTTGTACAACTTTTGTAATCATCTCTTGTGCTTTATTATTGTTAGTTGTTGACATTTCATTATCAATGACAAATGGACCTGGTCGATAGGTTAAGCCGCCTTGGGAAATAGAGGCAGCATATCTAGCAGATAAGTCATAGATGCTTTTCTTTAAAGCTATATTTTCTTTATCTAAAATATCGACTTTTTGCTTTAATTGCTTTACTTCCTTTAGTAATTTTTCTACTTGTTGATCACGATTGACGCCTGCGCCCAACGAAGATGACGTGGATGCTTTAGCTGATTTAGGAGGTTGTCTTTGAGTAGGCAACACATCCATAATGAGTAAAATTTATTACGTATATAGTTAATTTCAAATTAGAAAAAAAAAAAAGAAAAAAAAAAAAAAAAAAAAAAAGAAAACACATATAGTAGAATATAAGCAAATTGTTACAAAAAGTTAGGCCAATTATTGTTTTTTAAGGATTTTTAATTTCAGTCAACTTGTTTTTATTTTATTTTTTGCTACAACGTATAAATAAAGACAATTGCATCTATGACGACTATGACAGTTTACTATACTAAAAGTCTTTTATCCTAAATTATCAAAAAAAAAAAAAAAAAAAAAAAAACTTGCAATTTCACGCAAAATAATATTTATTCTTAAATATGCCAGGGACAAAATAAACCAGCAGGAATAAGAAATAGGATTATTTACACTCAATATAAAACTAATTCCTTCAAGCAAAATTATCGAGAGTAGGCATGATGATATTTCTTTCATAAGATAGTTGATTTTAATAAAAAAAAAAAATAAGAACATTAAAAGTATTTAAATAGCTGATAGAAAAAAAAAAATTATTAAAAAATACGAATGCTACATTCTACTGAGAGATATAAATTTATAGTGAGCTACTGAGCCTCTATCAAGAGAAATCAATTTCGAATATCATAAAAGAAATAAATAGGCCTTTCATCACATGACGTTATTTTAGGATATGAATTTGAATTCAATCATGTTTATTTACAAATGAATGACTTGACTTTTAATTTGATTATTTTTAAATGACATAATGATAACAATTTGTTGGCTAATTATATTTGGTTAGAATAGCGTTCAATTCTGACATTCTATTTGAGTACACATTGAAGAAGAGCAGTTAAACTTAGAAAGACAACATTGATGATATTAGTATGAAGGACTTTGATAAACAAAGGACTTGTGTTCGTTATAAGAAAATATTTTCTTCTGATAGCTTGTTTAAAAAAGAGCACTATAGTATTTTCTTTTTTTTTTTTTTAATGGACAAACCCTCTAGCTTCTAATACTTGACTTGGTGGCTTTTAAAGTTGGTAATCAACTGGTATGAATTGCTTGGTTATTAAATGAAATACCCACTGTCTGTTTCATTACTTTTGAGGATATTTCATTTATAATTTATTTAAGCAATTTTACTACTACTCACTCATAAATAGTAGTCAGTGACTGTTGAATGTTGATATTAGATTTATTTTACAATAGCCCAATTAGCTGCTTTACACGAATTTCTTCTGGATAATAGGGGAAACTACCTTTTTTTTTATTCTTTTTCTTAACGTGTTTTTCAGATGTATAATTTACAGCAAAGAGCCAATGTAAAAAATAAAATAAAATAAACTAAAATAAAAATGAAAATAAAAAACTAGACTAGAAATCGAATATATACAAATATATATGTTGTATATAATAAGCTTATTTTTTCTTTTCTTTTCTTTTTTTATAGAACTTGTTTTCACTAGCTTTATCAGTTCTCGGAACAGTTTTAGCTGTTGTTGCGATTATTTCAGCTATTACAGGTTATGGCACTATTGAAGATGAACTTAGAGTAGACTCAAAGAACATTAGAGTGTAGGAAGAGAAAATCGAATATAGTATTTATGTATTGTTAATGATGTATTATAGTGTCACCCGTAGATATGGACCTGAAAACACAGATTATCGTAATAGTAAAAGTGAATTTGCTCGATTCCAGTTCGATGTTGATGCAGGTAATAAACCACCATCAGCACAAGTTTGAGAGAATAGATTGATAATTCTTCGATTGTATACACATACATACATGCATGTATATATATTAGATTTTACACCCTTATTCAACTGGAATACTAAACAAATATTTGTAACTGTTGTTGCTGAATATGAAACAAAGAATTTTGTAAAAGTCATTTAAAGTATATATATTTTTTTCTTGTAATTAAAATTCTAATGGGCTTTTTTTTTTCTACTTTTCTTTTTTCTAGAAACGAAATCAAGTTGTTATTTGGGATAAGATTATTACAAGTAAAGATAAAGCACATGTCAAATTGCGAAATATACGTAACAAGTATGCAATGATTGACATTAGTCAAAAATGGAAGTAAGTGAAGACATGTTGTGTGTATATTATATATATATGTATAAAGCCAGTTAATCTATTATTATTATTATTATTATTATATATAGCTTTGAACGTGCCAATTTGACACTTTTATGGGATGTTACACCCTATGTTGGTATTCTTCAAAGTGGTCATTCAAACAAAGGATCACAATTTATTTTACCTGCATTTGCCTCACAAATGAAATAAAACGATATTTTATATAAGCCATGCATCATATATAATTTTATTTTATTTTATTTTACTTTATTTTATTTTTTTTTGATTGCAATATTATTATATCATATAAATTTATTTATATTTACAAATTATAAGGTTTATTTATTCTTCCTTCAAAGTGACGGATTGATTAGTCATGGTGTTTTTAGCGTCAGTACCTGTAGTTCCTGTCTTTGCGACGAAGGCTCTAGATTTAGCATAGGTATCATGAACAGCTTGAGTGGCGGCATCTTGTGCCTGCTTAATACCTGTCTGAAGTAGAGCTTGACCCTTATGAAGTTGAGCATCAACAACATCCTTATTACTAATATAAAGACGAGGGAAAGTAAAGGCAGAGATGACGACGCCCAAGATAATATTCATGGTGGAGACATGAGCGGAGACCTTCCAGATGACAAAGAAGATAGCCATCCATTTCATACTTGTAGATGTATTTTCAATAAAGATGATACGAGTTAAAGCACGAACAATAGTTTCTGCAACATCAGACAATATAGTAGCATATCGGCCAACACTTTGCTTATCAAGCATAGTATAACCATCATGTTTAATTACATCACTATTGAATAATAATAAATTGTTATTTTAATGCAACCATTTTTTTTTTTTTTTTTTTTTTACCTGTAAGGATGAGAAGCCTCTTGATTGGCGAGGATCTTTCGGCTTTGAAGCATGACATTGACGTAAATCAAATTAATACCAATAGCTAATGTAAGTAAAGAAGATCCAATTTGTAAAAGAGAATACCAACGAGTCAAGAGGATTGAACCAACAATCAAGGCAAGAATAGAACCAGATCGAATAGGATTCTTCCACTGCAAGATGGAAAGGACCTCATTTTCAATGCGATAAGTAGTTTCATTACGTTGGCTGCTGCCGCTGCCTTGGAAGTTTCTTGTTAAATCGCGTTCAGCAACAGGAGAATCAGGAGATTTCTTCAGATTATTAGAAAATTCAGATTTTGGGTGTTCAAAAGGGAAAGCATTGTATTGTGGCTTTTGTTGAGCTGTTTGAAAGGAAGTATCGGTTACAACTGGATTTTGTGTTGTGTTGTAATCAGGGAGGAAAGGGTTAGCGTTAGTTGTGTTAGGGATAGCAGTTGGAGCAGTAGCTACAGATGCACTAGGAGCAGTAGAAGCAGGAGGATTAAAGTCATTTTCTTTTTGATGAAGTATATTCTTCAATGGTGCTTCTTGATAGGGAATTTCTCCTTGGTTTTGATGATGCATATTTTTATTACGTTCGTTAGGAGGAGTAAGAGGTCTTCGGGGTGCGGTAAATGTATCCATTATAAAAAAAAAATAAATAAATTGAAATAAACGGGGAAAAAAAAAAGTTAAATAATAATTTTATTAGAATAAGAAACTTTTTTTTTTATTACTTTATTCCCTTGCTTATATACCTTTTTTTTTTCTTTCTTCTTTTTGCATTATTAAGTCTCTTTTGCATAATCATGATATCACTCGAAGAAGAAATCATAGTTTTACCATAAATGGAAAACACCGTCACTATCGTCATTGTGATTTTTTTTTTTTTTTCCTAAAATTTTTAGTTGTGATATTTTAAAACTTTAACCCTTTCAAATAAAAACAAAGAAAAAAAAAATAGTCAACAGATCGTCATGGCAGCCACAAACGAAAACAATAATATGAAAATTGAGCAGGTTAAGATTACAACTCATGAAAAACGTGTTGCAACTCATTCTCATATTAAAGGTCTTGGTTTACGTCCTGATGGTACAGCAGAACCCATTCAATCAGGCTTTGTAGGTCAAGAAAACGCACGCGAAGTAAGTAGAGATTATTTGAAAACAAAGAAAAAAAAAAAATAAAATAAAAAATAAATAAATAAATAAAATATTTACAATAATGGTATAGGCTAGTGGTATTGTTGTTGAAATGATTAAAAGCAAAAGTATGGCTGGTCGTGCTTTATTATTTGCTGGTGCTCCAGGCACTGGTAAAACAGCCATTGCTCTTGCTATTGCTCAAGAATTAGGTCCTAAAGTACCCTTCCGTCCTATGGTGGGCTCTGAAGTTTATTCAAGCGAAATTAAAAAAACGGAGGTACTCATGGAAAACTTTAGAAGAGCTATTGGTTTACGTATGAAAGAAACAAAGGAAGTTTATGAAGGTGAAGTAACTGAATTAACTCCTGAAGAGACAGAGAATCCTTTAGGTGGTTATGGAAAAACTATTTCACATGTCATTATTGGTCTCAAGACAGTAAAGGGAACAAAGCAATTAAAATTAGATCCTAGCATTTATGAATCTATTCAAAAAGAAAAAGTGACTGTTGGTGATGTTATTTATATTGAGGCTAATACTGGTGCTTGTAAGGTAAGATGACAGTAATTATGATGTTTAGTATTTTATTAATGTTTTGAATAGAGAGTGGGACGTTCAGATGCATATGCTACAGAATTTGATTTAGAAGCAGAAGAATATGTTCCCTTACCAAAGGGTGATGTTCATAAGAAAAAGGAAGTTATTCAAGACGTGACTCTTCATGATTTAGATGTTGCTAATGCAAAACCAGAAGGAGGACAAGACATCATGTCAATGATGGGTCAACTTTTAAAGCCTAAAAAGACAGAAATTACTGAAAAACTTAGACAAGAGATTAACAAAGTCGTTAACAAGTATATTGAACAAGGTACTGCGGAACTGGTACCTGGCGTTCTTTTCATTGATGAAGTGCACATGTTGGATATCGAATGTTTTACATATTTGAATAGAGCCCTTGAATCACCTTTATCACCCATCGTTATTTTTGCTACAAATAGAGGCATGTGTACTATTCGGTAAGTGACTTTTTTTTTGATACGAGTGTATAAAATATTAAATAGTATGTTTAATAATAGTGGTACAGATGATATTGTTTCTCCTCATGGTATTCCAGTAGATTTACTTGATCGTCTTTTGATCATTCGTACTCTTCCTTATACAATTGATGAAATTAAAGTTATTATTACAATTAGAGCAAAGATTGAGGGATTAACAATCGAGGATGATGCTGTCGAACATATTGCAAATGCAGGCATTAACTCTTCTTTAAGATATGCTGTTCAACTACTGACACCTGCTAGTATTCTTTCTGAAATTAATGGTCACTCATCGATTACTTTGGATGATGTTAAAGAAGTTGATGATTTATTCTTAGATTCAAAGAAATCAGCTCAACATTTAATGGAACAAGAATCACAATTCCTTGCTTAAAAGGAAAAAAAAAAAAAAACGCACACATATATACACATATACACATACACACATACATTTGTATAAAATAAAACGTTTAATTTACAAAAAAAAAAAAAATGATAATAATAATGATTTTAAAATTTCACAACCTTCTTCTTTGCAGGCATTGTCTTTTTAATAGCTTCAATTTTCTTTTCCTTTTTTTGTTCTTGATTCATCTTTTGTTTGGTTTCAGCAAATATGTGATAATCATCATCATCAGCTCCTTGATCTAAACTGATCATGCCTACAGCTGTTACTCCAGCTTGTTCTTTTGTTACAGGACAATCTTTAGCATAATGATCTACTTGATGACATATTGAGCAACTACCACCATTTGGGTATAATCCTTTTTCATTCTTTGGGCATTGACCTGCTAAATGTCCTTCGCCATTACAAACAAAACATGTTGCATAAGGAAGTTCATCTACGGAAAATAAAGACGATGGGGTTATTCAATTGTATATATATATGTATATGTTATAACACTTACTTCCTTTTCTTGCTTTTTTACAATCTTTTAAACGATGCTCAGTACTACCACAATTATAGCAAATATTGGCATGTTCTTTATTTTGTGGGCATCGATTGATAGAATGTCCAGGTTTTCGACAAGCAAAGCAAACATCTCCTTTCCTATTCCTTTTATTATTATTATTAGCTTGAAAAAAAAATGGAGGTTAGTTTTTTTTTTTTTTTTTTTTTTTTTTTTTGTCGATTATATACAGAAAAAAGAATTTTTACCTCCATCGTCTTCTCTACGACGTTTTCCTTTAAAAGATCCACCTTTTTGAAATTTATTTCCGTCTGTTCTATTGTTGCGTGGTAGTAAAGGTGTCACTTTAAATGCGTCGTCAGACTTTACAAAAGTTTTTCTTTTCATTTTAGTATATCTAGTCATTTTTTATTTATTAAATATAATCTCGAAAAAAAAAAAGATAAAAGAAAAAAAAATTAAATAATAAATGTGTATAATATGACATTCGAACTAAAATAATATGAATGAATAGGAGATCTAGTACTAATTTTTGTGGCTTAGAGATATTATTTTGGTTTCTTGTATTTCTGCATAAAACAAAAGTGTGAGTTGCAACCAAAGATATACACTATATATACTTACATCTTCACTCTGTAGTCTCATCACAGGATCTATTGAGCTTCTTAGTGCTGTCAAGATATGCTGAAATGAGGCTGTGAGGCCAATCATGGGCTTGATGACAGAAATTGGGACAGATCGTATGACTACCTTATTTTCCGTGGTTGGTGCAGTAAAGACAGCGGTCTGTTCTGAAGTAGCCTTATTTTGCTCTGACTGGGAAGAAAGGAGAGGATGGTTATGATCAGTCATGGAGGCTGTCGTCGTATTAGGGGATGAAAAAAAGCCATCCGCATGTTCAAGGATAAATTGTGTACCCGATGCCATTTTTGAACTAAATTTAATTGCTTCAACAGCCGTTGCACGAGCAAATGATGAAGTGCCTCGTTGAATCCCTTTTACTATTCGACCATCTTTTCGGTATTGTTGAATAGGTAATAAGACTAAATCGGCTACGCCTGTACTTAAATTCATAAGAGATCTTACTGGTGAGACACCAGAGACCATCTTAATCTTTTGAGTATTAAGGATATGAGGTAACCATTCTTGACCAAGACGATCCAATAGATTATCTAAACCATGAATACCTGTGAACTTGAGATGGTTTAGTGACAATTGTGATCCATCAAGACGAAACAAGTTTACAAGCTCTGCAATTTGTCCTTCTCTAAAATTTTTTAGGTTGAATGCTTTGGGCTTATAATCAACCTTGAGTGTAACAGGATAAATGTCCACATATTCTAAGAGTGAATAAATAAATATATTTATGTATATATTATTTGAGATAAAACAGTAATAATAACAATAAAAAAAAAACCTCCTCATGTATTGATAGATACTTACGAAAGAATAGACCAGGCTTGTTTGTTTGTGGTGAACTCTCATCTTCACCACCACCACTATCACCACCACCACTACTACTACTACCACTGCCACTTCCACTATTGTCTTCATTTTCAGGTGTTAAGATTGCTTGATTCGCAGCATAGGTGGACCTTAAACAGGATGTATCAAATGAAAAATATTTTTGTAAAAATAGCATGGCATCCTGATCTACATAAAGACGTAAAGGTAAAACTTTGACCTTTAATCTAAACTCTTGCTGTGAATCGTTTTGAACAGGTCTAAGGCTAATTAACTCAACATCAACCATACAGTCATCTCTTTCACGTTCCTCAGAACTCATATAACCCAGGAACTTTTTCCATGCTGATGTTTGGATATGGTCAATGATCTCGACATCCTTAACAAGTAAATGCCAAAAGAAGGCAGTGGGATCTATAGCTGGCATCAAATCAAAGTCAAGGGAGATGGATGTCAATTTTATCTCGATAAGCGGTGTATTATGCGGGGGACCTTGATCAGTTCTTATATAATTCCATTCATAACCATCATACAATTTCCAAATAATATTGACGTTAGACATACGCAAGGAAAGAAGGGCCTTAGTGATGTCTACTGGAGATTCTGAGCTATTGACTTGCCTTTCGACACCAAAAAAATCCTCAATCACATCTAGACAATGTTTGGCTTCATCCTCTGGAATGAGTACTCGAACAATATCATCTGATGTAGCACGATGCCTGTTGCGACGTGGCTTTGGTGGTCTGTGATCATGTTCTGCATGATAGAATTCCTCCACAAAGCTGAATTCTTCCATATCAGGCATATCGATCAAAGTAGGTGGTGAGATCTTGATCGGATTAGACTTGAAAGCTGTCTCATCGATACTAGCCAACATGTCATGAAATGGGTAGGTCGGACGGGGTTGCGGTTTCTCTTTAGATGATGACGGTTGTCTTTTTATACAATCTCCATCATTAGAGATATAGGTCACTAAATTCAATAAAGTTTGGAAGGCATCTGCACTGACAGCTACAATAAGGTCTGTACTGACTAAAGATAGATAAGCTGAAGGTGCAGGGAAATGGGTATCTAATTTTAACTTGAATTCAAATTCCACATTTTGAAATGCTAATGTATTAGTGAATCCTAAAGTAATCCAATAATTTCTTGTATCACTTTTTTTCCCCTCAAGTAATTCATGCACTTGAGTCAAATTCAACTCATTCCTATCATCAACAAGATAAAGTTCAGTACTTTGAATATAAGTCTTTATGGTCATGATGGGCTGTCCAGCAAGTATATCAGTGATGATTTGGATGCCATCCAAGATGATAACAGCACGTGAAGGACTATAGATAGGTTCATAATCAATGGATGTTTCTAGAATGCATGCATATACTTTAGTGTATTGTGTAGGGGGGTCAATGAATACCATCTCTTCAGGTGCCTTTTGGAAATCAACCAGCTCCGTGACAAAGTCAACATTAAGCGTTGCTTTCCAACATAAATTACAGATGACTACACTTGTTAATTTGGTAAGTTTGTTAAGTTTAGGAGTTGAAGATAATTTTGAAATTAGGGAAATCATGGATGTGCTTCGTTTAGACTATAGTCATAGGGTAAGTATAAGAGTATATATATATGTATAATAGTAAATTTTTTACATGAATTTTCTTGGGTATAGTTTTATATAATAAATATATTGGTTCTGTATTAGATATATCAAATAAATCAAGGTCCTCGATATCTAATGTTGTAATATTTTCATTCTTTCCTAGATGCTTGATAGCAGCAAAGTATTTGAATTCAGAAAACTGAAGACGATATGTATGTTCTGGAACAGTCGAAATATCCCAAACACCATTAGACATACAGGCTACAATAGAGAATAAACTTGGCATTTGACTAGAATCATCTTCATCTATTGGCTCTCCTAATACTGAACTTGAAGAAGAATGACCGTCATGATTCGCAGGGATTGTATCTTTTTGTCGAAGCAAGAACCTAGGTTGCCATAATAACAAGTCATTCTGAATAATTTGAATCTTATCCCATAATGGCTTTGTTAAGTTCATATCTGCTTGTGGGAAATGACAATTGATAGCAAACATCTAACAAAAAAAGAATTTAAAAAAAATATGTTAAATAAATGACATCTTCTCCTTACTGAAGTTTCTATTGTTCTTTGTTTAAAAATCATTGCTGATTCAGCTTGCTCATCCATAGGTAGATGTAATTTTTGTTCACTATTAAAATTTTCATTTTTACTCAAAAAATTGAACAAGTTATCTGGGATATCAGATCCTGCACCAAAATAACCAGAACGAGTCGATGTGGTAGGATAAATTTGAGAGTCTTGAATTGTAATTTCAATGGTAGGTGAAAGTGTATCAAAGATTTGATTTGATTCCTGTACTGTTTTCATTGTAAACCAACATTTTGCCATTTCATCTGGGATACATAAAATAAATTAGAATGTTCAAGAATTAAAAGGTAAAGTTAGATTTACCTTCTGTATGCTGCATAAATACATTGATATAGTTTAATTCAATGTTTAATTTATTTGGATGTTTACTTGGCTTATTACTAAAATAATCTTCACTTTCTATAGAAGATGAATGATCGTCCATGACTGTAGAAGACCAAGAACCTACTAATTTCTTGATATCGACACTCAATTGACTTACATGTATACGATCATTAAACTCTTCTCTTGTAGTAATTTGACTCATATCCGGCACATTTAATAATACTCGAATAAATGCACATCGAATTCGAACTTTTTGTTTTTTTATATTTTCTTGTATCTCCAAGTCATCAAACACAGATTGTCTACTATCAATATGAATATTTAACCTGAAAAAAAAAAGACAAAAATAAATATACAATACCTCCTTTCTGAATGACTGTGTGTCCTTTCTTTTGTTTGTTTGTTATCATCTATTATCACATTGACATAATTCTCTAGTCTATCCAAGGTACGTGGATCAATTATTATTTTAAATGGCTGTATATCTACATTAGTGTCTTGTTCATCTGACACTACCTCTGCAAATGTTTCTTGCTTCTGTTCTATACGAATACGTACAGAGTGATCTTGACCAAGATCAGACTTGGTGTTTTGTGGATAATAAGCTGGAAACTTGTCTTCATGTCGATAGTCGTGCTTGATTCTGTTATCAAATTGAATGATGGGAATGTAAGTTTCGTATTGAGTTTGAGAACGAGGGGATACAAATGCATAGGGCTTAATGAAATGACTAGGTTTAGCGATCCATTCATCTAAGCCGATATTAGCTATGCGAATATCTATTATAGAAGATGATGCTTCTGGAAATCTTTGAAGCCTCAAATTTAAATTTTCAATAGCAAAACGAATATGGTCTCTCCTTGGTTCCATGATGGGCGTATTATCAGTGAGTAAAAAGATCTCTATGAGTGGCATTTGAACCTTAATTTTTTGCTCTAATGAATAAGATGATGATGGGCCACAAGATGATAAAGAGATGTTAGTGGGTTTATAAAGAGATGGCTCTGCATATTGTTTGTCATTGAACATATCCAAGTCCTCTAGTAACATATTTGTAGTTGTTAGTGGTGGCTGATTTATTTGAGATGAAAGAGCAGGTACTTTCTCTGAACTCTCTTCCATAACAGACATTGTATTTAATAAATTCATAAAAAAGGCAATTTGTATAGGCGATAAAATAATTTGAATACGAGTGATAAGGAAATCAATTTGTTTGATAGACATATTATCTACAGAGGATCTTAATTTCAATCGAATCCAATTCTTTTCATCCAAAGTTGTGAATAAAAGAGCTTCGTATGGCTGTTTAGAGGCTTTAGAGGTAGTAGAGCCGTCATTATTTGGACAGTAATAGCTTTGAAACAATGTTGAATCTCCTTCATTTGCCTCAAAGAATTGCGTTTCTTCAAGTTCATTCTCTGAAATCGATTCACGCAGCCAAATTTGAGGTGAAGCCATCGTGATAATTTTAATTGTTTCGTTTGCAATGGATGGCATCGAATTGTCTATTGCACTTGTGTTGAATTCAGGAGTTTCATCAAAATAAGATATCCTTGGTATAGATATATCCACTGATGCTGATAATACAGATGATTTGTGTGTAATACGTACAAGTGTATCGATCATATCGACCTTCACTCTTGAAAGCATTTTATCAATCACTTTGGTAAGTACCTCAAGTCCCTCTTCTCGTTGCTGGAATGATTCTTGAAACTCTTCTTGACTGTCAACTTCAGTTCTAAGGAAATCATCTGCAAAATGCAAAGAAGATGACATAATATGTTCGACATCCTCCTTTGCTGTTGATGGTTTTTTCGTCTTCTTGGTTGGACAAAAAGTTAAATGTAATCCTTGAATCTTGAATGAAATATCGCCGCTTAAAAGCTTTGACCAAGGTATAGATGCCTTTATCATTGCCAGACTTCCTTTTTCAAGTATAAAAGGTGTATCCATTAGTAATTTGTTTATAAACTATTACAACAATCAACTTTAGTCTTATATGTATGTGCAATTTGAAATAGTATATCTTACTTGTAAATTCAAATCTAGATCTCTTAATTCCAAATTACCATTTATAAGTGCTAAATCAAAGTTTTCGAGATCAAGTTCCTTTTGTAAGAATTGTCCAATGGCTTTTCTTAATACAAATTTATATAAATGCTTCTGAATCCTCTTTGGCAAAGCAAAGTTTGTCCAGCCCGATAAATAATCCCAAGCTTTCATGTATGTGTGTATGAATGTAGACAAAGAATGTTAAAAAGTACAAATTAGGAATTAAAGGAGATTTTATCAATAAGTATATGAATATAAAATAAAGTTTAACAAGAATAATAAAAAAGTGTTTATGCATGTGTTCATATAAAGAAGAATTATCACATTTATTATTATTTTTTTTTTTAAAAAAAAAAAAAGGTCTTCTGACCTATAATAAATCTTATACAGTAAGAGTAGTAGTAGCAGCAGTAGCAATGGTAATTTTGTAAGCATGAAAAAAAAATTGCGGAGAAATTAGATCTGTCTGCTTGGTTCAATGTCAACACCAGGTCTAAATACATTCATTTGCACTCTATCCTTATTGACAGACTTCTTTTCTACTGGGCCAAATCGAGAAAACGGCCATAGAATATGTGTTACTTTTGCATTAATAAGAGCGATTGGAACCTTATGTATATAAAATAGAGAAAAAGCATACATGTAATATATGAGGAATTTAGATTATTTAGTTTTCATTTGTGCATTTCTTACGGGTCCAAATGAATTACTATCTCTTGAATGAAATGCTTCATCACCCTCTACCCAAACATGGCCTTCTGGGATAGAAACCCATTCATTTTTGTTGCGTAAAGATTGTACCCTATCTCCTGGTAAAGCCAATATTCGTTTAGTAATTATACATTTTGGATTGATAGGTGATCTAAAAGAGAAAAAGTTATTTTGCCGTTGCCTCCAATTATGATAATTTACATTAATGTCACGACTTGTCCTCTTTCAAATTGATGATCTGTGGTTGACCACTTGTCTAATAATACGATGTCTTTTTTCAACATGCTTGAATCTGGATTAAATGTCGGCTTTTATATATATATATATATGTATGTTATTATATGTTGTTTACATGTTATGTTGCATTTACCTGCATGGATCTACCAGAGATGACACCATAGCTATAACCATGATCTACAAAGAATATAGCTACCGGCATCCATGTGAGTGCTGTAAGAACTGAAGAAGTATATGATTTAGCTCTTAGTCTGGCAAATATCATTATAGGAAGAAGTTTGTTATAAAAAAAAAAAAAAAATATGTATAGATATACCCCGTCTGAGTATATATAATCCCCCCCTCTCTTTTTCCAGTAAATGAATCCGTCTTGATTGATGGAATAGCTTCCTATAGATAACCTATTCATTATGTATCTACAAAATATTTCAATATAACCAACAAGAGTATCATAAGAAGCATTTTCTATTCTCAAGGTTAAACCTTCTTTTTTTCCCCTAAAAAAAAATAGTTCCTTTCTCCTAAGCTTACTCTTTAGCTACTATGAATTAAAACTGTTCAATAGGATTCAGGTATAGAAGATATGTCCAACTATACCCATACTTTGTAATATTTTCATAAATGTATTTAGTGATTGTCTTTAATTATCACATGCTGAGCTATAGTAAAGTTAAATTAAATGATTGGTGCCCTTAGAAATCTTTTCAAGTAATAATACTAAATTGTTTACAGGTTATAATATTAGTCATGCCTATATACTAGTCATACATAACACACATATACATATTGTCTTTTGTCTAGTTCTTTTATAATAGGGCAAGTCTTTACAAATATACTTTGATTCTGTACTGGTTTTTTATGTGTGATAAAGTATTTTGTTATCTATATATTTATATAGTTTTTTATATGTAAAAGAAAGAAAATAAAATAAAAGGCTTTAGAGTGTATATGTATCGTCTTTAAATCTTTTTTTTTCACGCTATTTTCTTTTTCTCGGTAGTTTTCAGGACCAAGAAGATCATTTACAATAAACAAGACTAATTGTCATTTATATTTTTAACTTTTTTTTTCCATAAAAGAACAGCATAGTCAGTTAAATATGCTAGTGTATATGGATATATAGTTCTTTCTTTTTATCTAATATATAAACTGTGTTATCTGCTTTGTGAATTATTTCTCTAGTCTTCAAAAAAGTCTTTTATGATCGAGAAAGGGTTATTGCCAAAGAACAGACTCCACATTAATGTTCAATCTCCGGTAAAATAACTCATAGTAATATGTTAGTCTGATTCTGGTACAACCCCCCCCCGCCTCCCAAAAGTAATAATCTGTTCAAAGAGAAAAGGGTGCTGCTTATTATGTCCCGCCCTTGCTAATTATATTTGTTTGCCATGGTAATCTTTTTTTTTTTTTTCCTTTTTTTTTTTTTCTGAATTTAGTCATAATATAAATCTCATTCTTTTATTATAATTATTCTCTCTATTCCTTTACAGTCATGTCCTTTCTATTACGACCTTTGAGAAAAACAATTCTTTATACGAGTCAACAAGTTACAAAGGTATAAATGAATGTATAGATTGACAGTCATTTTTTGACATTATTATTATTATTTATTTTTTTTTAAGAGACATGCACATAAAAAAGCAAACATTGAGGTTCGATTGAATGAGTATATTGAAAATCTCGGACTTAAAGGTAATATTATAGAAAACTATTCAAATAAAATATTGATATTGATATTTATACTAGATGAAATTGTTTCTGTTAGACGTAAAGTATATCATAACAAAGCTTAGACTACTACTACTACTATTATTATTTTATAGAGTTGACCTTATTTTTTTATCTCTCTTTTATAGCTGGATTGATGCGTAATATTTTGTATCCTGCTGGTAAAGCAGAGTATATCAATAAAGATCAATTATTAACAAAAGACGACATGAATGAAGATCAAGATAAAATGACAGAACAACAAGAAAAATTAAAGGTAAGTCACTGGTCTCCCTCTTTTTTTTTTTTTTTTTTTTTTTTTTTTTAAAAAAAAAATAAGTTATTTACATTGATATTATATTAGTTACAATTGAATAAATTGAATATGAAAAAGAATGAATTATTAGATAATTTAGAACAAATCCAGGAATTAGAATTTAATAGAGCAGTTGTGCCGAATAGCCATCATACATTCGGATCAGTTACGGCAGAGGATTTAGTTCAAAAGATAAAGGAGAATTTTGGTTTGGATATCGATAAATCAGCCATTGAATTTAGTAGTCAAGAAGAAGGAGGAGTAGGCCGTATTAAATATTTAGGCCAACATAAAGTCTTTATTCAAGTTAACAGCAAAAGAGTAGAAATTAAAGTCAACGTAAAGCCAGCAAACTAAATCCTTTCTCCTTATTATTGTAGTAGTCGTCTCTTTCTCTCCTTTTTATTATCATGCGACTATAAATAAAATTGATTTTTTATATTTTTTTTTTTATTTTATTTTATTTTATTTTATTGATAGAAGGGTTTTATTATTGCTCTTTCCTTTTCCTTATTTCATACATATCTATTTAAATGGGACAATTTACTAGTAAAAAGAATTTAAAAAAGAGAAAGTTTTTTAATTCTACTGTACTTGGTTATACATCAAATTACGATAATAATAGAATCAGTCAATATCATAGAAAGGATTCTGGTTTCTTACTGTTGAATAACAAAGATCAAAAGCATCTAATAGAAGAACCAGAGACTATCTTTACTTTCAATGATTTATTAGACACACATCTTTTATATAACATACAGGACATTAATCTTTCAAGAATGAAGTTCAAATCATTAACTTCGAATATTGGTTTATTAACGATGATTACCAAGTTAAACCTGTAAGTAAACTACGAGTGTATGTGTATGTGCATGTAGATGTATATATGTACACTTGTATACATGTACACTTGTATACTTACTTGTATTCTCACTTACTTATCAGTCATTTATCTACTTCTTTATTATTAGGTCTTATAATCAATTATGTGATATACCTGAATCAATTGGCTTTTTATATCAACTTGAAATACTTGTTCTTTCACATAATCAAATTCAATCTATACCGGACACAATCGGTCTACTTTCTCAGTTATATGAATTGGATTTATCTTATAATCAAATTCAACAATTAACACCTTTTACAAGTCAATTAAAATCATTACATGTCTTTGATATCAGTCATAATAGACTTGTGACTTTAACTTCTCGTATTGGTGAAATACAAACATTAGCCTCCCTTGATATCTCTTATAATAATCAATTAAACTATTTACCTGCTGAAATTATTCAATTGCCCTCTCTACGCCGACTTGATTTAGATGGATGTGTATCGTTCAGCCTTCATCATCACCACCACCACCACCTGAAACATGATCCACCTAGTCTATTAGAGACCTGCGCTCGATATATTGTAAGGAATGAAGATCAATTTGTATCAAATGATTCACACAGCATTCAATCAAAAATAACGACCAGACTCTTTAACTATCTTTGTCAATATGAACGATGCAGTCATTGTCATCTACCTTATTTTGAAAGCTATATATCAAAGATACGTTGGATTGAAAGGAATGAGACGATGTGGATTCCAATCGAATATCGATTATGTTCAGCTCATTGGATAGATGAAAGGGATCGTTTATATACTACCTTTTCAACTAGTAATCATAATAACGCTACAAAGAAGATAAAGAATACCTTATTTAAACCGAAATTCATATTAAAAGGAAATGCTGATCATCAAAGGACTATCACACGTAGATCACAGCAACAAAAGATACGATCTTCATTTAATAATACAAGTAATCCGATCAATAATAATAATAATAACACCTCCTCTTTTAATGTAGTAGTAGATCAGACTTCTTTTCTATTTGATTCCTTTACTACTACTACTCTTGCAGCCTCCTTTGAAGATAAAAAGAGGTGGAAATTCTTTACTCGAAAAGGAGATCAGTCATTATTAAAGCCACGTCGTTTGTGTTCATAAAAAAAAAAAAGGAAAAACTTGACTTATGTTTCATTATATGTGTATAGTAGTAATAATAAATGTACAATAAAGGGCTCATTCTTTCTCTTTCTTCTTCTCTCTCTCTTTCTCTCTTTTAACATAACATGTTGTATTTATTTAGTAGTTAAAAATGAATAAAAAAAAAAAAGAAAAAGAAAAGAATTCATCATTCAATGATATTGAATTCCTTGTAGTATTTTCACATGATAGTGTCATGGTATTTGTTTATTGTTATTTCAAATATGGATTTTTTTTCTTATTCGTGAGTCAAAATATAATTTCTGTTCTTGCTTAGTATTATTATTATTATTTTCATTTTTAATGATTTTTAAAAAGTTATTAAATAAAACACTTGGAAAAAATAATGGTCAAGAACCAAGATCACAAAATAGTACCTCGAAAATAAATATGGATCTTGTTTCCAATGAACTTCTTTCACGTCATTTCTCACCATTACCTATAAGAGCATTATCGCCTTCTGATGTACTTGATTTTGTTGGATATCCTATGGTAGCAAGAATGATAGGTCAACAACAACGACTATTAGACAATGAGTCTATTTCTCGTGATTGTCATTCACGAGATCAAAATAGAAATGCATTTTTATTAAAAGAACCATCATCACCCAATAAACAACCAAGCATTATAACTGACAATACTGCATTGTCATCATTACCGAAAATAATTCAGCAACAAGTGAATGAAAATCATCATCATCATGACGGTATTCCTGTTACTACTACTATTACTGCTGCTGCTGCTGCTGAAAAAGAAGAAGATAAAATATTAATAGAACAAAATAACTCAGAAGACGATGAAATTAAAAAGCTAAACAAAAAAATAACTGAGCTTGAACGACAAATACAATTTTGGCGAGGGATAGTAGGGAATATGAAAAAAGAAGAAGAAGAAAGTGATCCTAACATACAACAACAAGAGCAATCACTACAGTTACCTAAGCAAAGAAAAAGAAAGCAGTCAGAGATTCAACAAAGAAGGAAACCTTATCGATACTATTCTACTACTACTACTACTACTGCTGCTGCTGCTGTTGCTGCTTCTTCTTCTTCCTCTTCTTCCTCTTCCTCCTCCTCCTCCTCTTCTTCTTCTCCTCTAAATAGTGCAGCAGTTATAGATAAACATCCTTATTATGTGATACCTATGCATAATAACTTATACTACAATGATTATGAAGACTATTTTTATTATAATAAGCGAAACAGTAGATTTCAACATGCAGTAGTGGCCATGAAAGATAATGATTATAATGATTATTATCATTATTATTACTATTATTATCATTATTATTTACCACAGCAGGTATTTAATAGAAGAATGAATAGAGTAAAAAGCAATTATTATAGTCGTCATATTATAAACAATTATAATAATAATTATTATTATTATTAGAAAAAAAAATAGAATAAAATTTATGGGGCAGTAGTAGAAGAAAACACGTATTATTAATGCGGATTCTTTTCCCAGTTTAGAAGGATTACCGCGGTCAATGAAATTTTTGTACTGCTTTAATCTTATACCTACTATGACTACTACTACTACTGCTACTACTACTGCTATTAACTACTACTATAATTAAAAATAAGTTTAAAATAAAACTTGTTATTATTTCTTTTTTTTCTTTTCTTTTCTTTTCTTTTCTTTTTTTTTTTTTATTATCGCCTCTTCTTCTATTATTTATTTATTTATTTTAATATACCAGGGATGGCACCTATTGATAATACATCTGCAGACCCAAATGCTCCTTTAAAGAAGAAGCCTATTTCTTATAAAAATTTACTTTTAGGTGCATGTAAGTAGTATATATAACAAAAAAAAGAAACCTCTTCCGTCGAAAAAAATAGATTTATTTATTTACTTTTATTATCTAGCATTAAACTTGTTTGAAGTATCTACATTGGGTCAACCATTTGAAGTTATCAAAACACAGTTAGCAGCAAATCGTCATCAATCTTTAGTAGAAGCTTTAAAGACTGTTTATAGTCGAGGAGGTCTACTTGGATTTTATCAAGGTTTAATCCCGTGGGCATGGATTGAAGCATCTACAAAGGGTGCTGTCTTACTTTTTACTGCTTCCGAATTTGAATATCATGCAAGGGCTGCTGGTGCATCCCCCTTTGTTGTAAGTAAACTTGTTGGGAAGAAAGAAAGAAAGAAAGAGAGAAAAAAAGAAAAGACTTTTGAGGATATACTTATACTCAAAGACATATACATATATATAATAGGGTGGCATCATAGGTGGTATGGGTGGAGGTATTGCGCAAGCTTATACTACAATGGGTTTTTGTACATTTATGAAAACCGTTGAGGTCACGCGTCATAAATCAGGTAAATAGATGAGCCATAAACCTGAATAGTTAAATTTTTATCTAAATCTTTTGTTTGTTTGTTTGTTTGTTTATAGCTGTAAAGGAATCAACATTGAAAATTGCTCGAGATATTATTAAAAAAGAAGGTATCGCAGGTATTAATAAAGGCGTTAATGCAGTTGCGGTTAGACAATGTACAAATTGGGCTTCTCGGTTTGGTATCACACGATTCACTCAAGAATTCATTACCAAGACACGGTATGGTGATTCCCCTGACGCTCATTTGCGTACAACTGCTTTAGATAAAGCATTGGCATCTATTGTAGGTGGTGCTTTATCATGTTGGAATCAGCCCATTGAAGTCATTCGAGTTGAAATGCAAAGTCAATTAAAGACAGTAGATCGACCTGAGAAGATGACCATCGTATCCACTACAAAATATATTTATCAAAAGAATGGCTTGAAAGGTTTTTATAGAGGTGTTTTACCTCGTATTGGCTTAGGCATGTGGCAGACGCTTTGTATGGTAGCACTTGGTAATAATAATAATAATAATAATTTTTTTTTTTTTAAAAAAAAAAAGAAAAACTTTAATTATTTCTAATTGATTGTTGGCTATTATTAGGTGATTATTTCCGAGCACTCTTTGGTACAAATTAACTATATTTTCCCCCAACAATAACAAAAGAAAAAAAAAATCCCACATTATCCCGACAATACCATCCTACTACTACTAGTAGTAGACAACAATAAAAAATACATGTATATTTGTATATATTATATTTATATACATGTGTGTGTATACATCATATAATCAATAGCATCTATATTCTATTATTATTTAAATTTTGTTATTTATTACATAATACAACAATCTGTTATGTCCTTTTGAACAACTCTCTTAATCATAGGCCAATCACTTCTACAAGCAGCAAATTCAAATAAATCTTCTACTCTCATTAAACCGTGATATCGTTCTAAATCATGAATAAGTAATTTTATATCAGTTGCTGATTCGATGATATAAAGATTAGCGAGCGATTTGAGTGCTAAAAAGTAAGGTGTAATTGTCTTTTGTTTTAAAGTTAATATAAAGTCATAATAAGCGTTCATATCACTAAAAAAAAATAAGTAAATAAGTATAAGAAAAAAAAAAAAAGTATTTGAATTATCATACTGTCTTTACCTAATGTATCTAAAGCCTCCTGTTTCATTTACAGTTTGTGATTTTAAATGTTTACATAGAATTCTAAAGTAAAAATAAATAAATAAATAAATAAAACACAATAGAACAGATTTCTTCTTTGTCTTTTTGTTTACTCGAAAAATCTTCTACTAATTTCATTAAAGAATAAATCCATTGTAGCCTTTTCTGCTGCACCTACTAACATGGAAGTATTTGTCTTTAAACATTGAATTGTATCTTGACAAGCCTAGAAATAGATGCATATATAAAATGAATTCTTATAGAAATAGACTGGGTTTTTTTTTCTTTTACCTTTGTGGGTTTGAGGTCGGGTATCATATCGTTGGGTGGATTATAGTCTTCTTTTCTTTGTTCATGAGTTAAAATGAATTCTACTTGTGATAAGAGCACCTGAATACCACGATCCATTCCCTGTGCTACACAATCATCTAACAATCTTTCAAATGACTTTTTTTCTTTATTCACTTCATTCAAGAAATCAAGTTTATCTACATTTTTAGTCTATATTTTATATATCAATAAAATAATTTATATCCATGGATACTTGAGATTTTATGAAGTCGGGAGAATTACTTACGATTTCTTCGTCATAATAAAGTTGAATCATTTGTTGAATAACGTCGGCTACATGAACAAGTTCAAAGAACTCAGTGAGTGGTGGCACATCTTCATTAGCACTATCCATGTTAGGCTTATAAGAAGATAATCGATTGGATGCACTATGATGATAAAACATGAATACATGCTTCAAATTTTTATTTTATTTTATTTACCTTTCAAAACCAGGTTGAATATGATGTTGACCTAATAGCTTTAATAATTGAATAAAAATATGTTCATAAGTTCTATGACTATATACATGTATATTAGTTTATATCATATAACACACACACACACTCGTATCCTATTTACATATCTGTTTTCATTCGTCCTGGAAATCCAATATCAATAAATTGTTGTAATCGTCCTTCAGATTCTTTATTCACATGAATTAATTGTAATGAAGTCTCTAGCGAAAGATAATTTTGAAGCATATCTAATTCTTGTCCTACAAATTCTAATTGGCCTCTAATTTCTTTACCATAAGCGACTGTAGGTGATCTTGGTGGATCCAATGAATATCGATTTGTCTTGGGTGTGGAAGGTGGTGTCGATTGAGGTGAAGCGATTAAATCAATAGAATTAGCTCGTTTCTCATTTAAATTGGCATTCTTTTGAAAGGGTGAAGCAATAGTCGTTGCTGCAGTGGATACTAAATCAACTGGTAATATGAGTACTTTTTTAAACGCAGCTAAATAATTTCTACAATTCACTTTTTTTTAGAGAGAGAGAGAGACGACATACGACTTTTTTTTTTTTTTTTTTTTTTTCTACCTTTTAAATGTTTCACGGGTTTGATTTGTGAGACGTGTAGAAGTGTCTGTATTTCCTATCACTCGATTATTCTATCAAAAAATAAAAAGGGTTATAATTTTCTTTTTCTTTTTTTTTTTTATACAGTTCATTTTAAGCCTATTTTACCCATTCTTCAATATATTTTTTAGTCGTCATTTCTGCATAGTTACTTTCTTCATATAAATAGTCATCTAAAAAGGGCAGTAAAAGTTTGAATAATAAATTAATTCCGCGGTCAGTTTCAATCTTGCTTGGTGAATCGGAGTTATTTGTAAAGATATCAATCATATTCTTGCTTAAATTCAACACGTTTGACATAGTTATTAAATAAAGATGAGTACTTTTCGATATAGCTCTATTTAATAATTGACTAACAAACTCTGCAATCTTAAAAGAACATAAAGAGTGAGTGATATGTGTGTGTCATTTCTGTTCTTTTTTATTACCACATCCTCAAATACTCGATCTACAAAGATATAAAATACATCCATTTTGGTAGGAAATACTTCTGCTACTACTGAGGATTGCTGTTTGAGTTCATCTGTAATAAGAAGCATTAACTTCTTAAAAGGTGTCAAATCATCATAAGACATCCTTTTATAAAATAAAATAAGAGATAGATTAACAATACGCAAATAGATAAAGTTATGAGCTTTACACAAAGTTATCTTCTGGTTTGAAAGGATTATCATAAAACAGAGGATGCTTTTGAACGTAAGTTTGTATACAGGTTAAACCTCCATTCAAGGCAATTAAAGCATTTGCATAAGACTATTATACACAACCATAAGTTTTTTTAATACCATACAAGCATTTTTACTCAAAAAAAATAAAATAAAATAACTTGCTTGCTTGCTTACTTACTTTCATTTCATTTATATTATGTACATCATAAGCGACCTCGAATTCATGAAGTGATGCGCTTTCAAAATATTGAGATAATGCATTCAAATTTTCATTAATCTAATCATTTTCAACATTAACCGGAAATATTATTTTAAACTATTCTTTTTATTATTATCGTTATTTACCTGTTTCCAATCATCCACAACATGACATTGTCCCAAGCCAATTAATAAATTAATGACTTTACCACATTCTTCGGGGTTACCACCAAAATCATGTAATACTTTAGTCGATTCTTTATTTCTATCTCGCAAATCTAAATAATAGGGTATCAACTGTGTATACAACTGTTTGAATTGTTCTTTTGATCTTCCTGTTGATTTTGCTCTTGCTCGAGCACTGTAAGGATCGGTGGACATGCCGAGAATGAGCGTATTTAAAGGTTTATTGTTAATGTATATTGTATTTTCAGAGTCAATTAAAGAACCCTTTGTGTTATCATTATCTAACTCAATATACATTGGTTAAACATTTATATAGAAATATGCCTCCAGTATTTCAACTATATATTTATATACCTGCTAACATGGCAGCTAATGGTCCATGATCATTCTCCAACATGACCTGCAGTTTATTATCCCAAATTTCATCATCATAAGCTAGTACCTTGAAACGTCTCGAAGTTAAAGCAACATTAACCAAAGCATAAATAGGTAAATATTGAAATATTCTAATCAGGACGTCAGGCGGGATGGAACGACCCGATTTACTTTTAGCTGCATCTGATAAAGAAACTTGAACAGGTTGAATAGGCTGTGATGTACTTATTAGATTATCATAACCAGTTATTGGTTCATCATCTAACAAACTCATTTATGTACCCTGTATGAAACTTTTAAAATAAAATAAAAAAAAAAGAATTATTTTTTTTTCGTTAAAAGATATTATCAAAGATGGATAAATTTTAAAGCGTAGTATTAGTAGTAGTAGTGTCTATAGTCAATTTTATTATTAAATTTTTATTTAATAATCTATTGTTTTTTATTTTATTTATTTTTTTTTCTATTTTTCATTTTTTTTTTTTTATTCAACTTTTTTCTTTTCCTTCTGTAGACTTCGAATGATGGTTAAGAAAATATATCATTCACAAATATCACCACCATGCTTTGACTTGGCTAATTTTCCAGTGACTGAAACAATCAAAATGTTGACTTGTTTATTAGAAAAGATTACAAAGGCTAATGATTCCATCATTCAACAATATTCATTGTCGTCATCATCATCTTATACATGTTTCCATGCTCGCTCAATTCCCAGTATTGATATTTATTCCTATTTAACAAGAATACTTAAATATTGTCCCTGTACAAATGAATGCTTTCTAAGTTTGCTGGTCTACTTTGATCGCATGTCACAACAAAAAGATGACCCTTTACGCATTGATTCATTTAATATTCATCGATTACTTATAGCTGGCATTATGGTTTCAAGTAAATTCTTTTCTGATGTCTTTTTTACAAATACACGATATGCAAAGGTAAGGAAACGAAAAAAAAAAGGAGAGAGCAAAAGAGGGGAGTAAAAGAGAGAGAGAGAAAAAAGGGGGGGCAGCAGTTGGAGGGGATTATATTTTAATAATTATATATCTTGTAGGTCGGTGGATTACCTGTAAAAGAATTAAATCATTTAGAATTAGAATTTTTTCGAATGAATAATTATGATATTTATGTATCCTTAGAAGAATTACAACAATATGGAAATCAATTATTGATGCATTCACTTAGAGTACAACAATTAAAAAAAGACAGATCTTTACTTTTGGATCACCCAATTAATAAGAATCAACAACATGTAATATATAATAAGAATGATGTATGTAAATAATGTATATATATCTTTCTACACACTGTAATTGAATATATACACCACATCTATAATAATAATCTTGAATGAAGAAGAAAAAAAAAATTATAATTCCTTTATTTGTACATATTTGTAATAAACATACAAGTTTGATAAATACTACATTTCCCTTATCAAAAATAGTTGGTGTGGGACCAATAATATAAAAACAACAGCACTGCAAAATTAGACTATACACTAAAAGGTTAACCAATTAATTTGATGACTTTTTCTTTTAGTCTAAGAAAGAAACAGACAGACATATAAGCTTCTTTATACATATCTTTTGATTGTTGATAAGCTATTCATTCATTGAGGAGAAGAATGCTTTAATAGTATTTCAACACATTAAAGCCCAAGTGTCCATATGATAGGAAGGACTATAAATTATTAAAAGAGATATTCCCTGGATATATTGAAAGTGCTCAAGCCAAGTGTATCGATTCCTCGTTATGATCATCTCAGGTTTAGAATAAAACTACATTTAATAAATTATTACTACAATAAATGCTTGGGAAACAAAAGGGATAAGAGTGAAAAAAAAAAAAAAAAAGGGAGGAATATCCTTGATCTGATTCTTATTATTATAACAATAGAAAACAAAAATTACAAGTTTTTCAACCAACTACCTTGTTTCTTATAAATACTCTCCCTTCTTTTTTAACAAATGACATTAAGGCAGATGGACACAGTCAACATGAAAATAGACTTGTCTACCTTAAAAAAAAAAAAAGTTTACCTTCAAGATAGTAAGTAATTAGAGTTTGCCTCTATTATAAACAAATCATTTTATTCTATACAACAATCCTTCTATATACACTATTATATTTCAGAATATGAAAATATGAAAAAAAAAAGAAAAGAAAACAGAATTCTTTTTCTACAAGTACACATGTTAAATATTCAAGAAAATAAAAAAAAAAGGTATTTATACAATTCAAGACACAAGAAATTGAGATAAATTATACTCTCTGTATTCTTGCATCTTTTTATGAAGCTCTCGTCTTAATAATTGTCGAAATATAGGTAAAGATCCATCTTTGTCCCATCCTGGATCGTCTTCCTTATTCCTCTGAAAGAAAGAAAATAGATACTTAATATCTATGCATTATATATATATGTATATACTTACAAAAAGAATATTTGTCATGTAGTTATCATACTTGTACAGATTCATTACATAATGCAAACAAAAGACTCCACAATCTGTAAAATTTTTTTGGCCGGGACAAGAAGAAAGAACGATATCTGGCTCAATAAAGTTGGATTCAAGTATATTCAATTTATGTAAAGCTTCCATTTTCAAATACTTTAATAGTACCTTTGCCGGTTTTTGCTTGTATAAATTTAAAGGATCAAGTACCATGATATATGGTCTAATGAAAGCCGATCAATATATGTATATAAATATATATATATATATATATATATATACATGTATATAACTTACTTTTCTCGATCTAATACTTCTCCGGCATAAAGTACTTTACTTTTATGTCCATCCTCACAAGTATCTTTACTATTCGGAATACAAAGACTAGGATTCACGACAAGAATGATAAACCAATGATTGTTTTGAGCAACTGGCACTACAACAAACTTCTTTTCAAAAATATTTATATTAGCAGTCCATCTTTTAACAGTGTCATATTGGATTGCTGTTGCTGCAGATCCAGATAGTTTTGTAAAAAAGAATGAGCTAAAAGTATGAATATTTGTGCTTGGATAATCATTCGCCCAAATCTTGGGAAAGATATCAATCAGGGTATCATTCAAATAAGTTCCTTCATCAAGTCGACTATAATCTCTTTCGTAAAGAGTGATGGAATTTTTACCGTCAAAGGGATACATCAATAGATGCTCATCATTCCCAATAGGCTCTGGCTTATAATCATCCATTTGATCGTGTAATGTTACTGTTATTATATCCTTCACAGGAGATGATGATGACTTTAAAGGTACTTGAATAGGTATAGGTGAAGATGTTTTAGGAGACGTCTTTATAGGATGCGTAGATCTTGTAAATGATTCATGACTCGTTGCTCGATATTTACATTTTTCTTTTTCATCATCCATGTCAAGATGAATAATTTCTTGATTGACAGATGATAAAGTATCTCCCGTCATCTTAAGACTTGTTTTCTGCTGCTGCTGCTGCTGCTGCTTCTTCTGTTGTTTATCAGCATCTTTCAAAGGAGATAATGACGGTTCATCACGAGTCGTATTCGCTTTTATTCCACTATTTTGAGAATTAAATAATAGGGTATTATCTGTATCCTCTTCCTTGGGGATCTTATCTTGATTCATATTTAAATACTTTTTAATTAAATCCCTTCGTGCTGCTTGGCTTGTACGTTCAGATAGTCTTTCAATAAAAGACTTTTCCTTCACACATGAGCTATCATTTATCTCGGCATTTTGTTTAGTTGAAGTGGGAGATGTTTCTTTAGGATAGGATAAAATGGGTATATTCTGTTTATCACTTTCGTTGCCATAGGTCACTATCTCATTTGAGCCCTTTTCATTATCTATTTCATTTTTTGATTTAAGTTTCTTATATAAACGACTTCCCTCAACGCATGCATTATGTTGATTTTGATTTGAATCTTCAAATGCTCTTTTATCTGAATATAATCTTTTAAAAGGTGACATTAACTTTTCAGGTTCTTTAGATATCTTGATGGCACATTCAGGAATTTTTCTAATAGGTGATGTGGATGAGTCATATTCGATCATAGGCGTTTTATGAATTTTTAACGGAGTCATCAAGGTTGTATTGATAGGTGATCTCATAGACCGCCTTCGTAATGTCGTTGAATCAGTAGAATTTAATGTATGCTTTCTTGTCTTGGTTTCATCCGACTTATCTTCTTCTGAGGGATGTTGAATTAATCGACGTTTGGTTGGACGTCTGATGATACCAATTTCTTCGTCAGATTCGAATACTGCTTCATCATCTGAATTGATTTCAATTACTTCAGCTCTGTTATCTTTCATTTTAGATGTTCTTAATCTAGAACTAGAACGTATTGGCGCATTACTATCTGTAGTTGTTTCACTATTTGAATGCTCTGATATCGTTTGACTCTATAAAAAAAAAAAAAAAGTAAGATAAATAAATCAATAACTCTTTACATATACATGTATTAAAAAAAAAGAAATACATACATTGATTTCATTTCTTTCTCTTCTAGTAGTATTGCGTGCTATATAAATATATAAAAGTCGAATTTAGTAAAATGCAGTTTAATTTATATTAAAAAAAAAAAAAATAGATTTACACCCATATTTTGGATTATAAATTGATTGAGGTATTTTTGTTGTAGTAGCAAACTAAAAAAAAACATATATTATTAGAGTATTTATTATACTTTTTTTTTTTTTTTTTTTTTTTTTGAACAACTTACTGTAGGATTGATAGGAACAGAGATTGGATTTCCCCTTGATCTAAATTTTTTATTAGAAACGCTTCTAGTTGTCCCTATATTGGACGCACCACTTTCATGGTGTTGCTATTGTTTTTTTTAAGTTAACTTTAATAATATTCTACAAGAGTGTAACTATTGTATTTACATTAGATGAATTGTCACCAGATCGATGAGTTGAGATGCGTCTCATTGTGTGCCCTTTTTTTTTTTTTTCTTAAAAAAAAAGAAAAAGAATAAAGATGTATGCTAGAATAAAATTAAATGATGATGTGACAATACAATTTTTATAAGCGTGTGATAAATACGTGTATAGATAATTTATATGTAAAGAAACACACAATGAAAACAAAGATAAGAAGCTTTCTTTTTTCGTTTAAAAAAAAAATAAATAAATAAAAAATAAAAAAAAATAAAAAAATAAAAAAAATGAAAAAAAATACATACGCATATAAAATAAATGAATTTATTAAAAAACGCTGTCACTTTTTTAAGAATTTGGGAAATAAATGAATATAATCTTTTATGATAGGCTCATTCTCGGTTAACTCTAATGCAAATAAAAGGAAAGATTTCATTTCCTCAAATTGACCTTGCTGTTTCTTGATTTGAGCATATTGATACCATGCCTCGGATGAATTCCAACCTAATCTCGCTGTTAATTGTTCCATCATGAGGTCTGCGATGGCCAACGACCATTGTTGTCTAGCTTGTACTACTTGACTTGGCACATGATTTGGATCCAACATGAGTGCCTTTTCAAATGCATCTAAAGCTATCTGTTTTACCTCTTGCATCATTGACTGATGATGATGATGATGATGACAACGACGATCTGTTATTCTTTTAGAAGAAGCAGAAAGATCCTCTTTTGCAAAGATATCATACACTTGAAGGTTGAGTTGACCTAATTGATACCATACATTTGGATCATCTAAAGCCACTTCCTCTGCCTCTCCTAATGCTTTATTGGCTTCCTCTAATAGACCTACTCTAATGAACGTCCTTGCTGACATCAACCAAAGGGTGGCCAAGAGATGACGCCATCGTGCTCGTCTTCGGATCTCCGTTCCTGGACTGTGTTGAAAACATGAACTGACAAGAGGGGTCCCCCTTCTGATGTCTGCTGTCATCGCCTTCCTCTCTTGATAACTTCGAAGAAAGAGTGAAGAAAGAGAAGAAGAGTTGGACTGTCGACCACTGATGTTATTACTACTACCCTTAGAATAAGAAGGCGAAATTAGAAATGTGAATAATGAATCATGACTCGGTAGAGGAGGTAATGAAGAGTTCGCTGTTCCAATCCTACCTATAATCGTCACTCCCTCTTTATTCTCCCCTCTCTTTTTCCCCGATGTAGAGGCACTATAAGATCGACGAGGAGTCAGATCATGACGCATTGAATGGTATTGTTTTCTACTATCTCGATGATAAGAGGATTTTCTTTTGGTTGAATCCTTTTCTGAAACAAGCATCATGTCAACAGATTCAATATGAGAGGAATGATTCACTTCAACAGAAGAAGATCGTGGACGTCCTAGAAGGCGATAACTTTTATGACTAGTAATACTATTGGCGATGGATGTAAAAGAAGAGCGTCGAATTAACGAAAAGCTAGAAGACTTTTTCCTTGTCTTTTTTATTTCAACGCCAATGTCAATATCATCATCATCTTTCTGATTATTCTCTTGAGTCTTTAGGTCACCATTTAAATCAATTCCCAACTGTTTTGATAATAAAGTATAAATACTAAACAAATTTTCATAATGTTTCATTGCTGCTTCCGCTCCTTCTCCACTTTCAATCAAAGCTAAGCGTGTCATGTTCATTAAAAGATAATTTTCAGCTCTGTCAAATGCATCATTGACTTGATAGGATGATAAAGTAGAAAGATGAAAACCAGTATTGTTATCATCATTACTACCTTGTTGTTGTTGTTGAGATAGTAGTAATAGACCAGCCTCTATCACTTCCTTCGCCTTTTCAAGATGATCTATTGTTTTACAAGAGTATAAAAGGGCCAAAAGATGCCATGAGGCGATAAAATGAGGATTGATTTCAATAGAACGTTGAATAGAGACAATAGCATCATGAACGTGATGTGTCATGGTCTGTAAGAACCCTAAGCCATAATAGCTCTTCCAATCTGTACCTACATTCAATGCAATAGCCCTTTGAAAGAAGTCATTCGCCCTTTGATGATATCCAGTTCGTTTAGTAAGTCCTTCATCTGATTGAATCGCCAAGAGTGTATAAGAAGAACCAACTAGACGATAGACATGAGACTCAAGAGGTAGAGATCCCTTCAGTTGCTGTAAGAACCCAAGACAGAGTTCGGATAGATAAACAGCAAGTCGACTATTTTCTTCCTCATGACCATAGAGATAGATACTATCCAGTAAAATCTGTATCACTCTCTCTGGACTTTCTTCCACATAAGTAGATGATTTTCGAAATAAATGAGATCCTCTTTCGTTTGCTAAAAAAGATGGGTCAGAGGAGGAGGAGGAGAATAAGAGTGTAGCATCAGCTTCAAGTTTAGGTAGATCCATCAAATCAAGGTAAGATTGAAAAGCATATTTCGCTTCTTCTAAACTACCTAATCTTATCAAGGTGTAAAACATGTAGCGATTTATAGTAGGATGATTAAAAGTAAGCTTCTTGACTTGATGCAAAAACTTGTATATGTATATGTTAAGTATGTATATAGATAGATATAGATTAATTTTATATATATAATACTACCTGAAGTATTTTTCGTATATGTTTGATTTCACCCCATCCAATTACATCATGGGAGTTCATCATGATATGACAAAGCGACATACCATACTGAGCTTGATCTTCAACAGAAAGATAAGGCGTTATAAGAGTAAATAACTGTCTAAATAAATCCATTAGTGTGGATAGTTCATCAAAGGCATTCATTTCAGTTGCTAGACTAAGAGAGTGTTGTGTATAAGTCATTTGAAGCATGCTATCTTTTTTTCTTTAAAAATATATATATATATATATATATCCTATTACCCGTTCGAGTTCTTTTTTACTGCAATATAGGTGTCATCTTGATAAATCTTGATCATATATTCTGCATAAATCTTGAATAAAACCCATCTTTTAAACATATGCCAATGAGGATTCCAATAAGAAGAGGCAAGTTGTAGATAAGCACTCATTAATGTGAGTATTTCTTTTGCAGGATGACTAGTGTGTATCACGTATACAAATACATATATATATGTATATATATATATATGTGTGTGTGTATAAGCAGAATAATTATAAAATAATAATAATAATAATAATAAAAAGGAGAACTTACTTGAGTCTCAATTTTAATAAACAAGCACGATAAAGACATTCTTCAAGCCAAAAGGATAACATGATGCCTTTTTCATATGGTAGCTTAGATTCAACCATGTTCCAGGCAGCTTCATATGTTTCAATAGCAGCTTCAATATCTTCATTTATCTCTAAACAAATTCCTTTCATCGTTCTTGCTTGAACTAGCCAAATCAGACCATAACCTGACTCAACATCCTCTATACGTAAAGCCAAATGTTGTAAAATGTCTAAAGTATTTTGATATTGCCCTGATTCAAAATAAATCCTTGCCAATAAAATTTTAGAAAACTAACAATGATAGGGAAGTTAGTGCAACCAATAGCAAAAAAAAAAAAAAAAGGATGACTAACCTGAACATACCAGTCCATTACTGCTGCTGATTCATTCGAGATGATAGGCATGAATCTATCTAAAAGGGGTTGTACGTTGATAGGATCTATACTAGGTGATAAGGAAATACGGTAAGGAGTGTCATGTTGATATATGTCATCGCCCTTTTTCTTATTTAATTTCAGTAGTTGGATGAGTTCAACTTCCGTACAAATCGTCATATTGAATACTATTAACAATCTTTTAATCATCAACTTCTTTTCTTTCTCTCTCTCTCTCTATTTCTCTCCTTTTACCCAAATCATCAGGCTTGTATTTCATATATTTCTTAGTCATTAACTCCTTCACTACAGACCATTGACCTTGACAACGAGCTAAATCAATTTCTTTTAATATCTGTTTTATCTTTAGTTGATCCATTCAATAATAAAAAAAAAAAAATACAGATACAGATACAAATACAAATAAAATTAGATGCGTACTTTTTTTTTTTTATATAACAAATAAATGGTAAGACGATAATAATGATTGTAATACACGTGTTCATTTTATTTAAATAGTTTACCTATAACAAAGGAATACAATACCTTTATTTAAAAGAAAATTACATAATAGTTTATTTTTTTAAAAAAGAAAGAAAGAAAGAAAAGGGCCCTTTTTTTTTAAATATGTATATATAATATAGCATGATTTCAAAATTACGATTTTTTTTGTGTACGTTTATTTCTTTTTATTATTCCTTTTGTGTATTTAATGTTTATGCTCCTCTCTTCAAGTTGTTGGATAACCATTCCAAACCTTCATAGAGACCATCACCTGTAATAGAGAATGAATAAGAATAAAAGAATGAAAATAAAATAAATATATATAACTTACCGCTAGTAGCACAAGTTGTTTGAATGTACCAACGTCTATTACGAAGAGAATGAAGACCAAGCTTATCAGTAATTTCAGCAGCATTCATAGCGTTAGGAAGATCTTGTTTGTTAGCAAAAACAAGTAAGAGCGCGTCACGAAGTTCATCTTCGTTTAACATACGTTGAAGTTCATCACGGGCTTCCGAGATACGATCACGATCATTAGAGTCAACAACGAAGATAATACCTTGAGTATTTTGGAAGTCTAAGAAGGAAAAGGAAAATTAGTATATCATGTACATTATAAAATATTCGAGAAAAGCAAGCAAGCAAGCACACACACACATACACACATTCACACACACACATAAAAGAAAATAAAATGTATCCTGTAAATATGGAATAAAATAAAAAGGCTTATTGGAACCCTTTTTTTATATACAAATGTATATGTGTATCTTTTCCTTTGCATTTTATATACATACAAATATATAAATAAATATATATTATTTATATGTATATAAAATACATATGATACATTTTATTTTCTTACCCAATAAAAAGTGAACATATATATGTGTGTGCTAAATATATTTAAAAAAAAATAATAATAATAATAATAATTAAATATAATATATAAATATTTATATACTTACAATGTCTCCAGAGAGGACGAATCTTGTCTTGTCCTCCGACATCCCAAACAGTAAAAGAGATGTTTTTATATTCGACAGTTTCGACATTGAAACCTAAAGATGATGGATGATGATGGTTATTTTTTTTTTAAATGAATAAGGAGATGTGTATTACGCGTATAGTTTATAGCTTACCAATAGTAGGAATAGTGGTTACAATTTCACCCAACTTAAGTTTATACAAGATGGTAGTTTTACCGGCGGCATCAAGACCGACCATAAGAATACGCATTTCTCTCTTACCAAAGAGGTCATTAAATAACTTGGAAAAACTCAAACCCATATTAAATAATTTAGTATTTTTTTTTATATATATTTTTTAAAAATACAAGAAGAAAAAAATAAAAATAAAAAAAGAAACAAAAAAAAAAAAAAAAAAAAGGTTTGAAAAAAAATAATTTGTGCTGCAACTAAAATTATTCTACAGCCAGCCCTTGTTGGAGTAAAAGGGAAGAGGAAATTTTGATTTTTTTTTTTTTTTTTTAGAAAAGGTACCACCACTGCTAAACACATTCTTACGCATTTACTTTTTTTTCACATTACAGGTTGATTGTAATTTCATTTACAGATTAACCAATCAAATTTGATTACACAAAGTCGTGAAAAATAAAAAATAAAATAGAAGCGGACTACAAAAAAAAAAAAAAACGAAATAAAATCAAGCCACCGAAAAAAAAAAAAAAGCTTTGTATTCTTTTAGATCTTTTTGAATCTCGAATTAAATACAATCATGTCTGATAGGTTAGATTGAATCTTTTATGATTTATTCTCTATTATTTGCTCATAATTATTATTTCTTTCATATCTTTATATAGCAATAGAGCCATTCCTGAACCAGTTTATGTTTCTGAAACCCTTTTAAAAAAAAGAAAGGCTAATGAAAAGGGTGCCGCTATTAAAGCAAAAGAAAGATTAGAACTTAGAAAGGTTAGACTACTTGAAACTAATTTTATTAAATAAAATAGCAAAAAACAAAAGACATTTAACATATCTTTTTTTATTTATTTTATTTAGACAAAGAAACAACTTAAAAAGACACAATTTAAACGTGCTGATGAGTTTATTCGTAGACATCGTTTAATCGAAAAGCAAGGAAAACGTCTTCGTGTCTTGGCAAAGGGACATAGAAAGGGAGCAAATCAGAAGGGAGATGGCAAATTATTATTTGTGATCCGTATGAAAACAGAAAGTTCAATTCACCCACGAATCAGAAAAATTTTGAGTCAAGTTGGATTATTAAAGATGAATACAGGTGTATTTGTTGTTTGTAATGATGCTACTGTAAAGGATCTCCAAAAAATTGAACCTTATGTTACTTATGGTTCACCCAGTTTAAAGACAGTACGTGATCTTATCATGAAAAGAGGTGCTACCAGGATCAATGGCGTTCGTACTCCTCTTTCTGACAATGCCATGATTGAAGAAGCTCTTGGTGAATATGGTATTATTTGTTTAGAAGACATTATTCATGAAATCCTTGAACATGGTGAACATTTCGAAGCTGTTTCTAAATTCTTAACTCCATTTAAATTGAACGACCCTGTTAAGGGCTGGCGTCAAAAGAAATTAAAGGAAATCATGGACAGAGAAAATGAAGAAGAAGATGCAGAGGATGATATCAATAAATTGGTCGAAACCATGAATTAAAATTTAACACAGTATATTGATTTATTTTATTTTTTATTTTATTTTCTTATGTTTATATCTTGTATAAATCATTTCTTAGAATTTACCATATTTCCCGCTTCTTCATTTCCCTTTCTTTATCATCATTCTTATTTTATCCTATAGTCACTGTTTGTTAATATTTTATACTACAAATAAAAAAGCTTATACTATTTATAATTGGTATGAAGCTTAATCCATATATGTAATAATTGAGCTTCGAGATTAACACGTGAAATAAAGGAAAAGCAGTAGTAGTCCTTTCTTCAGGATCAACAAGCTCAAAGAAAAAAAAAAAGAGATATAGGCAGCTTATCAATGTACATTGTATGCAGCAGCAATTGTTCATTATCTTTTTTTTTTTAGTAACTGTATTTTTTTGATCTCAGCGGCTGTTACCATTGCGTCATTAGTGAAATCGTAACAGTGCTGCATCCTCTCTAACCTGGAAGAAAATTGCATTATTTCAAGAAAAAAAAAAAAAACTGCAGTACGACAATGGATCAAGGTTAACATTTTCTTTTACTATTTACACTTTTTTTTATTTTATTTTTATTTTATTTTTTTATTATTTCTTTTTTTTTTTTTTTATAAATAAATGAGTACTCAAAGAGCTCGTTCATTTACGCACAAGGTATAACATAAAAGACAATTTATAAAGTGTTTTTACCTTTTTTAACTAAATGTTTCATCTTTAAGCTTGCCAGTATTACTTCAGAAGCAACATGTCTTTTCCAACACTGTAACATTACCTCTCGTCAGCCTTTTTTAAAAACTAGTCATCTACAGCCGCAACTTTGTCAAAATTATGAGCAATGGATTCAACTAAACAAGGAGACTGTAATTTAAATTAGTTGTTGTTTCTTGGAGGAGGGGGGATTCCTTTTTTTTTTTAGAAAGAAAAGAAAAAAACTAATCCCTTTTTTCTTTTATTCTAGTTACCAGCATCCATTCTAAATTCAAATCTTACTCAACTAAATAAAGCAACAACTCAGGCTATAAGAATCCTTAACGCAGATCCTACTATTGCTTTTCGGTTTGCCCATACAATACCAAAGAGATATTTTCAACGTCGAACGTTATTTACGAATACAAGCAATCGTTTTATTAACTACCGTCATTTAAATAGAATAGAACAAGAAGCCAATGCTTCTCCAACAGATGCTTTAAAACAGGCAACATTATACAAGGTAATCATCTATTTTTTTTTTTTTTTTGCTCCTTCCTCTTCCTCTCTACTTCTCTTTTAAATTTATTTATTTATTTTATTTATTTATTTTTTAATCCTTCCTTTTCCTCCCACCACTCTTTATTATCCTAGGAATGGTTTAGGGTGAATAATACGAAGGCAATTATCAATCGTTTTGAAAAAGGAAACTTTACACATAATGATGAAAGTTTGAAATATTATATTGCAGCTGTAGCACGTACGATAAAAGCAGAAGAAGTACTACCAAAAATTTTACAAAAATTAGAAGAATTAGGATATGCGGTCATAAAGAAAGCAGAGAGTTCTTCTGAGGTAAACAAGTTAACAAAGGATATTGTCCAACAAGTAATTGCTAGTCGTCAAGGAGGCGTAGTGAATAAAGTGATAGAAGGAGGAACAGGTCAGAAATCCAATCCAATTTATGTTGTAGTTGAGGAAGCACGTAAATATATGTTCTGGAAAGCACTTCGATGGGTAGGAGTGACATTGACGTATGCCTTTTGTATTTTGACAATTCTATCCCTTGCATTGGAGAACTCTGGGTTATTAAAGACAACGAATCCACAGAATGAATATGAGCCCGTCACTCAGACCACAGTTCGATTTGAGGATGTACAAGGTGTAGATGAAGCAAAACAAGAATTAGAAGAAATTGTTGAATTCTTAAAGAATCCTCATCGATTTACTGAATTAGGTGGTAAATTACCAAAGGGTGTCCTTTTAACAGGTCCCCCTGGTACGGGTAAAACCATGTTGGCACGAGCTGTGGCTGGTGAAGCCAATGTACCCTTTTTCTTTATGAGTGGTAGTGAATTTGATGAAATGTATGTGGGTGTAGGCGCAAGAAGAATTCGAGAATTATTTGGTAAGTTGTGTATACTTTTTTATTATTATTATTTCTTCCTTTCTCGAATGATTTTAACACAATATATATATATGTATATATATATAAGCTGCTGCGAGAGCAAAGGCACCTAGTATTGTATTTATTGATGAAATTGATGCCATTGGATCTAAAAGAAATCCTAAAGATCAATCTTACATGAAACAAACATTAAATCAATTACTAGTTGATCTGGATGGATTTTCTCAAACAGAGGGTGTCATTTTCATTGCTGCAACAAATTTCCCTGAATTATTAGATAAAGCATTAGTTCGACCTGGACGATTTGATAGAACAGTTAATGTTCCATTACCTGATGTGAGAGGAAGAGTAGAGATTTTGAAACATCACATGAAGAAAGTGCATGTAGCCAATGATGTCGATGTCACTGTAGTAGCCAGAGGTACATCTGGTTTTAGTGGAGCTGATTTAGCTAACCTGGTCAATCAAGCTGCTATTCAAGCAAGTCGTGAAAATAGTAAAGAAGTTACTTTAAGTCATTTAGAGTACTCTAAAGATAAAATTATTATGGGAGCTGAGCGTAAATCGGCTGTGATTACAGAAGAGAACAAAAGATTAACTGCTTATCATGAAGGAGGACATGCACTTGTTGCTTATTATACTCCTGGTGCGATGCCCTTACATAAAGCCACCATTATGCCAAGAGGTGCTGCATTAGGTATGACAGTTCAATTACCAGAAATGGACAAGGTACTGCACATATATATATATATATACATTTATATATATATTTATTGACACATGCATATTAGGATTCATATACCAAAAAGGAGTTTACTGCTATGATTGATGTTTGTATGGGAGGTAGAGTAGCAGAAGAATTGATCTTTGGTCAAGAAAACGTAACAAGTGGATCTAGTAATGATATTATGAAGGCCACAAATATTGCTAAACGTATGGTTCGTTATTATGGTATGAGTGATAAAGTGGGACCGGTTAATCATGATGATGATGATATGCAAATACTAAGTGCAGATACAAAGAAATTAATTGAAAGTGAAATAGTTGAATTTATTGAAGCAGCAGAAAGAAGAGCCAAACAGATTTTAATAGAGCATCGTGAAGAATTAGACAGATTAGCCAATGCTTTAGTAGAATATGAGACCTTGGATTATCAAGAGATTATAGATATTTTGGCTGGTAAACCATTATCAAGGCCAAAATAAAAATGAGTTGTGTGTATTTAAATAAATGAAAAAGGAAACAGCAACAACAACAAGAAAAGCATGTTTTTTTTTAATAATAATAATATAAATGTATATGTGTGTATTATGTTCAATAATAGCTTAATACTTTAAAGAAAGATAAAAGGAGATGACAAACGAACAAAAAAAAACAAGACAGGTATATGGAATAAATGATCGACATCATTCTATTATTTTAAACATGCTTGGTTTTTCTTTTTTTTTTTTTTTTCTTTTTTTTAACTGAGATGCTGCTACTCTCTGATCGCAAGTCTATATAGAACAAAAAAAAAAGTCAAGTTAAGACTACCTCTTCTCCCCTTTTATATGTATGTAAATATTTGAAAAAAAAAAAAAAAAAAAAAAAAAAAAAAAAAAAAAAAAAAGCTGGTGCTTACCCTTTCAATCGTGTAATCAATGAAACCTCCTCGATTACGAGAATCATGTGCAGGATGATGATAATAAACTAAATCAAAGTCTTCAAGGGAGCCTAGTTTTTTCTCTAATGGCCAACATTCATGACATCGATTTGTACATGTATTACATACAAATACATTTTTCATTGATGAATGACTATTATTAAATGAACGACAGGGACCACGTCTAAAGATAGAAGAGAGACTAATACCTTGTTGACCCAAGGTAGAGATATGAACAGACTTGTTACAATGACTGCACTTTAAATAATTATATCGAGTACCAGCATCTCTCCTATGTAACTCTAGACGTCTACATGTCGTAGCTAAATTATTAGCTGTATCTGATGATCTTATAATAGATAGATTAGTATGAGTACTTTTGAACATCACATTATAAAATACACTACTTTGATAGTATGTCATCTTCTAGTCCAACTTTGATAGTTTCGGGATGTAAAGTATTTACATTTTTCACTAAATCTTGATAGAGTTTGACATATTGATACATATCATCCGCACTTTGTCTCATTCTCATGTCATTTACATGTTCACAAGCACGACCAAGGGCATAACAATCCATACATAAATCATAATGATCGTCACATCTTTCGCAATGATAATAACGATGAAAGATATCACCATGACAAAAATCACATACGATCGTCAATGTATCCTCTGGTGGGTCAGTAGGGAGATCAGCAGCAGAAGCAGTAATAGCAGCAGTAGCAGCAGTAGCAGCAGTAGTAGCAGTAGTAGCAGCAGGATAGAGGAGTTCAGGCTCAATTAGGTGATGTAAGAGTAAGTGGAGTAACAGTTTGATCTCGATCAATGAACTATGCTGAAAGAGAGAGGACTGATGCTTTATGAACTTTTCAAGTTGCTTGTTCCATTTCTTTAACGTAATGGCCACGATTGCTTTGCATTTATAGACCTCGGGACGGTTAATGATTCTATACAACGGTAATTGATCCTCAAAGGCATAAGTTAAAGTCTGAGGAGTGATTCGATTCCATGCGATCTTGACCGAGACCCCCGCATTCCTTACTTGATGATAAGCACGACTAGGAATGATGACCAGATCGCCGGGCCTCTGGACAATCACGTTCACGACTACCGCCTGGGCCTTTTTAATAAGATAATGAGTTAGCCAAGCACGATCACTTTCCATAAATGAACTCCTTGTACTAGAAGAAGCACATGGTTGTTCTCTAGATCGTTTTCTTTTCCTTTTACTGGGATTTGTCTTACATATACGATCAGTACGATCTGTGCGCTTATTTTCAAAGACGGTAGGTTTCAGAACTTCAGCTAAAGCATGTCGGTATTTATTTTCTATAATGAACCACTCAGCGTAACCATCAGGAGAGGAGGAGGCCATGGTCATCAAGTTATGACCCATTGTACCACATAAATCACGATGAAGAGGAGTACCCGTCTTATCTTGTCCAAGATAACACATAATATGTTCAGCTTGAAAACGACTTGGTAAAGAAGAAAAGAGATCATGACTACCATGAGGTAAAAGATAACTAGGTATGATTTGTTCTATAGCAGATCGATACTCAGTAGGACAAATCACATCTTTAGCATAAGCTTGACTGTAAACTTTTGGGACTGATTTATAAATGATGGTACTATTAGAAGTACAAGAAGGTAATTTATAGGTCTCTTGAATGGATTGAATAAAATCACCTAAACGGGTCTTTAGTGTTTTATCTTTTGGACTAGTAGTTTTAAGTTCAATCTCTATTATTATATAATAAAGAGAAATAGTAAATATTAGATGGAAGCAATTTTTTTTTGTATCCTTAAGTGTATAAATAAATATATTATGTAATAAGATTATTTTTTTATTTTATTTTATTTTTTTACCCATGTCACCACGGTAGTCTTTGAGTTGATCCAAAGTAAAAAGACTGTCATTCCAATGAATGGATTTATTCATATTAAATACGACCAGGGGCTTTCCTTGTTCAATACAATATTGATTTATAAAATTATGTAAAGATTCATTTGTGTAATCCAAATAATTTATTCTTTTAGTAGCTACATAAGGGAAGCTTAAATTATTTTCATTTTCAAACAGGTTAATTTTCGGCATTTTCCAGTTATTATTATTATTTTGCTCTTTCTGATTTATATGTAAAATAACAAAGTAAATTAAAGCTAGTTAAAGTAGATAAAAGGAAAGGGAAAAGGAAAAGAAAAAAAAAAAAAAAGATCGACTATTATATTGTTATAAAGCAAACAAAAAAAAAAAAAAAAAAAAAAAAAAAAAAAAAAAAAAAAAAAAATACATATTCATATACATATTCATATTCAACATCCGAAGCGTTTTCATTTTGTGTCCAATAAACAATTTGATTCTGCAACAGAGATAAAGCAATTCAGTATGTATTAGTATTAAATACATAATATTTTTCAAAGTCTTTGAGACTGCTTATTAATTTAGGTGAATTATATTAATTGTGCAACACTAAAACAAGGGTGCTGTCATGGTTGTAACTGTCATCTCTATAATAGTAATTCTGTCTATTATGTCCATATAAAGTCTATTTATTCTTGTATCAAGAACAAAATAGCATCTTCTTAATCGTCATGTTTAGTCGCGTTACTTTTTATAACAAATTAGATTACAGCAATTTTTTATACAACATAGTAATCTTCTGTAGATATGCAGTGATAATATTAGTCAATAATAGTTGCTTATAATAGGTTGTACAATAGACACTACTTGTACTGTCTTGCCTTAATTGGATAGTCACTTCTATAAATATGTGTATACACATACATTTCTAGATATAAATAAGGTCAATCATTTTTTAATAAAGAATGTTAAGGAGACCTGTTTCTTACTTTCTTTTATATATATATATATAACTGATTCCTTTACTTATAATTTCAATTTATACATTGGATATTCTACCTTAACTAGCGTTTATTATAACGAAGTTTGATATACAATATAACAATGGCTATAACTCTTCCTTAAATTTCCTCCTTACTGAAAACAATGTTCACCCGTTTAATAGCAAGAAAAAAAAAAAGGCCCTTCTTCTTTTTGTTTATATATATATATATATTTACATATATATGCGTTTGTGTTTATTATTTTTCACTAACTTTCTATTGTTTGTTAGTTTCAATCTCCCATGATTTTGATCCAGATCTATTTATATTCAACAATAAAAAAGATGTTATAATAAAAAGAAAAAAAAAAGGCAATCTAGGGACAACTCATCAGCTTAATTTATAAAATGGTCGAATATTATAAAATAAATAGACTACTTTATAAGTTTACTCTTCTAATTTAGAAATGGTTTAGTCTATAAAGAATCATCCAAAATGAAAGGTGAAAACTCTCTCCCTTTCTCTCTCCATCAGTGATAAAGTTGTTTATAAAGTTTGTACTTATGACTGCAATGGTAAAACTGTAGATCTAATAAACACTGAATTTGCCAAAAAATAAACAAAACAAATAAATAAATAATTGGATTCGTCTTTGTATCATTATAAATAGCGTCTTATTGTCATTAGAATTGGTAGTTATGATATTATATAAAGTAAGAGCAGGTTCCAATACATCAATGGCATCACTCTCTTAGAATAGTTATGCTTTGAAATCTTTTATTTTTTCTTTAACTACAACTCACTGGTAATATTTGACGTATGGATCTAGTTATATTTGGAGAACAAGACAAATAAATTTTCCATAATATCCTTTTTATTGATATAAAGAAATGATTCCCATTATTCATATTAATAATTAGATGCTTTTATGGTAAGACATTTCATTGTACAATGTATAAACAAATACTATCAAACCGATGTCTTTTGTTATAATTTTCTTTTAGATATTTGTACATTAAAGTAATAAATGTAATTTAATTCAATATAACGCATAGAGAGAGAGAGAGAGATAAGGCTAAAATAGGACAACTATGATTCTATATTGTAAGAGATAACTATACCTCAATAATAAAATAGAATATGTTGATACATTGAGTCATATCAAAAGTTATATTCTCTTGCATGACTTTTCTTAGAAAGATGTATTCTACATGCATGGTCGTTGTATTAACGTTTTTCATTACAAAAGAAAAAATATATTTTAATATACATATTTTTTTTTTAAAAAAAAAAAAAAAAAAAAAAAAAAAAAAAAAAGGGTACCGAGACGAATGATACTGAAATATTCCCGTTATTCTGAACAAGATATTGATGTTCTCACTCTTGGGTTATGTAATGACAAAAGAAGAGTTAAGTGATGCTTCTCTGTATGCAATAGACCCCAAATCGAGGACAGAGTATTTGCTGCCGCTTACGGTGATGGCGAAGAACTCGCATCAAAATTAGAAGATGCTCTACAAAAAAAAAAGTGCTATACCTACACAGGGGTCTATCAGACATGTGAAGAAAGAGAACCAAAAAATGACTAAACGATGTTCTCCCCAACACCCTCAAAAAAAAAAAAAAAAAAAAAAAAAAAAAAAAAAAAAAAACAGCTACGATTTCAAAATATTTTCAATACGTTACTTATATCCTGTTACACCTTAATGACATACTTGAGTTTAACCGATCTTCAACGGCTAAATGCTGATTTAATTTATATCAAGGCTTCCAAAGGGCGAGAGAAGAATTGGTAAACATTTTGGTGAATGGTGGAAGGAAATATAACAAGTCGAAAAGAAGAAATACGAAAATGCCTCCTGCGATCTAATCCAAGGTACAAACTATTGATGGAACACTGGAAAGAAATAATATTAAATAGCCATTTTATTTATATAGCAAAGCTAAAAAAATTATTGGAAGAAAGAGCCCCTTTTTCTTATGACAAAAGGAAACTACCACTCATCTCTTTTGGTAATGGAAATGTTTGAGGAAGGAATAATCAAAAATAAAGACGTATCGTACCGGTGTAACTAGGATTCTCTATCGACAGCTAAAGAAATGGCAAAAGGATGGAGATTTATTACTTGCATGGGTGGATGAATTTCGAACATCAAAGGTTATACGGTAATCATTTTTTTATCTATAACTGTGCTTAAATATTTGTTAACATAGCTGTGCCACTCATGTCAAGAAATTTCTTCTTTTTTTTTACAGAAGCTATTGTCAATCTTCATAGTGTCCTTGCTTGCCAAGGTTGTGGGATGTTATGGCAGCGTGACAAGAATGCTTCTAAAAATATGTATCAAATTTTAAAAGCTGTACTTTATGGAAATGATCGCTCTGCTATATTTCAGCAAAGTTCGAATTAGACATACTATTATTATTATTATTATTTGTTTAATATCGCCATATCAAACACGGTTTCTCCTTTAGAGATTTAAATTTTTATAGGTAAGAAGTCTGAACCCAAGGTTTAATCCTTCAATAACTAATTTTTTTTTTCTGAATTTGAAGTGTAAAAACTATATGGAGCTGCATAAATGACTTTAGACTCAGCTGAATAGTAGTAGTAGTAGTAGAAGTAGTAAAGTCAAAAGGTAACTTCTTTGTCATGAAGGTCGTCTTATGATTCAGACTTTATATAATTTAGCATGATATATATATATATATATATATGAAAACAAGTTAATGTCGTATAACAATAATTAGCAGTCAACGTAAATAACGTAGTCTATGTCCATGGTGTAAAAAAAAAAAAAAAAAAAAAAAAAAAAAAAAAAAAAAAAAAATCTAAAGTAGAAAGTATATGATATATTTTAATGGAAACCTCACAATACTACTGTATTAAGGATAGATATAACGTATACACAGTACTGGGGGAAGGGGTTTTTTTTTTCTTTGTTGTTGTAAAGTAATAGATATGTTTGATCTTAGTAGTAGTAATAGCAACAGTCATGATATAATGTGTGTTATTCTTACGTAATAGCCTATATAATACAACTACCATAATAGAAGATATGATACACCTTAGGAATTTCTGGATTGTTTCTTTTTTTAAAATTAAAGTTTTATGAGCCAACTTTTATTTCTAGAAGAAATGATAAAAAAAAAGGATGAAATAATAGGATTACATATACAACTTTTGAGCATGAAGGATTATATAATAAGTCAAAGCTACTATATACATATACATGTATTTTTGAAGGAAAAGAAAAAAAAAGTCACGCTACATGTCTATTTGTATATCAACCAAGTTATATTATAGTTTGCATTGTTCTCACAAATATGGGCAATTCTATTCTCCTGCAGCATTCGTATTTAATTAAATGCTAGCATATAAAGAAAGAGAGAAAAAAGAGAAAAAAGAAAAAAAAAAGAGAAAAAAAGAATAAGAGAAAGAGGTTATTCTTGTATAATATATCATAATCACATTATTGTAGAAGGCATAAAAAAGGATATACTAAATGAATGCAATATCTACCATGAAATTCCTTTCAATCATATCATGATTAGTAATTTAAACTATTCCCGAATTAAAATGTCAAGGGATATTGAGGGAACGAAGGGGTATAAAAATGTTCTATAAGCTTAAAACAAAAATACATGTATTGGATGATATTCGAACAAAAAAAAAAAAAATAGTTTAAATCTTACACTTAGAAAAAAAAAAGGGGGGAAGGATAAATCTTGTTATTTGGTAAACTACATGTATATAATCAAAGTAAAAAAAAAAAAGGATACCTCGGCTCGTAAAGAAATAATATAAATTGACAGGACCTTTATTATCAATAGTACCGTGACAAAAGATAAAGTTACTATTATGCGTATTACATTTATTATTTTTTCTATGTCCACTACATAGTGTATAAATATAAATATATAAATATATAAAAAATAAATAAAATAAATAAAATAAAATAAAATAAAAGGGATATCATATATAGGATTATTTTGTCAAAAATAGAATAAACGAAATTATCATAATTAAATAAATATATATTTTTTTTTAAAAGTCAATAAGCTTTTTTATTACAATTCAATATAGAAAGCACACAATAATAATACTAAGCTTGTTATACAAGGTCTCATGGGACTTCAGAATCTTCCCATTTTCCTATCATAACAAACTATTGTCTTTTATTAATAATATTATTTTATTTACAGGTTTTACTTTTATATTATGTGTTTTATCATGTTGTCCTAGTAGTTGAACAAGGAATTTTTATTCATTAAGTTAAAGTTACCAAAAATAAGATAAATATTTTTTTTTTCCAGTGGAACACATGAGTGTGTCTATAGTGGTGAAGTAATATAACGCGGTAAGTTATTAGATCCTTATTACACAAAAAAAAACGAGGTTTTCCAATTTTAGAATAAAGAAAAAAAAAATAGTTTTTTTTTCCGCGGAATCACCTAAAATAAATATATAAATAGAAAGAAAGGAATACGAGAGTAGTTGAGTACATATAAATGTATATTATTCTGTTTATTTAATAAAACCTCTCTCTCTCTCTCTCTCTTTTTTTTTGTTTATTACCATCATAATTTACTTTTCTCTCTTGGTTTTCTTTAATATGAATAAAAAAGTACAATTCTCTTGTAACGTCGAATTTGTGTCTACCTTTGCAAATGAAGATTATGGTAAAAAATTAAATTTGTTTATAATGCGTATTGGATTGGATAATAATAGTATATATTAGACCGAACAGCACAAGAAGTAGCAAAGTTAACTTATAAAGACATGCTTGAATTACTTACAATGAAATCACAATGGAAAAGAGATATGGAACGTATGTTAGCTGAAAGAGCAGAGAAGGAGAGTGTGTCGTCTGATGAAGAAGAAAGTAATGCTTCTACTACTCCAACAACAGCAGCAAATACAACACATCTTTATAACAATACAAATGTTCAAGAGATTTGTATTTGAATTCAATTCTATATATCCCTCCTTTTTTTTTAAAGAAAAGAAAAGAAAAGAAAAAAAAAGGAACATACAAAAGCCTTTACTCCCTTTTCACTTTTGAAAGAAAAAAAAAGGAAAAATATCCCCTTCCTCCTCCTCCTCCTCCTTCTTCTTCTCATGTATAGATATTTCACGCTCTTCTATGCCCTTTTTTCTTTGTTTATTTAGCATTTCTTTTTTGTATGTATATTTTGTAAATTAATACCTTTTATAACAATAATAATAATATTCCAAATATTAGTTAAAACGCCGTTTATTGATTTTTTTTTTTTTTTTTGATAACTTGATTGCATGTAATGACATAGAGCTTATCATATCTGTGTTGTACTTTATTTTAGATCTAAAAAAAAAAAAAAAAAAAAAAAAAAAAAAAAAAAAAAAAAAAAAAAAAAAAAAAAAACTTTTACATATACATCATCTATACACAGAAGATAAGAATAGAGTCATCATTCATTCATTTATTTATTCACTTACTTATTTTACTATTATTATATAGCTGTAGTTTATTTTAGACTAGTGTGAGTACATTTTCTAATAATATAAATTAATATAATATATTCTATTTTATTTTTTATTTCTTTTTTTGGCATGCCAAACTAGAATAATAAGATAGGATAATAAAATGCCCAATTATGTAAATATATAAAGGGGTAAGTGGGAGGGGTAAATTATTATGTATAGGTAATAGTTGTAATAGTAATAATAGCATGTGTTCTTTTTTGTTTTGTGCTTTTTTTTTTATTTTTTTTTCTTTTTACATGTATAGCATTAATTGTATTAAGCAAAATTAGATATATAAAAAAAGAGAGATAGATAAAAAGAACGTCATCTCACTAAATTAATCTAAAGTGACAAGCCATGGATGTGATAATACTTCATGAATATCTGGTCGTTGAGCTGGATTCTTTATCAATAAAGAACTTATTAAATGTCTTGCTTTTTGAGAAACAGCAATATCAGGAAATAGAATACGTCCTTTACAAGCAGATTTAGAATCTGAAAAGGGAACCTCACCAAATAATAATGTAAATAATAAGACACCAAGGGACCAAATCTCGGCAGGTTCAGCATAATAAGGTTTAGACATTAAGATTTCAGGTGAAGCAAAAGAGATGGTACCATAGAATTTTGTAAATACTTTTCTATTTTGTGATCTCTTACTGCGAGGTAAAATGACCGCAGAACCAAAATCAATTAATTTTACCTGTCAAATCAAGAAAAAAAGATTAAATCAATTCATATTGTTCTAAACTAATCATCTTTGGTTTTTACCTTGTATTCGTTATCAATGACTATGTTTTCATCTTTGATATCTCTATGACAAATACCGATAGCGTCTAGATAAGCGACACATTCTACAACTTGTTTAAAGATGTGTTTTGCAAGTGTTTCGTTAAACTTCTTATGACGTTCAATACATTCAAATAAATCATATGAAGTACGACGTACAAAAGGTCGATGAAGAGTGGTCGTAGGTGTCTCTATCTCATCTTCATCTTCATCTTCATCTGTTTGTGAATCATGTGTTAATAATTGGGGTGTACTTGTTGTCCATTGTGTACCATGTATCTCCATTACTAAATAGAAATAGACGTCATCTTTATAAGAATCCAAATAGTGAATAATATTTGTATGTTGAATATGCTTTAGACAATAAATTTCCATTGGAACTAAACCATCTTCTTGAGGATCATTCACCCAAGCACTTGAAGGTACTTTATGACGAATAATAAATTTAACAGCTCGTTCAATCCCTGTCTCTCGTTCATAGGCAGACACAACAAATCCATATCCTCCTGTTCCAAGTTCTTGACCAAGGATATATTTCTTGTTAAATTCTGGGTTCAAATCATGATGCATAAGTGATCTTGCTGATACCGTTAATTCTTCTTCCTTTTTAATCGTATTTGTAGAAGAAAATAATGATGCCCTATTGATAGATTTATCATTCATAGCTAAAGGATGAATAGCAATAGTTTCATTATGACTGGCTACTTTATCCATAGCTGTTGATATATGATAATTTTGAAGTTGAATAGATATATTATTACTATTAAACATATTCTTTTTGTTTTTGTTTTGTTTTGTTTATTTAGGAAAAAAAAAGGAAAGGGAAAGGGAAAGGAATGTTGTATTATTATATCTAAAAATATTATTTTATTAGTTGAGCATAACTTTGTTATTTATGTGGTGGGATCGACATTATAGGGGAATTTTTTTTTTCCTCTTTTAATATTATCTGAAATCTCAAATTTTATTATATAATTAAAAGAAAAAAAAAATCGCTTTACTGTTCTTCTCCTTTTTATGTGTGTGTGTGTGTATGTTTCATTCTCTCTGCCTCTTTCTCCGCCTCTCTCTCTCTGCTTCTCTCTCTGCCTCTCTCTCTCTCTTTCCCCTCCCCCAAATAAAAACTTTGTGTATAAAATATGAACGGTTTTAATATCGGGTTTATTATTATTGTATATAATAAGCTCCTAATAATAAATTACACACAGTCAGTTTATCTCCTCACTCTTTTTATTTCTACTTTTTTTTTTTCCTCCTTATTATATAATGTTGTCCATAATAGATATACTCCCTTCGTAATATATTTATAGATTCATAAAATGTTGTTTAATGATATCTACAGTTGTATCTGTATCATAGACACTATACCATCCTTTAGGCTCATGAGGTGGATCTAAATAAAATAAAGTATATATTGATATATAATAGAAAAAAAGAGAAAGAAATAGAGACTCTTTACCACCTAACCAAACCATGCCATTTGAATTTGGCTTATCTGTTGATCTTCCTATGCCTCCATATGCCCAAAAATTGGATCCTCCATAACAATTAGACAACTTTTCAATCGTTTCATAGACTCCCTCTTTAAAGAATATATCCTTATGACTTGTAGGTGTTGAAGGGTCATATTTATATTCACTATCTAAAGGTTTACGCCACGCATCCCTCGCCATTCCAAATTCTTCTAAAACAATTGGTTTCTTTACTACTAATGCTAAACTCCATTCATATCGACTCATGATATACTCCTTTATATAATTGATAGCAAATGATAAACTTTTTTTTTTAGAGTTTACATCACTTGGGTCATATATACCCCAACTAAAAAAAAAGTAAAAATTCAATTAATAAAATATACATAACATGTATATACACATACATAACATGTATATACACATACATATACTCACTTTTCTACCCAACAATGACAGGTACAATAATCAATATAGTTTGATTCATGAGCATTCATAAAATCAACTCTATCAACTTTACTTTCTATTCCACTTGATACTAATTGATATGGTGACTTTTGTTTTATAAAGCAAGCAATTTCTTCAAACCAATCCTTAGGAGCCAATTGAGGTTCATTAGCAATCTGCCAACCTATATAAATGTGTGTGTGTGTATAAGGAGAGAGAGAGAGGCGAAATAAACTAAAATAAGAGTTTATTCTATCATGATGACTTACTCATAATGACAGGATCTTCATTATAAAGTTTTCCATTTATTGTATTTCGTCTTGTTTGAACTACTCGAATATGATTTTTATAAAGCTGATTCACCTGTTGTCTTATAGTAGGATCATTGTAAAATCTTTTTGTAAACTCTGTAAATGTATCCCATTTATCTCTTGTTACAGGGTATGGAATCGTTTCTTTAGTAATCCATGCAATATATTGTGAAAACCTATCTTACCACAAATGAAATGCTAATATTAGATTTGATTCTATCTAATAATAAATCGTATCATTACCCTCCACTCCAATGCCAGAAATTACTTAAAGTCACTATGATGAAGATACCGTTTTATATATATGTATGTATATATATATTTATACGTATATATATGAATATATATGTATATGTATATGTATATTAATTAGAAGAGAGATACTATGTGTGTCGCTATGGCTCACTTTACTAACTGCAGTCATCCCCCTTTTCGACATTTCATCCAACAAATAATCCAAGGCTTCAAACAAATGTTCATTATAATGGCCTATAGAAGGTTGTAAACTTGGTCTCATCCGATAAGGTTCCTCGTCAGGTCCCTCAGAGGAAGCCATGATACGTAAATTATTGACTCCCATTTTTTGTAATTGATCCAGTTCTATTAAAAGTCGGGTTCGATCCCCTCCAAGCTCTCTTGTGGGGGCTGCTAAATTCATACCTTGCCAATAGTTGGCTCCTTTTATCATATAACGTTCCCCGTTTCGATAAAATTGACTTCCTTTTACAGTTACAAAAAGACTCATGAGAAGAAAAAAGAAATAAAAAATCTGTACAACACATGTTATTAATAATAATATTTATTTTTGAATATATTTTATGCAGCATATCGTAACACCCAGACGACCTGAACTACCTCCTCTTTTTTTTCATATACTAACGATAAAAATATAAAGTATTTTTATGTTATCCTTTGCTACTACTACTACTACTACTACTACTACTACTGCTACTACTTGAAGTAATATCTTTCTACATTACATCATTCCTTATCTGAATTTCAAAAAAAAAGTCGGTTATATTTGTTGAAGAATCTTTCATTATAGTCCTATTTTTGCCTATCATATGCATTAGCCATCCTGTTTGTGCGTTGTATAGTTCTATATTCAATATCAGATCATTAGAGCTGTACTACCTGACAGTCTATATGATGGAATTAGTTTTTATTGAAAATTGAATATTTATTGCTGCAGCAGAACGCTATATTATAATAATCATGTTTATTATACACGGTACGTCAGTCTTTACTATATTATATATAAATATGTATATATTTATTTATTAAAGTTTTTATATCGTCATATTAAAAAAAGGAAAAAAAAAACTCATGTAGAATCATATACACATATTTTTATTGAAAATTTATACTCTAATGAATAATAATAATAATAATAAAAAAGTAATATGGACATGAAGAGAGCTTCTATTCAAGACCATCACGGCTACTTATGACTGCACACCTTATTAATACTTCTGATGAATCAAATAATCCCATAAAGCAAGTTTAATTGGTATGTTGTAGCAAGAGGGATGTTGACAATTCGTGCTTATAATAAATTATTAAAATGTATGAAACCCGTTTAAACAAGCCACAACACTTTATCTGAGCAGCAAAACACCAGGTTTTTCAATTAAATTAAATTAAATTAAAAAAAAAACAAGATTTCAACACTTTTCTAATGGCGACGAATAAATATTTAATCATAAGATGTTCTTTATTAGAGGAAATTCGATTCAAAATTGCTTCTATGCTGCAGTATCACATACCTTTTTTTTTTATAATACTTCTATCACGGCTTTTACAATACAATAAAAACTGCTGTATAAATTCTCATAAAAGACGCCATTAGTAACAATAACAAGTCTGAAATAATTAATGATAATAAAAGGGGGGAGAGAGTGAGAACTATATTTATATTAAATTTTCATCTAAAATTGAAACTTTCAAAAAATTACACTGATGAAATTTATTAATTACTTTTTAGGTAATTCTCCGAATTTTTAAAGTTTTTATTTCCTTATTTGGTATTACACGTTAAAACTGTTAAAAAAAATTCATCTCTCTGTCTCTCTCTCTCTTTCTCTCTCTCTTCCCTCCTCCCCCCCCCGAAAGTTGAGATTGTTATAAATCAATAGAATGGGTGCTTGTGATTGATTGTAAACACGCGTTATTATGAACTATTATTGTTATTGAGAAAGCTGCTGTCCCTGCTGAGATGTCGGACCTTATATATACACTACGAAAAGTTGGCGTACGACGTATAAAAGTACTATACGTCGTACGCCACAATTTAAGCACCGATTTTTTAATTGTTTATTTCTACTAATTTTTAATATAAAACTTCCAAATAAAAAATATATTATGTTTAATATACTATCATAGAATAAAAATATCCAAAAAAAAAAAGACATGTCTACTGCTAATATTCATTATTTTTTTAATGTTTAAATTTACAGGTATTTTGGCTGTGTTTTTTTTACAGGGAGAGAAAAAAAAAGGGGGGGTAATCACACTATTTACATTGTGAAATTACAGAAAAAAACACTTTTTTTTCCAAAAATGGATCTATAGAGAATCATATGATCATAGAGAAAGTTAAGAAAATTACTATCTTTCTACATTCATTGTTATTTCTTTTTTTATGCTTTTACTTTAGATTAAAACTTATTTACTTACAATTATTTTATTTTCTGTAGATATTTATTATATTCAAGGTAGTATGAAGATTTAGAATATCCTTGTTAACGAATTTATACTGACTAGTTTTATTTCTTTCTTAGCAAAAGAGTCTTGTTTATGTTGGTAGTAGCTTTTTCTACTTTTTATACAGAGCATTTTTCAGTGATATGTTAAAGGTAAGATAATAACTATTCTCTATAACTCTTATTCTTTATATTAACACATATACTAACTTGTCTATTATCTTTAATCAAACGCTTTTTAAACAGATAAACAAACGTTATCTATTCTGCAAAAAAAAAAAAAAAAAAAAAAAATGATAGTTCATGTTTTTTTTTCAAAGAAATAGCCAATCAAATGTAAAAAGTTATACGTACAACGGACAAATTTTTTGCAGTGGTATGTCGTACGCGCGTACGCCATATAGTACTCCATACATACAACGGACAAATTTTTTTTTTTTTTTTTTTTTTTTTTTTTTTTTTTTTTGCAGTGATATATCGAATTCTTTGAAGAAACTGAATTCTCTGAATGGAATTTTGATAATTATTATGATTTTATTAGAGAAAGTGATTCCAAATCAGGTTTCCTTACAATCAGGCAAGGATTTTTAAACGACCTGGAGAAATTAAAAAAAAAACAACGATCAATTGCCTAAAGAAATTAAGTCCTCACTTGGAAATACAACATCTAATGTCTCTCACCAACCACAGTCCAGCACCCAGCCCGATAAAAAAAAAGAAAAAAAAGAAAAAATAGCAATCGATGACGATAACTTTTGGAGTAGCTGGCAGGAGTATTTTGATGAATGTGAATGTCACAAATACTGTCCGGAGAAGTATCATATTATCGAATGTGGATACACTATTCAATGTAAACCAAGTTATGATATTGACCTGTATGAGCAACTAGGCAACAACAAACACCAGGTGGTAAAGTCACCTTTCATGGATTTTGGTGCATACACCACCAAGTTTATACAAGAGTTAAAGAATAGAAATGAAAGAAGTATCATGAAGGCTCTGTTAGATAACGATCACTGGGAGGAGATTGAGATGGGCAGCAATTCAGCCAACGCAAGATACGTTTACGATTTTTTTATATTGATAAACAAGTATATGGAAAATTGCTCAATCATTAAAAAAAGCGAGTCCATGTTCAATTACCACCTCGTTTGGCGGCTCTTAAGTTTGGCAGTAAAGACGGCAATTTTACCAACCATAAACCTTTCGTTTAAAACGGGTAAAGTTATACTAGACTCCTCTGATGAGATATTCAAGGCGGATGGCGTTGTTGAATTGGACGGTATCGAGTTTTGTTTACTTGAGACATCTGGTGCATATGGGATCTCGGACAACAGTCGTTTCGGCATGGACCACGTGAAGGGCTTGTTTGGCGTATTGATGTTTCTGCGAAGAATCTTAAAATCGTGTTTCTATGCTACTGAAGACACATTACGCGAGTTGAAGGTGATATTTGTGCATGCAAGAGGTAAGACTTCCGCTTAATTCTGATTTAAACATTGTACCAATATTCTTTTTTTTTTTTTAAAAAAAAATAGGCAAACACACCCATCTGTGGTCGTTAGAAACGCCCGCCAAAGATGTCCAGGTTCTGGAACATTTGTCATATTCTGACATTCCAACAGATGTAAGCCAAGTTGACAAGATTTTTAACCTTGGGAATTTGGTTTGGAAGTTGAACGTAAGTTAAAAGTAAACCAAATAATATTTTGTAACTAATAATATATATTTTATAGGATTGTCTTCAAAAAACATGCTAAACCATCAATACAATGAAGGAAGAGCATATGAATTATCTGGTTATGCGACAATTAAATCCAAACAAGAATAAATTTGGGCAAGCTTGGTGGAAAACGAAATCCAAAAGCCTGTAAAAGGCAGCGACTACGGTATCATTTTGCCCAAACAAATTGATAACTTTGATTTCGACAACACCATTATAGCTGCAAACCAACAATCAATTAACTTGTAATTATTTGATTTTCTTTAATGCATCGAACCTTTGCTTTTTATATATAATATCATTGTATAGTATAGTTTAATCTACAAATTCATTAACGCATTTTGCTTTTTGTAAAGATCATTTATTAATAAAGTCCACTATTTTAATCTCATTGATCTATGGCAAAACATATTTTGTTGATCCATTTTGTAAAACAACTACGGTTTTTTGAATGTGAATTTACGTCAAGGTAAAAATAATTTTGCGCTTTGAAGAAACTTGAAAATGATATGCCTTAGAATGCCTGTAAATTATTATTTAATAAGCTTACTATGAATTGTATTTATGTCATTGAAGAATTTCTTTTGTCTTACAATACTCAAATCACATCAAAATAATGCATTTATGTTTCGTGATATTCAATAGACATGTTTTAAATCATTACGGTAGTAAATATATGCATTTATGCCCTTGTTCTTCGATCAGTGCTTTGATCACTTTTGGCTTATGAATAGGTGCATCATCCATAACAATATACTGGTTTTTCATATTATTTTTATCTAATGTATTTATTACGTTGGCTAGATAGGCCAAGAAGTGCTCAGTTCTTGTTCCAACTTTGTCATTTATTTTTACTTCCTTGCTGTCTGCCCCTTTTTTTTTTTTTTTTTTTTTTTTTTTTTTTTTTTTTTTTTTTTTTTTTTTTTTTTTTTTTAAATCTCTTGGAGCAAAATTTATTACTAAACAACGAAAAAATTATTTTTACCTTTACGCAAAAATTTTTTAATGTTAATGCAAATTCATAGTCAAAATAACAGTATTTATTTATTATCAATAAAAACATAGGAATAAACACAATATAATAATGACTTTAATAGCTTGATATATAAAAGCTTACATATTTTAGAACCTATTCTCATGTCATGTATACGTATTTATATACAAAAATACCGTTTTCTTCTTTTCCTCTCTCTCCCCTCCTTCCTTTATATATATATATAATATGTGTGTGTGAGTGTGTGTGAGCATGTATGTATGTATGTATGTATGTATGTATGTGTGTGTGAGTGTGTGTGAGCATGTATGTATGTATGTATGTATGTATGTATGTGTGTGTGAGTGTGTGTTCTATTATGATTAACCATGGCTTAACGGTAAAACAACAAATTCCAATAATTCATTAATCCATCTTTCTCTGATCTGAGACCATTCTTGATCCATAACTAATGTATATCTTTCAAGATTAATGATGGCACTTGCTAAATGACGCTCGGTTTGAGCACTTGCAACTAAGGACAACCAAGTTTCCCGCTCTTGAATCCAAGATTCAGTCACAGCTGTCCATAGTAAGGCCATCTCGAGTTGAACTAACTGGTAAGCCACTTGTTCAATACTGTTGGGTTCTCGATTGAGCCATTCATCACGTTTTGCTAACCATTTTGGTGATTTGTGTCGATTCGGTATATGCGATTCGAATAAACGTAGTTTTTCGTTAATATCTTTGATGGTACTGAGAATGGAGGTCTCATAAGAAGGAGGAGCTTCTTGATGATGTTGGTGATTATTACTACTATTATGCTGTTGGTGGTCTTGTTGACATGAAGCAGAAAGAAGAGAAGGAGAAGAAGGAGAAGAAGAAGAAGAAGGTACATGAGATGGACTTGAAAAAGCTGGTGGTGGACTGTTATTGTTATTGACATCATTTACACTTCTAAAGGTAGCATTATCAAGTGATAGTTCCAGTTGATCACTATTCACTTCTTGCTGTTGTGATTGATGTAATGAAATCAAATAATCTAATTTCTCATTCAGTTGATCAAGTTTCAAACGGAATTCCAAGGTAGTGGTATTATTATCTTGATCATTAGGTACATGCACTTGCCATATATTTTGATCATTGATGATGGGAATGCGTTTTGGTAATAGTTCAGTGTGATGAAGAGGATCAAGCTTAAAAGGAATTAGTTTTGAGTTTGATAAAAGGGCAGTTGCTTTTGGAAAAATGGATTGAACATCACTTAATAAAATGACATTTTCCTGATCCATATTTCGAATGGGTACTTGATAAATGGTGTCATTATATTCGATAAATTTATATTGAATCTGTGATGTTTCGCCTTCTATCATTATTACCAAAAAAAAAAAAAAAAAAAAAAAAAAAAAAAAAAAAAAAAATACTAAAATCTTTTTTTTTTCTTTAATCAGATAAAAATACAATAATTACATAAGCAAAAGTATAATAATTTTATTTTATTTTTTTTTTTTTTTAAAATGATAGGATAATTATAAGGTTGTAGTAGATGGATATCCTAAGGTATGATCCATTGAATTTGTTACAGTACCAAGTATATTATAAGAAGAAGAAGAAGAAGAAGAGAGTAAGTCGATAGTAGTGGATGAGCTTTGTGGATCATTTGTATGATGACTACTGCTTGCTTTAAATATGCCTGTTAAAATAAATGTAATAGCGATAAAGATGCCCAAGAAAACCATAGCAAACGTGATTATCCAACGACGTGATATTCTCTTTATTTTATTCAAAATAGTTTTTTTCCTATTTGAATATTCTGGCTGTGGTGGTGAAATAGAATGACGTGGTGAAGGATGATAAATATTATCGCTGGAATTCCTTTCTTCTTTTAGGTATTTCTTTTGAGTTATAATATCTTTCTTTACTATGTTATTAGTATTGAACCAAATAATATCACTCATTTTCCCTATTAAATTCTTTTGCTCTGGTAATAAACTTTTATTATTTGTACTGAATGATTTTCGATTCGAAGAATGATTATTGTTTACGATGGATGATAATGATATTATCTTCTGTTCCATTCTCTTTCTTGTTGGAAGAAAGTAAACCAAACAAACAAACAAACAAACAAACAAAAAGGAGGGTAAAATACTACTACTTTTCTTTTATTTATGTCCTTTGTAATAATACATGTAAAGAGAATAGAATAACGTCATTAAAGAGCATATCAATACCTCATATAGGCTAATATGTATGCAGATAGATTAATATATAATTATCCGTCAGAAAAACCGATTTTATTATGAACATGACTATTACTTTCTCTTTTTTCTCTTCTCCTTGATTAAATTAGTATGTTGATTTTTTTTTTTTTTTTTTTAAAGACCCGTTACTACGGCTATAAACAGGTTGCTGTCATTGTTGCTGTGACTTGAATACAGTAACTCTTTTTTTTTTTCTTTTCTTTTTTTTTAATACAACTAAAATGGACAATAGTAAAGAACAACCAACAAAACAAGCACCTACTAATGACAAAGAATATGTTAATTTAATGCCAAAAACTATTACTGAACTTAAAGAAATTCAAGCAAGAGGACGTAAATTATTAATAAAAAAAAAATACATTAAAAGAGAACGACAAATGAATAATGAATCACCAAGAGCTAAATCAAATGAAGAAGAAAAAGCTGAAAGATTACAAAGAGAAAAGGATCTAAGAGAACTTCCAGCCCAAATTATTTATTCAAAATACTATTATGGTAAGTTTTTTTTTTTTTATTTTTTTGTTTAAAACATGTCACTATTCCTATCCTTTTCTTTTGCTGTAATGGTTATTGATTGTAAAATAGATGAGGAACATGAATATAGGTACTCTATTAAAAAGAAAGAAAGAAAAAAGAGGCACACATGCATACATAACTGCTTATTTATAAATCTACTTGTATAGACATGTGGTGTTACCAAAGAATTTAGCAAGATGGTTACCACAACCGCCTCGGTTATTAAAGCCAGAAGAATGGATAGGAATAGGCGTATATCAATCGACAGGATGGGAACATTACATGATTCATGGTATTAATTTAAACAACAAGTTTCCCTTTTTTTTGCTTGATAACATAAATTTTTAACATGCTTCATTCTTTAGCACCAGAACCACATATTTTATTATTCAAGAGAGAAAAGGATTATCTTAAAAAGGTAAATAGAGGAATATTGTACAGTATTCAATACTATATGACTTACTTTATTTATAGTACGGAGATCACAATCCTCAATACCCACAAAAAGTAATTGAAGCAAGGAAACAAAAGATTAGAGAATTACAAGAAAAGCAGAAACAACAGCAACAACAAGAGAAAATAAATCAAAATAACGCTACTGCTACTGCTGCTGCTGCTACAACAACAACAACAAATATATCCACTATTCCACCTACAATTAATAATTTCATTAACAGAAACAACAAATAATTCTCATTTACGGTTAAATAATGCATAATTGTAATAATATTTAGCTCCTATTTTTAGTAATTTCGATAGTTATTATTCATTAAATAAATAAGCATGTATGTATGTATGTACTCAGATCAGATCAAGATACATATTAAAAAAAAAGGGTGTAAAGTAGACTTATTTTATCATTTCTTTCTTTCTCTTTCTCTTCCTCTTTCCCTTTATTTTAATGCTTCAAATTCTCCTCTTTTTATTACTTTGTACATTCATTACTTGTATTCTTGGCTTTGAATATAAATATGCTTATGATGAATATATGAAAGCATCGACAGTTCAGCGTAATACAATTCGTCTTCAAGAAGAAATGAATACTAATGAGCCGTTTTGTCTTGTATTTGAAGATCATTTTGATAAGTTTAATTTAAAGAACTGGCAACATGAAATAAGTTTAAGTGGAGGAGGAAATTGGGAATTTGAATATTATACAAATAATAGATCGAATAGTTTTGTAAAGGATGGTATCTTGTACCTGAAGCCTACTTTGACAGCAGAGAGGATTGGAGAAGAGGCAGTAAAGAATGGAGGGGTCATAAGTCTGTATGGAGGTGCGCCCTCTGTGGATTGTACAGATAATTCAAATTACGGATGTGAAAGGGTCGCGATGGGTTCCTCTGGAGGTAATTATTTGAACCCTATTCAATCTGCTAGAATACGTACCTTACATTCTGCTTCTATTCAATATGGTAAAGTCGAGGTCAGAGCACGTCTACCGAAGGGGGATTGGTTATGGCCGGCTATTTGGATGTTACCCACTGATTCAGCTTATGGGGGTTGGCCTGCAAGTGGTGAAATTGATATTATTGAATCTAGAGGAAATGATCGTTACGCCTATGGCAATAACTCTGTCGTTTCTTCTGCTTTACATTGGGGCCCCCATAGTTATTTAAACAAATATAATTTAACTACAAATACTTTAATGTCGGCTTCAGGTCAATCATGGACAGATGATTTTCATCTTTATGGATTAGAATGGACAAAGGAAGGAATTAGAACCTATGTAGACAATACAACTATATTACAAGTTGATTTTAATGAGACAGCATGGAGTCGAGGTCAGTTTACAAATGATACAATGAATCCATGGACAGAAGGTGATATATCTGCTCCATTTGATCAAGAATTCTACTTGGTACATATATAAATATATATACACATATTATGTAATAATATATTCATCATCGTGTAGGTTTTAAATGTAGCTGTAGGTGGAATAACGGGTTATTGGCCAGATGATGAAAGTAAGCCATGGACAAATAAAGATCCTCATGCTCCAAATAAATTCTATGATGCGAAAAACACATGGTTACCTACTTGGGGTACTGGTAATGACTGTGCATTAGCTGTTGATTGGGTAAAAATGTGGTCTTTATGTGATAATAATGAAGAATAATCCACAGCAACAGACTAATAAAAAAAAAAAAAAAAAATACGTTACACTACATACACACCTTAATTATTCCCTTTCCTCTCTGTTTCTCTCTTTATTTTATTTTTTTTTTTCTTAAATGAATAAACCTTTTTTATTTATATATTTGCATGTCTAGACAATTTGGGAATAGGAGCAGTGTAAGGTGCTCAAGTTAAAGATGTTATCTGTTTAACATTATTTGTTTGTTAATGTTCCCGAAAAAAAAATAATAATAATAATAGGAGTTATCAAAATTTGCATAACAGATCCGCTTTATTTGCAGGAGCAGATGAAAGACGAAGTCCATCACCATTGTCTAGAAATGGAGAACCAATGGTTAGCATGAATATGAATGATAGAGATTTAGATTACTTGGAAAGTCAAAATGATGAAGAAATTTCTGGATTATCTGCAAAAGTGCAAATTTTGAAAAATGTAATTGTTAAAGAGTAGTATTATTGAAGCCTTTATATACATGTATATGTGTGTGTTTATTTATATGAATATTTGTATGCATTTATATTTTGTATATGTTTTAGATTACTGGAAAAATAGGAGAAGAAATACGTTCTGGAAACAGTTTTCTTGAACAAATGGTACATGATTAAAAAAAAAAAAAAAAAAAAAAAAAAAAAAAAAAAAAAAAAAGAGAACCAATAATTAAAAATTCGTCTTTTATATAGAATGATCAATTTTCAAATACAGGGTCAATACTTGGGAAAACAATGGATAATTTCAAAATAATGGCATCAAAGGAATCTGGGACTATGTGGTGTCTTTTGACTTTATTTATTGTGTTTATTGTATTTTTCTTTTATTATTGGTTTTTCAAATAAAGTACATGTAGAATAAGAATGGGACACTTTTAAGACGTTTGTATTATTATAATAGGGATTGATTGACAGACAGACAGACAGTCATTCGTTATATGTATATATACTATCTACATATGAAATGACTTTATAAATGGATATATAGCATTTATAGTTCTATACATACAGAGAGCATTTTATATATTTAATGGTATAACAAATCATTATAAAGAAGATAGATGTACATAGTATTAGATTAATGATTAGATTCACGTTCATTCATAGAAGAAGATAGGCTTCTATACAATCCATGACGTATCTCTTCATCACCATCATTCCATTCTTCTTGTCTTCTTTTCTTTCTTACCATAAATGCTGATAAACATGAACAACTTGCAATAGCCGCACAAACAAAAAATGTAAGATTAGGCATTGTCAAGACAGAAGATCCATAAATAAAATTAATACCCAAATGAGATATAATCACTAAATAATAATGGAGTTAATACTATCATACATCATCCCCCTCCAGTGTATATTATACATATATTATCTCTTATTTACTGGCTAATGAATCTAATATAGCTATGGCGCCTAAAAGTTCACCTACTTGATTTCTATTCACTAAAGTCGTAATCAATCCACGAATCGAAGGTTGAGCCAACATAGAGAAACTTTGTAGCATACCAGCTAGTGTGAATACAATGACATGAGTTGCTAAGCCAGATAATGTAAGACAAAGTGCATCGATACCAATACCGATTCGTATCATCCAGATATCAAATGAGATGGAAGAACAATGATAATATCTTTTAAAGAACTTTGATAAAAGGGGCAAGATAGCTATCATCATCAAGAGCTTCATCATAGACGCAAATGTATAATAGAGACTACCTTCGTATGCAGTCCATTTAAATTTAAGCATAGCATATAACAATGTAGGTGGTCTCCTTACTAAAGTCAATAAAAAATCAGCAAGGGCCATACAAGGTAAAGCAAATCGTGTTAAATGAGCTGGACTCTCTTTAAATAAGATTCTTAGTGCTGAAAACACATTTAAACGTTCCCAGAAATGAATTGATTTCACCATGTCATTATCTTGTTTAGGTTGAATAGCTAATTCATTTGATTCTGGCATAAAGAATAGGGTATATATAACATTGATAAAGTCAACAAATAAAGCTATATAAAACACATTCACGATACTTTTCGTATTCTAAGTATAAAAGAAAGAATGAATCACATTTAAAACTATAAACATGTATACAAACATAAATGAATATATACATACCTTGAGGATTAAACTACTGATAAAGGGCCCTATAGCCGAACCAATGAATAAACTTGCCATAAGTCTTGCAAACACGATTGTCCTTTTTTTTTTTTTTTTTTTTTTTTGGTTAACCAATTTATTCATCTTTTCTTTTCTTTTCTTACCTGTTTGACGTGGTTGTACAATCAGCAATATAGGCTTGAACAGTAGCCATCAATACACTTTCGCCAGCCATGATACCTCGGATAAAAGGACCGAAAAATAAAAGTAAAATGCCGATTTTGTCATAATATTTAGCGGTTATTAGATCACAGAATACATAGATGAAATTACCCAATGTAGATATACGAATGATGCATACACGTCCTTTTATATCTGATAAGCGGCCATAGTAACCTGCAACCACCAATGCTTTATATTTATGATTGAAAGAAAGTAGACAAGAGGGAAAAGAGAAAAGAAGATCAGTATTATGTAATAATAACAACAAAAAGATAAAAAAATGATGATGTCATATTTATAATATTACTTGATGCACAGGTTAGAAACATAATGATAGCTTGTGCTTGAGATACTATTTTTTGAACTTCAGGAATAGCACAATCTTTAAATGGTATTAGACTATCATCAATATCATTTTGTGTATTATAATATCTAAGGACAATAGTATGAGTTTATTCAACTCTTTCATTTGTTATTATTATTATTATTATTATTTTTACATGCTACAGAAAACTTCTGTATAAAACTGTACATGAGGTGCAAATAAAGCTCTAAAATTAGGATTATTTATAAGCATATTGTTGTATATTATGTAATGCATATTGCTTGTATGCATATATGTATGTATGTATGTATGCATGTATGCAATTTTTTTTTTTTTTACCCTCCTGAAAAAGCAACTAAAAACATTGGAAAGATGGCATGCCAGGATGTTGGCTTTTTATATGTTTTTAATTTGCCATTAATTAAAGATCTATTTTCAATCATCTTTTCAAGAAAAAAAAAAAGAAAAAGAAAATGAAATAAAACGAAATAAAATAAAAATGCTTGCTTACTTGTAAATGTCAAATTAGGATTCGGTAAACAAATTTCATTGGATCACTGTCAGATAATAACTACTGCTGTTGCTGTTACTTATTCAAAGCCACTTGATATAAATTTACTTTTAAAATCATAACTTTCATTTTCTTTCTTTCTTTTTTTTTTTTTTCTTTCTTTCTTACTTACTTACTTTCTCTCTTTCTTTCTTTATATATTCATATAAATATATAACGATCAAACATGGAAGACAATGTGGAAACTGGAAAAAAGAGAACATCATCTGTACTTGATGTCGAAAAAGTTGAAGAAAATAAGAAATTTGGTTCTCGATTATTAAAAGATGAAAGTGAAGTGTTTAGTTATAATGCTTGGTATTGAACATTGATTTGCATTATTGATTCATAATGGACTCATTGTATATTATCTCATTGTATATTACATAAGGGATCATGTCGATTGGGATGAAGAACAAGAAAAATCAGCTAAAGAGAAAGTATCTGCTCAACTTGAAAACCCTGTTCCTTTAGAAGAACAAGGTATGTTTTTTTTTTCTTTTTAGATAAAATTTGCCCTCTTCCTTTTTAACTCCTCTAAATATCTACTCTTTATATATATATATAGAACAATATTATAAAAATCCAGCAGATTATTGGAATAAGTTTTATGAAAAAAATGAAAATCGATTCTTTAAAAATCGTAATTGGTTAAAGATTGAATTCCCAGAATTATTTGATACAAGTAAAGTAGATGCAGGACGGAAACGAGTATTTGAAATAGGATGTGGAGCAGGCAACACAATGTATCCTTTATTAGAACAAAATAAAAACGCTGAACTCTTTGTGTATGCAGCAGATTATTCAAAGACAGCTGTAGACGTTGTAGTTGGTAACAAAAATTACAATCCAAAAAGATCACTTGCATTTGTATGGGATCTTTCAAGTCCCAACATACCCGAGGAAATTGAAGCAGAATCATTAGACATTGTAGTCCTGATCTTTGTCATGTCAGCATTAGCACCAGAACAATGGGAACAAGCGGTTAAGAACATATACCGTATGTTAAAACCAGGAGGACTTGTATTATTCCGTGATTATGGACGATATGACCTTGCACAATTACGATTTAAAAAGAATCGATTATTAAAAGAAAACTTTTATATTCGAGGAGATGGAACACGCGTTTATTTTTTTACATCAGAAGAAATAGCAAAGATATTTAAACAAGATAATTTATTTAGAATAGAACAAAATGCAGTAGATCGTCGATTAATTGTTAACCGACAACGTAAATTAAAAATGTATCGCGTATGGCTTCAAGGCAAATTCAGAAAGATTTAATTTTATTGTATTCGTATTTTCATTCCATAATGAGCAATATCCATCAAAATCTGTGCCGCCTAATAGAGAAAAAAAAGAAAAATTTAGACTTTTTTTTTTTTGTTAATTTTATTATTAAACCAAACCAACCTTCTTTACCTCTAATAATTGATTTTGTTGATGCTTTGTCATTGTGTGGCATATATCAGTATGTTGTTCCCATTTATGTCTTTGTAAACAATTTAAATGTTTATAATTATATCCACAATGATCACATTGATATTGTCCACCTTGACCTGCACAGGCTTCCAATTTAACACATTCTTCTCGTTCAGTTATATTTGCAAAAGAAGCTAAAGTAGCAGCAGCAGCTTCTAATTCTTTACGTTGTTGCTTTTTTGTTGTCTTTTTTTGTTGTCTTAATTCAAGTATTTCATAGTGATGATTCTTTTTTCTTTTATTTATAGTTGTTGTTGTAGAATCATTCTTTTGACGACGTCCACGTTTTGGTCTACCTAGTGAAGTCTTTTTTGTTTCAATTTGTTGATCTTCTTCAGTCGAGGATGATATGACAGAAGCAGGAGGAGTGGGTAATTGTTGATGATATATAAAATGTTGCTGTGGTGGTATTGAATGATATCCAGGTAAAGTAGAAGGAGGAGGTAATACATAATTTGAAGAAGGGTAATAACCACTAAATAAAGCAGACGGTGGTGGTAAAGAAGTATTTGAACTTTCTTTCTCTGTTGACAGCATTAGTAAAATAATAAATAAATAATAATAATAATAATAATAAAGAGAAGAGAGAGAGAGAAAAAAAATTTTTTTTATTATTATTTTTTTTTTTATTTTATTTTATTTTATTTTATTTTATTTTATCCATAATATTGTTGTTTTTAATAATAAAAGGAGCGGCGATTTAAAAAGTTTTCAAGCTTATTATTAGTTGCAAAAAAGAAAAAATACAATAATAAAAAATTTTTTTTTTTTTTTTTTCACTTCTCCACTTTTTTTTTTTTTCATTTATAATTTTAAATTCAATTTTTTATTTTTCTTTTTTTTTTTTTTTTTTTTTTTGAGAATTAAATGAATAGAATCTACAAAGGGTATAACATAATAAATTAGTATATTATTTAATACAAGTTTTGAATTTCTCGAAGTGCTTCAGCAGAGGCTTGTAATTTATCTTCTTCTTCTTCACAAAGTGATATTTGATAAACACCTTGGACTCCTTCCCATCCAATCTTGGCGGGCATAGATAACGTAACACCATATTTCTCGACATAGACAGATACAGGATGAACTGTTCTCTTATTTAATAGAATAGTATGTACGATATCAGCAGCACAGGCACCAATACCATAAAATGTAGCCCCCTTTAATCGAATAATGTCCATTGCTTTACCTGAGATGGCCCTTGAAACTAGTTTTTTATCCATGGTTTTATATTCAGCCAATTCTTGGATCGGTTGACCGCCGATCATCGCAGCACTCCAGGCAATCATTTGAGAGTCACCGTGTTCTCCAAGCACATAGGCATGGATAGATTGAGGATTGACATGAAAGATGTCACCGAGATGAACACAAAGTCGGGTTGTATCCAAGTAAGTGCCTGAGCCGATCACCTGATGGGGCGGTAAACCAGATAATTTACGTGCAATGTGAGTCAAGATATCAACTGGGTTAGAGACCATCAAGATGACGGCATCTTGTCGAATAGGTTGCATACTATGTATCACATTCTTTAATACTCGGTAATTTCGTTCGATAAGTCTAATCCGAGTTTCTCCTTCCCTTTGTTTAGCTCCTGCTGTAATCACAATGATATCCGTCTGTCCAGCCTCTTGAGCTGTCCCCTCTCGGATACGTGTATGGCTTATACTTGCTGTATCTGCTAAATCAAGAACTTGAGCTTGAACAATATCAGGACTAATATCAACAATTAATATTTCCGAACAAATATTTTTGAACATGAGTGCATAAGCAACTGAAGCTCCAACTGATCCTGCTCCAACAATAGATACTCTAGAATGTGATACCATAATAACGTTATTATCTGATTTAAAGTGAAAAAAAAAAGAAAAAAGTAAAAAAAAAAAAAAAATAGAGAAAAAGAAAAAGATTGATAAATGATTATTAAGTATATTATAAGATTTGACTTTCTTCTTCATAACTACTGGTATAGACGAACTTTAATTTTAGTTATCTGAGTTCTAAATAAATCATGATATTTTTTTTTTTTTTTTTTTTTTTGCATTATCATTGACATAAGCTTAATAATTTGACTGCAACTTTTCATAGAATAGTCAATTTGAGTATAATACTACCATTTTGAATTGAATCTCTCTCTCTTTTTTTTTTTATAATAAATTACACTATTCCTCTTCATCAAAGGTTATCTTTTAGCAGCAATTCGTATTTAATAAATAATGTATTATAATAAGAAGTTGCACATGATCTCAAGGTGATACAACAACACGATTGCAAAAAAAAAAAAAAAATCTTTTTCATTCTGCACTTATTTACCATTCATCATAATAAGCTAAATAGCCAACCGTCTTATTACTATTGTTATGTAACTTATAAAACGAAATAATAAAAAAAGGGGGGGAAACATATATAATATCAGAATATCTTATCAAAAATTCACGATTGGGTATTAGAGGACATCAATGATTTTTTTATTATTATTAAATACTCTGTTTTATGATGTACATTCTATCAGGTTGTTTAACAGCTCTAATATTTCAAATAATCTGATTTGTTTCTCTTTGTTAGACAAAAAGGGAAAGGTATTAGTCTTACGTTCTACTTATATATATACATATATATATATATATATATATATATATTTTCAATATTGTATATATCTATTATATTCTCTTGCTTTAATTCAATGCTATAAAATTTTATTCTCAAGCCTTTTAGATACGGCTAGCAGCAGCAGCAGCAGCAGCAGTAGTAGTAGTAATAGAGAATGGCTTGATTAAAGAAAGAAAAAAAAAAGACATGATATATTGTATTGCATGTAACTCATTAGATAAGACCTTGTAATTGTGTCCATTACACATAAATTCCCTATCTTTGCCCTTTTTTTATTTTTAAAACGTAAACTATCACACAAAGATACAGTATTTAATTACATAGGATCTAGTATACCTTTATGTGTTCGATACCCTGAAGGAATTTGAAGAATTAAATTTCAAAAGATAATAATTGTTGAGGTGATATATGTATATGCTAACAACTAGGAATACTACTATTGATTTATTTAAAGAAATAATAATAGATGATAACGATCTAAAATACTTTAGTTGAAGGATATAAACCTAGTTGCAGCTTGAGTATAGTTTATTTATTTTAAACAAGTATATTTTTCGAAAAAATTATATCTTAGAAGCTCGATATATATATATGCTGTAGTACAATTCTAAGAATTATATCAACTACACAGATTATTCATATCTGGTTCTTTTTTTTTTCTTTTCTTTCCTCAGGTTTATATGCAGAAAGAAAAAAAAATTGTTTACATCTCTAGTTTCTATAAGTTATTAGAACTATAGAGTACAGAATAAAAATCAATAAATCATTTTTTTTAAGAAAACGTTATCAAGGACTTTGACTATAAGTTATTCTATAAAATGTATGTATGAGCTATTCTATTGCATCCCATCTCACTCTATATCATCAACATAACAAGAGTGCTAGATATTAGAAATCAAGTATTTATTTATCGACTTTGGATTCAATTTATAACTGCCTTTTTTCAATAATAAAAGAAATTCTCTTAACATGAGCCCCAACTCTGTTACCTACTACTAACTAATCTCTTTTGAATTATTATTATTTTTTTTTAAAAAAACCATTTAATATGTAAAGATAACAAATAATTATTTATTAAAAGATTAAAAAAAAAAAAAAAAAAAAAAAAAAAAAAAAAAGTAAAAGAAAAAATTATACTTATATATATAATGTAATAGTAAGAGTAAGTAATAGTAGTAAATAGTCATTATAAAAATAAATTATATAAAAGTAAATGTATATAAATATATGAAAAAAAAAGAGAGAGAGAGAGAGAAAGAGAGATCCTATAGTTATTATCGATCTACCGATTCCAAAACACTGGCTGTACTGCTATAACTTGCTGTATACTTGCCAATAATCTTTTTTAAAGCTTTATCTAGATCCTTCCAACGAAATACCTTTAGATCCTTCTCGATATTTCGAGGTTTAGGATCACCAAAGGCCATAATTAATTTAAAGAATTCAGCGGACTCAGGTTTCATCTTGGCTACGGTTCGAGGCTGAAATCCTTCTAGATTTCTTCGAATACGATTCTTTTCTTCAACTGTAAATGAGACACCTAAGAGGTGCTGTAACAGAAAGATACAATCTACGGATGTAATATAATAATCATCCTCCCATCGAATACAGGAGACAAGGATCTGATGACGTAGATCAGGCCGTGGTCGTTCAAGAGTGATACTTGGCATCTCGAATCGTTCACAATGACAAAAGATTTCATTACCCTCTTGACGACGAAAGAAACGAACAAGACGACGTTGGTTATTTTCTTCATCTCGTGTCCAATTCTCCATCATTGTCTCCAAGTCATTTTCAATATGTAACGTAGGCCTGTTAAGAAGATTAGCAAATGGATTAGAGTGAATGATAGGTGGCGGATAAGCAGCGGGGGTACCAGTGGATGTGATAGCTAATGAAGGTGGATGAGGATGAGGCTGAGCAGGTTTTATTTGTATTGGATGTGGTGTAGTTGAAGAGACTGAAGGAGAAGATGGAAGGATTGGTAATGGTTGTGAAAATTGAGATAGTGTATCAACAATAGGTACCATGTATCCTTCATGTTGAGATGATGATGATGGTGGTGGTGCTGGTGCTGGTGGTGCTGGTGCTGTCGGTGGTACTTGTGCACTTAATAAAGATGCTGCTGCTGCTGCTGCTGCTGCTGATGTTGTATCCATTTGATTATCATGTTGATAAGTTGATTGAAATGTGTTAGGAGAATAATTTAACATAGATTGTTCTAAACCCTCCCAAAAAAAAAAAAAAAAAAAAAAAAAAAAAAAAAATAGCTTTAAAAATGCATGCATTTAATACTTGGTTTATATTATTTACCTTCAAAATATTCTCTTGGCCTTGAAGAGGGTTGAGTTGGAGGTAAACCTATATAAGGAACATGTGCAGCCATATTAAGATAACCTGGTGTCGTAGTTGGATAATAAGAAGATACATTTGTAGGTGCATACATACTAGTTGTTAGAGAAGAAGGTGATGTTGGATGTGTAAGATGAACTGTATCAGTACTATGATTCGTTTGTTGTGAAGGAACTATGTGTTCTAAAGAGACAAGACGAGAAAAAAAAAAAGAAGGTATAGAGCGTAAGAGATGTTATTTATATGTCTTTAAATAGATTGAATTTTTACCTTGTTGTTTTGAAGTGTCTGCTATTGTAGTTGTATTATTGAATTGATTAAATTCGTTTGTTAAAAAGTATGAGAAATAGCCAATAAACCAGCAATCCAAAATTTTATTTTGATCTTGTACAACTAAAAGATAAATAGGGACTCTTGATAAGTTTGTACAAGAAACATAATCTGTATTAGGCACAGTCGTATGAAGTATCATTGTTTGAGTGACTGTATTCAGTGAATATTGACATGTGGTGAAACAAGTATTAAAAGCGATTCTTAAAAGACTTGGGTCGATATCATGTATATCTAATTCAATTTGAAAGGAATCATCCACTTGACCCTGTAATGGTCTCCAGTCTAATACTCGTGGTTGTTTAAATGCATTTGTGGATGGATGAGGGATCCATTTATGATATGTTGTTGGTAAATTATTAAAATCTTGAATTGTATATGTTTAGACGTCATAGATATAATATTAAAAAAGGAAAAAATAGTGTAGATATATGTATTTACATTACTTTGTGGCATATGCATCAAAGAAAAGATAGCAATAAAATGATAGCTGAGTATATATGTATTTGTGTGTGTGTATATACATATATATTTTTTTTTATCTATCAATGTACAATCACACAATAATTCAATTGTCAAACTGACTAAAAAATGATAAAAAAGAAGGTAAGTAAAAAAATAAAAAAATAAAAAATAAAATAAAAGGAAAGACAAAATATTCTTTTTTTCTTGAGCAAAAATAGTATGAAAAAAAAAAAGAGAGAGAGGGAAAATACATGCACACGATGAAAAAAAAAAAAAAAAAAAAAAAAAAAAAAAAAAAAAAAAAAAATTGTTAGCGTGACATTATAATGTTCTTTTCATAAAAAAAAAAAATCTGTTTATCCCAGCAGCCAAGTTAAAAATAACTGTTTTCTATTGTTAAGTAATAAAATTAAACTTACACACTTGTACCTTTTTTATTACCTAAAAAGAGAAGGATTTGTATCTTTTTAATAATTGACAGCTGCATAAATGTCTGGTTTTTTTTTCTTGTCTTTTGCTTATTTACCTTGTATCAAAGAATACGGCTGTATTGTATGGTAATAAACAGAACTAGTTTGTGTGTGTGTGTGTGTGTGTGTGTGTGTGTATGTATGTATGTGTGTATATGTATATATATGTGTATATGTATATGTATGTGTATGTGTATGTATGTATTTCTATATGTTTTCTATTTCTTTTCTGATTTTTTTCATCCAAAAGAAAAAAATAAAGACTTACGTGAAAAAAAACCAAGAAAAAAAAACGTCTTTTTTGTTAATATTGGCGTTTATAAAATTTCTTTAAAGAAACTCTTTGAATAAAATGATTCACTATTACTTTCATTTCATATACAAAATAGAAAGCAATTATTATTAAAAAGAGGTGCCGTTAGTCTAGTGTTCTCCACTTTAAATTTAATTATTTTCCGATCCATAACGTTAAAAACGCATGGTTGTACATCATTCACCACCCATGTGATACTTACCTATTATAAAAGAAAAAGAGAAAAAAGAAAAGGAAACGAAGAAAAAAGAATAAAAAAAAAAAAGTAATGTATGCCTTTTTTTACTTCTTCTTGTTTTCATTATATATGCACGAAAGGTAAAACTACTTCAATTATATTTAAGCTTTGCAAAAAAAAAAAAAAAAAAAAAAAAAAAAAAAAAAAAAAGAATTTATAGCTTGAATGATGTTATAATTTGAAACAATTCAAATAAAAAGGATTTTATTCATGAGAATATTATGTTTGTTAACTTGATTGAAAAAAAAAAAAAAAAAAAGAAAAGAAAGAAAGAAAACTGGTATTGTTTCAGTGTATAAATGTTATTCAGACAACGAATATTATTGTGTGTCATGTTATATTCATTATTACTGTAAACTACATTTGTCTTTTATATATTTATATAGAGTAGCTTATTGCTAAATTCAAAACTAGGATCAAATATGAACATTTACTGTTATGCATAATCTTATTTAATAATCAGATATGTTTATAATATATACACACCTTTATCTGATCTTGAGTCATTATTATTGTTAACAATACTATAGAAGGCTATATATAAAAAATATATATTTTTGTATATATAAATATCATGCTTCACAAAACAAGCCCCTCTTCTATTATAGTATTTATATACACATATCTCCAATAGTGTTAATCTTTTTTTTTTCTCTCACATCTTAATTCCTCGATAATAAATAGAGTAGAATAAATAACTACAAACTGTAATAAAATATAAATACTGATGAATAAAATAGGGGTTTTTTTTATTGCATCATGGTTAGTTTATCGACACTCATTATTTATTTTAAATTCCTTAAATAAGGGTCTCATAAGCAATGGGGGCAATAGTTTGAGGAACATTACCCTTGGTAGAAACATGACGAGCTTCACGAGGTTGAGCAGGGATTCTCTTAAGGTTGAAAGAAACTATACAAAGAAATAACATTCAATAATCTATATACCTTAATTTCTTTATATAATTTATATATTTACCACCAGCAGCCTTAGCTTCCTTCTTCTTTTGAGCGTTGGCAGCAACACGATCCAAGAATTCTTGACGACACTTGGAATGCTTAACATGTTCGACACGGACGTTAACACGCTTTTCCATGTAACGGTTACCAACTCTCTTGTGAACAATGACACCAACAGCAGACTTAGTGACATTGTAAACAACACCAGTACGACTATTATATTAAATACTTTTACATTAGCTATTTGGTCCATCACTTTTTATTTTTTTTTGTTTTTTTTTTAAATTGATAATCTTACCCATGGTAGAACTTGTGAGGCATACCCTTCTGGACAGCAGCGTTGGCCTTAATGTCGACAATATCGCCAACTTTGTAAGTTTTCAAGTAAGTAGAGAGAGGAATGACACCATGCTCTCTGAAGTTACGAGAGAACATATGGCGAGTACGAGCGCGAACTAATTAAACACAAATAAAATAACAACTCTTCAATTAACTGAAAAATGTTCTCATCAATACAATCTTTCTAATTCGAAACTTACGACCGAACGAGTGAGGCATCTTGTACGAAGTGGTATGGAAAGAGACCGAAAAAAAAGGCTGAAAAGAAAAAAATTATTATTATAGTCTGAAGAAAAAAAAATTGTGGTGGCTTAGATTTTTTTTTTTTTGAACGGTGTTAAAGTGAGAAAAAAAAGAGCAAATCAAAACTATACTAATGTAATAATATTCAAATTTTTATTCTGTTCGTATACACATATACATTTATATAAACGATTAAAGCTGAAATTAACTGTACTTTTTTTCTACTTTTAATAATATCTTCTTCTATTTTATTTAATAGACCTTTTCTTTAATTCTTTTGTTTATACAGTCAATACGCCACTTTATTTTGTAGTTTATGTGGCTTATGTTTATCTTTATTTCGGCCAATCAAAAATATGGAAATGAAAATTTTTTATTCAATTTTGTTACTCGACTTTTTTTTTTTTTAAAAAAAAAAAAAGAATAAAGATTAATTCAAACTGTTTGTTTTTTAATAGTTCTTTCTCTTAAACTTTTTTTTAAAGTATGACCGGTACTACCAGAACCTACAGCAAGACATCCACTGTCCCTAAGCGTCCTTTCGAATCCGCTCGTCTTGACCAAGAACTCAAGTTGATTGGTGAGTTTGGTCTCAAGAACAAGAAGGAAATCTGGAGAGTCGGTCTCACTCTTTCCAAGATTCGTCGTGCTGCTCGTGAACTTTTGAAGCTTGATGAAAAGGATCCTCGTCGTCTCTTTGAAGGTAATGCCCTCATTCGTCGTCTTGTTCGTATTGGTGTCCTTGACGAATCCCGTATGAAGCTCGATTACGTTTTGGCTCTTAAGATTGAAGATTTCTTGGAACGTCGTCTTCAAACCCAAGTTTTCAAGTTGGGTCTTGCCAAGTCTATCCATCATGCTCGTGTCTTGATTCGTCAACGTCACATTCGTGTTGGTAAGCAAATCGTCAATGTTCCTTCTTTCATTGTTCGTTTGGACTCTCAAAAGCACATTGATTTCGCTTTGACTTCTCCTTATGGTGGTGGTCGTGCTGGTCGTGTCAAGAGAAAGAGAGCTGCTGCTGCCGCTGGTGGTGATGATGCTGAGGAAGACGAAGAATAAATTATACACCCATACTATATATGAACCTTTGCAAAATAAACAATGATGTTCATTTAATTACACTATTTGTTTTTATCTTGAACATCTCAATTGCAAAGCACCTGTCGATATCTATATTCATGGATATCACAGTATCATATACCTTTCATTATCAAAGAGGAGAAACAGACAAGTTTTTTTTTAAAAAATATTGAGAAATTAAGAATCTGTTGAAGAACAAGAAAAATCCCTTTTTTTTTTCTTCTTCATCGCTATGAGAGAATGTTGCTTACTTACATCATCCATATAGTCTGTCTGTTTTATTCTGTTTCTCATCCTCGAATTATTGATTGGTTTATGTTTTGTGCGTTGAAATTGTAATTGAGATGTTGATTAAGTTTTTAATTAATTAGCTTGTTAGTATTGTGAATTACATTCCATCTTTGTAAGAGATTAGAAAGATGATGTATGATGAATAATTGTTCAACTGTATAACTTTAACCCGTTTTTCCTATGAATGAATGTAAAAGAATGTTTTCATGTGCATTGAGGTTATTACAATTGGTATTCAAATTTATTTATTTGAAAGAATTAAGCAAGTAAATTGTATTATATGTTTGTAAAGCTCCTAACCTAGTGTTGTAATACAGTCGTTCAGCTTCTTCTTTGGGTTAATGAAGAGCGAAAACAAGTGGAAAAAAAAAATAATAATGTTAATTTTTAAACAATTGACATGTAAATATATTGATCGTTCAAGGTTGAAACTGCACTGTACACTTTATGTCAATGTCTCAAGTAAAAACTCTGGGTCTTTCCCTTCCAAATAGAAAGTGATGAGATATCAAGCATATCTTTTACTAGCATTGATTTAGCTGTTTCATATTATGCATTTGAGTATATATTTGTAAGAGTTTTTAACCATTGGAAAGTTTTAATGTCTTTAAGTATTTTATTTTATTTTTTTCTTGCAGTTTTTTTTTTTTTTTTTTTTTTTTTTGCATATCTAATATCCATAGTTTAAAGTAAATACACATATTTAAGGATTGAATTGTTTTACATGACCCTCATAATAATTCTGAAGGCTGCCATAGATGTAACCAGAATACTATCATGTTAAATACCTTTTTTTTTCGATACAATAATAGGTACAATACTGAGTTATTGATTTTATAAAGAAACAGTTCAGGCTCTTGGCGAATAATTACATTTATGTAAGATAATAGAATCTTTTCATTAGTATCAGTATAAAAGGCTTGCTGCCACAGAAAGGAAGCAGTTGTGAGAGAGGAAGTTTTGAGAATGATGGATACATAATTTTAAAGGAACTACTGACAGACTTATAACAAGAATACCTTTATGTTCTATCATACATACTCGTATACAAGAGCCCTTCTGCTTCTCCCAGCCAAACAAGGGTTGTTCAACTATTCAATGTGATTGAACTTATATGAGTGACATTATAAACTTGCATAATTATATCCAGTATGTCTGATGAATAGCTAATTTTTTAGTTGCAGAAGATCATCTCTAATGTATACTATGGATCCATATTACATAATAGCTTTATCTAAAAAATGAATTTGTTTGTCCAACAGTTTAGGAATGACACAGTATCAATCTTAAGCTGAAAAAAAAAACTATATCCAATAAAATCTCTACAATCCGTTACAGATAAAAAAATAAATTCATATTCACATCTATTTATTCATTTATTTATTTTTTTGGTATATATTTCTTTACATATTTTTTTTTTCTTTAAAAAAAAAATTATTAACTTGGATCTTCCCATCTCACTCCCTCTACAACCATAAATAGGCACTTGTTCGAATTCACTGGTATTTATTTATTTTTCTTTTTTCCTTAAAAAAAAAAACCATGATTAAATCTACATGTTATTTTCTTTATTCTTTCAATACCTTAACATTCACATGTTGAAGTATTGAAAATAAAAGAAAATATATATTTATATGTTTATTTTTTTAATATAAATATAAAATGTTGAAACATGAAATCCTTACACTACATTTTTTTTTTCTCTCTTAATCTTTCTTTCCCAGAACACAAATTCACTTCTTTATAATTCACACATCACAGAAGCAACCCTTATTATTTCACTTTTCTGCTTTTTAATTTTCATTCCAATTCTCTTTTTCTTTTTTCTTTTTATCCATTACTTAATAAGGATATAAATTTTATACACATAATAAGGTAACTTGCAAAATAAGGATATTATATATCCATATACATATAAATATACATATATATTTGTATACATATATATACATATATATATATACGTGTTTACTTAATTGAATATAGATGTCAGACAACGAAGCTAACACTGGTTCACCTATCGATAGGTCAAAAAGACCTCGTTTTGATGAAGAAGAATGGGATTCCGATTATGAAGCAAGTAATCACGAAGATCGTCATCCTAAGCGACTTGCTGTGCCAGACCCGGAAACAAAAGCACCTCATTTTATTCCATCCGCAGAAGATAATGTTAAACAAGAAACAATAGAAGAACTTGAAGTTGAAAAAGGTAAATATACAATTATCTTTTACAGATTAAATAGAATAGGAATAGAATAGAAAGGAAGGGGTTGGGTTGAGTTTTTTTTTTTTTTTTTTTTTCTTAACATTATTAAATAGACGATAAAGCACGCTCGAGTATTAGTAAAGATCCAATTATTAAAAAACCGAACAAGAAGGAAATGAAACGATAGCAATTCGTTCTTTAGTAAGTACAAAAGATGCTGGTGTCATTATTGGTCGAGGCGGAAAAAATGTAAGTGATATTCGTGAAGCATCATCTGCTCGTGTCACAATCTCCGAAATAGTGCCTGGGGCTTATGAAAGGATTTTAACAGTAATTGGTCCTGTTGATGCTGTTGCCAAGGTAAAAAGCAATAAAGGCTTGAGATTATAAACAAAGCATTCAATGTGTTATATATATTTATATTTAGGCTTATTCATTAGTTGCTGAAAAGATATTATCTGAACATACTCAATTAGACGATAAGAGCAATGAGCAACAAACATTAGTTATTAAATTACTTGTACCTGATAGTAAGATGGGTACTTTGATAGGCAAATTGGGTAATACCATCAAATCGATTCAAGAAACAAGTGGTGCTCGTTTAAATGCTTCAGAAGAATCTCTGCCCTTATCTACTGAACGTACTGTGTCTATTCAAGGCACGCCTCATTCTATTCAACAAGCTGTACAACGTGTTGCTAAGACATTATTAGACCATCCTGACCGTGGGTCAGTCAATAATGTACCCTATAGGCCTATAGCAGCTCATGGTCGTAACCATCGTAATGGTAATTACATGGGCATGAGATCAAATAATAACAACAGTAATAATAATCCTGCTGCCGCTGCTGCTGCCGCGGCGGCGGCTGCGGCGGCTGCTATGGGATATGGTGGTATGATACATATGGGTTCTATCCCGATGAATAGTGCTGCTGCAAGTCAGTTTTATTATGGAGTTGGGCCTTCTACTACTACTGGTTATGCTGGTATGCCTACTTCAAAACAAAATGATTATACTATGGCTGCTATGGGCGGCATGGGAGCAATGAATGCAATGGGTATGAATAACATGGCTGGCATGACCGGTATGACCAACATGAACTCTGCTACTCAAGCTCAACAAATTTTCATTCCTAATGAAATGGTAAGATGATGATGTGTATTTATAGATATGTTATGTATAAATGTTTATTCATTCTTATTTTAATTTATGTAGGTTGGTTGTATTATTGGTAAAGGTGGAAGTAAAATTAATGAAATTAGACATTTAAGTGGCAGTCACATCAAGATTGCTGATCCTCATGGAGATGCTAATGAAAGACTAGTAACCATTACTGGTACACCTGAAAGTAATCAAATGGCACTTTATCTTTTATATGCTCGTCTTGAATCAGAAAAAAATAGATTAGGTTTACATCAGAGTTAAAAGGAATTATCCCAATTGTTAAGTAAATTCTATTGGTTATTTTATTATATTATTTTTTTTAAAAAAAAAAAAAAAAATCATTTTTTGTTGTCGTTGTCTTTCTTTTGCTTTAATATGAAAAATATACTTTTGACGTTTATAATATGGATAAGTTGGGTTACTGCGTATCCTAGTGCACCAGGAACAGTAATGTACATAGAGTGTTAAGGCGTACAAAAAAAAAAAAAAAAAAAAAAAAAAGAACAACATGAAAAGCTAACCTTTATGGTAGTGCAACATGAATAAGATGGCGACAATAGGGCATGGACCTTCTAAATCAACCTGTCCAGATTGTTATGGTGTAAAGATATCAACTGATTCGCCGTCACTTGTCAATATACATTTGACAGGTCGGTATGCATATCAAGGGATTGTTTTACTTGTTAAAGATAGATACACAAATAAAACAGTGGGGGAATTTCAAGATTTTGACGAGACTTTATTCACTGCAGTAGCCTGTGATGATGATGAAGATGAAGAAGATCAAATTGAGCCTGATTCAACTGCAGTCTTGGGACATATTGATGCTAAACTAAAAGATTGGCCCGTCAATGTAGGTTGGAACATGGAAGCAATAAAACCAGTAACTGAATTGAAATTACAAGGGATGGTAGTTGTAAAGTTTAATATATTACATGTATATATGTTTTCAAGTTGATTGATTATATATGATATAGCTTGATTATGATAATTTCCATTTGATTCCAGAAACAGAGTTTAAAATAATTAGAAAAATAGTAAAACAGCATGCTACCACAACGACTATTCTTCCTTCGAACACCTTGGAAGAACTACCGGTTATTGCTACTCAAACTACAATTGAAATAGAACATGGAGCAGAAACAGTTGTGAAACAGGAATCAAACATATTATTTATGTGGGTGTTTACCATTTTTTTATTTATTTATTTTTCCATGTCCATATGCTATCGTCAATTATCTAAACACCGTTTAATGACAAAGAAGCGTACTGCTTCTTCCTTATTACAACAACCAGATGACATTTTACTTGTTGCAACGAATAATACAAAAGATTGTTAAATCTATTTTTATTATTATTATTATAAATAAAACGAAAAATGATTACACTAATTATAATAATAGACAATATTTATTTGAATCGTTTTTGTTTTTCAAAAGTGCAAAATATAAATAATCAAATACCTATTATAAGAAGGGGAGGGAAAAAAAAAACTGTATATTTACTATCTACGATAACTGGGACTACGACTGCGACGATCACGATAATTTCTATGCCCATTAGAACTACGACTACGATCGCGATAGCTTTTACGAGCATTAGGACTGAGACTACGACTAAGGCTTCGACGACTAGAACGTCTAATAGGACTGCGACTGCGACTATAGCTAGGGCTTCGGCGGCTACGTCTAATAGGGCTACGTCTAATAGGGCTGCGTCTAATAGGGCTACGTCTAATAGGGCTGCGTCTAATAGGGCTACGTCTAGTAGAGCTACGTCTAGTAGGGCTGCGTCGTCTAACAGGACTACGGCTACGACTAGAGCTACGACTACGACTAGGACTACGATAACTAGAGTGTTTAGCAGGGCTACGACGATGGTCTCTACGCGAAACAGGACTACGACTTCTACTTGAAACTGGAGTACGGCTGCGACTTACACTATAGCTATTACGACTGCTACGGCTACTAACACTAGCGCTGCGACTACGACTGCGACTGCGGCTACTAACACTCGTACTGCGACTGCGACTACGACTACGACTGCTACTGCTACTGCTACTGCGACTGCGACTGCGACTGCGACTGCGACTGCGACTGCTACTGCTACTACGACTACTGTAGCTACTACTACTTGAATATGAAGAGGAATCACTATCATAAGAGGAACTACTAGCGGTACTGCTGCCACTATCACTTTCAGAATCACTGTCGCTGTCACTCTCATCTTGTTTGATACGTTGTTGTGGAGCAGTTCTTAACCACTCACGTAAATCTTCTGTAAGTGCACCAAGTCCAATACTGGTCCAATAGTTAATAGCAAAACGTGTATTCTTTGGATTATCCTTAGGAAACATACCGGCCAAACTTTCTGACATGTATGGATCCATTATACGTTCCTTTAAGGTCTTTAAACCTAAGAATTCATTGATCTCTTGGAATAAAATTTTAATAAAGATACGAGATGCAGATGTGGTATCTTCTTCTGTTAATCGAATAATATGAAATGCAGTCCATGGAAGTGAATCTGTATTAAAGAGATGAGCAAATAATTTACCAATGTTACGAAGTCTATTAGTTTCATAACGATGAATAGTTTGAAAGACTTCGGTAAAGCAATCAACAAAGGTATCTACCCATAAACGGTTCATTTTACAGAAACGCTCTGCCATTAAACCATAGTATTTCAGATAAGTACGTTCTTGAGAACAGCATTCAATAACCATATTACATAACTCAGGCTACATTTATAAATACAAATTTTAATAACTTGAATAACATAGTGTGATTCATATTTATGCTTACCTGGTATTTTTCAGGGATATTTAACTTCATTAATTTATGACATGCTTCTTCAAAGTTGACGCTAGACATGATTGTCAAATAAATTCTTCTCCTCAATTCAATAACTTCATCATTTGTTTTATCAACAATTTCCATTCTATCTTCTTCTTCCTCTTCATCCGAAGATTCTTCTTCATCGCTACTTCCACTCTCTTCCTCTGATGAGCCACTTTCTGCATCAGAGTCTTCACCAAGAATTTCAGCTTTAATAGCGTTGTATTTTTCTTCATTTTCTGTATAATCTGGATCATATTTAAATATATTACACATGTCTTCTGGATCAAGGTCGTCATCATCTAAACTAATATTATGAGTAATTTGATCTTCTTCTTCGACAAGATCCAGCTCTTGAATAACAGGTTCATTATCTTTATATTTATCTTTTCGAATTTGAAATAAAACTTCGATCATATACTGGATACGTTTATCAATTTCTCCCTCATGTAATACTGCTCTAAATCTTTCAAAGATAGCATTATTAGCTTTAGGGCAAACTTGTGCTAAAAGTGCTCCAACTTCACGCATGAAACCAACTGCTATCTCAACTGAATCATCTGTGGGTCGTTCTAACAAGAGGGCTAATATTTGAAGAGCAAGAACTTTGTCTGCAACAAGCTGATTAGTGAGGTGAGCAATAAACATAGTAGTTGCAAGGCAAGAGGTCTATTAAAGCAATGCAAATGTTAGACACATATATTTATACTAGTTTTTATTATTATTATTATTATTATTATTATTATTAGCAATTACCTTGTCATTTCGTCTAAAAGCTCTTCTAAATTGAAGTATTAAACGCGTCAATAATAATGCACCTACTGCTGGTAATTTTGTATTAATAACTGCTGTTGTAGCTGCATAGACAGGTGTAAATGGTAAACTAGCTTGTTGTGCTTTCATCATACTGCGGCAAAATAATCCTCGACCACGAATAAGATTTTCACCGAATAATTCAGGTATGATCATTTTTATATTTGATGTATTGACTTTGTTAATGAGACCGTTAATTGATTTTTTTAATGCCTCCCAGGTAATACGTTGATATGCTTCACTGCTTGTGTCAGTAATAGATTGTTGCATTTGACGTAAACGATGGGGTGGGATGTATGCACCACCCGCGCGTGTTGTTATATTCATTGTGTTTATTTGGTTAGATGCTTTTGATTGCACTTCTGTGCTCATTTTGCTTTTCTTTTTACTTATTTTTTTTTCTTTTAGAAATGGAATGTGTAATTTATAAATGAATATATAAACGTAAATGTAAAATTTAAAAAAAAAAAAAAAAAAAAAAAAAAAAAAAAAAAAAAGAGAGAGAGAGAAAGAAATTTTTTAGTAGGGAATTTGAAACTCCTAATAAGATGGGAGAAAAAGGTATTTTACATGGAAAGGCACTTTTTTTTTTTTTTAGATATAAATAACTCAAAGAAGAAAACCGCTAAGAAATATATCAATAATACAAAGTATGAACAAAATCAAATAAAAGGATTAGTTAATAATAATCTTGTAAGTATTGATTTATAGGATAAAAAGTCCATTATGTTACTAGAGGCAAATTGCTGACTTTGCCCCTGTGATATTTAATAAGGCTTTTTTTTTAAAAAAAAAATGCAGTAATTGGGAACTATAGTTTAACAGAAATTAAAAATTATCCAAGAAAAGGAATAATGTATTCGAAGGTGAATATATTTTGTTTATTGTAAAATTAAGTTGTCTTTTGTTGTGTAGCTGTAGCTATGGCTTTTAAACAGATATAAACGCCGAATATCTAGACTTTTCTATTCTCAAAACATAATTATATTACTACATTAAAGGGTAATACACTTTCTTAATAAAATCAATATGCATGAATATTTTCTTTATTCTTTATACAATTACTACGTAATTAATATTTATTTAAATAAAATAGATATAAACAAAAAAAAAAAAGTGTATTTAACATAAAACAATAATAATAATAATAATAAAAGAATACACAATTATTTTTTTAACGTCGTCGTCTTCTATCGTGTCTTCTATCATCAACTCGACGCTCTTCCCTTCTCCTCTCATCAGGACGGCGCTCTCCTCTTGATCTATCATCCCGAACATCTCTTCTTTTCTCAGGACGATCATGACGTCCTCTATCTTCAGCTTCTCTTTTGGCTCCTCTAGAATCAGATGAACGAGATACATTAGCAGTAGTAGGAGAGGGGCCACTACGTCGAGGGGAGGAAGGTGCATTACGTGTCTCACGCCCACTTTCCCGTCCACTTTCGCGAGCAGAATCGCGAGCAGAATCACGGCCGCCTTCACGACCAGACTCGCGTACAGTTTCACGACCAGACTCACGTACAGTTTCACGACCATTTTCTCGAGTAGTATCACGACCAGAATCACGAGAAGAGCGAGGAGGATCAGCTTTTGTTTCCCTAGGAGAACTTCGTCTAGTTGATGATGGTGTGGTTCGGTGGTGATGACGGCTGCTTTCATCAACACGTGCTGATTTGTCAGGACGAGAGCTTTCACTCCTAGATGAGTCCTCACGTTGTCTCTTTTGTGTTGAGGATGAAGAACTAGTGGCGCTCTGTACTTGATTTTGTGAGCTACTACTTCTTGATGAAGTGTGCTTAGCAGATGACTCATCAGCACGCTTTTTCCCGGTATCGTCTTTACTACTACTATTAGACTCGCTACTATGATTATTATTACTACTACTACTGCTGCTGCTAGTAAGTGCAATTTTTATATCTACAGGAGCAGGGTCATTTTTGATACCAAGGAATGTTTGTTTTGGAATCCATTTAGATTTATATTTTGTGATGAGGCCAAGGTAACTTCTTGCAAGCACTTTAATATTACCACGCTTTTCTTCTTCAGCAAGCCTCTTGACTACTTTTACAAGTATATTACCATGCTCTTGAACAAGAGGGAAGCAAGGTATAAATTGGCGAAGTACCAAGAAAGAATTTTTAATTACATATGCATCATCAGATTTAAGTGCATGTTCGATCACAACTGTAGTCTTAAAATGCCATTTGTGTAGGAAACGCTGGAATTCACTAAAAGCCAAGAGATCTTCTTTTTTGATAGGAACTGAAGAATCATCATTCCAATTTTTCTGAAAACCAACAAGATTATCTCCAATAGCTTCTTTATTATAAAGTTTTTCATCATCGCACCATCCTTTCATCTTCATTAGTGACTTATAAAAGAATCGTGAGTAGTTTGTGGCTTCATATTCAGAGAGGGCTATAAAGCAAGGTGATAGGTACTCTGATAGTATTCTATCAAATAAAGTTAAACTTGAGAAGTTTGGTACATTTAGACGATGCATTAGCATACTGAACTCAAAGCAGAAAGCAGCATCAATTTCAGATTGTCTACTTCTATGTAAAATGCAATAGTCCATAATACTTGCAGTTTGAGCATCCCGTTGTTTAGTGGCAGGAAACCAGCGTGACTTAGCTTCGTTCAAAACAGAAATAACTTTTGCAACATGAGCTTTATGACGAGGTAAGTCCTCACGAAGCACTTCCAAACTAGCTTGAGCTTGACGTTCTGCTTTGCTGACTACCGAAGGACGGTTACTTTGATAAAAGGAACTACGAGTATCTTGACACTGGCGAACCATCTCAGTATGACGCTTAATGGCTGCTTCATAATGGCTTTCAGGACAGTATATATCATATAAGCTAAGCTGCCAGAAGATAGTATAGAACTCAGATGAAAAATATGTAGACAAAGGAGGACTTGGTAATAAAGAAGGTATAACATCATTCAAGGGTTTGAAAGGAGGCCATATTTCATCTTTAACAACAGGAGTTTCCAAATTCTTTTGAATTATAAATTGCGTCTTAGGACGATTGAAGTTTAATGCAACTTCAAGAGGGAGAGCATAATCTCTAACTAGTATATCAACATCAGGCATAAACGATGCAAATTCTTCGCCTTCAAATAAAGACATTAATAATTCAAAATACTGTAACTGAGTCTGTCTTACACGATCAATTTTTGAGCATCGAGTACTAGGCTGAATATCTTGTTCAATTTCGTAAACTTCTTCAAGTCTGTAGAGCAGAACAAGAATTTCAAAGCCAATATTATTTCGACGAAGAGAGTCTTTAAGCCGGTTTAATACACGACGTGATGCACGACGATTATCCATAGAAATAGGTAAGAAGGCTTCAGTTTTGAGGAATTCAGAGCAGCTAGCTGCAGTTATTTGATCTTCAGTACAAGCACTAGCCAAGATTTCAATACCTCCCATCTTTGTAATAAATTCATTAAGAATAATAAGATCTGATACTGCGTTATCATAACGTAAACGACGCGCTATATAGCGTAATAAAGGAGTTGCTTCAATATCTTGTTTCTTAAAAAGCATACCAGCAAAGACAGAAAGAGCACGTAACCAAGTAGCGGGCATACCGTCTTCTTTTTCTTTAGTTTTAGGGATTCGACCAGGACCTTGTGAGCCCGTCCATTTATCAGTAAGTACATATCCAAGAACATCATATGAAAAATCACCCAGATAACGACAGGCATCAGCTAACATTGGTGCCATATTATCAAACTGCTGTAACTGATCCAACATAATATTAAACACTAATGTAGGATTAGAATGGGCTAATTTACCCAAATCGCGACTACAACGACGTACATCATTCTTGGAAATACGGCGCATTACGCCTTTTATGGCACGTTCAGTACGGGCTTTTAATAATTTTGTTTCAATAGTTTTTTTGTAGAAATCAGTAAACCATTCACCATATAGTGCATACCTTTCTTGAAAAGAGAAATGGCACAATACTTCCCAGACGCTGGCCATTGTACCAGGGTTTCCGTGACTAAAGGAGATAGCAGGTAAAAGAATTTCACGAAGCATATTATTACAGTGAACGCGACTATCAGGAATTTCTGAGCCACGCTCAATAATCCCACCAATAATTAAAATAAGCTTATGTATAAGGTCTGTAACCAAGTATGTACGATGACCAGCAAGACGCATTAAAGGCAAGAAATGAGTAGTTAAACATTCTACTGTTAAACATGGCTGTAAATTATCTTCCCACTCTTTATAGAAAAATACATATCGCTCTTTCTTGATTAAGTCACGAGTATTGTGTAAAAGCGCATCAGTAACAAGAACAGACTTAAATTCGATATGATCAGGTACAGTAGGATTTGGGTCGTCTTGTGTAGAAAAGGCAGATTTAATCTTTGAGGCTTCAGCACATTCGTGAAGATGGGTATAAAGTGCTTGAGTTTTAGGAGGTACAAAAATAGTATAAGCAGGTTCAAGGACAGCCTTACAAAGACGGTAGATATCATGCGCAAGTTCAGGAAATAAATCAATGAGCTTATCATATTCAGAGAGCATCAACTGTGCATTTTTCAAATCTCCAATAGAAAGTAATGCTTTTGTAAGCTCCACGACATCATTACCTTCGTACTTTTTTATAGGGGTATCTTTAGTGTATGTTTCATTTGCATCAGTATTAGGTGTTGGACGCTTCATAAGCTCTGTGTTACCATCCTCACCAAGCGCACCATACATCTATAATTAATTTTTAAGGAGTACAATTAATCGTCCATGTTATAAAAAAAAAATGTATAAACACATATACTTACAGCTAATTTACCACCAGTATTAGTTGTGATTTCTTTATTCATTTTAGAGATATAATCGTTTTTTAAAGACTCCATATCTTCATTGTAAGGATAAAGCTATTTATTTTTATACAAAAAAAAAAGGTTATGAATTGTTATTTCCTTTAAAAGTATCAATCACCTACATAAGATAAAATATCACTAAGCTTGATAAGATTATGCTTTAACAAAATGGCAATTGCATAGAATATTTCCTGAGGCACCTTTTCATACAAAATGTTCTAATATAAAAAGTTTGTTTATATTAATATGAATTTTATAAAATTTAAACTTATTATAACTTACATGATAGTTGTGAAATCTGAAACCAAAGAGTTGCGCCATAATAGCACTGGGGTTGATAGTTTCCTCAAGATTAAGTTCAACGAATTTCATGGATTGAATCCAGTCAGATTTTTTGATAAGTTCAATCCAGAATATATAGTTGGTCATAACTTGACGAATAAAGAAGTCCAAAATGATGTCTAAAACACGATTAGGATCAAGGTGGAATACGCCCATAAGAGATGTAATAGAATTTAAAAGATAAGGAATTTTTATCATTGGATCAATAGTAGAAGAGCCATTAGTATCACATTCGTTATGAATACTAGCGTTAGTAAGTTCATTAAGCAAGTTGGAATAACCTTCACCAGCCTCTCGAGCAAGGTTGAATTTATCTTGTTTATAACTTTATTAAAATAATCAGTTAATTAAAATTTTTAAGTATAACAAAACTAGAATTAAACTTACAGCATAGCAGTATTTAAACGAATAAGTCGTCTCTCAAACGCTGCTTTATTGGAGATAACACCACAGTCAACTAATAATTGAACACTAAGATGAACTTTACAATCGTTCGCATCAATTGCTTTAGATTCCTAAAATAATATAAAAAATGATTATTGTAAATAAAGGAAAGAGATTAAACGCGTAAAGATGAACTTGATTAAGATACTAAAAGGATTATTACTTACCAAAAGACCCTTTATTAATCCTGTTAAGCATCTTGTCTTTTGTTTATAATCTTCAGCAATGTCTGCTCGATCAGGATTATTAATTGATTTTTCACGTAAGATCTCCCAGAGACAATCATATGTTTTCAAGGTGTTGAAATACAAAGCTTTGGCATCGATGTTATTCTGTTTAAAGTAAGCATCTTTATCAGTAATTATAAATGATGCAAGTTTGACAAAGTTGGGAATAGATCTACGTCCAAAATAAGTTTCCTTGCAAGCAAGTTGAATTGATTTGCGGAAAGCGCTGCTACCGCCATGTTTATAAAATGGGGCATTATTTTTTTGATCTTCAAGCTCTTTTTCAAATGGAATGTCGCTTGTGAAAGTAGCGTTGCTGGTTTCTTCTTTAGACATTCTCCAGTTCAAAAAGAAAAGTTCAAAAGAAAAAAAAAATAAATAAGAAACACCTAAGGAGTTAACATAAATGCTCAAAATTTAAACAGTCACTGGTTCTCTTTTTTAGATTTCCCTGCTAATCAACTTTGTTTATTACAGATAGGAACATTGTAAAATCCCCTAGAAATATTAACAAGAAGTTATTTTTGATGGTATTTAAATTTACTTTACTAATAAAACTAAGTAATAATTCATTTTATAAAATAAATAATGAAAGATAACAGAAAAAAAAAATTGATAAAATATTTCTAGTAATATATTATACAAATTAGACTGGTCTATTCCTTTGCTAATCAATGCCTTTGATATAGGCCAAGTATTTCTTTATGCCCTTCTCATGAACATAGTAATCTAAAACTATATACAACATTCTTACTTGTGACTGAGTGACCAATATTGTCATAGTAATTTTATATGATGAATTTTTTTTTTTTTTAGTCTACTAAAACTGTCCTAAATAACATATATATTTTACATTACATCTTCTATATAGAATGGTATTTTTATTAAGTCATTCTGCTTTCTTGTATAAATAGTATAGTACCTTCATACTATAAAAATGGTTAATACTATTATTATTGCAGGGCTCAGAATAAGGATATCTAAAATTCGTTGGTTGCCGTTTAACAAAACCTATAGAAAATTTTATATTTGTTATTTAAAAAACTTATATTATCCTTCAAGAGTTTCTTCTCAAATCTAAACTACGTATCATTTATTTAGAATAATGTTAGGGCTGTTATATATAAATTAAATAAGTACAAGAGCGAATTGACCTTATATTGTCCTATAGTATAATACTTGGATTAGTTAACTTTTTTTTTTTTTTCTACATTTATATCTTACTAATTCCATAATTAGAAAATATAATTTCTCTATTAATATCACTAACTAGAGTAAGTAAATCTTTGATATTAGATGAAAATGGTATTTTTAAAGTACTATGCCGTATTTTGATATAGCATTTACATAGAACTTTATTTAGTGTTATTATAAACATTTCTTTAGATTATTACGGATATACTTCATTCTTTTATTATTCTACTATTCCATAAAAATTGAGTTCTAATATTATACTACTTAACTAACTGTTATTACTTGTCATGGTTGGAAGGTTTGTAACTTAATTCAATAAGATAAATAGTCATAGTAGGATGTATAGTCCATTTGTACAATAATTCTGTCTATAAACATATTTTGTATATTTATCCTTGTATAGAAAAATAATTAATAAAAGTCCTAATCTAAAAATATATCTTCCTCTACGATTAAATGATAAATTTATTAAAAAAAAAAAAAAAAAAAAAAAAAAAAAAAAAAAAAAAAAAAAGAGTGGTCATAATAAGCACAATAGTTTAAATAACTGCATTGCCCGATCCAGTTTGCAAAGTTAAGAGTTAAAAAAAAATCCTCCTAAGAGTCAAGAGGGAAAATGAAAAAAGTATTGAAGAATAAAGAGAAAAAATAAAGAGGAAAGTAAAATGAAAGAAAGATAGATAAAAAGGAAAAAAAATCATAAACAAGATAAAGACACTAGCATTTTTATCATTGCAATCATTTCACCAAACTAACACTGATATCCGTTGAAGCGGGAGGAAGATCTTCACCATGGAAAATATCATCCAATTCATGTAGGATTAGGCAAATTTCAGGTCAACGTACAGACCAGGAAGAGATAGATGGAACATTTTTTGGTTTTTTCAGGGGTAATAAATTTAGTAAGAAAGAAAGAGTGTCTTTGATGGATCTGGGTATTTGTAGATGGCTGTGTATGTGTAGACATTCGGTAGCATGGGCACGAGAAAGATTAACTGCAGGATAGAAAAGACAGGGACGAGGCTTTCCACCAGGGAACCAACCAAGACGCCAGCGGAATACCTGACTACGTTCCATACGTATTATTGGGAGCCATAAAATAGGAACAATCATCAAGGTTCGACGACAAGTAGAGATTGTTTGAGCATTTGGACCATTACAGAGAGTGTCATGACTTTCTTGTAAAAATTATTGTTTTAGCGATTTAAAAACACGACGATCCAATGTATCCAGCACAGGTTCACATTTTTTTTGCCAAAGAGGGTTGGAGACTAATTTACACCATTGTGAGCGGCTTGCATATGTTTGTAAATGAGGCAGTAGTTTTTGTATCAAAGTATCAACAGGTTAGCTGAAATGTTCTAATTATGTATTTCGCTTGTAGTATTATTGATCTATCTTTCATTGAAGGTTGGTTGTTCATATGTAGCATCACTTTAGTCGAAGATGTTCGAGATCCACCATACAATTTACGTACACATTCATTATGACTTGATTCAAGTTGCTTTGTATGAGATTGATTCAAGTCACAGATCGCTAATCCATATTCCATTTGTGAGCGTACCATTATACATAGAAACGCATTGAGATTAATTGGGAAATCCTTTAGAGTTAACCAATTGCAGATATTTGGTTCATTGTGTGATGGTACGTATTATAATAAGAAAAATAAAAAGAGAAAGAAAACAAAAGGAAGTATAGTTTGAGACTGTGTTTATTCAATGTAAAAAAAAATGATATAAAGATTATTCTGTGTCTACACAACTGCTTGTATTTATGTTAAAATAGCTGTCAAAGAACACGAGTCATGAAACAGTGTCAGTATTCAGATATACATCTTGTTCATTCAAGAGACTGATTTCTATGGAATATCTATTGTTTGATTTGAGTGTATGCTCCTGATATTTTTTATAGTTTTCTTTTATTGGACCAAAGACGATCTGAATCCTTTGTCAAGGTTATAAAAATAAATATTTAGGAATGATACAATATCTTATAATTGATACATCTAGACGATTGAATGTCAATAAGAAGTTTTATATTATTTACAAGATATTATATACAGAGTTTTATTTCATATTCAGGCTTACATTTTATCTTTTATTATGTAATTCATCTATTATAATATTACTTGTGCTCATATCCAGAGCTTGTTCTATAACACAGCCATCCATTCTGTGACAACCATTTTCTTTTATATTTTGAACCTGGTTTCTGGATAGTCGTACATCTTTGTGAACATCTAGCCAAAGATTTATGGGAACAGATTAAACGGTATTGGTCGATAGATCACTGTTTTTATTTTACTCAGATTATGAATGTTAGGGAATAAATATACATAATATAATAACAAAGTTGGGAAAAGTATCACAACTGTTCCTTTAATATTTTTATTTATTTTTTTTTTTTTAATAATTTGAGCTTCCAGTTCCTTTTGCTTTAAATCTACTTCCAAGGCTTCAATTGATCGTTTTAGATATGTTTTCCATGCAGCTTCTGATTTATTTTTAGTAGTAGGAAGTACCAAAGTGGGTGTAGGCTCAATAAGTGTCTGCTTGCTGATTAATGGAGGCAGCCAAGGATTGACAATTGCATAAAATGCTCATTTGAGGATCACCCTCATCTGAGATGCTTCTTATGACTTCGTCCTAAATAACGTTTATTAGTACAGTGTATCACGTCTTTTTAAGTGTTCAAGTAGCATAACTTACATATGAAACAGCTTCCCCTCTTATCAGAGCTGGCCTGACTTCAAGAGGAAACAATGGGCAAAAGATATTCATATTTATACAGTAAGTATAAAAAAACTTACTGGAATCAGTTAAGTTATCAAAATGAAGATGAGCATATCTGTTATCAAATTGAAAAGTTGATTCTAAGTTTTTACGCAGCTTTTTTCACTTTTTTCCACTTACCCGTTTTTTTTATGTTTATAAATATGCTTAACTTCGACTACTGAGCAATTATTAATACGAAGACGGACTTCTTCGTTGGTTAAATTAATTAGGCAGTTTCCTTGGACGTATACGTGCCGCTGCCTAAACCAGCAACTATCGCAATGGCATTTCCAGCAACTTCACAATGATGTTCATAAATACTTTTCATTTTAACAAAGTATGCAAAGAAAGAAAAAAAAAAAAAAATACGGAATAAATTGAACGCAGCTATTTAAATAAAACATTAAGCTCCCTAATAACAAAATTTTCCCACAAGTCACAACTAAAAATACACCTTTTATCAAAATGATGTCGCGCAAACCTGTATATTTGTATGATAAACTACTTTTAATACAACTTCATTTTTTTTTAGCGCGACATCATTTTGGCAAAAGGTGTATTTCCTGATTATTGCTGGATTTTTCCTTAAAATTCACGAATTTTGAAATATAATTTGGCACCTGTTGAATTCGAGTTACCCAGATATTGATTTTTTTTTTTTTCAAATAAAGTTGATATATTTGGCTATCAGCTAAATGCGATCGTAAAAGACTTTTGTTGATTTAATATTTGTGCTCCTCCAGATTGCGATTAAAATTTGCAATAAATATATTAGAAGACTCAGTTACCACTGCCCTTTCCATCTATCTCTTTTTTAACATGAACTATTCGTCCTCACAAAATATAAATTATATGATCGCAAACCTATTCATTTTTATATTGAAGAACTTGAGATTTGAAGCTTTTACTGCGCCACTATTATCAAAAATAATTATCATCTACCAATATCTGATATTTCTTGTAAAGTATATAAATAAAAATTATTATAATATTAAGACAAAAAGAGTCAATGAGGCCGAACAATAGTTCTATAGTCAATTATTTTATTTGTGAATTGTTAAAGAGGTCTGAGGATAAGATGTGAATCAGAAAAGTGTTAGTTATGACCGAATAAGATATGCTATAGATAATGAAGTGTTAGTGATTTTAATATTATTAGAAGGAGTGGATCAAGAGAGATTCAGGAGAATATAGATAGAGTTCCTTGAATAAATTTATGATCCGCATGTTTAATCATGAAACATGACATTATAAGTCAGCTCATGACATTGCCCCCTTCCAGGTTGGAACTATGCTTTTCTGAAGGGTCATTAAACTCATGTTGAAATGACCAATGTACTTCATGTTGAAATTTGGACTTATATTTGTGAATAAATATGTGTTAGAATAGAGTAAAGTGATATATGTGAATCACGCTATAGCATTACATTCTGAATTGTGGAGAAGAATGAAATAAGTAATATAGGCAAAATACATGTAGAAAAATAAATAGTGATGTATAGTTGCTATAATGTAATTATTTGTAACGTTACTGCGTTACCAAAATATGAAGTTGTAAAGTTATTTGGGAAAATTGAGGGAAGAGTGTTTTCTTTTTTTTTTTTGTATATGTATGTATATATATATGTATAAAATTGTTTGTTTGTATATTTTCATAATAAATACTCTTGTCCAGTTTCAAAATAACATTTAGCTTGTTGATGGCTACGACAATGTTATACGTGGGTAGGATGGAGTAGTATTTGTATTTTTAATTTATTTAATTGACGAATGCTAATGTTTAATTTTTGAATCTTTTAAAATTGTAATTAGCATTGTTACGATGATACTTTCGTTTATTATTATCATTATTATTAGGTCTGCCATTAGTAGATACAAGGCTAGCTTCATTTGAAGGTGCTTGTTCATTACGACGTGCCCAATATTTTCTAATAGGAGAGTAGTCATGAAAATTACTAGCAGGCTCCCAAGTATCATCACTTTCGTCATAACCTTTCCATCTGACTTGGTATAAGTAATTACCAGGAGTGCCCTTATGGTTGATTACTGCCTCAACTTCATAAGTATCAGTTTCAGTGTTGGCTAATTTAACTTCACGCGATATCACTTTAATATGGGAAGGAGGTACGTCTCTTGGTAAGAGTGCACCTGTACCATCAACCAATACATAACTTCCACCTTGAGTTTTTCTTTTGACAGTGTAATTACCAACATAGAGAGGATCACTCTTAGCAGTACGGTTAACATTCTTGATCATGACTTGACTACCAGCGGGGATTTCGGTTAAAATCTTATGAGTTCGATTGAACTTGTCTTGAGCAGCTTCATGTGAGGTCTTTATTTTCTCATGAATAGCAGGTAAGACAGCGTCATCAAACTCGTTCATTCTTTGTTGCAACTGTTTTTTAGCTTCAGACGTTTTAGTTTTATCAATGGTATTTGTATAATCCTTGTTTTCGTTAGGACGTCTAGCAAACATCAAGGCAAATGGTTGTGTACCATGTACGGATGTATGTGTATTATTTAGAGCTTCTTGGGTACTGTCAATATATAAGTCCCAGTCTTCAGATTTTCCTTGTAAGCGTTTATAGATGATGGACTTTGTTTTAGACACTCAGCGTTCGACTATACTATTTGCACGAGGATGATAACTTGTTACAAGTCGGTGGTCAATACCAGAGTGTTAATGTAAAGTCGTACTATTTCATTTACGTATTCTGTACCATTATCACTTTGGATGATTTTAGGTCTTCTATTAGAGATAGTATATTCCTTAGCGTAAGTGCTATTGTTAGGGATGATTTATCAGGGATTGCTCTAAGTATGCAGAATCTAGTGAACACATCAACAACTAGAAGGATGTAGTTATTTCCTTGTAAAGATGTTGTCATAGGTCCAGCAGTGTGAATACAAATGTGATCCCATGGAGCATTAGCATAAATTGATTTTAATGGATGATATCCATGTTTTGCTAGGTTAAATTTTTGACAATCGGGACAGTTTTTAACTGTGTCAAGAGCATCTTCTTTAAGCTTTGTCCAATGAATTCCTTCACTATGTAAAGCTGTTACTATAGCTTGAGCGTCACGATGTCCTTCTAAATGAGTTTTCATAAGTAGATTCAGTCTTTCTTCTAGTGCTGGTGTATTAAATCAGCAGGGCATCATCACACGAGATGTAAGAATAGATCCATCGTCGTTGACAACTTGTAAAGTAATAATGGTTTTAGGAGTTTTATCCTCCACTAGCATTTTTTTCAGGTTCGAAAAGACGCGATAAAGAATCTGGAAGTATATTGTGAATACCAGGTCTGTGAATAATTTTGAAGTCATAATCCAAGATGGTATCAAGCCAATTGATCATCATAGAATTGGCAACGGGTTGAGTATGGAGGAAATAAGAGCTTTATGGTCGGTATATAAGGTAAAAGGATTTCCCCATAGAAATGGATGAAACTTCTTCAAAGCAAATATAATAGCAAGTAATTCTCTTTTGGTAGTTGAATAATTTCTTTCAGAAGCAGAAAGTGAATGAGCCATAAAACCAATATATCTTGTTTGGTTGTCAATGATCTGATATAGAACAGCACCAATAGAATAGTTACTAGCGTCAGTAGCAACGTAAAATGGCTGTTGAAGATCGGGATGATGAAGGACTGGAGCTGAAGATAAAAGCTTCCGAATCTTCATGAAGGCAGTTTCTTGTTCATTTGTCCATAGAGCATCGTTAAGTTTACCTTCAAATCTTAACTTATCCAATGGAGCGGTTACTTTTGAAATGTTAGGCAAATATTTTCTAAAATAATTTACTAAACCTAAGAATCTTTGAATTTCTTTACCAGAAGTGGGTCGAGGCCAAGACAAAGCATTGGTGACTTTACGAGGATCAAGTCGAGAACCAGAGGCATCAACACAGAATCCAAGCAAGTACACACAAGATTGTGCAAAGTGACATTTTTCTGGGTTAAGAATCAGATTGACATTAGTTAGTTTTTGGATGACAGTTTGTACATGTGTGATATGTTCTTCAAAAGACTTGGAATAGATGATAATATCATCAACAAAAGCCTGTGCAAAGTTGAGATCACGTAATACAATATTAATGACTCTTTGATAACGAAAGGCAATATGTTTCAAACCAAATGGGCAACCACGAAATTGGTATTGCTGACCTTCAAAAGTGAAAGTAGTTTTAGCACGGTGTGGTGCGTAGATTTGGAAACGACGGAAAGCTTGTCGAAGATCAAGAGTGCTAAAAACTACAGATCCTTATAGACGATCGAATATTTCTTCAATCTTTGGAATAGGATGTCGATTATTAGACACTAAGATAGAATTAAGTAAACGAGGGTCGAGACAAGGTCTATGTCCTGTACAATTACCAAATAAATCTTTTTTAGGTGCTAATGTTAAAGGTGAATTTCAATCGGAATTAGGCGATGCATGTTCAATTACTTCATCCTTTAACCATGTATCAATACATTCTTGCATGATTGGTAAAAGTTTGAAAGCAATTCGATAAGGAGCACGATATGCTGTTTTTCCAGGAATTGTATCTAACCGTATAGCAGATTCAGGTACTGTACAAAAAGAATTTTTGGGTATCAAAGCATTTTTCTTAAGAAAAGGTTTGATGGATTCCATAAAAAGACTTTGTTGTAGTTCTGTACCGTAAGGAGAAGTGTTAGGTTCAGGTGTATCATCACCCATTTCTTTGTCAATAACAGGACAGTGATTAGGATGTTTAATTGCTAAATTGGTTATAATGATATTTAATTTAGGCATTAAATCTAATCCAATTACGATTTGTGTATCAAAAGAGAGTGGAAGGATTTCAAAGGTATGTGATGTATGAATAATATTTTTATTATTATCACTGTAAATAATTTCTAAAGGTTTTAAAGTTGTTCCTAAACGTTTACTAGTATTGTTAGAAGTAGCAAGAATTACAGAACCGAATACATTTATATTTATTTTAATATTATATTTATAAACAAAATTAATATCTATACAACTATAAAGAAGAACCACTGTCAATCAAAGCAAAAAGTGTTGATGTTCTCTATAGCGATAGGTACAATAAGAGAATGGTTAGTATTAATACTTTCATTTCGTTTTTTGTTAATAATTTTTTTTATGATGCTTACAATCATAGTTAATTGGATAATTAGAATCATCTAGGTCCATCATGTTATCACTACTGTCTGTATTCGGAGTAATAGGATGAGGGTTATATTTTGAATCTAAGGTAGTCAAAGTAGAATTATTATTTTCAGAATTAGGAGGATTAACCAGGTGAGCAGATCTTATAGTTCTTGCAGATTGTTTGGATGCAGTTTTTCCTTTCTTATTTTTAATACAGA